TTCGTGGACAGAGCCAGTCGGCGCTGATCGCCAGCCGGTCAATCAATCGATCCATCTACAGACGCTCAGTCAGCCGCCATGGAGAGAGCTCCATTTTACTAGGCGGCGTCGAGTGCAGGCCCCATTGGAACGCCAGATGGGATGACCTCTATGGGCACACTGTGGGCAGTGGCCCGCTAGAGGTCGAGAGGATTCCCGGCCCTGCGGCGCGAGCCCAAACACCAACCTCCACGCCCCTCCCTCGATCCTCCGGCCGGCAAGAAAATGCAAATTCATCAGTCATGCTGGCACTTTTGATGGCCCCGGCAATCAATCCTTCCCGTTGGGCCCATAAAAACCCACGTTGCTGACCAGCGCGCCGAGCGCTGTTTCAACGCATCCGATCCAGTAAAACAGAGCAATACTCGGTACACAGGAGATGGATTTACAGCAAGTCTCTGGGATCTGGAGAGGCTGAGGCTGAGGCGGCTATCTCAAAATGCCAGATCAACGCTTGAAGATACAAGATGACGGCAGAATCGGGGGTCCTTTCGAGGATCGCGGCAGCCCCAACCGCGCGTCTCCGCACTGAGCCCAAAGTGAGCGTACGTACCGCCCAGGCGCACAATTAAAGGTCGCCGGGGTTGGGTGAGGTAAGATGTGGCCGCAACCCAATATGGCGGTGGAGACCAGACGACATTTGGAAGGCTGGCTACACCGCGGAAGACGGCCCAGCCGTGAAAGGTCGCAAGGGCCGTCGGTGGCCCACGAAGCCAGCCAGCCCAATTCCATATCCCCACCAAAGCATCTGGGGCAGGCGGGCACGGCAGTCCGCCTACGGGGGGTTAGAGCGGGTCGTTGCCCTTGACGTCAAGGTTCTTTCGGGTCCTTTGGTCCCTGCCCACAAAGCAAAGACAGCGGTAATTGGGCTGCTACCCTACGCTGGACAACGGCGGCCAGCCCGATTTTGCCCAGCGGGTTGGCTCGAAATAGGGCTTCCAGTCTTCTCTTGGTCTGCACTCTACTCTTTGCCGCGGCAAGCAAGATTGCGGCACCGCCGGTGCGCGCCTACCGCTCCCCATTTAGCGCTCCAGCTGACAGGAGGGGCTGGGGGGGGGGTTGGTTGGGCTGGGATGCGCCACTTGAAAAGCTTTGTTTTCCCCAGGTTTTCACCACTCGACGCCTTCGCTCGCTCCCATTGGCTGGATTTACCGCAGACGCAGACGCAGGCGCGGGCGCGGATGCGGAAGGCCCGCAGGGTGACAGTAGGTTGCTAATTTCAGATCTCGTTGCAAAATCAGTTTAGCGTGATCGCAACGGGGTTTTTTTTGGGGCGAATGGGCGATTGGCGACTGTGACAATGGCGGCATTGGATTGGGGAGATTTCAGGGTCGCACAGCGCCAAGTTCCAACATCGAACAGTGCAGTCAGTGGGCGGGTTCCCAAAAAGACTGTTTGTGCGCACAGACACGCTGTAACTGGGCGAAGCTAACTGATTTCTCCGGAAGCTCAACGTCCCGGACGCGACATGCTTCAAAATTCCCTGCGTCGTTTATTCGGAGAGCTATCCGGCTACCTTGTGGAGGTAGTACTATACTCGGCCGGCGTTGCTCGGTCCCATCACTCGTCAAGTTTGCCGTGGACTCCGAGGTGGCGCTGTTGGCGTCTTTCTGCACCAATCATCGTCGAATCGAGACTGCTCCAGCTCGACTGCACTTTACGCCAGATAAATGTTTTATTTTCCGACGATGCAACTTTGCAAGCTTCGGCCACTGACTAATTCGGTTCCACAACGCCATGCCAATGACTGCCGGCGGGGAACGGGACAGCGTCGTCGGCGCCGCAGCGAAAATAGACAGATGCCTTACTGACCGTCCTGTGCCAGGAAAGCTTTTGTCGTCGATACCCCCACCCTCCCTTCTCCGCGTATTCTAGTCGCTGTCGCTGAAGCAGCGGTTGCAGCTAATAATACAGACTACGGCCCGGGGCATCGCAATGTTCGATGAGTAGGTACAGGCTCTCCAACTCGAAACATGAGCCGCTGTCTCATTCACACTGTCTTGCCTAGCCACTCGGTTCGGGTCTGGGGAAGATGGCGGCGGCGGCAGCGGCGGCGACCGGTTGTTGCCGAGCTCTCAGGCTGTCCAGCCATCCAAGCTCGTTTACCTTTGCCTCGGCTGGAGCAAGCGCGATTTAAGTGTACGTGCCCCAGTTATACGGGGTAGTACACTGCTAAGATGTTCAAAATGGAAGGTTGCACATCAATATCCTCACAATTTCCTGTCCCGCCCTTGTCGGCGGAGGCTGGTTCACCAACCGGCTAGCGGCTGGATATGGGTTGGCTGTCTTTTCTTAGAGTGGCATTATCTATCTACTCAGCGGGCAATCTTGCGGGTAATCTTTAATTCGAGGGCAAAGCCGCTGGTTTCGCCGCTTGGAAGTCCTCGGTTTCGTCGGCGCCGCTTGGGAGTCCGAGTCTTGTGCCCCGTACCGCCGCCCGCCACGGCGCTACCACTGCTGTTGGTGATGTGCATGTATTCTGGAGGTGGAGATGGAGATGACATGGCAGCACACCCAGAATTAGATCCCACCGCGACGCCCCCAATCTGGGGAAGGCCTAAACTGCCTCCACTACAGTGCTTCACTGCTGATGTATGTGCACCGAATAGGGCTGGGCGCGATTGCTGGTTGAGCCAGGTGCTGAGGCTCCGCCGCGGTTCTGCTGCCGCCGCTTTGGGTTAGCCTCGTAAGCTCTGACGGCGATGCTGTGCTGTGTGTTGTTTGTTGTTCTGTACTACTGCTGCTGTGCTCCTTCGCATGTCATATCATTAAAAAAAAACTCATTTACAGTACGGATGGGCCAAGATTGCACGGCACGGCGCGCGGCACGGCCGCCGACACGGGTTACCGCGCCGCCCCCGTCTCTTTTACTTTTGTGTCTTATCCCGCCCACCCAGAACATACAGACAGACGAAAAAAACTAGAACAGGACGAAAAGGCTAACAAAGCAAACGGATGAATACCCGAACGGATTCGCCGCCAAGGGCACACCCAAACCCCTACCTAGGGCTCCGAGTCTCTAGCCGATAGCTACTTACCTACCCGTCGTCGGTTCGTGTATGCAGTGAAGAATGGAAACGCGAAACGCCGGTTGATGTTGCCGTGTAGTACTGCGTAGTTGCTGCACCGCTTCCTCGCAGTAACATTGTCTCGGCCTTTGGGTCGGGGGGGGGGGGGGGGGGGGGTCGTTGCGACCCGAGAAGGCGGTTAGAGATCACTAGTTTTACTGTACTTTAAAATAAAACATTGTGGAGTCTTTGTCATGTCATGTAAGTCCTTGTCATACTCTACCCTGTAGTCTGAGAGGCGAAGAAACCGGGAAGTCTGCATTCGTTCTCGTGTCCACTGCTCTCTCTCCCACGGCGCAGATTCTTACGCTATGCGACTCTGGACTGACTGGCCGCCGCCGAGCCGCGCCGCCATAATACGTCCTCGCCTCTCGGAGCTAGCTTGGCTTGCTGACTGGTGGTGGGAAAGACAGAAATATCGTGGGTTATTTTGCTGTCTCGTCTGGCGAGGACGACCGGGCAGAACAGGCCGGCAGACATGTGGTGGGGGTGGCGGGGGAGCGGACATGGTTGATGGTGTTCGCATCAAGAACACATCCCTCTGCAGTCCATCAATCGTGTCTGCTCAAGGCCCAGTAAGGGGCAGGAGATATCCGAACACGCAAACATGCGTGCTGCCAACTAAGCGAGGAAAGCGCTTAGTTCTCTATGCTGTCTGTAGAGTCCACCGGGGAGTCCACCGGGGAGTCCACCGAGTAGTCCGTGACTTACTCGCTGTAGAAGACGGGAAGAAAGGCAGGAAGAAAAGCATGACGTAGCGGTATTCAAGGGCACGTAAGTGAACCGCCCAGATACAGACGTGTAGACGTCTCTGTTTCCATAATTGGAACATGAGGGGCTGTGTTCAGCAATGGACACGAGTCCCGTCACCTCTGTGGCTGACCTCCTTTGTCTATTGCCAGAGTGGAAAGTGACTTGCGGCAAAGAAAAACCTTCTTGCCTTCTTCGTGGAGGGACTTTGTGTATTCGCAATGGACCTATGGCTAAGCGTGTTGCAGAACTTCTGTGTTTTCCAAAGTCCTTTGTCTGGTTCCGACCACGTCAGTAAGGCGACATAAACGTCCCATGCTTAGTACCCAGCCAGCAAGTTCGCAGCCCTTCTTCCCGGCTCTGGCGCTAGGCCTCCACCGTGTCTTTGCTCAGAATCGACGGGGAGTGGAATGGCGGAAACTGGTCAAGAAGTTAAAGTGCCCCGAAAACCTGTGCTGTAGAACAGAGGGCCAACATATCGATCGCACAGCACACAGAGATGTGGTCATTTCTTCTTTATGCTCTCTGTTCCGGTAAAGATCTCTCCCTGCCTGCGCAATGGGCTAAGTGCTGTGACAAAGGAAAGAAAGAGAACTAATAACAAATCCCCTGCTAGTCAGTCGTGATTGATCAGTAGTGAAGGGTAAGTTGATGAACGGCAAAAGGGGAGGTCATGAGCTTTCTGGCTTGTGCTAGCGAAACCAAGAAGATCGCAAAAAACGTGAAAGGAGAGGAAGTGTCGAGTACCCCTTCACCCTGTTACTCTCGCCGTTCTTCCCCTGCTCTTCTCTTCCAACGCAAACCCACCCTCCTCCATGTACCATCGCCGAATATGCCATTTCCATGCCAATCATTCCGTATGTTCCCATTTCCGAAGCCTCAAAACGCCGTTTCTAAAAGCCAGCCACATACAGTAAAGTAGTTTCATGATCAACACGGGTATCCTGAAAGCAGGGCGCGTATTGCATGCTCCAGGATAAAGGTTGTTCTCCCTTGCCAGGGGTGACGATATGTCGGCAATCAAAGTATGTGGCGCTTTCCGCGTTCTCCTTTGCTCTCTCAGTGCCCAGCTCGCGTGGCACCGTGTAGCATCGCCCGACGGCTGCCGCCAACTCGATCCATCGACATTCGGTCCTGCTGCGCCTAGTCGTAGTAACCGCTGCCAGAATATTCCGGTCGTGGGAAATCCTCAAAATAGGGGTGGTTGCAAGCCTGCTTGGCTGAGATGCGGCCGGCGGGGTCGTACACGAGCATCATATCGAGAAGGTCCAGGCCCTGGTCGTCGAGGTTTTGGCACAGCGGCTGCTCGTGGTCGCGCTGCCACTTCGGGAATGACGCCTTGAAGTCGGGGTACGATGTCACGCCGGGCCAGATTTCTTCAGTGGGGGTGCCGAGGAGTCTATATTTCAAGGACACGGAGTCAGTATCATCCTAGGCACTTGACAAAGTTCGCAGTACGGAGAATTTTGTGGGGGGGGGGGAGCCAGAGACAGCGGCAGCAACGCCACGCAAACGTACCGGAAAATCTTGAAGATCTCGTCAATCTCCGAGTCACCAGGGAACAGGGGCTTGCGCGTGCACATCTCGGCAAAGATGCAGCCCACCGACCACATATCGACACCGGTTGAGTACTGGCGACCGCCGAGCAGAATCTCTGGGGCGCGGTACCAGAGCGTAACGACCTCGTGGGTATAGGTTCGCAGAGGAACACCAAAGGCACGAGCAAGACCGAAGTCGGCCAACTTCAAATTGCCGTCACGGTCAATGAGCAGATTCTGGGGCTTGAGATCGCGGTGTAGGATGCGGTGGCTGTGGCAGTAGCGGACACCGTCGCAAAGCTGGCTCATGAACTTCTTGATGATGGAATCGCCGAGACCTAGGCGGTGCAGTCCGGGCCCTGTGCCCTCGGGCAGGGCCTTTCCACGACCGCCGTCGCTCACGGGTAGCGACTCCATGTACTTCTTGAGATCGAGGTCGAGGAACTCAAAGACGAGGTACAGCTTGTGGCCGTCGGCGTGCACAATATTGAACAGGCGAACGATGTTGGGGTCGCGCATCTCCTTGAGGAGCGAAATCTCACGAATAGCGGTCGACGGGACGCCCTCATCTTCGGCCTCGAGGCGGATCTTCTTCATGGCGACAATGCGGCCGCCATTAGCAAGGTCGCGGGCCTTGTAGACGACGCCATAGGTGCCTAGCGGTTAGGTGCATTGCATGTTAGCGGCAGGAAGGGAGAGAGACGGAAAAAGAGAGAAAGAGAGAGCGCATGCAGCCGATAACTGCAGCGCCGTAGCGACATACCCTCGCCAATCTTCTCGAGTTTCTGGTAGTTCTCCATGCTGTTAGATTTGCCTGCTTGCTTTCCGTCTAGGGGTCGGTTGCTGTCGTCGGATTAGGTCGCCTACTGCGCGGTCGAAAGGCCGAGTCCAAGACGGTGCGGCGATGGGTCGTGTCGTTGATGCGTGCAGTCGTTAAACGAAACGAAGGCTGCATGCAAGAGGGTAGGCGGGGTGATTGCCGTCGTGTCCTGGCTCGGACGTGTTGCCAGTGACGACGTCGACGAGGGAGGACGGACGTGGAGGGGTAGGTAGGTATACGGAGTACACCAAGCGAAGGGCGGCGGCGGGACCAAAATAAACAGCGTCGCCCAGGCAAGAAAGCTGAAACCGAATTGAGAGAGAAGAGGGCGCAGGAAAGGCGTCAGGAACTCCTCGCCATTGATCGAGACTTACTGTCGAGTCGAGTGTTGCTGTATGTATGCGTCGAATGCTGTGCGTGCGTGCTGTTCTCTGCGTTGGCAAAGTCGGATGAGTTCAAGTTCTAAGTAGAATTTCGCAATCAAATTTCCGCAGTTGATCAACAATTACTCCAGCGACGCGACCAAACAAGCATCGCGTCGAGGCGACGCCCGACCCAGCTAGGCCCCTGAGTGTGGGGCAATGGACCCGCTTCCGCCCTTCCATTCGCGGGCAAGTCGCAAACCCAGCAACCGCGATGCGACCAAATCTGGACTCGACCCCACCCACCCCTCCAAAATCCAGGGCAAATCTCAAGCACCAAATCTCCCTCAACGACTCGTCAAGCCAATGACGGAGGGCGTATGCAACTTGCAACTTGGAAGTATTGCGTCGAAGAGGCTCTGTTGCTTGCTGCTTAAATAATTTACGAACGGGATTGGCCTTTCCTAGGCGTATTTCACTCGCTGTCTTTTAGACCCAGAACAAAACGACCCCGCCTCCACTGTGCTCCCCTCCCCTCCGACACCGCCCTATCTTGCGATGACGACGGCCGACATCAAGGAGCTGGATGCTCACGAACAACCCTCGGATGCCCTCAGGGCCGAGTGGAAGTCGTTCGCCAAGGCCGACCAGAAAGAGCTGATTGACAGCGGTGACATTGATGATTTAGGCTCTCCAGAAAAAGCCGCCAAATTCTGTCTTGCCGGCGCCATTCCCGTGCAGAGACTCAACAGCGCCTTCAGCCACGTCTGCTCCAACGATTCGCCGGCTCTCCGGGCCGACAAGGACACCCCCATCTACTTCCACCCCATTCTCCCAGGAAAGTTTGCAGCCGTGCCCTCCATCTTGCCTCACTCAGGTACCTAGCCTAACGACAGATCAGGCCTGCTCATCGTGCCCTCGGTAGTCCCGCCCGAGGTCCAGAAGATCCTCCTGAGACACCTGATTCACAGAGATTTGTCCGATCCGAGGCATCAGACAAACATGCATCTGCATTTCAATCTTCCATACCCTGAACGGAATGATGGCGAAGAGTCGTCCTTCTTCTCGTATTCTCCGGACTCGCCTGAGACATTCCAGCCCAAGGATCTCGAGGCCCACAAGCCGCTGTCCGTAAAGCAGGTGCTGGAACGCAAACTCCACTGGGTAACGCTGGGAGGCCAGTACGACTGGACAAATCGCGTCTACCCTGGAGAGCGCCCGCCTGACTTCCCGCACGACATTGCCGCCTTCCTCGAGACGCTCTTCCCGGAAACGCTTGCCCAGGCTGCCATTGTCAACTTTTACACGCCAGGAGACACCATGATGATGCACCGCGACGTGTCTGAGGAGACGGACAAGGGCTTGATAAGCCTCAGTCTCGGCTGTGACTCGCTATTCATGATTGCCCCCAATGACGTCGGCAAGCTGTCCGACGAAGAAAAGAAGGCGCTCCACGGCAGAGGCTATCTGCTTTTGCGACTGCGGTCCGGCGATGCCGTTTACATGACCAAAGAGTCCCGTTTCGCGTGGCACGGCGTGCCCAAAGTGCTGAAAGGGACTTGTCCTCCGTATCTGGAGGACTGGCCGGCAGAAGATGGAAAGTACGAGGAGTGGAGGGGGTGGATGAAGAACAAAAGGATCAACGTCAACGTGAGGCAGATGCGGGACTAGCATGCCAGCATAGACACTCGGCGAGGGTTTCGAGAGCCAGAGAGTCAACACAGCTTCACAGTCTATCATTTCAAGACAGTCGGTCCTTAACTTGGAGCCCATACATAACAGAGACAATGATGAGATATGGAACGAGAATCAGGGGTGGAACGCGCAAGCAAGCGACGGGAGGAGCTGGCGACATCTTGAATTGACGACGAGCGACTGACAAAGAACCCATTAGTCTCTACCAGAACGGGTGGTTCGGACAAGGAACCGGTTTTACACGCGGATTCCATCATACCCCGCGATGGCGCCCGGAATTAAACGGGAGTTCTCCTAGACAAGGACCAACCAGACGTATGTACAACCATGGCGTTATTTCGCGCACGGTGATTCTCGCGGGCATATAATCACCTTGTCGACTCGAAGCGCAGGGCTCATGGTAGCCAGCTAGGGTAAGATCCCATAGTACATGCAATATTGGTGCGTTTGAAGTTTCTAGCTGGTTATTGTTTACATGCTGGACCAAGTCTGCGTGTCAACGAGGCAAGCAGATGGTGTCACAACCGTCAACAACAGCCTCTCTCCTTAGTGGCCGGTGTGGTTGGCATTGTTTTCGAGATGTCATTAAAATTTTCGGTCCCCAAAAATATACTGGGGCCAGGCAGGAAGTTCGAACGGCACCGAAGAAGAAAAGGAGGAACCATCCTCAGCCTCGGAACACCTCGCGTATAATTATCCTCATACTGACACGATCTTGAACGTTGCGGGGACGCAGCTCGACGGGGCCGGGTTGGTGACGGCAAAGTACAAGCCGATGCTGCCGCAGTCATAGACATTGCTGTGACCGGCCGCCGTGGAGGCGCACGTCACGATGCCACCATTGTTGGTCTTGCATGTGCCGATGAAGTGGCCGTTCGTCGCCACCATGGCGTTGGTCTCGAGGTACAGATCGCTGATGATGTCGCCGCCATACGCGTACAGCCGTATCTGCGGGGTGGTGCCGGGCACCATGAGCTGCGCGGCCGGCGCGCCCTCGGCCGGTATCACGAGAGCCTGCGCGCCGGTCGAGCTCGTGCTGGCCAGGTTCACCTTCAGCTTGCCGCCCACGTTGATCAGGTAGCGGCCCGAGTGCGGCCCGCTGTTAATGACCAGGTACTGCGTCACGGCGGCGCCCGGCTGCGTCGTCGTCGTCGTCGTCGTGGCTGTCGTCGTGGTCTTTGCGTCGGTGTTGACGGTCGACGTGCTAGTGGTGGTGGCGGGCACCACAACCGTGACCGTGTCCGTGTTGGCTACCAGGTTCGTCGAGACGGACGGGACGCCGACGGTGACGGTCTCGGTGGCCCAGATTGTCACGTCAGGTTGCTGCGAAGTGAAGGTCTGCGTCGCGTCGCTCGCGGCGTAGATGCACGAGCATGCCGACGAGTAGGCCTCGACGCTGGGGCACTTCGTTGCCGCGGCCACGGGGCCAGTGGGCTCGACTGACGTGGCTGAGCTGGCGGGGGCTGACGAGGAGGCGATGGAAGACGCCGGGGCGGCAGACGAGGCGGCAGACGAGGTGGCAGATGACACGGCAGACGACGAGGCTGCAGATGATTTGGCGGAAGACGACGCGGCGGAAGATACGGCCGAAGACGAAACAGCAGATGATACGACGGAAGACGGGGCAGCAGAAGAAGCGGTGGATGTCGCTTTACAGGCACCGCGTTTCTTCCTATGCTTCTTGGCTCCCATCATGGGCGCGGCGGTTGTGGTGGTAGTGGTGAAAACTGTGCCGACATTGGTGGTGGTGGTGGCTGTGGTTGTCGTAATAGTCTGGTCATGAGATGTCGTTGTCGTGTAGATGGTTGCGACGCTCGTGCTGTCCTCGACCACGACATCTGTAGTTGAGACGGTGACATAGTAGGTCGAGTGATAAGTGGCAAGGGGCGGTAGAGTTCTGTATCGGTCAGCCCGTCGCCATCAAAGAAACCACCGACTTGGGAGACTCTCACTCACTGAGTTTCGTGTTGAGCTGATCCGTAAGTCTGGACGCAGTTCAAATACTGCGCAAACCCATTGCTCAAATTTTCTCCGCCTGCTGTCCCAATAACCTGGCTGAGACACGAGTTGGCCGCGCACGTCGGGTTAGACTGGTTGATGCCCATGGTTGTTTATTTACACAGAAACGAGAGTAAGGGGGCAGAAGCCGCAACAGCAACAACAACAACAACAACAAGGCCCGACAGAAAACGAATGACTCTGGTAATAAAGAGCGTTCCAGGTCAACCGAGCAAGCCCAGAACCCGACGCCTGCGCCGGTCCCCATCTCTGGTCTTTATAAAGCTGCACGTTGCGGTAGGGTCTCGCGGTAAGACCGGCGAAAGGGGTGGGTGGCACTTGTTGTCTCAATGCAGCAAGGCGCCATGCCAGGCAAGGCCAACCCAAGAGCTAGCCCGATCCCAGCGGTCTGGAACCTCTTCCAAGCAAATAGCGTAGTGACTTCAGTGGCTTACGCCCCAATCGGCGCCCGCCAATCCCAGCGATTCCTGCAGCCGACCATGCGGGCGCAAATTGGAAGCCACTTCGTCCTCGCGCGCGGGGCGTGCTAATCGGATTAACATGCCATTCCGGAAAGGCCCACATTGATCTTTTGCTTGGTGAATTGCGGGGCGTTGATTGGTCGGGAATCAAGAGAGAAAAACAGCTTCCTGGGAAAATGGAGAAAAAGAAAACAAGCGTTGAAGCGCTTCGGCACGGCAATTGCGTTTTACTCCTCCACAATCCACGTGCCAGCCCCGGCCACGTTTAATGCCGAGATACCTACCAAGAGCAGCAGCAAAACAAGGCAGAACGCGGTGGAATTGACTGCTTGTTACTTGGCTCGACTGACTGCCTGAGAGAGTATAGGTAGCGTTGAGATCAAATAATCTCATTGCCTCCAGATCCGTCTACTCTCAATAGTCAATGGTAAATTCAGGCAGATAATTAGGTACAAGCAAAAGTTGTCCTGGTTCGTTCGAAACGGTTTTTGTACTGAAATCCATTATCATTTGGCTGGCTGGCAACCATCTAAACACCAAGATTACTGAGGATTACACGGGCGTCAACCAATATAGATGCCAAGACACAACGAACCGCTGCAAAGTGAAAACTCACAAGAAAGAAAGCAACGCGCAAAAATAATTAAACCATGACGACTGCCTGTATCTTGTCCAGTATCCCTCCGCCGTAACTCAGCCAGAGCTTCAACCCCGCTAAACAAATCTCAGACCCAAGGGCCAGCAGATACGAAGTTTTGAGCATTCATCACATTGGCCGTGAAGTCCATCAACTACTGCCTTGTACCTAGTTGAGGAAGGCGGGGCCGCAGACAGCCTCGCAGGAACAGCCCAGCTAAATCTTGTCACACACGCAGGGCGTCTTGCCGCAGGTCCGGCAGGGCGCGCTAGCCTCGCGAGAATAGCTCAGCTTGCTGCACTGGCAGGGCGACTTGCCGTAGACCCGGCAGACGGCGCCGTTGTAGCTGTCGTGAACTGGAGCTGGCGCGGGAAGCGGCGGCGAGCTATTATCAGCGGAGGGTTATTTACCGAGGTTGCGGGCTGAAGGAGCACTTAGTCTTACAGGGCGATTTGCTGCAAGCGTGGCGGGCGTTGCGGTGGAGGTACGCTTCGCCGCTTTCGTTTTCCAGAGTGGTGAGGAGGCGGCAATAGTCGGTAGAGAGAGTCATGTTCGATGTGGTGGGTGGTGCTGATCTGTGTGCTGTCCCGTTGGTTTACTTGGTGTACTTGGCTAGACTTTGTGGCTTGTTGTAAGAGTGGGGTGGTAAAAATGGCCGTAGATGGTGATTCCGGGGCCGTGGTGAGCGTGGGAAGGAGACGTCTTAGATACTTTCCTGCAGACATCGGACGAAGCTTCCACCGGACTTGCCTGCGTCCTTTGCTGCCAGTGCGGCTGTCGTCTTTAATACCTGATGAGCCTGGAGAGGGGGTTTGTGAGAGGCTCGTGATGTCAAAGGTGAGGGATATTTCATGAGTTTTTTGAAAGCAAATCGGGCTGCTTGACATTTCCGCCCAATTTGTTGAGTACAAACGAGTGATTTACTGGTAGATGTTGTTTTGGTTGAGAGTATCCTATATAACTGGGAGAAGCCCATGTTTTCAAGTGTTTAGGATTCGCTGAGGATTGTTTCAGCGGGTTACTCACCGAGTTTTGGTAGGCGGGTGATATTGTGCACGCTTCGGTCGAAACAAGTTTGTGTAGCTATCAACTTGAATAAATACCGGCCCATGACATGAAAGGCTCCTGCGTTTCAACCCGGCGACGACATGACTCAGATGCTGTCGCCTAAAATTAAGCCACTTCGAGCAACATCCGAGCCACATCCGAGATCAACCTTAAAAAGGCCCTCTATAACGCTCACTTCCTAGTACTACTAGATTTCCTTTGCTTACTTTTTGGGTATAAATAGGGCCTTCTTTTCCTGTATCTCTAGACCTTTTTTAGACAGACAATTCAATGCGCTGTCAACTATGATCATGTGCAACAGATGCCTTACCAGTTCTCCACGACAGATGACGGCAAGAACACAGATGGAATGCATGGGAAGTGAACGCCAAAAGCCTAATGAAAAATCCAAATGGAACCAGTTTGTAGATGCTAATAAAACGAATATTAGAATCAATAAGAGTCGGGATTTGGCGGGATCCACGTTTTATAGCAAGGGAGCTGTTGTGAGGCGTGGCAAAGGACCGGCTAAGCCAAAACCTGCGAACGGGGCATGCGGGGTACAAGACATGTTGCGTCGGAAATTCTTGCGTGCTAAGCTAGCAACACGAGACATCGAACATAAAAAGACCGGGCCTCAAGCACGCGACAGAAGCTAGAACGGAAAACATCGTGTGAGGGAAAGAAACGACAGCAAACCCATTGTCAGCCATGGCTGCACACCACCCAAACCCACTGGGCCACATATCGATCGGCGTGCGCAACTACGAGGCATCCAAGGCCTTCTACACGGCCGTGCTGGAAACAATCGGCCTGCGGCTCGTCTACGATAGCGAAGCCAAGCGGCCCGACTCGGGCCCGACCACCAGCGACAGCGCGGAAGGCGACTCTGCCGCTCCGGATCCGGCTCCGGCTCCGGCTCCGGCCGAGAAAAAGAGGACCCGCACGCTCGGCTTCGGCGTGGAAGAGGGCCGCGAGCTGCTCAACGTGTTCGAGTTCGGCGACGACGCCGCGCCGCCCGGCCCGGGCTTCCACCTCGCCTTCAACGCGCCCACGCGGGCGAGCGTCGTCGAGTTCCACGCCCTGGCGCTCGGCTTCGGCGGGTCCGACAACGGCCTGCCCGGCGTGCGCAAGCACTATGGCGACCGCTACTTTGCCGCCTTTGTCGTCGACCCCGACGGCTGGCGGCTCGAGGTCGTCTGCAAGGCGTGATGGCTCAGTTCAGAGCCTCGGATTGATGAGCAGGGGGCTGTGAATTCAGCGTGGGATGGATTATCGTTTGGCCTGACAATGGGGCCGGGATAGGACTTCATGTTGGTTGGAGACGTCCGTACCAGCCGCCGACTCTTGGATGACAATTTGATCTTGTCGGTCACGGGTATTGTGTAGCCATTTGAGTAGCTATGGCATTGCTCAAAGCATTTTGGACTTTGCACAATCTGCCGCTGTAGAATTTCTAGCACTCGATCTCCATCATACCCGGTAACCTTTTCAGAGTCGTAGCCCCTCTGATTTGTGTAGACGCGTTTTCCCGTGTTCTCCCGTTCTCTCGTCTAAAATCACAGTTGTAGTGCGTATGCCCAAACGCCCAGAGCTTGACGTCTTTACTCTTCTAGCACAGGTCACTGCTCAGGTTAGTGAAAATCCCGACGAGATGGGGCTGCTCTTGTGGCGCCGGTTGAGAGCGATGATCTGGCCAAGCCCCTCATCCTCTAGCTGCTGTTTCCGAGCCAGGTCCTCAACGTCTCTTAGAAAAGACTTTGCGTCGGCCCAGCTGGGCTGGTACGCCTCGTGGTCTTCGAGTAGTAGGAACACAACCTTGAATAGGGTAAGCTGGCGGATCAGGAATTCGGTGAATTGCTCCTTATTCTTGACCCAGCTGATGTCGCCCAGCAGAGCCAGATACGGCGCCTTTGGCGTGATTGCGAAAGTGTCGTAGGATTTGGTTTCGGGCATCTCGAGGTGCAGATCGGATAGAATTCGAATTGCCACCATCTTGGGCTAATTAGACCTTGGGCAAATTGCAATATTATGATATCATCAAGCTAGTAATTTCAATGATATGAAATTGTTCAAAGGCATGAACTGGTCGGGGAAAAGCGTCGTTCTTCACACCAGTTATCCCCGGAGGCCTAATTAGAGCGGCAAGGGTTAGGGCTTGTCGTGGAACAAGGCTCGGGAATGACTGGCAAGCATCGAGACAGTTCCGAGTCTATAAAAACTTTGACAACGCCGCATCGAGCGACATATTATAGACATTAAAGAATAAACGTAGGGAGTAGGGCCACCCAAACTTTCACTGGAAATGCAAGTATGTTCTGCGAGCAAGTGATGTTGCGCGAAGAAATCCCTGGACGATTTGGTCACTGGAACTTGCCGTCCCAAGCGCTGCGGCTTGTTACGTCATTCCCCAGGCCCTTTTGCGGCGCCTCTTAGCGCGTTCCCCCCAGCGGAAAAGCGGCTGCCAACCATTCCGCTCGATCGATAGCAACCTCAAACCAGGTTTTGCAAAGCGGCGCCGGTCAAGCAAGGTTCGAATTCTCTCCCCAAGGTTATTAACCACTTAGACTTTTGCAGGAATTTCCCGAATAAAACCGCCCGCTCGCTCGACATGACAAGCTCACGGATTACTGTTACGGTGTATCACGGCCACAAGAAGCGCACAGTGCCAGCTGGCCTTTCCCAAGATGCGACTCGATATGGGTACTCCCGTCTCGAAACAACTGTCGACCTTTCCTTGCCTGGCCCTCCTCATCCTATCAGGGGCCTTACGGAGTGGTGATGCAGCCTCGCCATTGCTCACGAATGCGAACCCGGTCGTCGAGCCGAGACAGATTACCGTGACAACCATTACCGTCGCGCCCGCGATCCCGTCGACAGCGCCGCAGTTCGTGTCCGACGACGCCTTCACCTCGGCGATCCTCAATAGCACCAACTTCTTCCGCGCCGCGCACAATGCCAACGACGTGACATACAACGCGACGCTTGCGCGCTTCGCGGCCGACTATCTTGACGTTCCGTCCGACTCGAACCCGGAAAATGCGGGCGATTTCGACACGGACGGGCAGACCGCGGCCAACTGCCCAGCCTTCGAGCACTCGGGCGGCCCGTACGGCGAGAACCTCGCGCTCGGCTGCTCCGACGTCCAGGGCTGCGTCGACATGTGGGGCAACGAGCGCGATCTCTACAACTTTGCCGACCCGGGGTTTGGCCACGACACGGGGCATTTCACCCAACTGGTGTGGAAGAACACGACCGACGTCGGCTGCAGCAGGCGGCTGTGCGGCGCGACGGGCTGGTATCTCGTCTGCGAGTACTTCCCGCGCGGCAACGTCATGGGCCAGTTTGGCGACGAGGTCAATCCAGAGGTTGAGGCGACCAGCGGGGGGGCTCCTCTTGCTGCTGGCATTGACCCGCCGGGAAGGTTGCTGGGATTGTCATGCTTCGGCATGGCGCTAGTGCTGCTGGTGATGTGACATGTGCACTTTATTTTAGGAAACCAAAAAAATACAAAAGGGCATATACATTTACTGGACTGGATGGCTGAAGAAGATGTTTGTCTACCCGTCGTTAAAGTTAGTCGGGTGAATATCTCAGTCTCTCATGCCGCGACACAAGCCAAGTCGAGGGTTGCTGAACCTCATGTCCACATGCCTTCCTTTCTCGTCGCATTTAACTCTATGTTTATTCCTCCTTCACTTTGAAGCCGGCAAAATAGACAAGAACTAGGTTGGCTACAAAAGATACACGTTATTAGCCTTTTGTTAACAAAGGGGTAATTGCTGCCCGTTTCCGTCTTAAGGTTCGCGTAGCTTTGCGCGTCCTCGAGTCATGATGTAATCCAAGACGGCCACCTCCGATCACCCGTCCGTGTCAACCCCCGGTAATGTGCCATTGATCACAGTCAGAGTCACCTCGATCGGTCCCTGCGCACATCCTAGAGTCTGATCGACTGCATTACGACGAGCCTTCCTATAGATATAAAGATATAACGTCCCACCAGCTCGAAGTCTATACCGTTTCATCCAGGACTCTACAGACACGCGATTCACGCACAAACACAAACCATGCCGAGCAGCAAGGGAACCCCCACAGACCCAGACCTTCGAGAGCAGCTTAAAGAGGGTACGCAACTGTATCCCTATTGATCCTTAGCTTTCCCGACCCACGTGCTAACTGACTGCAGAGATCAAGCAAGAGCCGAACAAGTCGGGCGATGGCAAAGGCCAATGGTCGGCGTGGAAGGGCATGAAACTGGCTAAGGAGTATGAGAAGCAGGGGGGTGACTACGAGGACCAGCCGGGCTCAAAGAACAAGGCAAAGAAGGGTGCGCCAGAAGCAAAGTGATACGAGAGTGTAAAAGAGGCGAGCGATGGTAGGTACCTAAAACGCAATTGGCCGGATTATACATCACGGGCACGTACGGTGAAAGGACGGACGGGGTCAGGGTATTGGCCCTGCGGTGCCAGCTCTAAACGGCGGCTCTGCCATTAACAACAACTCAAGTATCCGTACATGGTTATTTAATAATAAATTGTTTCTGAGAGTTGAGTTCGACAGTTCTCTTTGGCTAGTTTCGGAACCTGGTGTCACATGGGAGGAAAGTGGAATGGGGAGTGGTGATTGCGACACCCCGAGCGCAAATGGAAAGTCGCAATCAGAATACCCTGTAACTATCCATTCCCCGTATGTACCTACCCACCTGCAACGTCCAGTTTCGCCTTTAAGCACCTTTTTGCCCCGGGCGGCCGACGTCGGAATCGACGAAGCATTTGTGAACAATACAGGTAACGTTATGCCTTTTTGCATGAGTTGGTGCTTCGGTTTTGGATCCTATCACTAGACATATTTATGAACAACTGGGCGAGTTGACCGGAATGTGGTGTATGTACGTATTGAGCTGCAACAGAGAAATAATAAACTGGGGACTAAAGAGAACGTAGTGGTGGGGATGGGGATGGAACGAGAACAGATCCAGCGGCAGAGTTGTGGGCCGTCCCGGCGGACGGCACTGCAGGCAGATGAGTGACTTGCGTGGCTGCACGCCGACCGAGCGACATGGAAGGAAGCCCGGCGACATCCATAACCCGACTTCCTGCTTGCGTGATCGGCCTGAGGCCTGGCTGCTACGACAGGCGGCAGCGCCCGCGTAGCTCCCGACGCCTGCTCCGTCCATGCATAAAAACCAGCCTACAGCTGCAAGTCAGTTGAGTTAGGACGGGGAGGGACCATCTACCAACTCAGACCGATCCTTTCGCCTTTTCTCGGCCTTCGTTCGGCGGCCTTTTTTCCCCCTTGGGTCAAACGAAACGCCCAACTCCGCAACTTTGCTGCGACGCTGCAGCTAACCAACCCAATACCTATTGATCCACTCCTTTTTTGTGGATGACTCTTGGACTGAACCAAGCACGAAAATATTACGTAGCAGGGTCCATATCAGGGTCTGGCAGCTCACGAATAAAGTCTGTTTTGGCCTACAGACTTATATCATCCTTGTACTAAGTTGATCTAAAAGTTCAGAATACACGACGTCTCCGAAGCACGACTAGGAGCCGGTGGTGGAATACGTCGTGAATCTCCTGGGACTGTTAGCACCTTCCTTGGCTCTGTCGAGGATGATAGAGCGCCCCAGGACCCTTTCCACGACGTCGTCAACTACCTGAGCCCGCTGTACTCTCCTGGCGGGCGCTGAGCTAGACGGGCTCCCGAAGCCCACTCGCTGCAGCGCGGCAGCCCCCAATCCAATCACCGACCGCGGCGCAACTGTCAAGGAGGTAAGCGGCAGGTCGCGCGCAGCACCAAGAGGATTGATGAGGTAAGCTTGCATGGTTTGCCCAATCTTTGTTGGCGCTGCACACAACTGCTGCACTGCACCTGCGATCCAAGCTCCATCACGCATATCCGGGGCAATCGACAGGGCAAAAGGCAACTTGAAGCCCGACCATTGTCCTCCATCGCAGAGGCAAACTCTTCATCTGTCGCCAGCCTGGCCACCGGTTGGCCTTGTGGTCCCAGTCTGATGAAGGTGCGCATTGTGAACTGGCCCTCGGTGCTTTTTCTTGCCTCTTGGACCTCTAAGATTTAATCTCCCGTCTTCCCACCTGCATCTGTACTGTTTGTCGCCGTCGGTTTCTGCGCTGCGCGACCTGCAGCAACGACTTCTGCACGCAGACTTTGCTTGCTAGCCAGCCAGCCATTCAGCCATTGAATCGCCGAACCATTTCGCCGGATCATACCCGCCCGCTTGACCGTGCTGTTCAGAAAGCTAATACCAAACCCTGCGGCCGAGACAGGCTCCTCCGATCGCGCCTGCGCCCACATCCTCCCTCTCTACCAACCATCGACTGCCGAGACACAAAGCCAGCGCTGTCGCAACCTGTCCGACACTGGCCCGTCACCGTCCTTGACATACCCAGGCCTCTTCGAGGCGAAATGCGAGAGAGCCGCCGCCGACCGAGACAGTTTTCTTTGCGCTGCCTCTCAGCTTTCCGCCTCCCCCTCAACACCCATTTCGACTCGTTCGCTTCCTGCATCCCACCGACGCCGTCATCCGTGACTGCTGTCGCGCTCTGAAACCCCCCGCTTGTGTGACTCTTGCCCCCCTCATATCCTGAGGTCCCTTATATCCTGCGCTGCAATCAATACAAGCAATAGATCACTATGGACGAGTCCTTAGAAGCTCACCCGAGCGTTGCCGCCGCGTTCGCGGCTACTCCGGGTGGTGCGCCCCCTCTCTTTCTATCAAGTCTGCTCTCCTCTGTCGACACTATTTCTCGGGCCACTACGCCTGGCCTGTACTCCGAGGACCCGCACGAAGACGACAAGAAGCGCTACCGCCCTCGCACGTTCAGCTACTTCCGACTTCTGCCCTTCGACGTCGAAGATGACCCCCACCGAGACCTGGCCCTCAGTGGCATCCTCAAGAACCTCTATATCTCTGTCATGGCCGAGGACTTGTTCCCGGGGGCCCTGCACTGGACACGCGAGCTCCAGGGATGGATGAACCTCAAGTTTGAGATGACTAGGGAGCTCCGTGCCCGCCTAGCCCAGCTCTACTACCATCTCACCTTGGCGCCAGGCCTTGATAGCAATACCGCGGACCGGTTCTCAAAGATGGTCATCATACTGACACGGTGAGCATGCGTCATACTCTCTGCCCCCATTGTGTATGTTACCCACGCCGAGGCCCTTGCTTACTGGTCTTCCGCTCGATTTAGGAAAAAGCACTACCTAAAGCCGGGCGAGGACCTCACTCTCGACTGGCGGCCGCTCTGGAAAGAGATCAAGGCGTTAGTGTTCCCATCCGAGGCTCCCGCTCACCAAGGGAGTCGGAGACGCCAGCAGAAGCACCTAGTCAAGCTCTGCCTGCACGCCAACTCCTACTTTGACCCGGCAGAGCGACGGGCCATGCTCGAGGAGCTGTTGCCTTATTTCAGCACGTCGGCCATGACCAACGCCTACATTGTGGTCGGAAGCCTCAATATCTTGATACCTACGGGTGCCGCGCCACCTTCGGAACCACAGTCTCAGCCATCAGATTTTGTGCCGACATTCTTCCACTTGTGGTCGCTGATGACGCGATCAAAGTCGTTTGATGTCTGCTTCATTGATATCTTTTCGCGTATGGCCCGGGACTATCTCCATTGCACCCATGTTCCATTTTCGGAACATGGCATCTTTACCCGCGAGCAGTCGGACCTCATCTTCACGGCCATTTTGAGGTTGACCGAGATCCCGGTGGGACAGGCAAACTCCCCATATGCCTCCCTTGACTATGCGTCCGGCCTGGGCGTCTTCCTTGAAAAGGACAAGAAGAAGCATCCAGTTCCTTATATGATAGCGAGATGGATCGCCCATTCATTGTCACCACTATGCCTCGGCCAGGAGAGCTCCGTTCTGTCGAGTCTCGAGGGACTGATGGAGTCCATTGACACGTTCTTCCACCCTTCCAACCAAGGATCTTGGACCAGCTTTTTGGCCCAGCTTACGTTTTTCTTGACGGATATCTTCGTGTCGCGCTGGAATCGTGAGCAAAGTGGGGAACTCGACGTGCCTGCCCAGCGCCGGATAACACCAGAGCTCAAGAAGCGTTTTGTGCTCGCCTTGAAAGAGGTCACATTCATGGGCCTCTTTGCCAAGAGCTCCAAGGTTGTCAACTACTACTACTCCACACTACAGGGTCTGACATACCTTGAGCCGGACCTGATGCTGCCCGGCGCTCTTCAGCGCTTCTACCCAAGCTTGCAAGGCCTTGTTGAGGTGCACAGAACCACCTCGAGTCTCTGCGGGCTGCAGATGATTGCCAATATCATGTCCAAGCAGAAGGGGTTCCGCTGCCACATCACTGCTTTGCTCGCCTTGGCACTGCCTGGCATTGATGCAAACGACCTGGGGAAAACGCAATATACGCTCAACTTCATCCAAAGCGTTGCCTACAGTATTCCATTTGTGCCCCTTGTGCATGAAACTGATGGCATCCATGACACCAGTCTGGCAATGAACTGGGTGCAGGGCGAGATGGAGAGGATGGAGCGCGAGGGACAGGACGTCAAGATCAACTACGCGGAAGAGTTGACGGACGAAGACGAAGCCAGCATTTTGCGCTCTTCTACCGCAGGATTAGGCGAGTTTGTCTTGGCCCTTCTAGGCAAGGTCTTCGCCCTCCTGGAGAACCTCCCGGACGCAAGCCATCTTCGGACGGGCTCTCCCGAGGACAACGTGATTAATACCCTGCCTGCCGCCCTCCTGCCTCTGTTTGCATCTTTGTCTCCAGAGTTGTTCGATATGGCGTTGGATAAGCTTGCAACCTTTGTCTCGAGTCACGTCGTGCACCAGGCCCGCGACGCCATGGCCTGGATTTGCAATGCGCTGTGCAAGGTCAATCCGGAGAAGACGCTCAAAGCATTTATCCCGATGCTCATTGTCAATATCCGCAACGAGATTGACTACAATGGCGCCGCTTCTGATCGCAGCAGTGGGTCTGAGGTTCTGCCACGAGACAGAGCTCTCGTGTGGCACGTGAGCATGCTGAGTATGTGTGTCGTCCATGTTGGCGGCGAAGTTTTGAAGTACAAGTCGGAGCTCTTCGGCATCGCGCAGTACATGCAAGAGAAGTGCCGTGGTCTTCCCACGATCCACATCTCCAACTACATCCACCACCTGTTGCTCAACCTCACGCTCACTTACCCCATCGACAATGCCCTCTATGAACCCCAAGTCATCTCCCGCGGGCCAGACATTCATGACTGGGGTCGCATCACTACACCCTCCGAACTCACCATCAAGTGGCACCGGCCCTCGAAGTCGGAGCTCGTCTTTGCCGTCGAGCTGTTCGAGAGCCAGGTCCGCGATGCATCAGAGAGATTGGTGCAGCTCATGAGCGACGACCCGCCAGTAAGCCGAAAGGGAAAGAACAAGGAGTGGTCAGATGAATTGTCCCGAAGCCTGACAGCACTGCGACTGGTCATCTCTGGCGTCTCAACCCTGTTTGACCCGCGCCATGCTTCTGGTGAGGTTGACGATCCGGATGGCGATGGCAATGACGATGGGGACGTCGTAATGGAAGAAGACGACGACCCCCTTGCCGAAGTTGCAGACGACGAAGAGCTCAAACGGCAGTTTCACTATGCTGCTGGGTATCTCTTGAACTACAAGGACCCTATTTACACTCGCATTCACGAACTGCGCGAAGATGTCGGAAGACTGCTGTCTCGGACCCACTCGTTCCTCAACGCCAACCAGGAGGACGATGTTGCTTGCTTCACGTCGCTCTATGCGACGTACCGGACATGGATCACGGATGTCGGCATTGAGCGATCAGCTCACCCGTTGGAGCGCCTTGTTCGTCTGTATAAGGCAGACATCTCACCGTTCAAGATCAGTGGCTTGCGCAAGATTTATCCACGGCCGCTACTCGTGAAGCGTGCCGACGCATATCATCTGCAGCGGGTCAAATACAATTCTGCCTACCGCAAGAAGAGCGAGCTCGACAAACGCCTGCTTCTCGACCTTGCCCAGTCGTGTACCTCATCGTACGCAGACGTCCGTCGCGTAGCCCAGACTGCACAAGACTCGTCGCTCAAAGTGCTCATTGGCGGAAGGCCTCTTGTTATCCCAGTTGTTATGGAAACCCTCCGCAAGGCGCTCGATGCGAACGATCACGACCACATCAAAGGTGCAATGTATACGCTTCTCTTCACGACGTTGCTCAAAACACTGATGCGTGACTGGCGCTTTGCGCCCGAACTCATGCGACTGTACATCGAGACCGCTGGCGTCGACAAGACATCGATCCAGAATCTAGGCTCCACGGCCCTGTATCCGCTTCTAGACTTCGGCAAGGCCTTTGAGCGCATGATCATATTCGACCGCAGCATCGTCGAGACCATCCGTCCCGCCGAAGATTGCTCAGAGGTCATCAACCGCCGCCACGAGTTTATCAAGGAGCGCCGTACCAAGGTGGAGGAGAAGAAGGCCGAGCTGGGCCTGGAACTTACCAACAAGGCCAAGGTCTCTCACTGGAAGATCGCAAACAGATGCGCCATCTTCGCCCTCAATCTGTCGCTTCGGTTTGAGACTTTGGCCAACCCCGAGTTCATTGACCTTGTCGCGAGAGGAACCAACGATCCCCACCCTGGTCTACGGTCCAACTTCCTGTCGGCCTTCTCTGCCATCTTCATACTCATCGACATGCGGGCTGTCTACAAGCACCAGTTCAAGAACTTCCTGCTTGAGATTGAGTGTGGAGACAACAAGTTTGAGGTCTCTGTCCCTTCCAACGATCCTCAGGTCACAGAGAAATTCCTTGCACAGTTCGAGAAATTCGACGGAGTCGACTACTTTGTCGACAGTGACCACCCCGGTTGGTTAGTGTGGGGCAAGAAATTTAAAGCGTCCAAGGCCAACCCGAAGCCTTTCTTGGCGTACGACGACGTCGAGACTGCGGTTCGGGAGCAGATTGGGAAGATCCTAACAAAGGACTGGTTCAAAACTTGCTTCGAATACCTCAAACAGGAACCAAGGGACTCGGGGGCTGATCGTTTTAGGATGCAAAACCTCATGCTCCTCATGAACGTGTTCGACCTGATGGTCTACGGCAAGACTGTTGCCACCTTTGATGACATTGTCGACTTGATTAAGGATGTCTACGGCGATGGAAGTGATAAGCATCAGCATCGCGCGACAGCTGAGATTATCGGTGCCCTGCTTTCATGCAGCACCGACGATCCGCGCGATTATCGGGATCGAGTATGGGGTTTTGCGGCCCCGTTGATGCTGAAGATTATCGCGGATGACTTGACACCCGACAATCTCCAGTATTGGATGACCTGCCTTCACCTCGTCGTCGACGCCAAAGATCCTAGACGGTCCAAGGAGCTCTTGGAGGCGCTGAGTGCTTTCCGGCTCGACATGAACTCGAATGCCGCCTTCAAGGAATCGTCCAAGGTCCAGCTCGTCGAGTTTATCATCAATGATGCTGGCTGGCATTTCCGGCACGAGAAGCCGATCCTGGAAGACTTCCTCCTGCATATAGATCACCCTTACAAGTCGGTCAGGGAGTCGATCGGCCGCGTCATTGCGACTATCTATCGAACGCGATATCACGAGTCGTTCCTAAATGTGTCGGCGCTTCTCGAGCAGAACAGGGCCGAGTCGTCCATCGGCATCCGTGCCTACAAGCCGTCAGACGAGTTTTCGGCGACTATCCACGACGTGTTCGCACGTCTTGAGAAATGGCGCCATGAACGGACGCCCGGCCAACAGACGCCTTCCAGTTACACCTCGGGTTCGAAAACGGTTCTTGTTTGGCTGGACAGCATGCTATCTTCCCAAGAGTGTATCCAGCTTGTTCCTTTCTTTCCCGACCCGTTCATTGATCAGCTGCTGCACATGATGGACGTCAAGGAGGATCCGGAGCTGATGAGACTGGCTTATCATGTATACCGCCACCTTCCCAACATCCCATTCCGCTATGGTGAGGACACGGCGTTCATTGCAGCCCTCATTCGGATCGGCAAGACGGCGAGCTCGTGGCACCAGCGCCTGCGTGCCCTAGTCAACATGCAGGTTGTCTACTTCAGGCGACTGTTCCTGACGCAGCCCGAGCAGCGCCAAATACTCTTTGAGGCCGTAGGCGACATGTTGGCCGATGCGCAGCTCGAGGTGCGCGACTGCGCAAGTGCTACGCTGGCGGGCATGATCCGTTGCTCACCTGCGAGCATTCGGAATCCCATAATCCACCAGCTCAAAGACCGCTTCGAGCTTCAGCTGAAACAGAATCCGATGCCCAAGAGGAAGGTTCCGGGTACTGATACGCCCGTGGACACGCAAAAGCAGGTTATCCGACGACACGCTGCGGTGCTGGGTCTCGGGGCACTGATCGAGGCATTCCCGTACGCAACCCCCCCGCCGAGCTGGATGCCCGAGGTCCTCGCACATCTGGCGTCGCATGCGGCTAGCGATGCCGGAGTCGTGGGCAAGGCAACCAAGACGATACTGGCAGAGTTCAAGAAGACGAGACAAGATAGTTGGGGTGTTGACCAAAAGGTAAGATTGCCACCCTCCAACAGGGGGCCGACGTTGGTGCTAACTGATGTGTCCAGTATTTCACCAGCGAACAGCTCGAAGACCTAGAGGGTGTTCTCTGGAAGAGCTATTTCGCTTAGGTTAGGAATGTTGTGCCGATAGATAGAAGTGATCGGGCGTCATTTTTGTGCGGCTATGGGGCCTGGGATTTATGGAATCATGAGTGTAGCGTCAGACTGCCTCTGGGAGGTTTCAAGTGAAGGGCCAAATATGTACCTTGGTTGAAACGGGCAAAGCGAAGATGGAGGAGAAACAGGTACTCTTGGAGAGCGCCTGGGCCCAGGATGATGTGCGCAGTCTGTTGTACGATTAATTGCAGTTTTTGCATCTGGCAGCGTGGTTTCTAGAAGGCAGGACAGACAGGCAGATAAAAATATGTATTACAGACGCGGGCACAGCGAACGCAGTTTGAGTTTCTAATTATCGCCTGCAACACCCCTCGTCGTACCTTATTACCTCGGAAACCGTGTCAATGCTCTCTACACGGCCAGGGCAAACTGCGAATTGTCTTGACAGTCTTCCTACTGGATCGCCTCCCCTCAATGAAGCCCTGGTGGCGGATTCAATTAACATGCAGGCTCGAAGTAATGGCATGGATAGTGCCAAGCAATTGACGAGCCTTGGCCGCAAGGTCAGAAACGGGCAAGCCGGCGGAATATTTGAGCCGAGACGGAAGCCAAAAGGAAAACGAAGCAAAAAAAACAGAAAGAAAGAAGTTATTACTGATCAAGTCGTGGGCCGGATTTGAACCGACGCTCCCGAAGGAACAAGATTTCTAGTCTTGCGCATTAGACCACTCTGCCACCACGACTACTCGCTGATCTAGCTTTTTGATTCGCTGCTGCTTGTGACTGCCAGCCGCACAACCCGAGACTGTTAACCCACAGAGCAGGTAGGTAGGTACTGTTCTTTTTGTTTTGAGGGTGGGGGCACTGACTCGCTCGCTGCAGCTGCAGAAAGTAATTAAGTTTTTTTTTCTGTGGGGTGCGTTGTGGATTGTTGGTGGATTCGTAGGTGGATATTCGCAAAAAAGGCTGGGGAAGGGGAAGTGGAACGAAAAGGGGGGTAAGCAATCAACGTTGATTCCTCCGCTGGGTCGGTTCTGGACCAGGACCTGGGTTTTTACATAATTCGCACTCCACGACGTGCCGGGGTTGGTTTGCCTCGTTGGTTTGCCTCGTTGCTTTGCTTTTAGGAGCAATTTGTTTCGGTTTATAATTAGCGAGATAGGGAATTGGATAGAGCGCGCGCACCTGGATGAAGATCTATTCTCGGCTTAATCTATTCACCGAAATATGTTCGGGAGCGAGTTCAGAGGACCTATGCTCGGCTCAATGGGCATGTAATTGTGTACGTCGAAAGAGGTCCAGTGGTCACAGAAACCGCCAGCCCGGTCCCGCTCGCGTAATGAGTGACACAGCCCTCGCTAGTTTCGATATATTGGTAGTTACATTAAGACTCCAAGCGCACTTGGCAACGGCGAGGAAGTCAAGTAATTGGTTGGGTGGACGCGTATGAGAGTTGCAGGCGCTCTTCGAGGCGAGATTGCAACTGAGGGGCGATAGATGACAACATTGGCGAATGCACAAACTTTGATGCGCTGGGACCGTTGCCTCCGGCATCTGTAGACCTGTGTATTCGATGGCTTGGTCAGATTAAGGACAAGATGTTAAATAGCTGCCCGCCCATGGCGTTCTCGGGAGACGAAAAGCAAAGTCTCCCACTCACAGAACGACTTACTACAAAAGCCCCCGTCCAAAGTCGCACACTAAAATCCCATTACAATCATAACCTCGCCCAGCATGCGCCTCTCCCTCCTCCTCTCCCTCCTCCCCCTGTCAGCGGCGCTCGCCACGCGCTCCGACCTCGCCGAGACAGAAATCCCGCATGAACTCTCAGTCATCTCAGACGCCGAAGACTCGGCCGGCAACCTCACCCTCACCACGCCGGCGGGAACTCTGGAGAAGCGGGCGTGCCGCGACACGGGGTGCAAGTGCGTCAAGGGCCTGCGCCAGGGCCAGTACTGCGGCGCCTGCGTCTGGAAGGGCGACTACGTCATCACCAAGAAGCGCTACCTCAAGCACATCTACGAGTGCAGCCCCGAGGGCGACTGCTGCGACTACGACACGTCGTCTGATTGCAATACCGGCCACGGACGGTGCGGGCCGTATTAGTGTTCTGTGCTGATTAGGGGCTGTAAATAGAGCAGGGGAATATATTAGGTATCTCGGAGCGAGAGGCTTAGGGCGAGAGACGCAGGACGAGAGACTTAGAGTATCTGGTTACAATCTGGGTTTAGTTGGCTATGGTTTTGCTGGCGGCAGGTCGGTGAACTGTAGATTAGTGTGATTGAGGTACTTTACTTATGCGTTTGTTCACACGGGTCAGTCAAGGAACATCTTCCGTCATAATTAAGGCACCTACTCGGGACCGGGATCGTTGGTATGAATTGTCGTAGGCTACCCACCAGACAAAACAGATGACTGTTTCTAGGAGCCCTGGGCGGCAGTGCCGGTGTCTGGCATAGGCTGTAGGATGTCCCTTCACATGAAATAGACCTAGTTGTTTAACAACTTGGCGAGCAGAGAAATACTACAGTAAATCTACGCAACCGTTGCCCTCCACGAGGGACGGTTCTTTTGGATAAGTACCCCTAATAGAAATAAAAGTGCTAGTATGTTACGATGGAACACCAGTTTTAGAAACAACTATGCATAAAAGTCTACTTAATGCATCGTGGCCCTCTACCACAGACTATCCTTCATGCCTTCAGTCACGACGTCCGACGCTACTGTCCCCATATGCTCCCCGCAACTTCCCGGCTCTAGCCCTCAAACATGGTCCCCGTCATGCAGTCGTTGCACGAGTCGCCGTCGCTAGTATTCACTCTCTGACAGACCCAGCAGAGCTTGTCAGGTTTCGGGGAGTCTGACGTGGAGGCGCTTGTCAGCGAGTCGGCGGTGACAGCCTCAGCGGCAACCTTTTGCTGCGGCGGCGGTTCCGGCTTTGGCGGGTTCTGCTTTCTCTCCTTGGACAGCAGCCTCAGTACTTCAGAGGGCGGGCTGAGCGGGCCCCGGTTGATTGTCTCCACGGGGGAGAAATGTCAGCCGCGATGAAGATATGATTGGTTATAGAATTGCACGCAAGTGTGGTTAAAGAAGGGTGTTCTTTATGATGACATGTAGGAGATACGTGACACGGTGATAGGAATGGAGGGTTGTGGGAAAAAAAAACTCACCTCGCACTGCGCACAAATGTCGGGCTGGGTTGGCATGAGGACCTTGACTTGACATTTCTTGCACCACTTCGTCGTGCTGCTCATCGTGTTGTGCAGAGAGCCGGCCGGATTGCGGGAGGCTGAATTGAATTGATGATCGAGCGACGTGAGGCGGACCACCTGAAAGGACGTGAGTTAATTACCGAATCTAGATCTCAGAGCACGAGCCTAGGATGAGGTGGAGGTACCAGCCGGATCTTGATTTTTTTTTGTCTGACGAAGCACGTTCGGCGATGACGAGATTTGGGGCGTCGTGCACTCAGGGCCCAGGGCACCTGAATACACGAATGTAGCCCAGAGCCGATTGTGCGCGCGTTATCGATGCGGTTTGTATCGTATCATGCGAGGTTTCGCGAGGTTTCACGACAAAAAAAAGTTTTACGGACCGCACACAACAAAACTAGTAATATTCGCTCTGCGGCTACCATATCGGAAAAGATAGAGACAACGGGGAGGATTGTCACGGGGCCGTATGACTGGAAGCACGCCATAGGGCATTGAACCTGACTGCCAGTGCTGCCGATCTGCGGAGGACCTGGTTGATATCGGAGGACAGAGAAGAACCATCCCAAGTTCGGTTAGGGTATCAGAATCAGACCATGTCCAAGAAACCACCTTCGGCGGTAGGAACTCGGACGAAAAGGGGAAGTTCTAGAAAGAAGATAACATGACGATAAGGTTCAGCATATTAAATACCTAGACATATTTTACAAGATATCTGTTTACGTTTCTCTGAATGGACAGGGGGGATCTTTTTTTTGCTTCTTTTCCGTTCGTGGGTGATTCTAGAAGAAGTCATGTTTTGAATTGCATCATATTCCTGGTGGGTTTACCATATACCTGATTCTGTCAGTCGCTTTGCTTCTCTCCTGGCCTCCCCATACCCTATGCATATCATACATTGTTAATTATATCTTAATTAGATAGTTTGTTCTTTGATGTGAGTCAAGCACGGTAATTAGATATCAAATCTCGATAAGTCCTCAAGTTTTGGCCGGAAATCGGTAGCAACCCTAAGTCCTGAGCCCTGATTCCAAACAAGACAGCCTTCCAACCGCTTGAATAACAAATAGCAACCCCTTACCGTAGTTACAACCTCAAGCCGTCAAACTGACAATGCCGCCGCAGCCCTGCGCACGGCATCTATCCTCTTGTCGCTCCGCGGCACAATCTCGCAGGGGAACGGGCGGGGGCGGGGGTTCGGCACGGGCTCGTATTCGATGCGGATGGTGATGGGGCGCTTGGTAGCCGGGTCGACGGGCTTGCGGATGTCGCAGGCCCAGGCGAGCTGGGCGACCATGATGACGAGGGTGCGCTCGGCGAAGTCGTAGCCCGGGCACGCGCGGCGGCCGTAGCCGAACGGCGTGAAGTTCTGGCAGTTGGGGTGTATTGTTAGCGGCTCGCGGTACGTCGCCGCATACGCCGGGTCGAGCCACCGCGCCGGGTTGAAGGGCTGTTGGTCCGGGTATGTTTTCTTGTCCATCAGGATGGCCCTGTGGAGGCGGGAGTCAGCTGAGAGGTGCTTGTGACATGTTTTGGACGGGAATCGGGATAGACTGTTATGAGCACATACGCGTAGTTGGCATGTATTATGGTACCCTTGGCGAAGAAGTAGCCCTCAAACACGTCGTCCTGGTCCAGGCGGTGGGGGATGCCCAGCTCGGCCATGATGGTGCGGTAGCGGATGCCCTCCTTGACGATGGCACGCACGACAGGGAGCTGGGGGATGTCGTCAAATGTCGGCAGGCGGTCGGGGCCAACCACGGCGTCGACCTGCGCCTGCAGCTTGGCCATCCACTCGGGAAACTCCATCATCAGGTACACAAAGGTTAACAGCGCGTTCTGCGGCGAGCGTGTGCCGCCGCCGATCATGCTGTTGAACGTGTAGGCAGCCTCGAGGTCCGTGACGGCGTACTCGCTGCGATTCTCGAGGAAGTGCCGGTAGACGCTGTTGCGCGGCGCCGAGCCCGCGGCAATCGACTTTTCGATATCGCGCCGCAGCTCGGCCTGCTCCTCGACAATCCCTTTCCGCAGCACCTCCAGCTTCCCGAGCGACGGCACCAGCCACTTGGGTAGCACGCGCAGGAACGGGAACAAATTGCTCGGATACTCGTCGGGCCGGAAGCACTTCGTTGCCTCGTTGATGGTGCGCTCCGACTTGACCACGAAAGCGTCGTCGGCCGACATCACCCGGAAGCCCAGGATGGACCGCGTAAGCACGCCGTAGCTATACCGCAGGAAGTGATTGGAAAAGTCAGACAGCGTCTTGAGCACATCGTTGAGCGTTAGCGTGGCCTCTTCAGCCATGAAGCCTTGGTATTTGGTGTTGGTCGTGATCGAGACGGCGGTGTGGATCAGCTTCCTCTCGCGCCGCCAAGTCTCTGTTGTACGGGCAGCAAATGATGAGCATCGGCTAACAGCCCAAGCAACAGCAAAGATTATAGATTAGATATAACGTGTGTGATAAGCGAGATGAACAGACAAGCGAGTTGAACAATTTCCACAACCTCACCACAACTACCCTCAATTACACAACCACAACACTAGGAAATAACAATAACTGAATCGGAAACAGATGAATCAGACGATTCTGCAGCCTCCTTGCACGTACGTGCATTATGGCCAGGCTTGCCGCATACGCCACAGCATCGAATCTTCGTACGAGACCCCCCTGCACCACCACCATTTTGTCGTGTTTCCTGGACCAACTGCCCACCCACAGCCTTCTGATCCAGTAGATCCTGTGCCTCTTGTACAGTAAGTGATCCTCCAAGCCGAACACGTGTTTTCTTGGCTCTCCGTCGCTTACTAAGCCCCTCATTGGCCTTCCGAAGTGCTGAGACCTCTGTACGCAAAAGAGCCACCTCGTGCATCATAGCCATCGTACCTTTAGCTAATCGATCCACAGCAGTCAGCATTGGTGTTGGAGAGCTGCCCTGATGGTTGGAAATTCGAGTTTTGATGAACGCTGACTGTGAGGCAGCCTCTCTCGGGTTTTGTGGCGTTTGGGAGACCCAAGGTAGCGATGTAGTTGGGCTTGTAGCTGGGGGTGTTGGAGTCCGAATACGCACATCCAGCTTGGATATCACCCTCTCTGGATCGTACGGCACAAGGCCGGCTCCAGCAAACCCCCCCTGGATATTCCTTTCCGTAACCGAAGCAAAAAACGCCTCTCTAAACCCACAAAGAAACTCCAGCTTGCTAATATGTGTGATGTTCATCCGCATCAGCTGCTCAATCTGACAGCCGTACGCCTTCTTCAACGGCCCAAAGCAACCAACATCCAATGGCTGAAGTAGGTGTGAAGAGTGCGGAGGCATACAGAGTGTGATGATGTTGTGCTCCCGGCAGTAAGTCTCGAATTCTTCGGAGTGGTGGCTATCGTGGCCGTCGAGAATTAACAGTCGGTATATTCCCTTCGTACGAGATGCTGTGTGGAAATCGAAGTGCCGAATCCAATCCATGCCTTTCTCATTAGTAGTCCAGCCATTGTCGGTTGTTGCGATACGCCAGGTACCCGGAAGGTTGCACTCTTGATACCAGTTAGCAAGGTGATATTGCCCAGCTAAGATAATGAATGGTGGGATAGTCCAGCCTAGAGCATTCACTCCTTGGATGACTGTAGCCCACTCTCGATTACCAGGCTGGGCTTGCTTAGCCCTACCACGGCCATCAGAGGTAGTAACTACCATAGCGGGGATGATAATGCCCATCATAAAGCCGGTCTCGTCGAAATTGTACAAATCTTCGTCAAGGATACCGTACTTGGCCTTCGTGTTGTGCACAAGCGCAAACCACTCGCGAATAACTTTTGGATCTTCGCATTTGGCCCTCTGGTAGTCGTATTTACGCGTAAAACGCGTCCGAAGTTCTGGCTGGCGCTTGACGAAGTTGTGAGCCCAGCGTGTACCGACAGAGGGCGCGTCGCGTTCGCGTAGCAATCGATTGGCCATATCTTCTACGTACGAAAGCCGGGGATGAAATGCGCGCGCACATAGCTCAATGATGTACTGAACAATCGTTTTCTCTTCCAAATCCGTAAGCTTACGCGAATTGGCTGGAGTATCACGTCGTGCAGGTTTGCCGTCGCGTCGGTTGCGTATAGTATTTACCGTGACTTGATATGTTGTTGCTGCAGCTCGAATACTGAGTTTTGGGTCGTTTTGAATAGCCCTGAGGGCCAAATTCACCCTAGCTTCGTATGAAGGAAGAGACATTTGAGTTTGTTGAGGAATTTGGTGTTTTGTAGAGAGGAGGCGCGTCGCGTCAAAAGTGTTCAACTCGCTTGTCTGTTCATCTCGCTTATCACACACGTTACCGTTCTTAGGACACAAAGCCGGGTTCAAATCCTGAGTGATGACCTTGATGGCATGGGGGGCACCACGGCCCGAGTAGATGGACCCCCGCTTGACAAAGAGCTTGTTGGCGATTCTGTCGTCCGAGAGGACAGCATGCGTCTCGCCCGGCAAGCCGAACTGCACAATAGGCCCGTACTGCTTGGCCCACTTGTTGAAAATAGGAATCAGGTTGCCGTTGGAGGTCGCCAGCTCCAGCGCGTTCCCAATGAACGGCCATCCTGGGTAGCATCATTGATCGTCAGTATATCCCCCAACAATCTGACTATCATTGACAGGCCGGGCCAAATGGAAGCCGGTACCTTTGGGTCCCGGGGGCGGCTTCGCTCCCTTCATTCGCCGATATCCGAGGCCAAGGTGGACGACATAGTAAGTCGCTGCCGCTACCACGGCGGCCAGAGATAGCTGGCCGAGCGCAGTCATGATGTACTCCGTAGGTGGGTGGGGTCCAACAAAAGAAGGTAGATGGAGAGTTGCAGTGGTGTTCCTGATATAAAAAGCTGGGAGATGAATGATGTAAAATGAACCCAGAAGCCTCCTGAACGAACCAACTGGCCGCGGAAGGAGCGGCGCTCTTCATGCATGTTATTTGTGTCAGATCGGCGCTGACCAACGCGCTCGGAGCTAAAATCCTTGGAAACAGGGACACATTTGGACAATCTCACCGGTCCTGCGTATACGCGTGCAAGCCCCAGTCCAAATGAGCCAACGAATTACCAAAATTCTATTAGGCTTGAATACGCCTGGATCTAAGGATCCGAACCCTAAATGAATCCTGCCTTGTTGGTTAGCACTTTAATTATTTGCGTATTTGTTTTGGTTGACAAGTCCCATAGCATCTGACCGTCAATTAGCGGGGCGAAGGCAAGAGGGTGCGCCGGCACCGTGGAGGGATTCTGTACATGTCATGGGCCGGCCTCGAACATTGCAGTGCAAATAAAATAGCACGTGGGAAAAGCCAACCGTACAGAGTCAAGTTCATTCAAATCAACTTGTTATCCAATACTCCTTGCCAAAAATCCAACCAGACTCTTGACGGCTCACCATAACCATGCCGAATAGTCGTCGTCTTCATCTTCGAGAAATACACTTGTCGCATATATCCTGTCCTTGGGCGCATCCACAGATCCGTATCCTGAATCGTTGTCATCCACATCCGGGAACCCGAGCTCCTTGGTGAGGTTGGGTCGACCTTCACACAGCGAAATGACCTCCGAAGCACGCCGCTCTCTCTGGGAGAACTCCAACACCTTCAAAGTATCTTGTCGAGTGCCGGAGCGGCTAGTCCCTGTGGAAGCGCGTAGCGCAGCATCCAACAGGTCGGCCGTTGTAGGTAGATCTACTGACTCGATGCCGAGCACCTCCCTCATCTCGGCAAGCGTGGAGTGTAGCGGAATCACGTATGCATCGCCGGTGAAGTCGGTGGCGACGACATGTCCATACACCTTCATAGAGATTGGGCTGACGACCCAGGAGCCAGAGTCGCCGTCTTGCACCGGAATTTGATCTGGGGGTTTATCTGTTAGAGGTTGAATACGGAGATTTTGTGATCAGTCTAGATATGACGGAACATACCTTCTCGTTCATCCAGGGTCAAGAGATACGCGTTAACGAACCCTTTGCTTGGGTCGAGCATAAAGCCACCGGGAAGAGGAGACAGCACACCTAACATAGCGGCCTGAGATTTCTGGTTCGCGCCGTTGAGCATGACAACCTCCATCGGCTCGCTCTCGGGAAATTCTTCAGGGAGTGCTGTTGTCATACAGTTGCCAAAATATCTGCCCTGTTTTTTACACCTCTTACTACGTTCCGGTCCGAGCTTCTGCAGCAAGTTCGGCTTGACTCTGAGTTCGGCATCCATGGCAAACAATGACCAGTCTCGGGGAGGAATGAGGTCGCAGATGTCCTTTCCTGTGCTATGTTCGGCCTCTGGGTTGGGATACAGAAGCTCCCCTTGTAGCCGCCGATACATTGGTGCAGTGTCGTAGGTCTCCTGCCACGTTTCTTCTGGCTCTGTCTCTGGGTCTTTGAACTCAGCAGCCTCAGATCGGCGAAATTCTCCGGCATCAGTGTCAAGCAGCTCCTCCAGAACATGCCCGGCAGTCATGCCGACAAGCGCAAAGTTGCCGGGCCCAAAGGTTAGCTTGACCACACCACCTAGGGTGGCAGTAACGGATCTTTGCGGCTTTGTCTCGAGGTGTATTTGGACACCACAGTATGTTGACAGTTCTCTTTCTCTGGAAACGCTGGTGTCCCAGACGACCGACACATCCTCGAGGAGTCGCTTGCGAGGTGCTTCGCCTACAACGACGACAGGGAACGAGGGTGTGATTCCATCATCGGGTTGGTAGAGCTGCCGCAGGAGCGGCTGGCTAAACAAGGCATCTAGATTGCTGGTCTGCTGGCCGCAAACAAATATGACGATTGATGGCTTCGAATTGGCGAGTGTGTCCCCAATGGTCATGAGCCTCATTGAGGTGGCCGTCTGTTTCCTTGTTTTGGCGCGAGACGATGAGGGGAAGAAGGAAGAGCCTTTCTGCATGTGCTTCTGGAGTAGACGTTCGAGTTCGGGTACGATCTCGCGAAACCGAGCATCGAATGCATCGGAGATATCGACCCGAAAGGCCAGCAGGTCCTCCCGACCTGGAAGCGGCACACTCCTGACTGTGGGCGCTTCGCTCTGGCGCACGTCCTCTGGGAAATTGCTGGACTTCGCTGGCGACACGAACGACGTGTTGTTTCCCGTAACGTAGCCCGAGTCCGGGTGGCACCGGTGGGCTAGGCTGCGAGACGGACATGGGATGGGCTGTGGGCTTGCTGACGTTTCGATCCAGTCCGCGACGAGCTTTTGCGAACTGCCTCTTCTCGTGTTGGGCACTGACGAGATGGGTGGAATTGACACGGCAGCTGGGACGACGGCTGCACTTTCATTGCGACTAAAGACAAATTGGGAACGTGTTTCAGAAACCTCGAATTGTGGTGACGCCATTGCAGCGACTTGGTATGGCAATCACACGAACAAAAAGTGGTTCGAGAATTCAATGTCAGTTGCCAAGTTCACCTGGCGGTGCCGGTGAAGGCGGATTTAAGACGAGAGACCATCAGGATGGCTCGAAGAAGGAGGGTGGGCCTTGAAATGGGGGGAACTACAGGCGCAGGCTGCGCCACTCTCTCTTCGTGCTGTTGCATGGTATGTGGAACCCTTGCTGCCTGAGATTAGCCACTGCATTTGTATTGGAGGAAGTGACGATGCGATCGTCTTCCTGTGACCACCTCAGTGTCTGAACCTTAAATTAATAAACCGTCCCTTCATTTTGACCCTTTCAAGTTCCATAGATACCTGTCTTTAACTCCGCGGGGAGCGGTTGGGGGGAATGGTCCACAAGAAATATAGAATGTAAACACATTCCGCAATAGAGCTGCTGGCGAGCAATATTTTGAAACTACCTTATCAACTAATTAAGCAGTGCCCACCTCGCTTTGTGCTCTGTAATTACGTAGACTTACTAATACTAGTAGGTACCGTAAGCAATTACCTTACCATCATGCTTCCACGTGTGAGACGCCCCTTCCCTGTCTTTGTCGTAATCTGGTAAGCACTGTAATGATATGGTGCCCGGCAGCTGTCCAGTGATTGACCATTAATTGAACCCAGACAGGCAGGTCAAATTGGCACGTTGCCGTTCCGAGTCATGGCTCGAGCTTTTAGGTACGCGAAGAGACATGGAAATCTACCGCATAACCCAATTCTCACCGTGGGGATTCAGCCCGTTGAAGGCCTAGATTTGACTGCCCTCTGGTTCACCCCCCAAAGACTCTTCTCTGAGAAAGACGGTAGTTGTTGGAAATCCCAACAAGATGTCGAGCGGTTGTCTCTTACGTCCCCAACATACCTCGCTGACAATTATCCACGCACTGGGCTGTATGCCAGGCCAGGAGCTTAATATTGGTGTACTGCTCGAAAATTGTATGGCTGAGCTGCAGGATGAAGCTGCAGAAGTCGCCTTTGCCGTGCGATCAGTGGTTAGTGGTTAGCTCTGGTTCACCGTTCGTCAGCCGAGGCGCAGTCCTGGGGCGCAGCTCTGCAATGAACCCTCCACCTTGCCAGGGTAAGGCGGGGTCATGGCGCGTGCCGAGGACTCCCGTCCCGGAGGATGGAAGAAAAGGACGGCAGCTACTCCGTACCTAGCTACCTTGCCTTCCTCGTGTCAAAATTCCCGATGGTTTTGTTTTCAATTTAGGCGAGGTAATAATCACGAGACACGCAGAAGGGTGACGGGACCTAAGGGAAGTAGCGCCCGGCCATGGCTGCTGGATCGTCGACAGCGTTTCCACTGCAATCCGTTAGTGCCGTTCAGTTGCGGAGTCTCTGCCAGGCCCTGTGGGGATGGGACCTCTGCAGCGACTGCAGAGCCGCCAGGCCAAACAGTCTGCAACGGTGTCGGGAAGGATCCTGTCCCTGGAGCCAGCGCAGTGAGCGGCTGGAGCTTTTCTTCGACCTATACCGCGACCTGACCAGCTCCTACGTCCCCGACTTTTTCGGCGACGAAGACCAGGCTCTCAGGAGCCACGAGGATCTCCTGGACATCATTCGCCTGGTGGGTCGGAATGGCGCGATGCTCAGTCGCGACGAGTGCAGACATGTCTACTTCGCAACCCGCAGCAACAATCCACATTATCTCAATCTCAATGCTGTGCATCAAGATGAGCAAAGCCCGGTGCCCAGGAGCGACCAGGAACGCGCCTTCGATCTCGCATCAAGAGTCATGACCATGGTTGGCGTCGGCTGCCATGACCGGGACCAGGACGACCACGACGCTGCCTTTTCTGGCGACGGAGACGAGCACGGCCGGCGGCTCCTTCCTCCCCATTTTCTCTGGTCGCCAGAAAAGCCACTGCAGGTCGCCCTCGCCGACTCGTTCCCCACCAGAGTGCACCCGAGCCTCCAAGATAACGACGCACAGTCCAAGACCATCAAATCCCGGCTTACCGCCGTCAACTTGACCAAGATTGCCCGCCTCAAGATGCAAGGCACCAGCGACCTCCAGCACCATCTCCGGCTAGACCAGGCTACGGGCACCGTCCACGTTTTCCACTATACCAGCGTTTTGAAAGAACATCTGCTTGCCACGAAGCCACTCGGACTAACCACGAAGTCCCACAGCCCCGAAGCCGCTGACCAAGAAAAGACAGCACAGCATACAAGCGGCATGGTCTGCCTCCCGCGGTCGCTGGCCCTCGAGACGCTGTACACAATGCAGCTGCTATTCCCGCGCGACGACAAGTCACAGGCGTTGCTGCGCAACCTGGTGTCTAAGCACGGCTTCGATCCGGACTGCCTGCGGTTTGGGACGGCGCCGTTCGAGTCACGCTTGCCGTCGTCGTTATTTGGCAACATGACCAAGGCCCATCAACGCCGAGACGAGGGAGACAGAGACAATATTGATAGCGTCACAGCCACGGCCACGGCGGCCCGCATGCTGTTGGATGAAAAGCCCCAAGCACTGAGATATCCCGTCTGGGGTTCGCGGCTCATGGACCTCTTTGACGAGATCGAGAACCCAAAGCCCCGCGGCGCGCTCGACGCCTGGCTGGAGCGCCGGAGCAAATCCCGCCATGTCATGCTGGTCACGCTCGCCGGGGTTGCCACCGCCGTCGTGCTGGGTTTGCTGAGTTTGTGTGTCAGTATCTTCCAGACCTGGATCGCGTGGAAGCAGTGGAAGGCGCAGGAGGGGACTTCTTGAAATAACAGACGATGAGAAGGCACAAATCACAGGAGTTGATTCAGAGAAAGGGAGCATTTGATTGGATGGGACATTGATGGTAAGTGGGTTGTCGCCGCTCGCATTGTCACCGCCCTCTCCATTATATCCGGTGGACCTGTTAATATTTGGTCTGACTAATTAATCAGATGCAGATGAAAACTGTGGCCTCGGTGTCTTTGGTTTGGATTTCAAGCTCGAGGCCTCCTTTTATCTAGATTACGAAGTATACGAACACCACTTCCTATTTTTGTTCGAAAGCCTTTCTAGGGAGTTACATCCATCCTCCTTGTGAGTGGGCCTTGTCACATAACAAGCTTTGAAAGCCGAATGGATCCGCACAAGGGATTGATCCCGACTCCGAGGCACAAGACACCCACCATCCACATGGCCCGCGATGGGAGAACTCGAGAAAACTCCAAGGCTGCAACGCTTACTTCAATACAACCCCTTTGTGAGCTTTAGAGCCAAACCGCCCACCGGCCATGGCCCAAGCAAGTCTATTGATTGCGGTTGGTGGAGTGGACATGGGCAAATATTGATGGGCATATCCAAAGCGGCCTAGCGCCTAGATCTTCCCACAAGTTCCCCAGCTGAGCCCCCTGTTTGGCAACGAGAAACCGGGTAGAGCGTAGCGCAGGGCTCGCCGATCTTGCCGTTGTTACGCTGTACAAGCTGTGGCGCGTGGAAAGCGCTGGCCTCTTGGGTATTTCGAATCTCTGGTTTAAGAGCAGACAAATTTCGAGCAATGGTCCACCAAAGTGACGGCATGGTTAGGGATCGTAGCTGAGGGGCTTGCAGGGCTAAATCAGCAGCTGTGGTGCTGAGGTGGTGCTGCTGTCTGGTCGCTGTTTCCCTCCTCCGGCCTCGACGCGTTCCTAGCATCCCCCTTTGGCAGGTTTTGCCTCACAATCTCATTTGTTGCGTTATCTTGATCTTTGGCCTGCCACAGATCAACGCCTCCCGCTGGGGGGTAGATCTAACTTGGCCTAGATAACGCCTTCATTCTGACCCAACCGCGACCATGGCTAACTAGAACACTCCATGGAAGCTTCACGTCGTGTACAGCGCAGGGGCGATGCCATGTACATCGAGTACGATTCCAATGGCTTGGAGTCCTTGATGATCATGGACGGCGGGCTGGCGATATATGGGCCCTGCGGAACCTTGGGGTTTGCCCGGCCGGCGCCTTATTGGATGTATCTTTTATCAGCGGGCAAGCAGATTTACCAACAGTTGCCGTGGAGAGCCGGAGTCGTCTTCGAGCCCAATACCATCATTGCCTCGCATGCGCATGAAGACCACGTCGGCGGGATCGTTTGCCTGGCCAGAGTACAAAACTGTTGACCAAGGACTCGCAAGTTACTAAAATCTACGACCTGTTAACCGACCCCGTGGTTGGGAATGTCAATGTCTTCAATTCCTATAAACCTGCGAATAGTCAGATTAACAACAATGCGTTCAACATAGCCTACCCACCAGCGGCCCAGCTGGGACTGTTCTCTCAAATTTAAAATGGCCCTGCTGGAGATGCCATCCACTAGCCGGGGTTAGCACTTTTCCAGAAAATCACTGAGCCGAAAGACAACTTGAACCACAACAACATCCTGTTGAGCACAAACTACCGGCACTGCCGCGGTTCCCAATATCCCCGAAGCACAAGCTCTTTTTACCGGGGACAGCTCCGGTTTTGCTCACCAACGTTGAGGGGGGCAGAGCCATTGCCCAATTCAAACCCGTAACCGGAGGCTTATTCAATATGCGTTGTGACAACCAGAACTACTGCGTGAACCCAACGACAGGAGCCTTCACTTGGGTGAGCTATGCAGCATTAGCACTTCCGGGAGCCTTGCCTCTTGTCTCATTCCGCGTCAAGATGGCACAAGATGCCACGCCGCTCCTGCAGCAGCTGCTACTACTACAACAACAACAGTATTAACAACAATAGCAACAACAATATCAGCAGCAGCAAAATGTGCTGCCATTTATGGGGATGAACATGATGATGATGATGAACAACATGGAGACTATGCCGATGCAGACGCAAGCATTACGACAGAACCCTCGGAAAACGATGGTGACAAACTCTGCTGTTTCGTCTCGGGTCCTCACCGTGCCCTCGGTGATCCTGGCCGAGGCCGAGCAGCAGCTGTCGCTGGCCGATATTACGGCATTCCTAGCCATCTCAAAGCCCGTCAATCAGTTCCTACACGATTCGGCGGCGCCGTCGGTGCTGGAGATGACGATAAAAGAGGCGCTGGTGTCGCTTATCAAATAGTGTAACGTGGACCCGCTCGGGTACCGACTTAAGTATTAGCAAGTGGTGCTTAAATACCTTGTCGACGTTGAGCAGTCACTAGCGGCGTATACGGACAGCCCGGTCGGCACCGAGGTTAGCGGGGCGCGGCTGGTTCTGTCGCCGCTGAAGGATGATGCTAAACTCATCATCGACGGCGAGCCGCTCGACGTAACGTACGTCGAGATGTGGTTGAGTTGGAACGTTGATAGCAGGCTGGTGTCGGTGCTGTTCATGCGCACGTCGGACGACGAGATCTTGTGCGCGCCCAAGACAACTAAAGCCGCCGAGGGTGACCCGCCCACGCTCGCCAAGGTGCTCATTGGTATGGGATACAAGGACCATCTTGAGGGCATGACTATCGCGTCACTGATGGCCATTGTATTCCGCGACACGCGGAGGGCCGCCGATTTGCTCGCCTTCCACGTGCACGCCGCATTCGCCAAGGCTGGCCTGGAGAACCCCGTGCCAGACCTGTACGCATCGACAGCGACGGCGCGCATCGGAGTGACTTGCAAGACGGGCCTTGACCGCGTCGAGATTGTGAGCAGGCCTCCGCCCAATTCAAGCGGCGGCGCGAGAACGGAGTGGGGCCCCGTCTTCAAGCTTGGCCCGGTCGAGGCGCAGGTCAGAGATGTGCGCATCATTGTGACCAGCGCTGGAACCAAGGCCGAGGAGGTCACGATACGCGACGAGGCGTTACTCAAGATGGGCGAGTCCAGCGTTGTCATGGCGTCCATCGAGGCCCGGCTGCCGCGCATGTCCAAGGACGAGATGGAGATCCAGCTCACCCTAGGGGCACCACGCTACTGTCTGACGCCTGTAACCTGCTACCTAACAAGCCCGACTTTTCTGCCTTGGGTGTGCCTCAGTCCAAGGGCCCCAAGGCACTGACGCAGAATGGCGAACTGGGAGTGCTACCCCAGCTACCACCGCCCTTGGTGGCCAATACTGCCGTCGCGTCCCCCCTGACGAGGTCTTCTGCGGGTGTGCAGTCGCCAGACATGCAGTGCCGGCGCCACTGCCACCGGTAAGTGGCAGTATCGTTCAGGGCAGCAGCAGCAGCAACAACAACAACAGCAGCGGCAGCAGCGAGACGCCTCTCCAAAAACTCAGTAACCTCAAGACGGAGCAAGCCGGCATCACGCTGCGACAGTCGTCGCGAGATCTCAACCAGTACCTATTCAAAGACGTATTCCTCGCTGCCAACCTCGAAGGGTGGAAGGAGTACGTACCCGTGGCGCCCCCCAAGACGCTACTGGCGCCTGAAATCCGCGTCATGGTGGTCGACCCGGTGAGCTAGTTCCGCGCCGTCGCCGTGCACGTCAAGACGGCACTGACGCTCAGTCTGCGAGACCGCACCGAGACACTCGACATTGAGTTCTCGGCCGCGCCGCTTGTACTCGCTGGGGGCGGACGCGGTCGAATCTGGAATACCAAGAGGTGGCGTTCCAGTCGCAGGCCGGGTTGGTCGTGTTTTAACCCCGTTGAGCCTGGTTCAGAGACCAAAATTCCGTGCTTCAAATATTGCGCCGGATCCCGCCGCGGACGGACAATAGCAAGACCCCGTCGAGAGACGGGATTGCCAAGGCTCGCTACCGTTGAGAGGCTGGGTTACTGCTTTTTCATTGCAGGCTTGCTCAAGAAGCGGTCACCCGAGAAGCTCTTGTTGTCTCGCCTCTAATCTAGTCTTGGCCTGTTCGTTTTATGTGATGTTTTCGTCCTGTCCTCGGGATTATGTGAATTGCTAATTCGCACTGGTATCTACGACTTGTCTGCTGGCTCCTTCGCTCTAGACAAGATGACAACTTGGGCTGGAACGGCTGGAACGACTGGAACAATAAATTAAACTAAAAATCACGCGCTTCGGCGGGTTTCTCAGTTGTCAGGTTTGTGACCGTGTCAGAAGCTAATGTCTCGATAGTCACAGCCTGGGGAATTCCCAGCAAGTCGTGTGAGCCTGCGCGCAACCTGACCTCCAATTCGCCTGCTGCAGATTATGGCTGTGGACAGGCCGATGCCTTGGGTCTGATATCAGACGGCAGGTTTATGCCGGTTTGGAAGTGGGTCATTGATCGTTCAATACTGAAGTGTCACTCCCATCCCCACAAAAACACGCCATCTCCGAGTGCCCAAAGACGTTCTATGGCGTTGTATAGCTATATTTACTTTTTTTCCATCGCGATAGGGACAGTCGCCTTGGTGTACGCTTTTGTCTTCTAGCCCTATAGCTCTCATTAGGTAATTCTACGTTGAATGAGTGGATACGGTACGAGCTCCTGGCAGCACGCTGGTCGTCTGATCTTCCCATCCGGTGTCCCTGACGCAGGGAATGATCACAGTTGTAATTTTAAACTAACTACGGGGCAGGGTGCCTCAGCTCTCATGAGCCGTCAGCGTGATTTAGTGGGGCCTGGGGGCCCCAAGACCATAATTTCCTTGAAACATCCGTCACATCATCGTTCCTGTTACGTTGTTCAGGAAAGAGGGTGTGCGTATAGACCGCTTGACCACCAATCCTGACTGATGAGATCGCGGTCGTACGAATTGAATAAGGACTAGATGACAACATGCTCTATAGAGAAGCTAGCGGCGATGCATAGTGATAGAAGGACACTAATATAACAATAACTAGTAAAAGTTTGTATGTGTTGAATGGTAGGAAGTCGGCGGCCAGGGTTGACGCTCTTTCTAGGACATCACAGAAGAACCAAGGTACCTACTCGCTGAGGTAGCATCTGAAAATTCGAATGAGTACGTATTTCACGCTTCAGGTAGATCTTTGAGCCTTTTAGATAGATTTAGAGATGTTGTAGTTTTTAATTATAGAGAAACCTGGAATACGACATTCGTTCCCAGTGGATGCTTTGGTTAGATTTAGAGCACGCGAGGGTGGAGGGGGTGCGGTAGCCATTGCGAATAGCCAAGCTCAGATATTCACTTGCCTTCTCTAATTATGAGTCAAGTGATACATCTATACTAAGGGAACACAGTAAAATTTGAGGCGCCAGTCTAGAGCTGCGTTTTGTTTGTGTTAAATGAATATTTCTCTACATGTCGTTTGTGAATAAATAACCCTATTGTCATTGTCTCTCGGTAATTGTTCGGCCCATGCTCTTCGTAAATATACATACATGAATCGCCAACACCCACCTTTACAAATCTGTCTTCTATTAGAGTAATCTCAGTCTTCTACAATTCTGTCACCAGCAATCCCCCCTTCTATTATTTGGTCCTCTGCGAGTTTTTTCAGCCTCGCGCAGTTTTTTTTTGGGCGATAGAACTGGGTGCATCGCCCAGCTCGCTCAAAATGCCGGAAGATTTCGGGTTCCCAGTATCCTTCTTCGCATCCTGGAGGCCTGGACTCGTTGCTAGAGTGTTAAAAGTCTAGTCTGAACACGGACCCTTGAATTCCACCTTCCTAACGCATCTCTTTGTAGTCATAACGCATGCTTTTCCTCCCTCATTAGGCAAGTCAACAATTCCGACGCATGCGTCGACATCATATTGCTCCAAGGAAATTACTAGGAATTTGGCGTAGGGGCCCCTCGTACCCTTTTTTGTCATGACTTCCTTATTGTCAAAAGGGATGAAGCGGGGGGAAAGGGGGGGACAGTTGGGACATATTGGCTGTCTGCGAACTGAAGGAAAGAGGTCAAAGAAGGGCAAGTCGTCGTAAAGGATGCAGCTACAGTCACTGCAAACAGTGTCGCGTTGGCTTGGTCCGTAGTCGCCACTGTAGAAAGCTCTCGTGTGGGTAGCGACACGGGCAACAATTGACGCGCTATCTCCTTGAGCAAGCGGGCGAACGAGCTTTTGAATCCTGACAAGCAAATGCTCCCGCACGACACGAAGGTCGTGATAGATGTGAAGCCGCACCCCCAACACGTCGACCCTGACCTGACTCGCCAGTCGTTTGGGGCCAAAAGATCTGATGCCCTTCCGATCGCATTCCATGATAGCCTTGACCAAGTTCCACGGCAGTCTGGGGTGTGGCTAGACCTGGTGAGCAGTATGCCTTAATTTGCGGTTTTCAGGAGCTGATTCCGCCGAATGGAAGGTGCGACAGTACCGACAAAAGATTTCCGGCAAATACTTGCCTTTGAGAGCGAGACTGCAAAGGAGTTTGTACTTTTAATCGTGCAAGGGCCCGATTTCAAGTGTTTGGCTTCCCAGCTTGAACAGGGGAAGCCCTTCAAGGTTGGGATGACGGCCTTTTGGATGTGAGATGAGCTCTACCGCGACAGCTTTTAGGATTTGGCCAGGCTGCCTAGTAAAAGGTGGCTTTGGTGGGCGATCTGTCTACTGCTCTCGTCTGGATGCCCAAACCAGGACCGGGAGGGAGATTGCAGCTAATATTATGACGAGCATGATCTCCGTGATATCTATTTTGTGTCTATGTGGCAGTGCTAGCGTGACGGCCAGCAGGATGGTGAGAGGATACTGAATAGAGTGCCAGTGCGCGGGCCGGACTCAAAGTTACCGAAGACAGACACAACGGAACGTATAAATATTGGTCATATCATCGACGACGCTAGTGATGCCTGGGTGGTGTGAAAAAGGTTGCTCCGATCAAAGAAGTAAGGGCGAACGATAATTCAAGGGAAATGTATATTTCTAATCAGAATGTTATTTCAATTAGAGTGTTGCGCTTCGAGGTTTTTCGTTGGGTAATGCAGCGGCGAGAATACAACACAACGAAACAACAACATTAACTTACAAAAGCAACAACAAGGTGGGGCTTAAGGAGCACAGGTACTGGAACTCACAGCCGGGTAGTCAATACAATAAGGAAAAAGGCGCTACTGCATGCACTGGTCTAGGGATCTTAATTCCTAGTAAAAACACGCAATTCCCAAAGAAAGGCTAGAAAGGAATGTAAGGAGCGATGCCGACCTCTAATCACATGCCGACCTCTGATCAGAGGGAGGGCGAGCCGCCGACCCTATATGAGGTGGGCAAGCCAAAAGAAAAAGGAAGAGATTGTACTAGATTACATAGGGCAAGGGTGTAAATAAACCCCTTGTTGCTCGGCGCCTAAACCTCTGATCACTACGAACAGAGGGGGCGCCTGTAGAAGACGATGCAGTTAGTTCGTCGGTTGTATAGCGGACCTAGTCTCAGAAGCGGAGTGGATAAATATCAGAATAAAGGAAATAATCGCTGACTCATGGCAGAGCGTATTCATTCCAAGAATATATGAGATACCCCCTAGGTAAGCATGCACAAAGAGTAAAGAAGAGGAAATGGTTGCTTACAGTTGTCAACAAGCCGTCTTTAGTTTCTTCGGACCATAGAAGTTCACCACTCATCACTCACCAGACTTCTTAGTTGTAACTGTTTCAGAGTCGCCACTGTTTCGGAGTGGGCTTCAATGGCCAGCAGCTCTTTGCTCGTGACCAAATTTTAAATGGGATGGAGAAAGCATGGCTTCTCGTGACCAAACGTCGAGGGTGGGGGAGAAAGAATGGTCGGCCTAACTGCCATTTCTTTCTCATATATACATTGCCTTGCTCTTCCTCCCCTCCAGCGTAATTGAAACCTCGTTCTTGTCAGCTCAACACCGCCGGCTCTTCAATCACCATCATACCCCAGGAACAGCCGGTCTACTATCACTGAACAAACAACTGCTAGTGCTACTGTTGCTAATTGAAGAGCAGGCGACAGTAGCGACTGAGGTGCCGTGCCTGCACCAGTACCGATCGAGAAAATGACGTTGACACCGACCGACGAACCAGCCCCATGGTGAGTTCCAGCCAGCACGGCCGTGATCATGCTGAAGAACGAGAGAGCTGTGAGCACAGGCTAACAACCAAGTTAGGATTGTGACTTCGCAGACAAGACGATCAGTGCCGTGCGTAATGGCGACTGGGGTGATTGGGATGAATGGGAGAAGCAGATTGGGTTGCTGAAAAGATTCAGCCTGGGCTCCGCCAACGTTCATCCCCACCTTATTTCTCTGCTGGCATCCTTCTTTAAAACAAAGCAGGATGAATCGGACAGTAGCAGACACCTCCTGTTCCACTGAGCTGACGCAAACATACTGACCTGTTTCATGCAACTGAAACCAAATCCCACGGCGGATGCAGCCACGGTGCGGTGGGTGGCCCGGCAATGCAAAGGGATAGCCAGCGGGCTCGTGGCCATCCATCGCCTCGCCCACAACCAAGCCGCCACCCTCTTCGAGGATCGCTATTTGAAGTACCGGAGGATGCCATTGGGGACCCTGATGACTGCAATCTCCGCGCAATCCACGGGAACATAAATTTGACCAACATCCCTTGGTTCAAAGAGGCGCCGGACCCAGACGGCATGGGAACGCTTGTCATGACCGACTTTGGCCTATCCGGGTCGGATCTCAGGTCAAAAGGTATTCAATATAGGATATAGTGCTATGAGAACATCAGAAACTGTCTCCTTCACTATTGCCCCCCGGAAGCATTTGACGTGGAGAACAACTTCACTCGCTCTTTCGACATCTGGTCTCTTGGCTGCCTTTATCTGGACATGATAGCGTGGCTTGTCGGCGGATTGGACTTGACCCACGAGTTTCCTATCGCACGTCGGGCGCCTCGGAGCGACGGGGGCCTGTTCTTCAGCAAGATTCTCGGACTCCTTGATAGCGTCTCCGGGGTAAGGGCTAGTAAGGTAGTAATAGAAGTAAGTGTAATTCACAGACAAGAGAAAAGGAAGCAGAAAACAAATACTGACTGGCCATGGCAATAATTTCTTTAGTTTCTGGTGGAGCTGCACTCGCACCCAGCATGCAAACAATTCATCCACGACTTCCTCGACCTCATCGAAAACGGCATGTTGGTCATTGGGGACGGCGGCGAGACTGGAAACCGCCGCTTAACTAGCATGCTGGTGTGCGCGATGCTTACCGAGTTCGAGCGCAAGATGCAGGAGAACGAGGCCTACGGTTTGGTGCCTGTCCCACGGAGCCCGACAGGCCAGCCGCAGGTAGATTGGCTTGGGCTCTCTGGGCATAGAAAAAGCGTGTATTTTAATCAGGGAGTTAGACGGCCCAGGCAGAAATATTAATCAAGAGGCTACGTACCTCAGGATTGTGCAAATTGAGACGACCAAAGAATGCGCAACAAAATCCCCAGGGTAACACATGCCACGTATGTTATGACAGTGCGACGAGAGGGAAGTACGGTGCCCTGATTAAAGCCTGTTATTGTTCTTGGCTTTATTGTGTTCTACGCCTTTAACTGGGGATGTTCCCAAGACGGAGACAATCCAACGGGGTAGTTTTGCGGGCATGACGCCGATGTATCACTGCGTTTAAGTTGTGAGAGGTAATTTAAATTCACGGCTGAGTAGGCAACGAAGACGGTTCGGAATACGAAAGAAAATGAATTATAAAGTGCTTCGCCACTGTTAGGTATTTCGAGGTAGTCTCCCGCCCTACGACAAGAAGGTGCGCCTTTCTGTGCTACGTTTGCGAGAACGGTTGGCTACGGAACATGTATGACAAAAATACTTGGGTAACTATCTTGAGTGGGGCTTAATGAGGCTGCAAACCGACTTGGCCACCAGCTCTTATGCAGCTTCCCCTCTCACACTTCCGGCCTCCGGCCCGTGCGTCGGAACCTGCGGGCCTACAAGTTCTTGCTCAAATAATTCGGCCATATACGCAAAGCACTGGAAAAGTATGCGACGACAATGTGGGTCATGTTCTTATTCATGTAAACCCTTGGGCCGATAGGAAAGTACTCTGACACGAATTTCTCTTCTTGAAGAGACCCCTAATTGGACTGTATATGCCCTGCTATCAACATGTAAGTCACGATGTTTTCCGAATCACAAACTTGATATTTTGAGTTGTCTTTTCTGCTTCATTCCCTCATTTTTGTAACATGATGATGCATAGTCATTAATTTATTCACGATCACTATTCAAGCGAAACTGGTCTGGACTGCGATTAGATATATTGCGGTTGCAAACATGTGCTGTGGGGGTTGTGCCCAAATCGCTGCTGTTGCCCATAGTGCAGCCAGGCAACACTGCGTCTCTGCCTACTGGTATCCACAGCAACACACGTAATACCGTAGACGCTGTACCCAAAGCACTAACTGTGATACGGAGTGATTAACTGGTGTGACTAACTTGTTGATTATCGTGGCTGTGTTTTTTCGGAAGAAGCCGCATCTAAGCCACATGTGGGCGCAGGTGGCATATATGCTAGGCCACATACGGCCTAGGTTATGTAACCGAATGCCACATAACTACCCAAGCGGTTGACAAAAAAAAGAGACTGCTTACCTAGCAGTACTTCTACACAGATAGAAAGTCGTTGGGCTACAAGGTATCTCAAAGTACCATCATACCACCACCACATCTCCTGACGATGCCAGCTTAGCAGACCATAAAGCAACAGTCCAGGACGTCTGTTAGACTTTTATCATCCGCATGGGCCACTGATCTTTTGCGGTCTCTTTTATTTTGTCAACCGCTTGCTACCGTACTACGGTATCTCGGCTATGCCCACCTTTCCTTTTCTTCCGAATACAAGCACTTTTTGGCCCTCAATTGATGCAGCGTTGTATGTGACATGTTTCAGATGCCTAATATTCTGGCCCTTAGTTTGATTTGATCGCCTTTGGAAGTTCGTGTGCGATGACCAGCAGTGGGCGGGATAGTTACCTGCCGGGTTATCGGCTTTTTACAGGCCACCCCACACAAAACCCCGTGTACCTTCTTATGCTGAATTGCTTAACGGAGCCACCCAAACACCTACCTGGACCCAAGCTTCTAGAAGCTCATCTGGAGCGTCTAGAGGCCTACGTGAGTAGTCTGAATACAGCCTAAGCTTCCGGACGGTCTATATATAGGGCCGTTCCCGCTTCAGCCACATGAATCTCCACGCAACCAAACGAGCCTAAGAAAACGGCAACCAGCCCCCCAAACAGACAGAGCAACGACAATGTCGAGAGATTCATACTTGGAAGCCCCCTCGACCTTGGAAATGCGAGTCGAGGAAATGTATCAGAATTGCGCACTCGGCAATGACAAGGTGTTTCTCCCTGCTGGGGAGTACCAACACCTCGTGACCAAGGACGCCATTAGGGAAAATCTTGGGCTGAACCGGATGAGCCAGGAAGATGAAGCATTGCTGGACTTCATTCTCAACCGGGCAGTGCGCGTCTTTCTTACCTTCTGTCTTTTGTGTCAGATCAATTTTCAGCAAGGGTCCCGCAACAAGTTTCTGAAAGCCTGCCACAGATATGGCTTCGACGACGGCTGGCTTCCGGTGGAAGCCAAGACTCTAAAGACGAATCGTCCTTTCGGCCCGAATTTTGACCAGAGCGCTGGTTTTTGCCACACCCAGTACCGCTACCTCACCCCGGTTTTTTCAAACGCACGTTTCGTCTTTGGGCTTGAACAGGGCCATTTGCTTCCCTTCACCGAATGCATCCAGAGATACACACACGGCATGTCATGTATAGTCTCTGAAGCTGTGATCCACGGAGACCACCTAGAGGACCCACCTCTTGATGTGAGTTGCATATACGTCATCCGATTTCCGTGACGAAGGATAATTTTACTAACTGTTTTCCCAACTGTAGTTCAGGGGCCGTATAAGACACATTGCGTTGAAGAGAATCGGTCTTGGAGGCGGCAACGGCGCGGCGGGAGTGGAAGACTTTCGGGCCCAGTTTGACAACGAAGTGAGAGCGCTCTCTCAGATACGGGATCTCAAACATGCCCACCTTGTCCAGTTGCTCGGTGCCTTCACGAAGGACCACACGGGCTACTTGATGTTTCTGTGGGCTGATGGAGGTAATCTCCGTGAGTTCTGGAGCGCCGTCGACCCGTTGCAGCTGAACAGCGAGGAAGTACGCCATCTGGTACGGGAGTTTCTGAACCGGTTTCGCGGGCTTTCGGACGGCTTGGCAAAGCTCCATGTCCACAAAAAGTACCGCCATGGAGATGTGAAGCCGGAAAACACGCTGAGGTTCCTGGACGGGACAACGCGGACCGGAACACTCCTCATTGCTGATTTCGGTCTAGCAAAGCAGCACTCCAATCCAACTGCGGCTCAGGGCCCGACAACGGTAAAACATTCGACGGTCCGATACGAGGCGCCCGAGACCGAGATGGCCCACCTCGGAAACTCGGCCCTTTCGCGCCTATCCGACATCTAGTCTCTTGGGTGCGTCATGTTGGAGCACGTTGCCTGGCTGCTCTATGGTTCCTTTGAGATCGGCCAGTTTCAAAATGATTTGGCCCACAACCCCAAAGGGGGGTTTCACACCAAAGCGGCCGACTTCACCTTTGTCCTCCGGCCGCAGGTCCTGAATTTGATGGAAGACATCAGTAAGAATCCCAATTCGGCCCCCGGCACGGCCCTCGGCGATATTCTACGGTGCATCGCGGACCATCTGCTTGTCTTCACAATTCCAGACAACTGGGGCGAAGCGGAAGAGGCTTTGGCAGGAACCGCCAATCTCAGAGCTGGGACCAGGGCCTCGGCAACGGAATTGCGTTGTCTGTTGGACGAAATAATCAAAAATACTAACAGCAGGGGCCGTCACTGTCTGTTTAGAGGGGGGCAACGGGTGTCCAGGGAGCGAGGAGCCCCAACAGCGTTTCCTGTTCGGCAGAAAAACCCCACACTTACGCCAAACGCGGATGCCCCCGGCCCGGCAGCCTCACATGACAGCCATCGCAGTCCTGTGCCATTGCAGGTATGTTAGGGCTGACCTCCCATCCCCGCAGCAACCATGCCGATCCCGGAAGGCCATGACTAACATCTCTCTCTCCAAGGCTTCCCCATGGGAACAAGATCCCAGAATGGTATGCGACGAAAACCATCATCATTCTAACCAAGGGTGGAATCAGGGCTGACTGAGTGATAAATTCACAATCGGCCCCAAACAGGATGTAGGACTTCGCCAACATTCCTATCAATTTAGCTGTCTTACTGATCGCCGCTCCGATTCGAATGCTAACCACTTTCTCAATTAGTACGTGAGTTTGACCCGAAGACCCTAATTAGGTCTGACAAGATTACGAGTTGCTCTTTACAGCAGGGCTCTAATTTCCATTCTCAGAATGTGAGTCTGCCCATTATATTAGAGCTCGTTGGGCAGGTAGATCCGCCACCGTGACTCGATATTCAGCTAAAACCGCAGTGGACACATGACAGGAAGTATGTTGGCATCGGCAATCTTAGATGCGCAACTTTCACAACTCTGCACAGGTTTGGTTTTACTGACGTTGTGATGAAAACCGCTTTGGTGCAAACTCCAGCGAGTATGTAAACCTCAATCCCTCCCATCATCGCACTGGCAGTTCGCCTGACAAATGAGCAGATGAACAAGACTTGGGATTTCTCAATTGACGATGAGGTGGCCCCCAAATTGTTGACCATCCTTGGGATGGCGGCCATGTTCCCAGAGTCTCTTCACGAAGCCGCACCGCTCTGCCGCAGCTGCGAGCGGTTGAAGTTTGGCGACCCAGGATTCAGCTTCGGCTACAAGTGTGATGGCATCAAGCGGCGAGCCGTCAAATGCGGCTTGTGCAAAATGCTCTGGGGTATCTGTGAGAGACATTGCAAGACGGCTCAGACCGACGTCAAATTCGTGCGCTATCAGTCAACCCTGAGGCTGGACGATGGCGTGGACCCGGTTCTTTCGCTCATCAGCAGTCCACGTGAGCAAAGAAGTTTCTTGTTTATCTCGGCCACGTCAAAAATAACAGCGGCGGCGTCAAGTTTGTTGAGTGCTGACAGATGGCGATGAAACAAAACGTAGACTTGAAAACCGCCACTCCACTCCAGCTCGGCTTTCCCAAAGTGCCCAGGTCGGGATCCGACACGCACTTTGCCATCATTCGGCAGTGGTTAGAATGTTGCGACAGCTCGCACCCGGCATGCGGTTCTGGGAACAGAGTCATTCTCCCGACGCGCCTCATCGACGTGGGCAGTCCCGGATCGACTAAAATCCGGCTCGTCGAAACGAGGGAGTCGGGGCAGTGGTTAGATAGTCTCGAATACGTCGCCCTGTCTCATCCCTGGGGAACGCCTCCGCATTTCTGCACCTTCCCAGACGACCCCAACGACCCCCTTGCCAACAACACTCTCTCGCAATACAGGAACGGCATCAAGGTCTCCATCTTGCCCGCTACGTTCCAGGATGCGGTACACGTGACGCGGGCGCTGCAAAAACACTACCTCTGGATAGACTCGCTGTGCGTCCTCCAAGGTCCCCGGGGCGATTTCGCGGACGAGGCCAAGCGGATGGAGGACGTGTACAGCTCGGCGTACTGCGTGCTGGCGGCGAGCTCGGCGAGCAATCAGACGGACGGCTTCCTCGGGGACTCGTCGTTCCCGTCGCTGGCGCTCTCGGGGAACCGCGGCGAGGAGATCCGATGGTACCAGGAGCTGTATGCGCAGTACTCACGGCTGGGCATGTCGCGCGACTCGGGCCGGCGGATGGCGATCCGCGGGCTCGAGTCGCGGCTGATAGCCGCGTTTGCGCGCAAGCACGGCGCCGGCTTCCGGGGCGGCCTCGGCGTGCTTGACGACGGGCCCGGCGGCGGCCTGCTGTGGCGGCGCGGCCACGGCGAGCCCGCGCTCGAGCCCATCGCGTTCCCGCAGGGCCGCGAAGGCGCGCCGTCGTGGTCGTGGATGGCCTGCCGTGGCGCCATCGACTTCGTCCAGGTGGCCGGCGGCACCGTCGAGTGGGAGGCGACGGACCTGAAGCTGGCCTGGAGCTCGATGCAGCTCGTCGTCCGCGCAAGAGACCTCCGCCAAGACGGCGCCACGCTGGGTGGCAGCAGGGAGCCTGCCAGACTGCTCGTGTGGGATGACCCTGGGAAGGCTTCTAGCCACGGCGTCAAGTGCGTTGTGGTCGGTAGGGAGAAAGGAGCGATGCGCGCCAAAGCGCCAATTCTAGATTCCATTTTGTGCTCTTCATTAGACCCTAGTCTTCGCGTTTGCTCCAAGACGGCAGGGTTGGAGCTATTACATACAAAAGAATGGGAATAGGCTCCATGCCGGGCCGGTGCATTTCCCTTGACGGGGAAGGACACGAAGTGACTATTCGCTGAGAAAAACAAGTCTAGAGAAGTGGTCTAGAGAATTGGTCTAGAAAATTGGTCTAGAAAATTGGTCTAGAAAATTGGACGTTAGGTAATATCCTTGGGCTTTGTTGTCACAGAAGAAACAGCCATGCTAGTAACAAAATTGAGTTTACTTTGTTGGTCGGCCAACTTGAGGCAGATGGGCAAATGAAAGCTATGGTATGCCACGCTGTCCATCAGGTCGAATGCACAGGAACGGCCTACCACTGCCAGGCAGACAAAACAGACACTAGTTACGTGGCATTCTAGCCGGCTTAGCTGCATATACCAAGCCAACTGAAACCCCATAACAATTTGCAAAAAGAGTGGGGCAAGGGAGTGTAAAGAACGGCAAAAAGTAATGACATTGATCAGACCCGGGCTTGAACCGGAGACCTTCAGTGTGTTAGACTGACGTGATAACCAACTACACCATCCGACCAGTGGATCGATGAAAGGGGCGGCTAGAAATGTGGATTCACAGGACGGTAGAGCGGGTCGCATGTGGTTTCTGGTTCGTTGTTTACAGGGTCTGGGGCGCTTTGGGGCGGGTGTGTGGAGCGATTGCATAATGTTTCAGTAACGTTATCTCATAGCCTAGAAATTACCATAGTATGTGCGATAGTTATGCAAAGCAGTAGGGCCACTGAAAGCTTGGAAGTGTACCTAGAAAACAAATATCAAGTGTATTTTCATTTCTTTTAATTAGCAAGCGACTAACGTGTGATGTGTATAAAGAAGCCGCAGTTATTTACTCTGTCATCGCATCTTTTCTCTGTCTGAATGGAGTGTTCTAATTTACTTATTACCTAGGGACATGATGATAGAGTTACCCCTGCTGTATCCTATGTTCTATTAAAAAATATGGGTGGCTAATATTGTGCATGTCTATATGACCCAGAAACGCCTGCTGCAATCTTTCTGCAAGTCTCCTATCAAACAGCCTCTTTCGTCTCTCCTGCATTAACCGCAGCATCTTCTGGATCTCGCACAGCCGTCTTCTCCGCACCTGGCACCCCCTTCGGTTTCTTGATGCTCTTCCACTCAACAGCCGCAGCAGCCAGGACCGTCGCAGCGCTCAGCGCGGCGGCGAGCACAAAAGTGCGCGTGAGCGCAAACGAATACGCCTCGACAACAGTGCCGAGCTCGGACGGCGGCACGATGCCGCGCAGGTCGGTCGCGCCCGTGTTGACGATCTGCTGCGCGTCGAGCCCGGCCACGCCGGCCAGCCCGTCGACGAGCTGGACAGAAAAGATGTTCTGCCCTACAGACAAAAACACTGACCCGCCGAGCTGCTGCGTGAAGAACATGAGGGCGAGGCCGAGCGGCACGTCGGCGCGCGGCAGCACGTTCTGCGCGGCCAGGTTGGCGCACTGGAAGCCGCTGCCGATGCCGAGCCCGTACAGCACCTGGTAGCCAATCCAGTGGCTGGACGGGGTGCCTCCAGGCGTCAAGGTGGACAGCATGCCGGCGCCGACGGCGGTCAGCACGGGGCTGAGCAGCATGGCGGGCACGTAATAGCCCAACCGCTGGGTAAAGACGGCGGCGAGGACGCTCATGACGACGAGGCCGAGCACCAGCGGCAGGGTGTGGATGCCGGCGTCCATGGCGCCCAGGCCCTGCGCGGCCTGGAACCAGATGGTCAGGTAGTAGATGACGGTCATCATGGCGCCCGACAGCAGGAACATGAAGGCCATGCTGCCGGCGATGGACCGGTTGAGCACCACGCGCGCCGGCGCCATGGCCGTGGCCGGCGTCAGCGCCTCGACCACGACGAACGCGACGAGCGTCACGGCGAAAGTTGCGAGGAGTCCGATGATGCGCGGCGCCGACCACGCGTCCGTCGACCCGCCCCACTGCAGCGCCAGGATCAGCGAGACCATGGACGGCACGAAGAAGACGACGCCGACGGGGTCGAGGCGCTTGATCTGCGCGAAGACGGTGAGCTTCTCGCGCTTCGGCGGGTCAATGTGCAGGAAGAAGATGATGACCAGCATGGTGAAGCCGCCGATGGGCAGGTTGAGGTAGAAGCACCACCGCCAGGTCCTGTTCCAGTCGTCAGATAGATTATTATCAGCCAAAACACGACAAGACGGGACGAGACCGGGAGCTTACACGTTGTCGGTCAGCGTCCCGCCGACGATGGGGCCGAGCACCGACGACAGGCTGAAGACGATGCCGAACATGGCGATGAAGATGGGGCGCTTGCGCAGGGGCACTAGCGGGATGATGACCATGATGTTGCCGGCGAAGAGGCCGGCGGACCCGAGGCCAGCAAAGGCGCGGCCGGCGATGAAGGCGGCCGACGTCGGGGCGGCGGCGCACAGGGCGGAGCCGGCCTCGAAGATGACCAGCGACACCAAAAACACCAGCTTGGTCGAGTACAGCTGGTAGATGCGGCCAAAGACGAGGTTCGAGCACGCGTTGGTCAGCATGTACGCGCTGCCGTACCAGCCAATGTCGCCGATGGACCCGAACTCGTCCGTGATGCGCGGCACGGCGGTTGCGATGATGAGGCGGTCCTGTGAGGGGGTGTCAGTAGGGTGTGTCAGTAGGGGGTGTCAGTAGGGTGTCAGTAGGATGTGTCGGTAGGGTGTGTCAGTAGGATGTGTCAGTAAGGTGTGTCAGTAGGGTGCGGAAAAGGGGTTGATGTGATGTGATGTGATTGGGTGTAAATAATTACCAGGCCAACGAGGAACATGGCCAGGTACAGGCCGACCATGACGGACCAGAACTTTGGCGACAGCGGCTGGAAGTTTCTCTCGGCATCATGGTACTCGTTGAAAGCGTCAGATTCGCTGTCCGGCGGGGGGTTGACGGGGGGTGGTGACTTTTCATCGTTGGAGTTGTCGTGGCCGTTGTCGCCGGTGAGTGTGGCTGGCGGCGTGGGACTGGTGGAAACCATTGTGGGCCGGGCGTGTTGGATATTTTAGGGGTAAAGACTGGCTGAGGTAGGGAGGTAATTAGGGATTGCTGCTTGGCCGATTTAAGGGTGGGTGCCGACATGCTCGGCCTCTCAGCCTTAGCTACCATGGCTTATATACATGTCTCCAGTTGATTTTCTGTTTTCTCCTTTCCTTTTTTTAATTCCCGCCAGAACGGACCGAAATGGATTCGCTTAGTTGGCTGCCCCCTGCAGCGCTGCCTTGTTGGACCCGGACCGGCGAAAGCCTGGTGCCGGGCCTCTGTAACTCCCGAACGAGTCACGTGATGCAAGCTTTTTCGGGCGGCCACAAAGCCCGAGCCAAAGACGTTTTGGTTGCACCTCCAGCAATCTTGCTGACTTGATATGCTGGTGCCGCCCCTCCAAAGCCCGACATGCAACTTCTCGGGAATTTTACTTTGCGCCATTGATTCGAGACCACGCCGGACCCGGCCACCCGGTAAGTAGTCGTCTTTGCATCTCTAGTTCTTTACTGGATTTCCTGTATTGGTTTTTGTATTTACATTTACATGACTGTATCCGCACCGTGGCAATTGAGGTTTCACGCAGATTTCCCCGCTGCAATGTGGTAATCGATTATTTCATCCAGATCTGTGCCAACGATGATTGCGGATACCTCGTTAACTGTTTCAGTGGTTTAGCTTCAGTGGTTTAGCTTCAGTGGTTTAGCTTCAGTGGTTTAGCTTCGTCTAGCTCTAAGTACAACACAGACCGACCGGCGGCCAAGCACAGCATGGCCCATCAGTTGCACATGCGGGGCGACGCCGACGAGGACGAGGACGAGGAGCACATGACGGTCGACGGCACGGTCGACGGCACGCTCGCCAACACGTTGCCAGTGTCTGCGTCTGGCCATGGCCTCCAGAAGCCGCAGCGGGTGCTCGCGTGCGTGCTGTGCCAGCAGCGCAAGATCAAATGCAACCGTCGCTTCCCGTGCTCCAACTGCACCCGCGCCCGCATCGAGTGCGTGCCCGCCACCTTAGCCCCCCGCCGCAAGAGACGCCCACCCCCAAGCGAGCGCGAGTTGCTCGATCGCATCCGCAGCTACGAGCACCTGCTCCGCCAGAACAAGGTCAAGTTCGAGCCATTTGCCAACTCTCGTCCCACGCCTATGAAGTCGGAGCCTCCTACTAACGCCAGCGCCTATGGCCACGACGACTCCGACTACGACTTGTCCGAGACCACTCGCGTGGCTGCGTCATCCTCGTCCCCCTCGACGACCGCAGCTGCCTCTGACCGGGTATACGAACAGAAGTATGTACCATGCCCCCTACCGCTGAACCAGCCGACCGTTGATCTCCGCTTACTGTCTGTTTGTTTTCCCTCGCTCAGGGACTTTTGGCAGATTATGACCAAGGCAGGGGTGCGTCACGTCCACCCCAATTGACACAATCTCGCTGCTGACGCGCCTCAGTACCGAGACGAGGCTGACTTCAGCGACACGTCCGACGACGAGGCCGACGAGTCCGTCATCAGTAAGGCGTCGGTGCGGCGGGCCTTTGACCAGGCGTACCGCAGCCCCGAGAGCGACCACCTGCTGCTGGGGGGCCCGACGACGGCCGTCGACCTGTCGACGCTGCACCCCGAGCCGGTGCAGATCTTCCGGCTGTGGCAGATCTACCTCGACAACGTCGACCCGCTGCTCAAGGTCACGCACACGCCGACCCTGCAGGGCCGCATCATTGAGGCCGCCGGCAACGTGGCCGGTCTCAGCCCGCCGCTCGAGGCGCTCATGTTCGCTATCTACTGCATCGCCGTCGTCAGCGTCGACCCCGACGACTGCCCGGCCGTGCTGGGCGCACCCGATGACACGCTGCTCCGCGGCTACCGCTTCGGCTGCCGCCAGGCCCTGTCCAACTGCGGCTTCCTGCAGACGGCGGACCGCGAGTGCCTGACGGCGCTGTTTCTGTACCTGGTCAGCCGCTCTCCTCTCCTCTCCTCTGTCACGCTGACTGACAGACGACGCACGACACGCGACGCACGACACAGATCTCGGTCGGACACAGCACGCACCCGCGGCCGCTGTCGTCGATGCTCGGAGTGGCGATGCGCATCGCGCAGCGCATGGGGCTGCACCACGAGGCGGCGCTAGCGCGGTGCACGGCGCTCGAGGCGGAGCAGCGGCGGCGGCTGTGGTGGGCGCTGGTGTTGTTTGACTCGCGCACCGGTGAGATGGCCGACGCTGGCGATGCCACGCCGCTGACGCCCACGTGGGACTGCCGCGTGCCGCTCAACGCCAACGACTCGGAGCTGCGGCCCGAGATGGCACCACCACCACCAGCAGCCGCACCAGCAGCCGCAGCAGCAGCAGCAGCCGCAGCAACACCCAAGGACACCGCCACCGCCGAAAAGCCCACTGAGGCCATCTTCGCCGTCATGCGCGCCGAGCTGGGCAACCACCAGCGCTTCGCACCCTTCTACCTCGACTTCGTCGCGCCAGCCCTGAAACCGCTCGCGCACGCGCCCGGTAGCTACGCGGCCTCCACCGCCGCCTTCGCGCAGCACATCGAGGCCAAGTACTTGCAGTCCTGCGACGCCGCACTCCCACTACACTACACGACCATGTGGATGGCGCGGGGCCAGCTGGCGAAGCTGCGCATGGTCGAGCACTACGCCGTCGGGGCCAACTCTGGATCGTCACAGCTGTCCGACGCGCAGCGCGACGCCGCCATGGAGTACCCGTTCGCGATGCTGCACGCGCACACGCAACTCCTCGTCGCGCCGCGGCTGACGGCGCGCTTCGCGTGGCTGGTGCGGTACTTCTTCCCGTTTCCCGCGTACGTGCACATCGTGCACGACCTGCGGCGGCGGCCGCTGGGCGCGCTGGCCGACCGCGCGTGGCGCGCCATGACGGCGCACTTTGCGGCCGCCGTCGCTGACGCATGCGTGCTCGCGCCGCGGCGCCTGACGGAGCACGGGCCCATCATAGGCATCTTTGGGCGCACCGTGCTGCAGGCGTGGGCGGGCCGCGAGGAGGCGGCTGCGCGCGCTGGGCTGCCGCCGACGAGGGATGAGGATGTGCCGGGCATTGTGCGCGAGGTGAGGCGCCAGATGGTATTGTATGAGGAGCGCAAGGCTAAGAGGGCCGCGGCGGAGGCGGGGCAGGGGCAGGGGCAGGGACAGGGACACAGTGTTGGAGGGGAGGACGGGGACCGGTTGATGGGCGGGCTCGGCAGGGAGCCGGTGCTGCACGGTGCTGGTGCTGGTGCTGGTGCTGGTGGTGTGCTGGACGACATGGGCGGCTTCCACGGCATGGGCATGTCGGTGGGGCTGGGGAGTGCCGGCGGCGCTGCGACCGGCCACGGCATGCTGTACGGCGGCGGCTTGATGGGCGTGCAGGCCGGATATCCGTCCCCGGCTTCAGACCTGTTCGGCGCCATGTCTGGCCAGGGGCCACTGGACGTCGACCCTAGCCAGCTCGACTGGGGCGCAATGCGGTGGGGATAACGGGGGTATAGACTGGGGAGGGGAGAAAAGGGGCAAGTGGATGGAAAGAAGTGCGATGTGATTATTTACAGACAATGTTTCTGGGCTGGGAGAGTCAGATATACGTCGAATACCACTCCACTCTTGGAGATCAACGCATGGGCAGGCAGAGGTTATGAGTTCGTTCCTGACGACAAGGACCGATCTACTTGACGCCGTGTATAATGCATGCATGCATGCATCCATCTATTGACCGCCATACGCCAGGTCCGAAGTCGACGCTCCCGCAGGCTTTGACAGCCCAAACAAGCCGCCCACGCTGCCAGCTCGCCCAACGCGCGCGCCCTCGGCATCGCCAGTCCGCGGCCACAGCGCGAGGTTCCCCCACGGCGGCCGGATGCGCTGCGCCCACCCCATCAGCTGGCCTATGAACCGATCCGACGAGTCGCCCCCCTCTTCCTCCTCGTCGAGCAGCTGCTGCTGGATAATGTCACTGTCATGCTTCGCATCGCCCCGCGCCACCGACCGACGGCGCCAGGGGCTGGTGCTAATGCTTTCCTGGCTGGCCTGCCTATCGCCAACGGGAGCCCTCGAGAGTGCGACCTCACCCACACCAACCCCCACACCCACGGCCCTGGCATCACCAACAGCCACCACCTCACCCACGGCCCTGGCATCACCAGCAGCCACCACCTCACCAACAGCCACCACCTCACTAGCAGCAGCAGCAGCAGCAACGGCACGCGTGGCCTGTTGGTTGCGCATGCGCGCCGTGTCCTCGACGGCGCGCTGCAGCTCGGCCAGCTCGCGGTCGAGCCGCTCCTTGGCCGCCTGCAGCTCCTCGCCACGCACGTAGCGGCCCGCCTCGGTCTCGTCGAGCGGCACGCCGTTCTCGACCAGCTCGCGCTGGATCTGCAGCGGCGACAGCAGCCCACCCGCACGGGCGTTAGCTGTACTGTTTAGGAGTGCGTTGACGACGGCGCTCGCCGACTCGGCGTCGTCGCTCTCGTGGCGCACGACACCAGCACTGCGCCCAGCAAAAAGATCACCTCCGTCCCAGTACGCGCGCAGCTGGTCCTCGCGGGCCTCGGCCGCCGCGCGGCCGCCGCTGCGGAACGCCGCGTCGGCCCACATGGTCGTGGCCAGCAGCACGCGGCCGTAGGCGGCCGGCCCGCAGAGCCGCTGCAGCACGTGCAGCGTCTTGATGGCCGCCCCGCCGAGCCGCACGTCGGTGATGCGGTGCACGAAGATGATGCCGGCGACGCGCTGCCGCGCCCGCTGGATCGTTGCCAGCCGCGCCGCGATGCTGCGCAGAATGTCCCCGGCGGGCCGCGACGTGTCGTCGAACCCCGGCGTGTCGACGAGCCGCACTACGCGCCGCCCGTCGATGGCGGCCGTGTAGCATGCCGTGTCGACCGTGGCTGTTGTGGGGTTAGCTTATTCTTTGTATACATGACTTGAGGTGTTGCTGTGTGACTTTTGAGTTGTTGCTGCGAAGTAAGTTGTTCATGGATGTAGGGGGACTGACCGGAAGCTAGGCTGTGTCCTACCCCGGCCTCTGATGCCTGGCCGGTCAAGCGCGAGATGAAGGTGCTCTTCCCCGACCCCGTCATGCCGACGAGGATGATGAACCCGGCATCCTCCCTAGACGGCACGTGTCAGCTGGTCCGCGACAGCCATTTCGTTGTGTGGCTTTGAGTCCGTGTCCGTGTCCGTGTTAGAATGTTCAACTGACATGGTAAGTTGCAACTCTCGCGGTGCTGCGATCCAGGCAAAGCGCGTCAAAGAAGCCGAAAAAGGGGTCTGGCCCAGGCAATCGAATCGAATCCAGGCGGCACAACGAAATGGCCCGTCAAAACTCGCTGGGCCTTTGTTTAAGACGCTGTCGTCTTCCAGTGCCAATGGCTCTTTGTTCCAGCCCTGTTTTGCGATTGGGCCAATGAGGCTCGCGCACCTTTCAGATCCAGCGCCTAGCCAGCTAGTTCTAGCTCGGCATCGGGTACCAGCTGGCTCTGGCTCGGCATCGGGTAGAAACGGTCGAGGCATAAGGCGTCGACGCCCCGCGCCCGCCAAATCAACACGCGCGTCGTGTCGAAGCTGGGCAGCCACCCTTTGGGGCAAAATGGCACCTCCATCTGACAGCACGGCCTCGGCGGTGACGAGACGGGCCCGTTGGGTTTTGGCGTTTGCCGTGGAAACGCTTCGTTGGATCCAGCTGGACGACAAGAACCGCCGCGGCCTTTGTCGGCGCCTGCCTGATGGTTCTCTGGCACCGCAGAAAGAGCCCTGGAAGGCGCAGCTGCACGTCGATTTGTTCCGGCGCTGGCATGGCAGCGTCTTTGTGGTGGTCGTGCGTGCTGGCCGACATGGGCACTAACAGGCCGGGATGAACAACAGGCCGGGGTGAACAACAGGCCGAGATAAACATGGCGCAACCACAACAACGGCCCAAACCCGCGCTGGGTATAACTAAGGGCGGTTGGATTCTTGTTCCGGGTGCCTCTCCCACCGACTGTCCAGGCGCGCACTCAGAAAATCCCGAAGGGTTCCAGCGCTTCCACCATTCGCATCGAGAGCTTGACCCAGCTGCACACCGCTCACCACTTACACGAGACCGAGCTCAGACAGCCAGCTACGCACCAACAGAGCAAGATGGGCCAGAACCACTCCACGCCAATTGGCGCACTGCCCACGGAGAACTCCTCGGTGCAGTCGGTCGAGACTCCAGTCCCCAACATCGGGTATGCACACTCGCTTCAATCATCGTTGCACGGCAACCTGGTCAACTGACACTGACATCCACCAACAACAGACCCGACGATGCCGTCATCGCCGTCATGGGTCTCACGGGGGTGGGCAAGAGCACCTTCATCTCGCACTTTTGCGACACGGCCGTCGTCGGCAACGACCTCGAGTCCTGTGAGCCACCCGCACCCCCTTTCTTTCCCAAACCCCCAACCCCCAACCCCCATGCTCCATACCCACACCACATTCCCATCCCCCAACCCCTAACACCACACTCCCATCCCCCAACCCCATCCCCCAGCCCCTAAAACCACACTCCCATCCCCCAACCCCTAACACTACACTCCCATCCCCCATCCCCCATCCCCTAACACCACTCCCAGGCACAACGAGCATCAGCATCCACACGGCCACCGTCGACTCACAAACCGTGTACCTAATCGACACGCCGGGGTTCGACGACACGACGCGCACCGACACAGACATCCTCAAGGAGATCGCCGTGTGGCTCGAACGCTCCTACGACGCCGACATCAAGCTCGCCGGGATCGTGTACCTGCACCGCATCCAGGACAACCGCGTCGGCGGGTCGGGCACCACCAACCTGCACATGTTCCGCGAGCTGTGCGGCGCGGCCGGCCTGTCGTCGGTCGTGCTGGCCACCACCATGTGGGACGCGCTGCCGCTGGATAAAGCCGAGGCGCGCGAGCGCGAGCTGACCACGGCGCCCGAGCTGTGGGGCGGGCTCGTCGCGCACGGCTGCGCGGTGCTGCGGCAGGACGGTGGCGCCGCGTCGGCCGCGCGCATCGTGCGGCATGTTCTGGAGCAGCGCCGCCCCGTGACGCTGCAGCTGCAAGAGGAGATGGCCGACGGGCTGGCGCTGCACGAGACGGCGGCCGGCGGCGTGCTGAAGGCCGAGCTCGAGGCCCAGCAGCGCGCGTACGAGGAGAAGATGGCCGTGCTCGAGGGCCAGCTGGGCCGGCTGGCGGCCGAGCTCGCCGCGCTGCAGGTCGCGCAGGCGGCGCGTGAGGATAGGGAGCGGGAGGATAGGGAGAGGGAGGTCAGGGATAGCGAGAAGCGCGAGCTGGGTCGCGAGGAGGTCATTGGCCGCCTGCGGCTGGAGCTCGACGGCCTGCGCGGCGAGGTCGAGTCGACGAGGCTGAAGCAGGAGCGCACGGATGCCGAGTACAAGGACTTTACCACGCGGAGAGGGAAGTGGGATTGGTGCACGGTTATGTAGGGGAGGTGGGATTGGTGCGCGGTTATGTAGGGGAAGTGGGATTGGCGCACGGTTATGTAGGGGCTGGGGGTAACGGGGTGTGTGTGGGTTTTCTTGGGGAAAAGGGGTGGCTTTGCTTGCTGTTTGTTCTCGGACCTAGATAGACCGGAACGACGGATCTCGTTCTAGACACGCATTGTAATTAGTCGCAGTCAGTAAACGCCAAGCTGCTGTTCCACTCGGTCCCGCGCTGCGCCTGTTGTTGATTTGGGTGTTTTATCTTCTGATAGCGATGCCTATATCCACCTGAGGTAGTTATCAGCTCCCCTGCTCAATTATCTAGACCTAGCCAGGTGCGCATTCTAGTTGTTCCACCAAATCGACACGACCCTCGTCGTCGCCCTCGTCACCGCCTTCGCCGTCTTCGCCGTCTTCTCTGTCGTGTCTGTCGTCTTCACCGTCTTCACCGTCTTCTCTGTCGTGTCTGTCGTCTGTGTCCGCCCTGTGCTTGCCCGTGAGGCGGTGAAACACTGCGTCGCCTCGAACCATGCGATTTCCGAGGCTCAGCTCGTATGTGGCTCCAGTATCCCTGTCGTAGAGCTCATGCGACGCCGAGAGGGCCTTGGCTTTGAGGGCACCCAGCTTCATCCGTAAACTCTTAAAGCCCGTTTGTAGCGCGTCGACCCGCTTGCTGACCGTGACGGGATAACAGCCGACAGATGCGATTTGCGGCACGGTGAAATCGATGACAAGCTCATTGTGCTCGGCAGGCTGCGTCTTTTCCTCTATGTCGCCGTTTTGGGGGGTGGGCGAAGGCGAGCCGGGTTCGCTGGAAGCAGTTTTGTAGGCAGTTTTGCGATCCTTGCAAACGACCCATACGTCGGTGACGAAAAAAACGTCGGCGTCGGGGTGCTTCTTGATAAAGTCCAAAGCCTGGTTCCTCCACTCGTGCTTCTTCAGCAGCGCCTCGAACCGATCAGCCGGTGCCGTCATGTGCACCATGGCACCAGAGGCACCAAGGCGGTTGAGCCCGTGGTCCGAGTTGGGGGGCGGGAGATGAGGTGAGAGAATGCCGGCAGCGGTAGGGTCGCCGTTTTCGTCATAGTCGCCATCCGAGCCCCAAAATATATCCCAGTGTCTCCCTTTGGGTCTGCTTTGACCCTTGGGCTCGACGCTGGACAGGATTTGGACTGGTGGTGTCCGGTTAAAAGACGAGAACGAGTAGTCGGGTTTGCCGGGGTGAAGAATGAGGCTACCCCAGAGCGGCCCCAGGAACTCTGTGGCCAGAAGTGGCGGGAGAAGATTGTGGAGGAGGCATGCGTCGGTTTTAGACATGGCGCTGGAATTTCCTGGCCGAGTCCACTTTCGGCCGTGCAACGCTCGCTGTATCTGGGTCGGTGGGTCGGTGGTGCAAGATACCAGGGAAGGGGCCGCCCTGGCGAGTCGGCGAGTTGGAAACTTGGCGTGGTGGCAGGCCTGTATGATGTGGAGTGTGCAAGACTGCGATGCGTGAAATGAGGGGATTTAGGTAGACAATTATTTCAGAGCCGGTAAACGTGCCTAGCGCAACGGGGACAAGACTTCGTCTCAAAAAAGTCAAACCAACTTTGGCCGACCCATGCTACCATATGCTACATGGCACGAGAGCCGCAACCCATTCTCAATGGTCAGATGCAAGATTTTAGGCACACTGCGCATGATGCAGAGAGCCCTCCAAATTCATGTCGAGGGTTTCGTCCTTGGAGTAAGCAGTTGCGAGCAAGTCACGCCGTACTTGCCTATACTGTGAAATAACGATAACGATAACGATAACGAAACTGAGAGTCGAGACGGAAACCACTCCCACTCGCTACTTTCCGTTACGTCTTCTAGGGTTGCTGAGCTGAACATCATTTTCGCTACTCAAAATTCACCTTGGACGGCGCCACCAGATCATCCAACGAGCAACGAGTAAGTGTCGATAGCCATGAATTATCACCCCAAATAACCCACCCAACCAGCAAAAACAACTCTACAACTTGTCAAACCCGCTGCGGCTCCTCGGCCGCACAAACCCTTTCTTAGCACGGTACGAGATATCAAACGACGCCTCGCCGGCCAGTGCCGCAGGCAGCACGGGCAGCAGCTCGAACCCCCACACGACGAGCGCCCGCATGAAACGCATCTCGAGCCGGCAGCCCTAGCACGCGCTCACGCCGAGCCCGACCGCCAGCTGCGGGTGCGACGCGCCGTCAAACACCGCCTCCTCTCACTCTGGGTTTGTATTGGACCCCAAGCAGAGTGCATGCATTTCGCGAGTCTCTTGCCCCGAGAGTGATTGGTCAAGTCTTCATAGCGCATCTAGGCCAAGAGAATAAATAGTCTAATCCAAAGTCCACTACAGCGGTCAGAGCGTCAATCTTATCTTGTTGGAGAAGATAAAAAGTTGGGCGGAATGGGATCCTGTGAATACTGGTTGGTGCATGGTCTCTATTACTCGGCAATTTCTACCAAGTGGGTTAGTTATTAGACTCGTCCTAAATATAAGAAATCTGTGGGAATATTCTAATCGACATATATAGTCTCGGGTTGGCATCTCTCTTCAGCAGTGTCTTGTTCCGGGTGTATTGCTCGTTGCAGCTTTACCCCGGAGTCGCGTCTAATATCTCCGGCACGCCGTCAGTGCCTCTCGATAACATCTGCATTGGTAATAGCATTGCCCCATGAGCACTTGCGGCAAAGACGTGACACGGCAGGTCCCTGCACCCAGCTATTCCAAGTACGGTCGGATTGCTCTTCTCCCATTTGTCAGCCAGCGCGGGAAATGGGGCGCTCCGAATCTCTCGCGGCCTAGCTTAGCTCGCCGACGGATAGTGCACACGATAAGGGCGCAGGCAATACTTGGAGGGTTTGTGCCGTGCAGGCAAAGAAAGCGAGCAAGGTCGAGGCTAGCCACCATTAATCTCTAGCAGGACTGTCACGGTTGATAGGATTATAAAGGACAATGCCAATAAGATACCGTATTTATTTGGTGTAAAACTAAGCTAAAGAAGAAAAAAGAAAGAAAGAAGGATCGCAGGGGCTGCGATCGGTGAAAAAAGGGTTATGGGCAGAGTTTGCACGTGACCCAAAGGCTAACCTAATTGGGCTTTTTCCATGAAAGAAGGTTTGCGGGCGAAGTTTACACGTGACCCACAAACTAAGCCTAATTGGGTTTCTTGGAAGATGACGTAACACGGCTAGCGACAATGAACTCACAATGCGCTATGCCGTGACTGTCACGACCAGGGCAAGGCATTGAGGTGAACTCAGTCCATTGGGTGCTATCGACGAAGATTCTAAACTAAGGAGGGAAAGAAGGAAAAGTCCAACAACGCGTCGTGTGCGCGCGAACCAGCTTGCATCTATCAGTGGGGTAGGTGGGGCCTCGAGGAGGCTTCTGATAGGCCCGTGGGTTCTGGGCGGCTCTGGCTGCTTGAGGGCCAGTTTGGTGGACGGGTCCTCACAGTGACAAGGACTAGTTAGTCTCATGCGTAATAATTCTCAGCTCGGAATCAGATGATGATCAGTATGAAGCTGCTGGAACGAACTATCTAGACCTGGGAAAGAACAGCAACAATCGTCTCCCTTCTATGCCCCGGATTAGGGACCGTCTGTATCGTTCGCAGTGCTCGCCGAAGAACAATTTCAAGTGGACACTCCGAATCAGGTGGCCACTCCGAATCAGGTGGCCACTCCGAGTAGCCCTCGAATTCGCATACTCGGCACAGCAAAGAGGTCCGAGACCATCATATCGAGTGTCCCGCGGAGTTATTAGCAGTGTTCATTGTCAAATGGAAAGAAAACGTCGTACTTGACGAGAAACAGTTATCGCACCAGGACCCACACACTTTCGAAGCACGTCAATCCAGCTCTGTGGCACAACACGAGGTCTCCCTGACAATCCCCATGTCTAAAAGCCGCGAAAGACTCATGGCTTGAAGATCTCCGATTACCGATAGTATCGTGCCTATCTCATACCCCTTTGAGTCTGTCCGTAGCTGTCTCAAGTACACCATTAAAGAAGAATCTTCACTGGATTCCCCAGATGCGCGCCAGACTTAAGAATGGCCGCCATCTGTCAGGCCTGGGCTTCTTCCTGGCCCACTGCCGTCCGTGTTGCTGTGAATGCTGCCCTGGTGTAGGCGCCCAGTTGATCCACGGGAATGGTGTCGGGCAGGGAAATATACCGACGGGGTAATCCGAGATACCGACGGTACTGCTTGTGTCCGTAGATATTTCTCACGGATGGCCCGGCCAGCGGCGGCAATAGTCGTCCTGTCTTTGTAAGAATGGAAAGGATTCGGCATCGGTCCCGTGTGAATTGGTCTGCCATCGTTGTTGGCGTCGCCGGGGCCCGGCGGGAGGCCCAGCGAGAAAGAGGCGGTGATATTTCCCCAACGCAGGGAAGCAGCAGTGCTATTTACCGCTGTGACATTATACAAGTACCCTGCCGCAGCGCAACAGGCAGGTTTGCCTGGTCTATTAGCGTAGGCGCATGGGTCCGATTTAGGAGCGGTGAAGCAAAAGGCCCCCAGATTCTCGCTCACGCCGCAGTTGGCCCGTAGCATGATATTGTTAAAACTGCTAGTAACTTGGCAAGCAGCATGGTCTTGGTTAATTGTCTGTACCGGTGACAAGCAGGACGCGGTGTAAAGGGGTATGGAGGATTGATCGAGAGGATCCGTGAATGCGGGCCGCGAAGCTACGCCAGTGATGGCGGCCAGAAATAGGGTGAAGAAGAAGGGGCGTAGCAAATTTCTGTGGATTTCCATAATGGAGTGCAGATCATTACAGATCAGTTGTAGAAGTTGTGTCTTCGCCGTAAGGCGGCGTGAATGTCCCGACTGTGAAATGTTCCGTGCTCTGATATTATATGTTAGCCGCTAGCGTCTGACTCGCGTTGGGGCGAGGCGGAATTGTTCGGTTTCCGACGTTCGATCATTCAACCCTGAAGACTGACATATTGGTGTGTCAAATTAGGAAAACACCATCATGTACGAGATAATTAGTTCATTTGGCACACGCTCTAATAGACACGGCGTCTCCTCAGTTCAATAAAGTTTGATTGTTCAGCTGAACGGAGCCACCGTAGGCGAGCTTGCGAGCCGGAGGTGGCGTAGAGAGGCTGTCTCTTCTACTTTACTATGAAGGTGCCGAAAGTTTCTCGCCCGGGGATTGGCCAGTTTTCGTCCGTGTCCAAATGGACTCAGGGGACTGGTCGATCGGATAATCCTCGGACGTGTTGAGCCGTTAAATGCCGCTTTGCTGTCGTGAGGCCGTTATAGGAAGGATCGCCTTGGGGGGATTCCAATTGCAGCTTTGTAAGCTGCAGAAGCGCGCCGCAAGCACTGGGGGTCCTAGGGGGCAAGCCCCCTAGAAATCTAACAATTAGACCATGAACATCGAAATATGGAATTATCACGAGAATTTGTTTTGGTGTAGAATGCAACTTTCTAGCCAGCCCCCCCAGCCCCCACCCCCAAAAAAAATAAACCACTTTCTTCCTCAATCTCGCAATTCAACCTCAGTCAATCGCACGCACGATTTATCGCTTTCCAGCTATGAACAAGCACGCCAAATACTTTACGATTATGGCCCTATTAATCCCTCCTAATATATCACTAAGAACGCGTGTTTTTCGAGCCGCCGCCATGGCTACGGTTGGTGTTGGAATAGCGATACTCGTGACCGCACACTAGCAGGGAGGAAGCAGAGATCGCGCGAGTACGCACGTGCAAGTAGGCACGTGCGGCGCGCGGACCTCTCACACACACAAAAAAACCCCGGTCGCAAGCAGAACCTACCTTAGTTCCGGAGAGGGAGAGAGAGAATAGACACAACATGACCCCCGGTAGATCTACCAACCCTTCGACCTGTAGGATCCCTACGTAGTTTGAGTACCACGAACAGTTGGGGTCCCTCAACCGCAGCCCCCACCGCCCGATCAAGGAGACCCCGAACCAGATCCCTGTCAAATATAAGAGATGCTGTGACTATAAATTGGTCAAACATAACTAGCACCCCTTGGCCAGCCACCCATTACCTCGAGCGAAGCGAGGAAAGCTCGCCGCAGGCGCCGCCGGAGGCAAAAAACAAGAGAAAAAGAGGCTCCGTTCAACTGACCCCTTCCTGACCCGTCAGGTAACCTACTTTAACTACTATCAACAGGTATCTTAATCACTTGTAACAGCACACGTTTGAGTAGACCAAAGACCAAAGGCACATTGTCTAATATAATCGCGGTCCGATATCTATGGTCCGATGAGTGCAAATACCACCGCAAAGCCATCTGTAGCCCTTCACACACCGAGGATAAGCCCCCGGTTATATGTAAATTGCACATGTTTGGTCGCACAAAGGGTCGGGTAAGCGGTTGAAATGTCGGCGGGCATTGACTTTAGGGGCCAAGTAATGATGAAGAAGGATGCCGGTAGATCAAATCGCACGTATGAAGCGCCTTCGAGTCCTTGTCGAAATGCGGCGAAGCCTTTTGGGCCAGACTCGTTATGAATTAATTGTATGTACGGTATGCCAACGTCGTTTCTCCGCGCAAGGCATACTAGTTATTAATGGCGAGGTCTGGGGTAATTATCTTCTCCGTGTCTCACTCGTTCCTTAAATTCTGGAGGGCAACGGCGGAGGCCTCTTGTATGTGGCTTTACATGTTCGTGGACGACACCGTTTGCTATTTAAGTTGTTAAACCAGTAATAGGTACCTGACCTCTCTGAGCGTAGACAATTATTCTCGCTTTCTAGGAAAAGTCACGGCGAAGCCCCACCACTCAGATAAAGAACCATACAATGGTTGACTCCGAGAAGGGCCTGCCTCGTTCAGTGGTACTAGAGACCTCGTCCGTCACCGAGAAACGGCCTGGGGTTCCCGAAAGCACACCTGAGCCCAATATTGGCAGTGCAGCCAATCCGCAAGTCAAAGTAGACGCAACCGTGGAAACACGGCGATTCTAGCTGTGACTATGGACTTTTGAGTTCTTCAGCTTTTTCCTCAGCCTTTCGTCCATGTTGAGTAAGTACCAACTGCATAGATCGCAAAAAGCAATTTCTGAACTGGCACTTGAGAAGGCAAGGGGAAATTAACATTACCTTGTAACCCCTCTCTAGTCATCATCTGTTTTCTGAGAGCCTACGACGACAAGCCTCTCCCCAATCTGCTAATGCACATTCCGACGTTTGTCCATGGAATTATGAATGCAGAGAGAGTCGAATGGGAGAAGCTCGAATAGCAGGATATTGTAGTATGATAAGCAGTGCGCAACGGGTTTTATATTTGTTTCGACGGCCGAATTCTCGCAAGGCTCCAGGAGCGAGAAGGACCTTGGACAGATGGTCCCAATGCCTGGGAGCGATGTTGAGCTGGCGCCTTACCACCTGACCTTTCTTTTTTTAGTTGGCGCTACCGGGATCATTCCATCTACCAGGGAGTTGTGCTCTCCATTTCGCTCGCAACAAGGAGAAGACTTTCTGTTGTATTGCACTGCGGTCTGTGTGCTTAATTTACGGTGTTCTGATTATTTCGGAGCAGTAGAGGGGTTGTCAATCATGCTTCGCCAAGAATCTTTTTCTTCCCTTTCTTTCCACTCGCCTTTGCTTCATTCCCCTTTACTCTTTTTACTCGCAATACACCAAAGATTTTTTCTTTCCCCTTGCCCACCCTCTCTCTTCGGGACCTCTGTCTTCGCGCCCTCGCTCTTCGCGCCCTCCCTCTTCGTTGTATTAGTTCCTTCGGCATCCATCACTTAGAATTCGGTTTTCCTTTGCAAGTGCTGCTGCCCAAAAATAAAACCCAGTCCCGCCATGACTAACAACTTGTATAAGCCTACCACTCTTCGCAGGCGAGCGGTCATTATAATATTTGGCTAATAATATAAGGGAAGCTAAAAAGATGCGGTAGTTTAGATAACGCCAGACCTGCCTGTGCTATAGGCAGTAAGCGGGCTTTAAGCCTAGCTAGATATAGAGTACTCTAACTAAAGTGGCTGCTTGTGTGTTGGAAAAGATAACGAGAGCGGTGATAAACTCCTCTAAGGTCGGTATATTATTATCGAGGGGTATCTCAGGTAAGGGCGAAGGTTTTATTTCCGAATAGTGTTGAATAACGGTAGAGGCAAACTTGGTAATATAGGAGATAAGATTTTAGTTTATTAGCTAATAGTGAATTCTATTAAGAGTAGCTATGGTAAGTTCGTCGAGGCTGAGGTATAGGATTGATGTCACGGCAAGTGCAGACAACTCTGGAATAGTGGGTCCGACCCGGACCCCACTAGACTAGATGGCCCGTGCACCCCACGTCCTATTTCCCTGCGCCCTGCCCAAGCTTTAGAAACTTCCTTTCTTCTTTCTTTCCTTAGCTTTAGATTCTACGAATACAGCGACCATATTGCAGCCTTGTCTCATGCAGTTGACTGTGCGGTGATAATTGAGGTATAAGAAAGGAACCCCATCCCTCACACTCAACCCACTCACTCCTTTGTCAAAAGGCCCGCCTTACACCCTGTCATGTATATAATCAGAGGCCCTCGCCCCTTCCTTTGCGAGGGCCAGGTTGAAGTCTCTCGCCAATACCAGTCATTGCTCTCTTACTCCAACACCTACATTGTGACCACCTTGATCAGGCGTACCTGCCTTCTTTTACATGAGGAGTCTTGTGGGAACTACCAGTCAACGGGATGGATGCACAGCCTCAGTGGCTGACCAGCACACGGGCCGCTATGCGGTACGTGTCCGAGGCGCAACCATCACGTAGCCTTCGGGCATCGCCAAATCCAATGCGCACCCTGGTACCGTAGTTCGTGATCCTTCTACATAAAGCAGACCAGAATACAACCACCACAACCACCCCATTCGCATTGGTTACTGCAGTGACTATGGAACGAATGACCTTGTCATTCCAACAAGTCTATTCTCGATATAAGCGGGAATATCGTAGAACCAAATCTAGTGGTAAATACGATGGAGAAATATATCTATTGAATTCCTATAGTACTAGCTTGAGTCTATATAGTTATGGAGATTGAGCGGCTTATAAAAAAGATATAGAGTGAGCTAACGACTAGGACTAGAAATAAGACCATTTATGGCTACGAGATTTATTTTTAGTTCTTCGTAGTAGGCCCTAAACTCGGACCTACTTATATTGAGTCTGGTTTTACGTCTTTTTAGTAAAGTAAGTCGAAGTTTGAGGTTAGGCTAGGTCTTACTCTCTACCCTCTAGCTTCGCGACTGGAGACTAGCCTCCAGCTAGCCTCCAAGTTATTTACATGGGAAATAATCCCTAATAAAGCTAGAGTGGCATACATACTGCTCTTGAGATAAGCGTGGCTACCCCCTCATTTTCGCTGCCTCTACCCATGCGAAACCCCGTACAAACCACCCACCACTTCACCGGTTCTTAGGTGGGTGAGAACTTCCTAGCCTCGAGTTCTTCTTCACCCATGGCGCCGGCTTGTTGCTGAGCCGAAGTCTCTTCGGCCCCTCCCCGGAGTCGTAGCTTTGTCCAGAGACCTTTCTCCGGGTCGGCTCCTGCAGCCCAGGAGGCTGGAAACTGGACGAGCCGACTCTGGGCTTGATCCCTTCGGTCATATTTGGCTGTTTGAGGCTGTCTTGGGGTTTGGTCGCGACGTCGGCGGCGTTGGGGACATCGCGATTAACCGTTTCCTTATCACTTGATCGGTTACCCATTTCCTCATCACTTGATCGGGGCCGTCTCAATTTCCAGGCAATGCCTTGCCATCCGAACTTGAGTGCCGTGACGCCAATGACAGCAGAGCCGGCAATTGCCCAGCCAAAAGAGTTGTGGCATCGCAGAACCTTTCCGAACATCAATCGTGTCATTGCCGCGACCAGAAAACTTCCGCTCGACAAAACATATGCCCAGCGAAACAGGAACCTGTTCGCGGCGCCAAGATTCACCTCGTTCCGATTGTTGATAGCGGTGTAGGTGAGGAGGGCGTAGCCGTGGGGGTAGCCGATCATCGCGATCAGGAAGGCAAGAAAGACGAGGCCGTTGACGTCGTCGGTTGCATTGTCGGGCTCTTTCTCCTTGATTTCGGAGATGCTCGATGCGCCGATGAAGACGGCCAGGGCCGCGGCTGCTCGCTCAATCTGGCTCTTCATCTCGAGCCGAGCATCATCCATGGCGCAGGTGAATTTATCGACGTAGGAAGGGAGGGGTTGGTTGCAGTCTTCTTGCTGCCTCTAGAAGGGAGGGGGTCTTGGAAGATGGAGTGCGCGGGGTGTGTGAGGGCGTGTGGTAACTCTTGGGCTGGGGTGTGGTGCGCGGGTGTGATTGCAGTCTTCCTGGTGCTGCTGGAGGACTGCAGAGGGAATATTGTGTAAAGTCTTGCTACCTAGACTGACTGCCTCCCTACCAAGTATAGAGGATCCGACCACCTATAGAGACACTACGTCACTTACTCCTTTCCTTGCTCGTCCTAGCAACTACGGCTCATGCCGTTTCGTTGGCACCGCCATGAGATGTTGGACCTCATGTCACAGCGCGAAGAGCCATTAAAGAAGACCCTTCCGTCCCTCCCCATTACTTTGACTTGAAAAGCAAAATAATTGTCCTCTGGCGGCCAGCTTATTACGTCGGTATCTACGGCGAGTAGATGCTGGCCGGGGTAGTACGCAGGCCAGGCGAAGCAGAGATCAAATAAAAGGCCTGGGAAGAGCCTAACAAATTGGTCAGCTGAGCTATTCCTGTCTTGCCGTCGTAAGTATGATACAACCCTCTTCTTTGAACACCTCCCCTCAGACAAGTACATGCGGAAGGGGAGTATCCCTAATAACCGCGTATATTTTTTGTCAAGCACCTGCTTGCGCTTTTTGTACATCGTCTGCAAGGATCCCCACGACCTCGTTAGGTTAAAGGTCCCGCCGATAGCTTTCCACCTCCGAATCCACACGTCCCAACACGATCGTGCCGAGAGTTCCCCGGTCATGATCCCTGGAGAGATGCTAATGTCCCCATGTAACGAGTGTTGGCGGTTCGGTCCGCGTAATGTCCGAAGACTTCCGACGCCCAGTCCCCGCGCAGCACATTCAACTCGTGAAAATATTCATCGACCGTATTCCTCCAATCCGAGGGAATGCCGGCCGTGGTCCCCGGACGGTCGGCCGCGTATGGGGGAGGTGGTGGGTATTGCGTCTCGGACTCTGACTCTGACCCTGTGTTGACCCGCATCCCAGCGTTGATCCCACGAGCAGTGCGGGTGGAAGCCCTGTCATCGGCCATTTGGCGGGTGTCGACCGGAATAAGGAATTTTGTTGCACAAGGGAGAGTAGGAGATGTAGCAAATATATGGCCGCCCTTTTATGTGGATCATGTCCCACAAACCTTCAGACGATCATATCCCGTAAACCTTTAGACGCTTACGGGGTAGCACTAGGGCTCAAACTCTACAAACGACACGGCATCACATGCCACACAAGCCGATGGGGAAAAAAAAATTCCGCTCACGTGGTGATGCCCTTACTCGTGCTGGCTCCCGTGACACCGCCCCGCTACCAGCTACCGGACTTGGAGACTTTCCGACTCGTCTGGAGCAAGGAAGAGGGAGGGGTTAGCGTACTTAGCCATCCGGCTATAACGGCTTATCTGAACCTAATCCTCGGCCATGGCCCACAGGTGGTGCGATACCTCTTAGCCACTATCAAGACTCTCAAACATGTAGACAGGGTGACCCACCTTTGCAATCGCCCCACTTTGCAATTTTTCCCCCACACCGCCAACTTCCTACTCTCTACCTTCCACCACCAACAACTTCCTCAATACTGGTCGGAATAGGCTCAAAATACGATGGTTCGACGCGTACGAGAGCGGCTAATAGCCGAGGCTATTGAGGCTATTGATCAGGGCGCTCAGCAGAAGGAAGTAGCGCGCCTATATAGGATCCCTGAATCCACCCTCAGCAGACGACGCCGTGGACAACAGGATCCACGACAAGCCCAAAAAAACACCCAGAAGTTAACTGACGGCCAGGAAGCCTTCGTCGCCGAGTGGGCTCTTGAGGAGGAAGCTGCAGGGCGTGCCCCAAGTCGTGCACAGCTAAGACGATTCGCACAAGCGATCCTGAACGAAGCCGGGCTCCCTGGGCGAGTTGGTGAGCGCTGGGTAGATCGGTTTTTTACCCGCAACCCCAGGGTAAAGGCCAAGTTAGGTACCTTATTAGAACGGTCTCGAGTCAAAGGATCTACCCGTGAGAGATTCCAGGATTTTTTTGATCGTTTGGAAGCTGTAATTAAGGACAAGAAGCTGGTACCTGCGAATATCGCCAATATGGACGAACATGGCATGCAAGAGACGGAAACTACGGTTGGGAAGGTGATTGGCGATGCCCTCACATCTCGGGCAGTCCTGACTGGCCCTGATCCAACGACCTGGGTCAGTATTATCGAGTGTGGTACCGCTGAGGGCAAGCGATTGACGCCCGTAGTGATCTTTACGGGTGAAAATCTACAAGGCCAACACTTCCCGGATAACTTCAAGGAACTACCAGTCCTCAAGACCTGGAAGTACGACTGTACGCCCACAGGCTGGAGCAATAGCAAAATAGCTCTTATGTGGCTCAAGGAAGTATATCTTCCTCAAACAAAGCCCCAAAGGAAGGACGATTGGCGCCTATTAATCCTCGAACACGCTACTCATATCGACGAAGACTTTATGCTTCTAGCTAAAAGAAACCGCGTACACCTACTATACTTGCCTTCACACACTTCTCACAAGACCCAGCCACTCGACCGGTCTGTCTTTTCGGCTTTGAAGTCCTATTTTCGCCAAAGAACCCTCGAATTGGCTTCCTTCACAGCCTCAGCACCTATCAACAAGCAACGCTTCCTTTTTTGCTACCGGGACGCCTCAGCGCAGGGTATGTCAGCCCGGAATATCATATCCGGCTTCCGGAAGACTGGAATCTGGCCTTTCCAACCCGCTCGTATACTTGACGACCCCGAGGCGGTCCGGGACGAAGCTGCAAAACCAGTCCCCCCATCCACACCACCCCGGAAGACCCGGGCAACCCGGAACGACCTCTTCAATACACCTCAAGGTAGTCACGACGTCCGCAGGCAACAGGGCTTAGCCAAGACGGCCACTAGTCCCCGAGATAGGGTCGTCAGGACTATGTTGACGAAGGTAGGGAGGGCACTTGATCAGAAGAATACGGAAATCGCTGCTTTGAAGGCAAAAAACGACTTCTTAGCTAACGAGTTGGAATCTAAAAAACCCTATTCACGTAAAAGGGTCAAAATAGACGCCAACGACAGATTTGCTACTATTGACGAAATTGACGAGGCTCAAAAAGCTAGTCAAAAGCCTCCCAAGAAGAGATCCAAGAAGACCAAGTCCAGGCCTGCACACTTGGTCCAGGAAGCTGAAGAAATTATCGCCCGTGGGCTTGAGCAATATAGGGCGATTGACGAGGACTAGAATGTACTTTTTTCTATAGAATTTGGCCTACAATTGAGTATTTTGACGATTCTTGTGGTGGGCGGTGATGGTGGTGGGCGATTGCAAAGGGGGGCGATTGCATAAGTGGGTCGCCCTGTCTAGACTGATGTTTCGCGAACCAGTGGACACTTTGGCTGCTCTCTTCTCTCTTTCTTCGCAAACTGTAGTATTTCTGTCACGACAATAGGGGTTAGTGAGCAAAAGAAGGACCTAGAAGCTGCCACTTGATTCTTCGCCACCAGATTTTGCCACAATTCATAACTATAAAAGATAGACTTTTTGCCCTCCCAAAGGAAACAAAAAGTCAGACCTTTTCAGACAATTCAAGCCTTACCTGCCTGCATCAAATGCCCCGGTTTTCACTGCCCTGTGAATGCGCGTGACAATTTCCTTGTGCAATTTGTTCAACCTCTCCCAATAGTCACTAGGATTGTGTCGAGAGATTGAAAGTCCCTTCTCTAGAGACTTGAGCTCGATCGCCGTCGTGGTTGCCAGACAATCAATGCCACGCTGGACACGGTTGAACCATTTATGCACCCGAGTTCGGATTGTCGCGGTCGGAACGCTGGGTGCAGCTTGAGCCTCCTCATCCTCGTCGTCCTCATCCTCGTCGTCCTCATCCTCATCGTTATCCTCGTCCTCCTTCTCGTTATCCTCGCCCTCTTCATCATTGTTGTCCCCCTCTTCCTCCTCGGGGGCATCCCCATCGTCGTTGTGCACTAGGCCGTTTCCATCAGTGTTTTGTTAGGCATAGAGCTTGTCTAGGAACCGAATTGCTGCATCATGGCATGTTTTGCGGCCTCTAGGCTTCAGATCGCTGATCAGATCATAGGATTCGTAGCTATACTAGTTAGCAGGAGCTAAGAATGCAGTCTTGTCTGTTGCGTACCACCCATGATAGATGTAGCTACCACTTTTGAATTCACAGCGACGTTCTACCCATCGCCCAGTGTTTTCCGCGGTGTCAGCAGATGGGCAGCAAGGCCAGCGGTCATAGAAGGACTTGAAATAACGTCTTTTTAAGCCGCTGGGTAAAATATCCGTCTGATTCACCGCTCACGCGTCACTCCTACGCATCGTACAACGAAGTCAACCTGACCAAAACGACAATGTCATCGACCGCCGAGACCAAAATCGTCCTTCGGAGCGCCAAAGACTGGCCTGCTTGGAAGGATCAGTTCATCGGCAGGGCCAAAGGAGAGCTAATGTGGCAATATATTGATCCAAAGGAGATCTTTCCTAAGCCCTTCCCTTCAGAGCCAACTGAACCAAACATTAACCACTTCGAATTCAAGGTTCCGGGGAGCCCTGCAGTCCCTGATCCTGCCAACTCTGGCAACCTGACCAACGGGAACCACACACCAAATTCGATATACACACTTGCCCAAGGCCACCCGCCTGCATCCGACTTTACCTTCTCCCCCCGGCGGGACGTCTCCGACCTTGCCGACAGAGGCTTCCAGACCTACTCCTTCGTTATGACCGACTACCATCGCAAGGTCCAGATGTACAAGGACAAGCAGCAAGCGGTTCTGGGACCAAAATAGAACCAACAGAAAGGTACGTACCCACGCCGGCAGAAAAGGTACGTACCGCCAACAGTAGAAAACGGACTGTACTAATAACGGCAGCAAAGTCACGTGCTACGTAACAGGGGGTGAGCGTTGACGCTCAGTGTCCGCCTAATCCGGCAGCCATGAATTCGTGGCCTGAGGGCGGTAATGGCGCGTTACGTGTGTAGGAGGAGTTCGACGGAATTTCCGTTTACCCGCGGTAAGCATAAGTGGATGCAGGAAGGAAAGAGACGGGTTGGCCACAAGTGGCGGGGCACCAGTGTCCCGAAATTGGGCTCAGAAGCGCATCCTCACAACTCCACTGCCATTTTCAGACCACGGCAAGTATAGCCGGGGTAACCCAAAAAATGACCTCTTGCTCAGCCTAGCTCAGCTTAAGGCGGCAACCGCTCAGCTCCGAGGGAGGAAATGGAAATTCTCTTTGTCGGTTTTGGGGTCATGCAATGGTTGTTTCAGGCTCGCCCACCAGCAGCAGCAGCAGCGGCAGCAGCAGCAGCAGCAGCACCACAACCGTCAACACGGCAGACAACCGTACCGCTGCCGCCACCGCCGCCGCCGCCGCCGCCGCCGCCGCCGCCGCCACCACCAACGCCGCCAAGCATCCCGCACAGAAAGATCCACGACGTCTACGCGCTGGGCGTCGTCTTCCTCGAGATCGGCTTCGGCATGCCCGCCGCGGAGCTCGTGGTGTGGATGCCCGAGATCGTGGCGTGGATGCCCGAGATCGTGGCGTGGATGCCCGAGATCGTGGCGTGGATGCCCGAGATCCCGGGGCACAGTACCAGCGGTGCTGCTACGCCGTCGGCGGCCTGGCTGCGCGGCTATTTCGTGTTTCTAGCCGAGCGGCACCTGCCCGAGAACATGGGGCCCAGGTGCTCGGCGCTGACCGTGGCGTGCTTGGCGGGGGGCCTGATGGAAGATGGCAGCGGCGTGGACGGCGCGGACGGCGCGGACGAGTGGGACTGGTTTTGGGGGTTCCAGACCGAGTTCCGCGGCAAGGTGCTGGATGAGCTGGAGATTTTGCTAAAAGCGTCGCGATAATTGGTTGGAGGGAGTTGGAGGGAGTTGGGCGTTCTTTTTGAGGGACAGCGGAATTGAAATTTTGGCGCATTTAATTACGCCCATATACTCGGGATCCAATCGCCACTTTGGAACCGCTGAACAAAATAATACAATGAAGCCGACCAATAAAATTGCACCTGTGCCTGTCAGCTCGTACTTTCGAGTCTCGATAGGGCTAGAGGGAAGAATTCGGCGGCCTGAATGGCTGCAATCACCCGGCGCGGTTAATCCTAATTAGACTAGACCTAAATCGGTCCCCTGCGAGCTGTTTCTGTGTCTCAGCGGCACCAGCGGCGCGAGGCCAATGATGTGTGTGAAATGGTCGGGCCACTGCCAGTTTCTTTGGATTTCTTATTCTCTTTTTGTTTCGATTCTCTTCCTCCCCATGTTCACCTGTTCATTCTATTTTTGTCGTTCCGTGGGCAGTTCTGAGCATGGCGACGGCCTGGAATCCAAGTCGAAGCGCCAGCGATCTCGATGGCCTCCATGTTGTCGATGACGGCGTCGAAAACGCCATGTACTCGGTCCAACCAGGTTGCACACCGTCGCTCACACACACGGACGACGCGTTCCAGGACCGCCACGTTTTGGTCGGCCCAGCCCCAAGCATAGAGGACAAGAAGAAAATACTTGGGCTGCGCAGGACAAGCTTCTGGCTCGTGGTCAGCAACATCCTGCTGGTCATTGCTCTCGTCGTTCTCGGCGTGGTGCAGAGCCAAATATCGCGAACGGCCTCCTCTGCGACACCGACGACAACGCCCCAGCCAGTCATGTACGCTCCCAGTCCTTTACATGTCCCCTCCCTTGAAGTTGACTTCCTAACGCAACTGCCTGCAGCCTCTCGCTCGCCGACTGCACCGCCACGACGACTGCCACGACGAGAATCACAACAACAACCTCGGTGGCGACGGCAACAGAAACAGTCACGACAACAACAACGGCAGCCACAGCAACAGTGACAGTCACGAGCACGACAACAACAACAACGACAGCAGCGACAGCAACAGTAACATCCACGACAACGACAACGACAACGGCGGCGAAAGCCACGGTGACAGTCACAACAACAGCAACAACAACAGCCACCACAATAAAAAACGCCGCCCCAGCCCCCGACCCCTCGTCTGGCGGAGTCTGCTTCAGCACCAACCGCGTCCCCGCGGGGCCGCCCGGGACGACGTCTCCCGAGTGCCCCAGTCTAGGCAACACGCAGTACCAGGTGCCCGGCACGAGCCTGACGTTCACGCGCATGTGCAACACCGACTTCCCCGGCAACGACATGGCGCGCTTCCCCACGGCGACCATGCTCGACTGCCTGGCCCTGTGCGCGCAGCTGAACCTGTTCCCGACCTCGGCCGCCGGGCGCTGCATCGGCGTAAGCTGGTTGTACAGCGAGGGCCTGCAGGGCACCAACCTCTCGTACTGCTACCCCAAGAGCGCCACGGGCAATGGCGAGGCGAAGGACAACACCGAGAGCGCTACTTTGTTGTCGTGATCCAAGATTGAAGAACGGGCCGCCCTTTTGCTTCTTTGGAGGGAGTTAGCGTGCATGGTTGCTGGTACATACCTCGGGACAGTCTCTGCCGCCCTAATGTCGCAAAGTTTCTCGGCAGAGACATTGTTACACAAGCTTTCAATTGCAATGATGACCTTGTAGTTTTTGTGTTGTCTTGGAGGTGGGCACGAGTAGGACGCTCAGAATGACCAATTACCTTTATATGTTGCACGGAATCATGGAATTACGGAATCTACGTGGTCCAAGTACGGATCAGATCCGGCAGCGCAAACCCCATCGGGGAATTATAACATGATTATATTGAAACCGGCAGAATATCTTGGACAAAGGATTCGTGACACAATCGCACATTTGTGACCCCGAACAAAACGAGGTCTCACGAGAGCCGCATTTTGACCCGACAATTTCTGGGGGGAGGACTGAATCCGGGATGTGGGCTTCGGTTTCATGGCCTACTGGGCAACAGAGCCTTGACTAAAACTTGGTACATACTTTCGTCGACATGTTTACCCATCCGATCATTCAGCTGAACGGAGCCACCGTGGCGAGCTTGCGACCCAGAGGTGCGTAGAGAGGCTGTATTCTATATTACCGTGAGGGTGCCGAAAGTTTCTCGCACAGCAATTGGCCAGTTTTCATCCGTGTCGAAATGGACTCGAGGGACTGGTCGATCGGATGAACTTCGGACAGGTTAAGCCGTGAAATGCCGCTTTGCTGTGTCGTGGTTGTGTTAGGAAGGAGCAATTTCCCAATTAGTAGATGTAGGCTGTATGAAGGAAAGTACCGCAGGCTCCAAGCGCCGCAGGCCAAGAGCGTCGCAGGCCAAGAGCGTCGCAGGCACTAGGGGTCCTAGGGTTTGCCCCCTAGAAATCCAACAATTAGGCCATGAACATCGAAACATTAACTTATCACGAGAATTCGTTTTGGTGTTGAGGGGCTATCGCCGCGAGGGTCCCTTTGTTCTACTTGTCAAGATGCACAAGTATGACGGCCCGGCTTGCTTCCCTGACGATGAGGCTATTCCGAGAAATTTGTTGCCCATCTTCCAGTCCTTGCGAGACTTCCAGAGCGGTAATGCGGTCTACTCTCACCGTCAGAATCGACTTTTCTGCCTCAACACCATGCTGTTTACGTTGTGATGACTCTCCTGTGTTTTTTACTTTTAACACAGTTGACAAGTTGACACTGTTGACACAGTTGACACAGTTGAGTCAACCTCTGGCTACGAGTTTGGCACAAAGCGGGGTTGTCCTTACTAATTACTTAGTAAAATGGCCCAGCCACCCATTCCCTCGAGCGAAGCGAGGACAGCCCGCGGCAGTCGCCGACGGAGGCATCCGTTCAGCTGACCCCTTCCTGACTGGTCAGTAGCTCCCTGACTGGTCAGGTAGCTTATTTTAGTTCTTATTACAAACTACAACTGCGCCAAAAAGCGGAAACGTGCATTACTTGAATGCAGTGGTAATTGTTGTTCTATCTGACAATTATTTCCCACCACTGACCGGGCTACAGAAAAGATTTACACACGCCAGGGAACCTGAACAATCGTCATCGCTCTTACAAGCTGATCCGGCGCAATGGCCCGGCCACTCGCAATTCTGGCCGCTATCGTTGCCACCCCCACCTTTACCGCCGCCAGGGTTTCCACCCCCTGACTTTGTCCCACCGATCTTGGCGACGAGCGAATTTCCCAATCCCTCGATGCTCTTCTCGAAATCCGCGTAGTCCTTTGCCGCCCAGTCAGCGCCTTTAGCCCCCGGCACTGCTCGCGCCCCGGTAAACGCAATGTAGAGCACATCATCTTCGTCGTGCCCACTGTTTCCGTTGATTCCTTTCCCGAAACAGGCCGTGGCTAAGGAGATGGACGCTTCGCCAACGAGTGGATGGTCGCCGTCATCACCATTCATGTCGCCCCAAACCCCGAATATCTGGAAAGAAATCACGGTCAACCAAGTGAATCTTCTCCCGGACTGCGCTGTGCTGTGCTTCGGGGATAATAATACCTACCAATTTCTTTCCGCACACCACCGCCATGACGCTCAGTGGTTCGATGCCGTACTGCTGTGGGTCGAATTTCTTCCACCCCTTTTTTTTCCCGGTGTTTCCAAAGACGACGTATGGGTGGACTCTAGCGTTGAGATCGCTGATGCCCTTGCCGTAGCCCTCCACTAGCCACTGGAAGGCTGTGATCGACTGCGTATCATTGCTCTTGCCGCATCGCCCGTCGTCCGCCGAGCCACCCGGAGCCCCGTCGCAGTCGACATCCATGTTGGCAAATGCAGATCCGGAACCCTTGATGTAAATTATGCCGTAGCTCGAGAGCCAGTCCTCGCAGTAAGAGAAAGCTATGCAGAGTTCAGCATCTCGGCCAATCGCCAGGGGGCAAGTCTGCATACAGTTAGAACCACTATCGCTGCTCCAGAATCCAGTCGCGAGCTTCTTGGAGCAACCACCCGTACCGTTCTTGAGGTCGTTATAGAATTTGCGGACATTGGACGGAACATTGCGGGCCGCAACCTGAGCGAAGAGGAAGCTCAGGTAGAGGACGGCGACAAAGCGCCCGAGCCACTGTGCAGAAGGCATCTCGAAAGTGGCAAGTTCGAGTGGACTTTGAGGGTAGACGTGTCTAGCAGAATCGGACCACAGCAGAAATCAAGGCTTCGAGAGCAGTTGGCTATTATAAATATCGGCCAGGTAATAGCCATGTCTGGGCCAGGTAATAGCCATGTCTGTGCCGCGCGGGTCAGGGCGGAAGTGCTACCCCTAAATAGCCGGCGGATGACACAACCAGAGGGATCACAGCCCGGAGATTGAGGCGTGAAGCAATCTAGTACATCTTCCCCAATTGGCACAGGCCAGTTGGATGGGCTGACCACTGGACCGAGTCATCTAGGATGAGGCGTAGCATTATCACCGACAGTTCAGATGCCCCAGGCCCCCCCAATCGAAACAACCTAAATTAGACACATCGCCACGGGTCAGTGCCAATAAGACGACTTCGGCGAGTTTTTTTTGGCGAGGGCGGAAATTAATTTACGTCAAGAGTCGGCAGATAAGGAGGTGGTACAAACTCCTTTGCGAGCTGAACCGGGAACTATGTAATAGATAACACGGGCAACCGGAAGCATTAGCGACGTTCCACGGCGAACGGCTCTACGCCCGGCCCCCTACTTGTTGGCGGTCCTGGCCATTTCTGTTCGAAAAATCTGACCGTAAATGGCAGCCCTATAGGGCTGGATGGCGGGAGAATCAGATAACGAGCTCGGCACTTGCGAGTTTGGAGAAGGGAGAGCACTGCTGTGCGGCGTGCATAAAAATATGATACGGGCACGATGAGGCGTGATGGGGTTGGCTAAGGTAGGCAGGTAGGTAGGTAGCCTCGATGGCAGTCTGAGCCATGGCAACCCCCTACTACTCAACCGGGACTTCTGGGACGCAATCTGTCGCTGAGTGTGTTGAAAAGGAAAAGCCAACAGCGACCGGATACGGTTCTAGCGGGTCCGCCAAAGCACAGCAGCATGAGACCGGGAAGGCCGAGAAATCCGAAATGGCCGTCTCCTATTCCATCAGGGAAGATCACGTAGAGACGACTGTCTCGGACAGGGAAAGCAACCCTACGCCATCACCATCATCACCACCCCGGGACGAGCAGTGGAAAGTTCACTGGCACCTGCCATCTCTGATGTTATCGCAGTACCTCTTTGGCGCTGCTTTTGCTCTTGGCCACCACTTTTACTACGTCGCCCTAGACACGACGGTCGTAGGTTCGCAGTGGTCGCTGCAGGTCGGAGTGTTCCTTGCCTTCATCACGCAGCGGTGTTTTGTCAGTGCCGCCCTGGTGGCATACAAGCAGTGTGCTTGGGTAGGTAATTACTACCTGATAGGTGCCCGTTTGAACGCTAATCCATGCTGTGCAGCGCATGCTGAACCGAAAGGCGTTCAAACTATCGACGATAGACCGGTTATTGGAGGTGAGTATTAGCTAGCTTCGAGTTTCTGTCGAATGTTATCGCCTTTTAGAATGCTAACTAGCGCTTCGCAAGGCCAGCCGTGATCCGAGCCAAGCGCTCAGCACAGAGCTGCTGACAAAAGCCACCGTGCAGGCTGTTCTCGCCGCTGTCTGCTGGTTATTGCCACTTTCAGCGATTGCGTCGCCATCGGCACTCACCGTCATCCCCGGCGGCCTTGTGTTGCATGAGACGTGCCCCAGTGTGGCCTCGCTGAATTTCTCGCGTGATGATAATGGCCCAGACGCCGACACCACGGTCGATGGCGCGACTACCATCAGTCTCTGGGACTATCTCGACGGCACTGAGACAGCCGTCTACTCGCAGCCGTCGTACGAGTTCATGAGACTGGCAGCCATGACGCTACCCTCTAACAAAGACCCACCGTTTCCCCACAACCCTTGCCCCGGCGCAAACTGCACCATGACCATCTCTTTCGACGGGCCTGCGTATCAGTGCGAAAAGAGGGATGGCTTTGACAAGACCACGCTACAGAGTCTCGACGATATGCCCCCGAGCGGCAACTTCATCTACACGTGCATGTTCCCTCCAAAGAACGCCACAGGTGGACTAGACGACTTCGGCATCCCGGCCGAGTGGCCACTCGTGGGCGGGAAGCCCAGTTTCAGCGGGGAATGGGGAACATTTACCCAGCCGTATCCTATCTGGATCGGCCATGTCAGAAACACCACCCGGCCGTGGAATGGCATCAACGCGACCCTGTGGCCGTGGGAGCTCGAGCGCAACGTGCTGAAGTGCGTCCTCAACCACGCCACGTATACCGTCGACTTGGCCTTTGATGCTGGTAGCCAAGCCGTCAAGGACACACGCCTCGACTTTCGCGGACCTGTCCTGCCCGCGGGCGAGTCCATGTCGCCACTCAACGCCACCTACAAGGAATTCTCGTATGCGCTGCCTGCCCAAAGACCATTAGATGGCGAGTGACGAGTAAATGCTTACCCTCCATAATTAGGGCATACCATGCAATCAGCCTCCACTTCCGAAACTTCATCAGCAACGCCATCGTCCAATTGAACAGCTCGATAGGGCCTTTCCCCGTGTCCAACATTGCGCAGACAAACCTCATAGACCCGGTCACCTACCTGCCCGTCGACAACTTTGCGCGCAACCTCGAGAACAAGTTCGCACAACTGGTACTCGCCGTCATGTCCGAGCCCAAGCTCAACCCGGCCTTCAACGTGTCCGTCCCCTGCACGGTGCGCGTAGCCGTCCAGCGGTGGGAATACCGACCCTTTTGGCTGGCCGTGTCGTACGGCGCAGGCGCCGCCGTCGCCCTCGCAGCCGTTGCCGCGGGCTCGTACGCGTTCCGCGCAAACCGCTACGGCGTGAACATGTCGTTCAGCAACGTCGTCGCCATGACGCGGAACCAGGAGCTGGACGAGCTGATGGAGGGGTGCTCGCTCGGCAGGGCGCCCCTGCCGGCGCCTGTCTTGCGGAAGAGGCTGCGGTTTGGCGATATTACCGAGCTGACTGCTGCTCGCAGTAGCGGCGATGCGAGACCGGTGAGAAGGGCAGGGTTTGGGTCTGAGACGGCGGTCCGGCCAATCGCGGTCGGTGCCAAGTATGACTGATGGATGTGGCAAGAATTCCTAGGCACCCTGGGCACTTGGGGCGTTGGCCTTCTCAGCTAGGAAATTCAGTATGCTGGCCTGCCGAAAATGGTAATTAGGGTGAGTAATAGAGGTGAGCCAGCCTGGGCAAATCCTGAGCAGGGGCTGATCCGAGCCTAAGCCAGGGTGAGTAATGAATGTTACATGCGCACGGGCTACGAAAATGGAAATTTTGTGAGTCCAGATTCGTCACACGTTACATTAAGATCAAGGCCCTACATGAACGCACCACCAGGATCTCTTGAAGACTGGCGAGGAAAAGGGGCTCTCAAAAACACTTTCAACCAACGATGTGCGCAGAAGGCCTGCCGCTGGCCACCGGAGGTGTGACACTTTTACCGCCCAAGGGGCTCGCTAGCGACATTTGAAAGCCAATAGTGGTCTAGTCTAGACATATGACCGTTATCTAACCAACTTTCGAGGATTCAAAACATAATTGGCTGTTTCACTCTGTGCTGGCAGCGTTGTTGGCGTGAGCTGGCTCCCGTGGACGTCCATCACGTCACACACTGCAGAGCTATTAGGTCATGCAATATTCCGGGACCCCGGATTGGAACGACTTATAAGCCCGGTACGTAGTCTTTCCCCGAGGCGCTCGCTCTACTTCCGACATCACTGCATATCGCTGTTCCACCCGAAGCGGTGATTCGGTCGTGTTGGTTGATATTCCTGGCTTTGGTGACGACAGTGATACCGACGATGACATCAGCCCCGGCGACATTAGCACTGGAATCACAATCTACCTCGAGAAGCTGGACAAAGCCAATGCTATAACTGCAGGGACTATATGCATGCACCAGATAACCGGGAATCGGATGACGAAGCAGGACAAAGACAGCCTGGAGTTGTTCGGAAGCCTGGAGTTGTTCGGCAGCCTGGGGTTGTTCGGCAGCCTGGTCGGGGAACAAGCGGTCTGCAACGTCGTCGTCGCTACGACTAAGTGTGAAAAGCTAGTCAACAGGGGCGAGGGCCTGGACAAGATGAGACAGCTCCAGACGGAATAGGCTGTTTTAGGTGCTTGGGCCGCATGCCATATATTCCAGTGCAAATAATCCACCCTGTCGTTTTTTATAGTGCAAAGAGACTCACTTAAACGAAAAAGCGGAATCTACGAGCTCGGGTATACAGCTGGTGGTTTCGAAGAGATTGGACGCTACAGGAGCTCGTTGCGCCAAATATCGTCGTTTTTTCTCAATCTCTCATGGAGCGGGATAGGCACCAAGGCTAGCCAGCCTCTTGGACACCATCAACGACAATACAGGAATGATAAACAGTCTTGTTTCCCATGCAAACCCCTTTCCTGATTATTACTCGATTTTTTAATACCGAGTTTGAACCGTGGAAACCCCTTTCCGTCAAAAGCAAATTCGTTTGATGGATCCGCGCAAAGAGTATGTCTGCTCCTGCCAGCCCCGTGGGTCGATCCATCTGAATGTAAAGATGAAAAGCTTGACTTTGGATTGCACGGCTGATTGATGAGGCAAGCGCGGGCGGGGGCTACCTCACCCTGCCTTGGTCAAAGTGAGGGAGAAATTGCGCTCCACATCACTGCAGGTCCTTCACCGCAGCCGGCGAACCTCACCAGCGGACCACCGCCGGCAGGACTCGACCCGCGGCCATCATTAGGTCCCGAAAGGCCTCCGTGCCGGGACACGGAGTCTCGAAGGCCGGAGGACTCGAGACATGGTCACAACTAGTATAGATAGCTGTAATCGTGCCCACGGTGTCAGAAAGAACTCTTGTTCTTCACGCAAGTAATTACATTGTTCATTCGCGCCCCTTTCTGGGCGCAGGCGGTAACAGATACCCCTGACGTATCTTACGTTACAGATACATTTTCGGGGTTATCTGTGGAAAATCCGGTGGCTAGGTGCAGAAGCCCTTCAAGGCCACGTAATCTATTGCGTTGGCTCAGCGCCTTTGGCCGTAACCGAGTAAGCCAATCAAGCCACTGACTCGCAAGATTATTACGCCTTCAAGCCAACGGTTTTCCATCATCCAGCCAGACCGCTGCATTTCCTCTACACACCACCAGTCAGTAGAGTCAATCCATCACTGGCTTGCCATCCATAAGAGAACCTGGCCTGTTAATTTCAGGGCATTGATCACATGATTCGACGCTTAATCGGGATCACACGCCGTGGTGGATGTTAAAAAGTATCTTGGCCTCGAATGTTAAACCTCAATGCCATGCGATAGGGTAAATAAACGCATTTGTGGCGTCCATGTACGCCCTCGCAGCGTTTCTTACAACCCTATGCCGTGCACGCCGAGAAGTTAATTTTTTTTCCTCTGGGCATACCTGACCTCAGGCCCGAAATCTTCCACAAAATATCACCTGTTTAGACGCGCGACGCATTCACGATGAGCGCTATGGCCACCACTAATGGCTCTCCCCGGTTCCTCGCTTTTCCCCCAGAGATCCGCAACAGTATCTACCGACTGCTCCTTCGCCACCGAGCCGCCCTGATGAAGGGACTGCATGAAAAAGAACAATGGTCAAGCTACCCAGTGAAGCTGAGCGCCCAATTGCTCCGAACATGCCGACAAGTCCGCGCCGAGGGCCTGCCCATCCTCAACGGTGAAAACACATTCAAAATCGAGATCTCCAACACCAAAGGCCCCTACTACTGCAGCATCAACAGTCTGGAGGAGCTTTCTAATGAGGTTTATTTCCTCGATAGGCGACCGCACATGGCTGAGCGTCTGCCGTGCTTGCGAAGGTTTGAGATTGAGGTTCGGCACACACTAGACCACGTGATTTCGATTGCGGGATAGAGCGCGCGAAGTTGTTGCACAGCTCGGGTACATCTAAAAGCCCTCCCGGGAACATAAGCGAGATCCATACATGATGTACCCATCCGCGCCGGAGTGATTACCTTGGTACCTTTGTTCTCTAAATCTACAACCCGCCCATTCAACCGGTAGCGCCATACCGTCCACGACCTCGGATCAGGCTCGCGCCGACGACAGAGGTGTCTCCCTTTCGTCTTTCGACACGCCCCTACCTCCTCCAGCAACACATATGCCGGGGGAATGCCTGCTGCCATCGCCATCTGCGGATCAACTTCGCCACCTCCTTCGGAGACATGCTCCTATCCGGAACCGACGCCTGAACCTCGATCCCCAAAAGCCGATTCACCCCCGCCGGGAAGATAGGCGTAGTCTTGATACCTTGTTCGAAATATAACAGTCTACAGATCGAGATGACCGTAGGCTATGTCCCGCTCGTTAACTGCTGCCCCAGCCCTTTGTATAACTCCTGAGGACTGGAGTCCTCTGGCTCGCTCTCTCGGATGATTTTGTAATCTTTCGGTATTCGTTCCTCGAAGCCGCCTTTAACTCCAACTGTGAGAGACCAGCATGTCAGCAAAGAGCTACCCAACGAGGGAACAGAGCACGAAAAAAAACCAAAACCTCACAGGCGTTGAAGTAAATGCACTTGATGATTGTCGGCGCCCAGACCATAACGGCAATGAGCTGGCCAAACCCCCATTTGCCAATGTCACCAATCGAAACGTTTTCGAGGACGAGAATGAGCTGACTGAGGTGGTACCCAACGAGGCAAACGAGGGCAAACTCAATAACAAGCCAGTACGCATTGCCCAAGACCCTCCAGACCTTGCTTTTCCTTCGCACAATGCCCTCATACCGATTGAGTTTCGTGCATAGACGCTGTCGTAGCGTCGGATGCTGTGTTTGGAGGCTGAAGTTGAGTTGATCGATGAACAGCCCGACCCATGTCAAAGAGCCGAGCCCAGAAATCACGAACCCTACTACGTCATTGTCGAGGTAGCCGGTGTCCACAGACTGTCCGCAGTACGTCATAGGGCTGGGGTTATTACCACACAGAGGTAGCGGTGCGTCGTCCTTGAACTGCTCCCATAGCAACTCGACAGGCGGCATAAGCTGATCTCGGATAGCGAACATGTTCAGGGCGAGGATGAAGCTGATCGTCATGATGCTAAAGATGTACCACCAACGCATGCCGGCCTTGTGAAGGGCGCACTGAGCTAGGAAGATGCAGCCCATGCTAGAAATATTTAGGAAGGCTGCTAACCCAGAGTTGAGAATAACGGCGGCGTACGAGCTGTTGTTGTTGCCCAAAGTATTTGTCAAATGGGGATTGTAGGCGATGATGGTTGCAATCTGGGCCGAAATGATGAAGTAAATCTGCACCTCTTGAAACTCCATGAGGGACGCAGTGACGGCGGTGCCAAGCCTCGATCTCTCCAGCTGGCTCTGGACTGCTGCCAGCCTATCCTGGAATTCATCCTTGCTCTGGCGGGTGAGGCATCTGAACGGAACACCAACGTGACGGACCCACGATCTCGAGATCTTCAGTATCAACCAGAACAAGACAACGAGGCTCGTCTGGAGGAAGTATGAGAGTAAGACCTAGACAAGGCGGCGTGTTAACGCTCGATGCCATCGCGCTTGCGACGAAGAACCTACCCCGGGTCCAGCAATATCAGTATTGATCTCCAGGCCTACCCCATCGCAGTAATGGCCCAACCTTGACGAGATAAGCGCCAAGTTATCCGCCTTGATTTCGACGCTCCCCAGGTCCTGCACATTCTCTGCGCACTCTCCCAACCTTGCAACGGTGCAAGACTGCGGTATGCACTGGGCCACACGCGTAAACACATCGATAGCGTTGTATGTAGATAAGTCGGGAACATGCCAGAAACCGATCGCCTTGGCAGTCTGCGCATCCGACCGGTCCACCGAGTACGTCCCGTTTTGCACTAGCAGGGCCGCGCCGGCCAGCGCGGCGCAAGCCCGGAGGTTTGTCGGTGTGAAGAGAAAAGACGGGTCAGAGCACGCCTCGGTGCAGTTCGGGGAGCCCGATAGCGTCTTGCAGTCGCCGGGGCCGAAGCCGAGTCTCAGCTGCTGTCGAGCCGACGACGTCTCTAGCAGCCCATCGAGCCGTTCGGGCACTGTTTCGAAGAACGGGACGGACGACAGCCCGCCCAAATTGCCAGCGTCGAACCAGCTGTAATCGAACCCCTTAAACCAGTCGTAGCTCGGTGCGGGGTCAATCCCCATGACGAGCGGGATTCGAGACATTGTCGCGTGTTTGACCAAGGTTTGCCTGCTGGCAGGTGCGCGTGTCCCCTGGAGTTCTGGCGCGTTGTTGTGGCAAGGGTTTCATGTCGTGTGTCGTGCCGCCGGTTTCTTGGGATCCATGCAGCAGATCCCTGCCCGAAATGGGTACCAGCAGGCAACCACAGCAGCATAACGTCCCATGGCGGGGTATGACGTATGTGGGCGTGCATGGGAGCTTGCGATACGTGAAGATGTGCGACAACTATTCCATCACCCGAATCGCAATCTACCTAAATTTTCAGAACACAACTTTCAACAGACCTATTTTTTTTTTCGCAAAGCTGCCTATAAAAACGAGCATTGGTACGCGCACCCACCATTTTGGTATGCGCACCCACCGTTTTGGTTTGCGCACCCACCTGTGGGTCCATGGCAGATCATCACAGGAGCCGTTTTTGTATGGTAAAGGCCGAATTTCAATGCAGCTGCCCATCAAGCTAGCAGAAGCCATCCGCCTTACATTGCGCTAAGCCCTCTCAAAGCCGATCCCCAGATGGGCTCTCCTTCTTACAAGCCACTACTAAATAAGTAGAATAGGCCTAAGGAGGGAAAGCCGTGACGCTGGGTGGATTGGCGATGGCAGGGGGGGCCTGGCTTATCGATTGGCACCTGGGCACTGGGCACTGGACAGGGAGGTTTCTGAATGCGCCTAAAAAAGTGGTTGTTAGTGCGACGGAATCTGCCTGGCCACGCCTGGAAAGCTTGTCTTGCTGTTTCCTCCCTATCTCCCTCTGTCATCCATGCGAGGATCTCATCCATGCGAGAGGTCACATGACCAAATTCAGAATATGCAGATTAGGTACACCAATGCCTGACAGTCGTTGAGGCAGGAAAGTGTGTCAGATTTTCAGACTGTGGAGGTAATTTCCAGGATCAGCTGACTGTTACGGCACGGCTGAACTATGGTCCGTGGTACCGCAACCATGCCCTGGCTGCAGGCTCCACCCCCCAGCCCACCCTTCCCAATTGGGACTAGCCCAATTGCCCCTCTCCCTACCACAAAACCACGGCCTGCAGGAACTGCAAGCTTCTTTTCCTTTTCCTTTCCTTAGCTTAGTTATTTACGAATTCAGTCATTCCTTACTTGCAGCCTTGACTCTCGTTTATGCCTGTCTTCACACTGACAAAGCCGCTGTTAAGCCACGTACGATTGATGCGCGATGTTGAACATGGCAGGAGCGATGCCTTGGAACTGAGAGAAAGAACGCACAGGAGGGATGTGGCCAGCATTGGGCCGGAATTTTCGGACTTATTGAGCACACATCTTATGCGGCTGTCGACGACTACGAGGTCTCCATGTTCCACTATGAAGTGGCCATCAACAGAAGGCTGCGGCCTGTCTTTTTTCTTGGGCTTCGTAAGGCACCTCAGGCAGCAGCAAGCTAATAATGGCGGCTATCTTCTGAGAGATTTATCGCTTCCCGCAGCTTCAACCCCGCACTTTCCGTCGGAAGAGCTGAGGACCACGTCATGACCTAGACCAACATGGCCAAATATGCGCCTCTCGATGCAACGAGGAGAGAGATTCGACTTCTTTCGCTTTGCCCTGGAACAAATACTGAGCCGCTAAGATGCTCGCTGAGTGTCGTCAGCCTGGATCATGTCCAGAGCTACGAGGTCAGTTCGGCCATGTGTACAGCACATGTTTGCATCCCACTCACTATTCAAGGCGCTCTCGTATGTCTGGGGCCCGCAAACCCACACACGCAGGTCGCACTGGACGGCAATCCATTTCCAGTCACCCAGAATCTGCACTCGGTCCTGCGGAGACTGCGTCGTATCGATGAATCGCGCACCCTTTAGGTCGATGCCATCTGCATTAACCAGGCTGACGCGGCCGAGAAAAACGTTCAGGTAGCGCTGATGAGTGCCATCTATTCCAACGCGATCGGAGCACTTCTTTGGCTGGGTGAGGAGCCAGAGGTGCCCGTCGCTACCGTCAGCGCCGTTGAGGCGGCGATGTGGACCGGTCTACTTGCGGAGACGGACAAGTTTCTGGCCGAACTGACGTCCGCTGCGGATCAGCGGCAATGGCTAGACGAAAACACGACCAAGCTCTCGACCGAGCTACGAGCAGCGATCCAAGCTCCTGTCCATCCAAGCTCCGATGATTTCGTGATTACACACACTCGCCCACATGCCTGGTACGGCGACGAGAGGGACTTGCCTGCTGTGACCGGAGCCTGGGCCGACCCCAGTCTCGCGCAGGACAGTATCTTCCACGCCTTCGCGCTGTTCCGCCTCCTCGCGTTTGACTGGCACCTCGGCGCGATCCCCTACCTTGCTGCCGAATCAGAGACAGACTCGCACCGGATTTATAACCCGGTCTCCGCCCGCCTGGCAGCGCAGCGCACTGGCTTGCTACCCGCAGCTGGTGGTCCCGCATCTGGACAGTGCAAGAATGCATCATCCCCACTCGATGCACCTTGTTGTACGGCCCTGTTACCATGCCCTGGGACGTACTGCTCGACGGACTGTTTTCGTTCCAGCGCCACCGCGACACTTGCTGCTCCACCGTTACAGGGGTGCATGACATGCTCAATTTCCCGGTCGAGACGGTGCTGCGGCTGCGAGCGCTCCGGGGTCAGGCCTTACTGGGACAGGGGAGGGTCTCGCTGGCGCAAGTTCTGCCCAAGTTTTGTCATCGCGGGGCCACAGATGCCCGCGACAAGATGTACGCTCTGCTTCCCCTTGTGACGGATTGGTACGGTGCGGCGTCGCTCGTGCCAGCGTATCATCTGTCTGTGGCCGAGGTGTACACCTCAGCCGTTGCCAAGATCATATGTGACAGCGGTTCCCTTGATATCCTCTGCCGGCCGCCCGAACAGGCCGAGCATATGCGTCTACCGGAACTACCGTCATGGGTCATGGATCTGAGTCAGCCCGCGACGGCGGGCGGGACGCTAGACCGATTAGAAAAGCAGCTGACCTTGTACAACGCTTGTGGGGATATCCCGATGAGACCCGTACAGTTTTATGACTGGGGGAAGGTTCTCGCGCTCGAAGGTGCCATGGTTGATATTATCAAGAGTGCTTCAACCATCATGCTGTGCGAGAACCAGTCGGCTGCAAGGGATACTGTCCGGTGGTGGTACGAGGTTGGTGAGGAGGAATTGGGGACCGACCCTCAATGGAGAGAGAAATTTGCGAGAACATTGTGTGGTGATACTGTGCAAGTACCGGGAAGTGAACGGACGGTTGTTGGATTCAGAGAGCTGACGTATCGGAGCTCGATCTTCTTTTTTCGTGGCTGAATGATACCGAGGTCCCCCATGACACGAGCTCCCTAAGCCATCTCGTCAAGGCAACGACACAGATGCGGGCGTTTGTGGTTTCGACTGAAGGCCGGACAGGGCTAGTGCCGAGCTTGGCGAGATTAACATTTCCCAGGCCAGACCAGATTTTCCTCTTTCCGGGGGGCAGGACCCCTTTCGTCTTGAGAGATGTTGGTATAAGAGACATTCCTGGCGTTGGGCTGAAACCTTGTCACCAGTTTCTTGGAGATTGCTATCTGGACGGAGTGATGGACGGCCAAATTGTAGCGCGGTTGTTAGATGGGAAGGAGATGGTATATATTGTCTAGAATATACGTGACAAGTGGATCTATGGATCTAACAATTGGTAGACAATCAAGCACTTTTCACCACATGGGCGTGGCCTCCAACAATGGTGCCCACTAACAGGTCTTGACCTGTTATACCAACCCAATTCAATCATTGCGATCGCCACTCGCCTTAGGAAAGCGAAGAGATGGATCCAATGCCCTATCAATATTGAGGTACGCGCCCACCGCACCCATAGACTTGTCTATTAAAGACATCGAGAATCTTCGCCAGGTTTCTGATTTCATTAAGAATTAGCCACAAACTCGTTGGATTACTAAGACTAACAAAGAAGACTCCGACGTACTACACGATTTCCTTGAACTTCAACCGTTGGTGACCGCATCCGAAGTTTCAACTTCATCGCGATATAGTCGTACCTCGAGTAAGTCTAGATTGCCAATCTACCTAGCTTCATGGACTCTGAACCTATAAGTTCTAAAGAATATCTTTACCAAGTTCATCAAATATCAAAAGTAACTGGAAACTATTATGCTATCGTCGTCTATAGATCTATTAGCCGAAGCACTAGTCCCAATCGTCCGACTTCTACTAAGATAGACTTTAGTAGCGCGTACCCCGAACGAACCTTCCGTTTCTACTAAACGTGGTGACCCAATAAGGAAATCGCCCCCACCACGAAATCTCTGCCCCTGTCATCTATTTTCCCACCCTATAACTTCATCAAATCAAGCCCAAATTGCTTCCAAATAGGCCATGTCGGACCGCCGCGAGCAGCTCATTGAAGCTGCAGTATTTGCTGTTGAGCAAGGCGCTTCGCAGAAGGACGCCCTCAATTTACATGGCATCCCTGCCTCCACCCTCTGCAAACGCATCCATGGCGTAGAAAATCGAGAAAAAAGTAAACAGACGGGAAGAGTAAACAGACGGAAAGAAATGTCTCCGATGCGCAGGAAAGCTTCCTAGCCGACTGGTGCCTCATGAGGAAGCTGCAGGGCGTGCGCCTAGCCGTCGTCAGGTCCAGAGATTCGCTCACGCTATACTCAATATACTCAATGAAGCTGGCACGAAGAAGTGGTGGGCGAGCGATATGTGCATCGCTTCCTACGCCCCAACCCGGCGGTAAAAAATGAAGAATTCGGCCTTGTTGGGATCCTCTCGCGTCAGAGGCTCTACTCGTGAGGTTTACGAAGACTTCTACAAGCGCCTGGCCTTCCAGATCAAGGATAAAAGATCAAACCGGCCAACATGGCCGACATGGACGAGCACAGCATGCAGGAGCTTGGAAGTATGACTACTCAACAACAGGCTGGAGCAACGCCAAAATCGCTTTAAAATGGCTCGAGGTCTACCTGATCCAAACAATGCCCCAAACGCCGGGCGAATGGCGTATATTGATCCTTGAACGTTCGAGCCATACGGACGAAGATGGAAATGAGAAATTTACACGTATTCAGGACATTGACAAGGCCCAAAAAGCCAGTCAAATGCCCCCCAAGCGAAAAAGACCGGCCCGGGCACCAAATCAGCCACATGCAGTCGAAGAAGCCCGGGAAATAATCGCCCGTGGGCTTGAGCAATACAGAGAGGCTGAAGAAGAGGATTGAGTACTTTTTGGATAGCTATTTTGTGTAGAAATGGATAATTTGCGCCCGTGGGGTAGGTGTGGACATGGTATAAGTCAATTTCGTTAATGGTCATTCGTTTTAGTACCACTCGGGAGCCTAAAAAAGCCCGTGCGGTTTATTAGGGTTGTAGGTAAACCAACAAACTTTATAGCGTAGCCGGCATCGTCAAGCAACTTCTTCGCAGCTTGGAATGGCGTATATCGCAAACTTTCGAAAACGAAAACGTCATTTTCGTAGCTATTTGTCTGTGAAAATGAGGTCTGGAAAGGCCCCACGCAAGTCTTTGGCAATCTCCCTATCGGGTATAGCTAGGCGGTCGATATATACGGCGATAGCCGTTCTATATTTAGGACCAAAAATAACTTTGGACCGCAATAGGTTAAAGTCCCGGTCGCTCGGTAGATGATTTGTATACTCCGTATAGTCGGGATAAAGCTTGAAGGTCTATTTCTATTACAAACCACTCGACTGTTAGGGTCGTCTGTCTGTAAGGGAGCACGGGCTCCACTGAATGCTGGGGTTGGTAATTATGAAGATAGAACAAAGGGCAAGCTCCTATCGCGCGGGTAATACAGTCAAATCGGAATGCCACTCAAAGTGTATGAGTGCAGTGAATGTGTATTGCTTGCTTGAAGAACCAAGCAAGAACTACCTAAGACCGGTGCCACGGTCATCGTATATATCTATCTAAGCTGGGCCAATTGGAGCGTTGCTCTGTTGCTCTCTGACAGAGCTACAGAGCATTGCTCTGTTGCTCTCCGACAGAGCTACAGAGCATTGCTCTGTTGCTCTCCGACAGAGCTACAGAGCAGCCAACCAAACTGTTGCTCTGTACTCCACCGTGCAGAGCAAATGCGGGTCCTTCTGCTCTGTTCTCCACCGAACAGAGCAACTGTGGGTCCAAGCCCCTCCTTTAACGTGACTAGCCGAGGCGGGTCCAGCCACCCCTGCCCTGCTTCCCAACCAGTACGAACAGGGATTCGTGACAATTTCCTATCGTTGGAAACGAGGGCTTTGGCTACGCCCTACCAGCCGTAGCCTCTGCAATTGTTCGTAGTTTTTTTCACTGTTACCCTAGATTGCTGGGTTCTTCCACGCTGGCAGCCAATATCTACTCCGGTTACGCCGAAGCTCTTAGCGTAATTGGAGGCTCGTATTTTGAACGTATTAAAGCGCGTAGAAGCGAACCATTCCTTCAGATCGTCGATAAGATCATTGAGGCTATTATATTTGGTATTAAGAAGCCTATGGCCGGCGTACGGGGTCGAGATTGGTGGTACCAGCAGCGTATTTTTGCTGCGAAGGGCAAAGTCGACCAGATCGCTTAGATATTCAAATGCGAATATTAGTACGCCTAAGTCGCCAACCAAGCGAAAGGTAATCCCGCCTATCTTAGTCTTTACTCAGTATATACTAAGCCCATATTTAGCGCGGTCCATCGCCCCCTCGTCGTAATAATAATAAGGAGCCCGAGACACCCACTATTACAAACCACTCGACTGTTAGGGTCGTCTGTCTGTAAGGGAGCACGGGCTCCACAGAGTGCTGGGGTTGGTAATTATGAAGATAGAACAAAGGGCAAGCTCCTATCTCACGGGTAATACAGTCAAATCGGAATGCCATTCAAAGTGTATGAGTGCAGTGAATGTGTATTGCTTGCTTGAAGAACCAAGCAAGAACCATCTAAGAGCATGGACACGATCGTCGTATATATCTATCTACGTAACCAATAACAGTGGTTCCGTTGTCCCGTGGTCCCGCGTCCGGGTCACCGCCCGACCGGACCTGTCCCGCGTCCCCGAGCTCCAGAGCTCGGAACTCTGGAACGCTCCTGATTGGCCCGCGCCAAAAAGTGCATGCCCCACCTTTGTGCATAACCACAGGGAATCCACAGGATTCGTGACACCCACGCGTAAAACCCAGCCCCTGTCACGGCAAGTGCAGACAACTGGCTGGATTGGTGGGTCTCGGTCTGGCCCTACTTGGCTACACTGGATTTAAGCGGTGGTCTGCGCACACCACAACTACGCGACCTACAACACAACCTACTTCCTTTGCGCTCTGCCTGGGCCTTGGAAGCTTCTTTCCTTTTTTCCTTCTTTAGCTTTAGATTCTACGAATACAGCGACTACATTGCAGCCTTGCCTCATAACAGTATTACAAACCACTCGACTGTTAGGGTCGTCTGTCTGTAAGGGAGCACGGGCTCCACAGAATGCTGGGGTTGGTAATTATGAAGATAGAACAAAGGGCAAGCTCCTATCGCACGGGTAATACAGTCAAATCGGAATGCCACTCAAAGTGTATGAGTGCAGTGAATGTGTATTGCTTGCTTGAAGAACCAAGCAAGAACTATCTAGGACCGTGGCACGGTCGTCGTATATATCTATCTAAGGCGGACCAATCAGAGCGTTGGTCCTAGGTGATCAGTGCGGTCAGTGTGCTCAGTGCGATCAGTTCCCACTGATCGCCCTGATCATACTGATCGCGCTGACCGCCACGCTATTGGCTGCACTCCCGTGAAGCGGGGAACTACCCCGCTTCCTTGCGCCAGCCAATAGCAGGAGGCTCCGTGCAGCCTCCTGCGAGCCTGAACCAGGATCGTAACAAACAGTTCACTGTGCGGTGACAGCCCCGCACTAAGAAGGCCGCTTCTGCTACCAAGACTTATCCCAAGTACATACCAGCATATAGTCAGTCTTACTACCGGAGATGCTAATAATAGGTAGAATATAGCCGCTCAGCTGAGGCAGTAGCTCCAGCTACCCCCCTGACGGTGCTACCCTCCTCGATGGTGCCTCTATGAGCGTTTAAGCTCATTATATATTAGGCTGTTACTTGTCACGGCCGGCTTGGAATGAGGGCGGAACTCCTCTATTGGGCGCTATAGTATTACAAACCACTCGACTGTTAGGGTCGTCTGTCTGTAAGGGAGCACGGGCTCCACAGAATGCTGGGGTTGGTAATTATGAAGATAGAACAAAGGGCAAGCTCCTATCGCGCGGGTAATACAGTCAAATCGGAATGCCACTCAAAGTGTATGAGTGCAGTGAATGTGTATTGCTTGCTTGAAGAACCAAGCAAGAACTATCTAAGACCGTGGCTACGGTCGTCGTATATATCTATCTAAGGCGGACCAATCAGAGTCCTTGGTGTCTGCGCTCCGCGGGTCCAGGGCGCTCTGCTCGCAGAGCGCAGGGGCCCCACAGAGCGCCCGCTCCGTCCGCTCTGCTGGTCTTGGCAGCTAATCAGACAGAGCGCTTCCTGGTTGGCCGCACCCACACGGGGTGGGGTCTGTCCGTCTCCACCACGTCACCCAATCACGGGGCGGAAGCAGGGCGCCTCATGCACCCTGAACCAGGATCGTAACATATAGACGAAGATTCTAAACTAAAGGGAAAAGGGAAAAGAAGCTCAAAAGCCTCCCCTCGCGAGATTCTTCCAGGGCGTCTCAAGGTGGGGCTCTGGCTGGTCGGGTGGATCCACCCAACTGGCGTCTGATTAGTCAGAGCGTCTGGGAGGCCTGGAGGACCAGGCCCTCACATTACTTAGTTTGCCCCCTAGTTTAGTAGACGGAGAATGGAATAGCACGGACTTGGCAGATAAATAGACATTAAGGTTAATCCTTAATTTACACTAAACCTATATGATTCTACTTCTACTCGTAGTATACCCCGTGCCTACGATTCTACGCTCTTATCTCTTCTAACTCTGCCGTGTAACCACTAGACACAGTAGAAGAGGCCACGCAAACCAATCGAGTATGAGACTGGCCGAAACCCGCATGATCAGAAGCGTATGTCGACCAATGGGTTTGCTGGACGAGACATCGCAGGAGTTGACAGACGTGGTGGCGCAAGGCAGCTACATAGCTACTTGGCGCCATGCCCTCCTTGCATCTCGATACCGGGTTCTCCACTACATCGTCAACAGAGAATATCTTCACGGCCACCATGGCGGTGTACAGATCCCCGAGATTATCCAAGCCACCGAATTTCCGAGTCTCGTTTATGCTGTCTGTCCAACAGGTGAATCAACCAAGCCAGCATGTTCAGTTCGTTGGCAAGTCGGACCGAGGAAGCTGTCTCGGAAGAGATCTGCGAGCATCTCAAGATCGTAATGTCAGGTAGCAGCACGTGACAACAAGGTTGCACTGCCTCGGTTGCAGCTGCCTCGGTAGCTATAAGGGGCCTAGCGGGCCCGCCTCGTGAAGCTCGCGATATGCCTCTGCCGCGTGCCTTTTGGTGTAGAGGCTCCTGCTGTTGACTAGCCTGCTCGGCCGCATCGCGTACGTCTCGACGCGCTCATACAAACCACCCTATCGCAGAAAACCACTGACACCAACTCGTCCCGCGCATACCGCAGCCTAAACCGCGTATATCACGCCGTCATCTCCATTTAAGCCCTTTCTTCCTGTCGGCAGAAGTCTCATCGACTGCAGCAATGACCCCGGAGCAAGTCCAGTAGTTTCTGAAGATTGTGGTGAACGTTTGAGGCAAGTATCGTCAAACGCTTCAAGCCCTGCCGCTCCTGCGAGAGAAGCACCCCGAAGGCGGTAAGAGTCGCTCCGATTGAGCCATTCTCCTGCGTTTACACTAGCCCCAGAGCATCGTGGGCGGCGCACTGACAGGGCAGTTCAAATTGGCGTCCCCAGATAATCCCCCAGGAACCGCTGCCCGAGCTCGGCACACGGAGGCTCGAAAATATCGACCCAGGGCATCTGGCGGATATCTGCCATGATTTCGACCCACGACGCCGACCTCGGCTCTTTCATCTCGCTAGCTATCATTTCTATCGAAGTTACGAGGTTCTTATCACTAGGTTCACTGATGCTGCAGAGAACGAGAAGCCAAAGGCGGACGAGGCGTAGGTTGGGGCTGTTCCAGACATGCTGCGCATTAGACTTGCTCGATAGCATCTGAAGCAACGTTGAGATACGTGTTTCGGCAGTTCCGGGATAGGAGCGACACCTTCGCTTCACCCGTATAATCCAGATCACAGCGCCAAGCCGAAGCGCCTCCGAAATGATATCCCAACGTGTTACTGGCTCGGATCTCAATGGTTGGTCCAGCAACTGGTAAGTGACTGGATTCATGAGGAAGCCCATCTGCTCTCCATCATCCCAGGTGGCATTACCTCTGGTCGCCAGCTCGAATCGAACAAGTGCAGCGAGCGCGTTCAGATCACCTATACAGGACGCGGCGTTCATGAATCGCGCATTTTGTGTGTTTTCGTCGTCCATGATGCCGAGTAGCGGAGCGGGCAACGTGTCTAGGCCTGAGTCACGGAATACGCAGGCGCTGGCCACGGGAGCGGATAATGGAAACAGTGGTTTTGTGTCGTGGAGCAATGCTGCAGTAATGTCCACCCTAAAGTGACTTGTCAGTTTCTACAACAAATCCCCAGCAATTGCATAGGTTATCAGATGTCGCCGAGCCGTACCATGAAATCATGAGCATCAGGTCCTGGTTGGCCTCCAAGGTAGAGATGCCACCTCTTGCCGTAATCACTGTCCGCATGCCCTTCACATGGATCATGGCCTGGTCAAAGTCCAGACTGGTAAACTGATCTCAAAGCTTTAGCTGCCTGGATTTTTCTCATTTGCTTTAAGCGCCACGGCTCCCAAGGTAGAGCTTACATTGTAGCAAACCAGTGCCAGCACTGCATGGAGTACGCTATCAGACGTTGCGCTTCTTGCATCAGAGCTGGAAAGCCTGGACTCGACGCACTGGATGGTTTCTAAAGAGCGTTCCAGCGCCAGGGATCGCAACTCTCGGGCGGATCTGCGGTATAGTGGGATGAGGACGTTGGGTGAAGTGAAGATTTGTTGGTAGTGATGAAGGAAGGCGGATTGTCTGAAGGCGAAGGGGAACCAGAAGGTGTTTGTCGAGGAAGCTGTGGCCCAGCTTGGTCAGCAACATTGGTGAGGTGAGGGTTGAAGTCGATGGAGGACTTGGGTATCCTTACTGGAGCCCATTGCATTCCTTCCTGCGACCATGATTAAGGTGAATCCATAAGCTGAAAACCAGTCCTCTCCCCATTCCTTCTCAAAGACGGATAGTGCATGCAATATGGGCGGAGCCGCAGTATATAGTGCAGTATATTGCGCAGCGGTCTCTGTCAGGACCAAATCCTTCGCAGGAGCTTGCGGGTGGTCGACATCTCGACTGGTCGAATGCTCACCTTGGCCGGTCCTCGACAGCACCCCTGGCGTTTCTGCCAAGGACCATACGGAGGTGACGAATTGAGGTGTTTTCGATGGCTTTCTGCGGGACATGCCAATGTCGACCATGAGATGGCGACGGACTTTGGAGTCGAGCGACTTGCTGCGGGTGCGACGTTGAGTAATAGGGTTATGAGGACCGGCATGTATGAAGAGGAGGCGTCTCTTCTCGGGGGGGCCCTCCATTATCGGTTTCTGTTAAAACGTACGCAGCGATAGATAGAGAGCGGGCTACTTGTGACGTCGGATTGAAGGGCGTTTGTTGGCGGAATTCTGTTGCTAGTCAGCTAGGAAAGGCCGTACGAGAAATTGGCCTAGGAAACGGTTTACAATGGCTAAAACCAATGTCACGAGAGACGCGAGAAATGCGCCATGCTAGGAAATGAATCGCAACTGTTAATGACGAATTTTAGTGAATCATATATCCAAGACTGCGTAAGATCTTTGCGTATTTCGATGCGATGGCTATTGGCGGCAGCCTGTCCATGGGATCAGCCAAGGAAAACCAGTCGGCTTCCTGCATGTATCCACAGAATGATTTCAAATCAACAGCGTAAACAGAGCGCAAAAGATGATTGGTAATCACCCCAATAATCAATCTCCTGCCCGTCACTGGCCACCATCGCTGCTCCTACACTATCCGTGATTTCCGATACACCTACAAGTCGCATGACAATCCTTGCCATTTCCGATGCACCATTAACCTTTTTCGGCGACTTGAGGCTGCACCGTCGACGTCGGACACGGCTTCCACGGCAGTCCAATCGTATGCATTTCGATACAGTCTTTGGGGTATTCTGATTGGCGCAAAGCGAATGAAACGTGCAACAGGAGTCCGTTTGCCTAGTCTAAGCTGTTTTGGTGACACCATGATCCTGTTTAGGCAACGTCGAAACCGAGAGACTTTGCAATCGCCTCATTCCTAGGCCCAGGGCAGAATGGATTGTCACCTATGTACGGTCCGCATGACTGTTCAGCTTGCGAGTTAATTCATGATCATAAGGGATCCAATGCGTATAAATACGAGTGAGAACCGCCGTGAATGGGAAGGGTCAAAACGTGAAGAGCAGATTCATCACGACTTGCGATCTCACTATTGGCTTCCTCCTGCACGACTTGAACGCTGCGCATCTTTAACTCGGTCCCATATATTGCGCCAACAGCCTACTCGCCTTCGCCCACCATGAGCACAGAGAAGCACGACATTACGCTCTACTGCGAGGGCACCCCCAATCCCCTCAAGATCTCCATTGCCCTCGAGGAATTGGGCTTGAAGTATAACGTGCGATCCCATCACTGCTCCAGGTCTCCCCTTAGAAACAAGAAGGAGCAGAAATCCCTGACATGGTTCCGCACTAGGTACGCACAATCAACCTCTTTGAACATGAGCAGAAAGAACAGTGGTACCTCGACATCAACCCCAATGGTCGCATCCCAGCCATCGTCGTCACGGACGAGAACGGCCAGCAGCTCAAAATCTGGGAAAGCGGCGCCATCTTGCAGTATCTCGTAGACCGGTACGATGTGGACCACAAGATCTCGTATCCTCGTGGGACCAAAGAGCACTGGGAGATGACAAGTTGGGTAAGATTGGCAAAATTCCTATGCCTCATTTGAAGAAGGGTATTTCTAACGGAGACATTGATAGCTCTTTTGGCAGGTGAGCGGCCTCGGCCCTATGCAAGGCCAGGCAAACCACTTTGAGAGTATGTTCTAGCTGTGTGCCGCGGTGATGGAAGGTGAAAACGCGTTCGCTAACCTGGGTTGGATCACACAGTGTCCGCTTTTGGCGACTATCCGTACGCTTTGAAGCGCTACGTCAACGAAACACGCCGCCTCTATCGCACCATGGACAAGGCACTCGCCAAGAATCTCTCCGGATACCTCGTAGGCGATCATCTCACCATCGCCGACATTGCTATTTGGCCGTGGGCCACCGCGTATAGTAGGTCTTTCACCCCACAAACCTCAAAAGCCCCACCCCCTCTCCCCAAACACAAACCCCCTTGAGGGTGCCTATACGCATAAGGGACTAAATTAAAGCGCGCTACAGAGTATAGTGGTCTTTCCCAGATTGACGAGTTCCCTCACGTCAAGGAATGGATGTACAGGCTCCTCGCGCGCCCTGGGTTCGAGAAGGGTCGCAACGTGCCGAATCCTCATATTTACCTTCAGCTCAACGAGCTGCCGGATGAAGAACTGAAGAAGATTGGGAGGGAGAGGTCCGGTTGGATTCAGGAGGCTATGAAGCGCGATGCTGAATGATCTTGGGGTAGTCTGCCGTACGGCTAGGCCGTGGGCCGACCCCATAAGCAGTGGCTTGTGTCATGCTCGTGGCATTGGCTCGGGCTCGGTATACCATCTCCCACCCCCAACCCGATCACCCCTTTTACACCAAAACACTACATATTCGAACAACGACAGCATAGTCAATTGTGAAGCTATTAGCAAGCAGGGAATTGAGCTAGTTAGGTAATTGCATGTGGTTTAAGCTTAATGTGCATTTGTCAGCCCACAGGCCCTACAAATTTTACCTGATCGTCGCAAGTTAATTGCAACTTAGCTTCTTTGTGCTCCCTTGGCCCAACCTTTGGGTGCGTATTCTATTGTACTGCCGCAATGCCTTCCTATACCGATGAAGGTATGGCAAATGCCTACCTAGATGTTACGGATAACAAGCTTTCTATTCGCCAGGCGGCTCAAAAGAACCGCGTACCTTATACAACATTGAACGACAGGCTCAAAGGCATCCCCTCCAAAGAAGAGACTCTCCAGACTCAAAGAAGGCTGACAGAGCCTCAAGAAAAGAGGCTCGTTGAGTGGATCATCAAGCAAGAAAGCCTCGTTTATGCTCCTACATACTCAGCAGCTTGCAGCATTGCTGCAGCGCTCTGTAAAGAAGTAGGGGATCTAGACCCTATAGGGAATAACTGGATTACTGGTGTTACAATCTGGACAACAGGTCCACGGAGCTAGGCCCGGCCTAGGATTGTGGGGGTCTGGACGGCAGGTAGGAGATGACAGGAGACAAGGAGTATCGTGCACAGATTGCGAAAGACAGGCTTTCAACACACAACCAATGTATGCTTAACCAGATGCATTGATAGCTGCAGAACCGTTCTCCAGAGAGAGCGTGCTGCCAGCTCCTATATAGAACTATGAGCAACCAATCAGAGTTCCTGCCTTACATGCTCAGTCGTGCTCAGTCCTAGACGCACTGATCCCCACTGAGCTCCCTACTCAGTGCGCTCAGTGGGTCTCGGCACTGATCCTACTGAGCTCAGCCATGCTCAGTGCACCTTGGCAATGGCCCCACTGAGCACTCCCTAATTGGATGCACCTTCTCTTAGCGAGAGCCCCACCCTAAGTGCCGTTCCAGCCAATCCGCAGCGGGCGGGCAACGCCCTCTGCACCTTTGAACCAGGATCGTAACAGATCTGAGCAAAGGAAGTAGCCCGAGTACTAGAAGGAAGTTCCAGAAGGCAGCCCGGGCCGTTGACAAGCTGTTACGATCCTGGTTCAAAAGTGCAGGAGGCGCTCTGTCCTGCTCCATGATTGGGTAACGAGGTGGGGACGGGCAGTCCCCGCCCCGCGTGGGATGCGGCCAATCAGGAAGCGCCCCGCCCGACTAGCTGCCAAGGCCAACAGGGCGGACAGGGCAGGCGCCCCATGGGGCTCCTGTGCTCTGTGAGCAGAGCGCCCTGGACCCGCAGGGCGTAGACACTGAGGATCCTGATTGGCCCACTTTAGATAGATATATACGACGACCGTAGCCACGGTCTTAGATAGTTCTTGCTTGGTTCTTCAAGCAAGCAATACACATTCACTGCACTCATACACTTTGAGTGGCATTCCGATTTGACTGTATTAACCGTGCGATAGGAGCTTGCCCTTTGTTCTATCTTCATAATTACCAACCCCAGCATTCTGTGGAGCCCGTGCTCCCTTACAGACAGACGACCCTAACAGTCGAGTGGTTTGTAATACAAGCTTCAGATGGACCTGGTTCTCAAGAAGGCTCGTATTGAAGCCCTTAAGGCTGAATTGGAGCGCATCAAGCCTAAAAAACGAAGGAAAATTCCTAACCCGAATAAGCAGTTTATGGACTTAGGGACTATTTTACTAGGTAGCCAGGTTGACGCAGAGCCGGAAGCAGAGCCTCAAGCAGAGCCAGAACCTGATGAGATGGAAGAGGAAGAAGAGGACGAAGATGATGACGATGACGAGGTTTTGCCGGCAAAATGACCCGATCTGGCTGTGCAACACGAAGGCCGGCTCGCTATGATGATTTAGCATGTAATTGCCTATATTTTGCAATATTTGGCTCGCGAATTGCTTCAGGATTGGCTGCATAGTCGTTGTTCAGATATCTACTATTTGGTGTAAAAGTGGTGATTGGGTGGGGGGGTGATCGGGTGGGGGTGGGGGATGGTACCAAGCAAAGGCATTATTCTCGTGAGAGCATAACATCGTAGGCTGTCTATCGGATAGATATTTCCCTTAAAATAGTTATATTATTTGGACAGAGTTCTTCTCGCATCAGTGCGCGCTGTGCGACGCGATTTTCGCTTTGGGATGTGATACAGTGAGGTATCAGATCCAAGTTGTCCGACACGCCCCTAAACTGGCCTAGGAACTTCTCGTCTGTAGACTAGAATAGCCGACTATCCGGTATCCGGAATAGTAGCATGGCGATCCTCTCGAGGCCAACTCCAACTTTCCACGCTAGTAGGTGAGGTGCACACACCACACTTGTCGGCATGCGTTCAATGGTCAATTGAACATTTATTTCCCTTACGTTTGCAGCCACACGCACTCAATCCTAATGATTCAATCCTAATGATTCCGACACAAAAAGTAGCTCTTTCGAATGCTCTTTCTTCCACGCGTCGATGCATGTGTCTTTGGGCATGGCTCGCTAACTCAATAAGGAGTAGCGAGCGACAGCGTGCTTGTCGTAGAACGTAACCCACTGCGCCATACGGCGAAAAGTGTTATTCCACTAATAGCCGCAGAGTTAACAATGATACAACATAGGTTGAGTTTTTTTTCAGTTGGTTGCCAACCTGATTTGGGCAAGCCTATCTGTCCCGTCGAACGCCTCGCTGCCAAAGAACCAATTACAATGTGACGATATCAATGCGCGTTTCACTCTGCAGATGGTTTGATTACCTAGCCCCCTCGAGATCCGTATACATATTCCGTTTAGTGACTGAGGGAATTTTCTCTTACCCCGCGTCGTTCCAAGTCTGTTGTCAATCCACCACGCCTAACCATCATCTACCTCGCTGCGCTGTTGTGCATCACTCTTGTCACCTAGGGCGACCATTCTACCTTAGACTGTCACAAGGCCACTGACAGCCCCTAAAGGTCCTATTTATAGGGCACTGTAGTGGCTAGGTTTGTTACGATCCTGGTTCAAAGGTGCAGTAGGCGTTGCCCGCTCACGACAGATTGGCTGGAGTGGCATTTAGGGCGGGGCTCTCGGCGAAGTGGATGCAGCCAATCAGGGAACGCTCAGTATGATCAGTACGCCCAGTCGGCTCAGTTGGCCTTGGAGCGCACTGAGCACATAGGATAAGGATTCTAATTAGTTATCATAGTTCTATATAGGAGCTAGCAGAACGCTCCCCCTAGGAGAACGGTTCTGCAGCTATCAATGCATCTAGTTAAGCGTACATTGGTTGTGTGTTGAAAGCCTGTCTTTCGCAATCTGTGCACGATACTCCTTGTCTCCTGTCATCTCCTACCTGCCGTCCAGACCCCCACAATCCTAGGCCGGGCCTAGCTCCGTGGACCTGTTGTCCAGATTGTAACAAGGTTGGTGTGGGGGGGGGCGCTATACATAGATTCTTAACCAAGCCCCATAGCACCTCCTCGAATCTACTACAGATCTAGGTATACGTATTCCAAGCCTTATTGACATACTATAGAAGATAGGGCTTATTAATGATGAGTAAGACCTATAGAATCCTCTAGAATGTATCTATAGGCCTATGATAAGGCTTAACGTATTTTATAAGCGAGCGGCGAATTTTCCCCGTGACGCGACCCTTCATCTTTGATCCTCAATTCTACCACAACAAGCTATAGCTAACCTTTCAAAAGAAGCTAGGGTAATCTTCCCTCTCAAATCAATCCAAAATAGTAAAAAACCCAATATTCTTTCCACAGCCAATCTGTATAATGTTTCAGAAACAACACTTCGCTATCGACGCGCCGGTCGGCCTTCACGACGCGATATTCCAGCCAATTCGCAAAAACTCACAGATCTAGAGGAGCATACGATTGTTCAGTATATATCTGAGCTATGTGCACGCGTATTTCCTCCTCGGCTTTGTTTTGTGGAAGATATGGCCAACCGACTGCTACGCGAACGCCACGCATCCCCTGTCGGCAAGCTCTGGGCTCACAACTTCGTCAAACGCTAAATAGAACTCCGGACACGTTTTACGCGTAGATACGACTATCAAGGGGCCAAATATAAAGATCCGAAAGTTATTCGCGAGTGGTTTATATACTAAAGCCAAATACAGAATCCTTAACGAGATATATATAAAAACCTAGGTACGGCACTACCTTGGCTATCTCAGACGCCACAGAACCCCCGAGAGGCCACCTCACAGACAGACCTTATTAAAGGCCGGATATCTAACCATCAAGGTAGTTCTCCAACATCTATGCTGGCTGCTGTGGGCCAATTGCCAAAGGTACAATAGCCGTAGTGCACGAGGTAGTCTTCTGCGTACGGAAGTTCTTTACTACGTAAGGCCAATAAGGGGCTTAGTAAGAGACGAAGGGCCAAAAAAACACGTGTGCGGCTTGGAGGGTCACTTACCGTACAAGAGGCACAGGACCTACTAGGTCAGAAAGCTGTGGGTGAGCAGATAATCCAGGAAACACGACAAAATGGTGGTGGTGCGGGGGGGGCTCGCACGAAGATTCGGTGCTGTGGCCTGTGCGGCAAGCTTGGCCATAATGCACGCACGTGTCAGAAAGCTAGAGAATTGTCTGATTCATCTACTTCTAGTTCAGTTATTGTTATTTCCTAGTGTTGTGATGATTTAATTTAGGATCATTGTGGTAGGTTGGTTAGAAATTCGCTGCTCGCTTATAAAATACGTTATCTTTTCCTATAATTAAATTTATTTCCTACCTTGTTGTGTAAGCAGGTGGTAAATCTACCTGGGCATTAAGAGCCAAGATGCGACTTCACTTAGCTCTATGATCTGATACATGCTTGGACTATGTAGTTTAGATTGGCTGATCGATCCTGGCCGACCGCTAATTGATCCATTACAGTAGGCTGGGATAAATAATCGGGGGAGGCAGAAACGGGGTAGATTTGTCTAAGAATAATTTAGTGCTCTTTAGACAACGTTTCCGTCGTTCGCAGCACAAGTGGCGTTGCATCGACTACCAGCCTTATGTCTCACCGAGTGAGTCATGCGCCGATACAAACAAAAATCATCTACCCAATGCATAGAGGACTATATAATTTGGGGGCCTTCATACTATTCTAACTGCGCGTATACCGTCTCACTCAGCATCGACATTTACCCGCAGCTCTTCTCCGCTTTCTCACCCTCCACAGCCTCTTTTCAATACCCCCTAACCCCCACCCAACACGACTCATCGAGTCTACCAACTGAAAGCCCACCCCATCATGGAAAACAAATGGCCCGCCAAACAAATCAGCGACTGGGTTGTTCAGGGCGCGTTGGGCAAGGAGGCTGTCTGGGAACGGGTGGACAAGGCGGTGGAAGGCAGCTACAACTTTCCATTCGGCGGTGAACCAAAGCCGATTCTGGCGAGCCTCTTCCATTCCCTCTCCACATCGGAGGGTCTTTTGACCGAGGCTACATTTATCGGCCTTCTCCAGACCAAAGTAGATCTTCCACGGTCTCCGGACGGCGTCATCGTTGGCAAGATCCTGTTCTCGAGTCTTGCATACCTCAGTACGGTGCCATTCCCCTCCTCCACCACCACTGCCCCCCCGCGCGGCCGTCTCTCCCTCGCGCAGCTCGCTCGGGCCTTGGTGTGGATCGTCCCAGACAACTATGGATACATCGTAGAGGAAGGCAACTTCTCGCGGCAGCGGAGCAAGGCCGACCACCGCAGGCTAATCTTCCAAAGCCTGGCCTCCCGTCTGGACCGCGAACCTCACTACGACGCCGAAAATGCCCGTCGGCTGGCGCTGCACAACGCGTTCGAGGTAGAATATGAAGCCCGCCGCGAATACTGCGCCCTCAACCACGACGGCGACGGCGACGAGATCTACCACGACCTGCTCGACGTGCTCTACGGCACGCAGATCAAACATGACCCCCGCTATGCCCCGGTCCATCGAGACGACTTCCGACCCGTGGCAAAGCAGATCGCGGCAGAGAATGACCTCGACCGACTGTACGCCCTCGGCATCCCGGTCGACCGCTTCGTGGCCCTCGTCAAGCTTCTGCTGGACTTCCAATTCACGCAGTCGGACGAGAACGACGACGAGAACCGCGACTTGGGTCCATCCCGATTCGATGCCGCCGCGCGCTCCGTCTGCGCCGCTTTTCATCATCAAAATGCCGTGCAAGGAGATGACGGTGCGACATCCGCCGTTATTACCTGGCCCATGTTCGACCATGGGCTGAAAAACGTTGCGCCCTACCTGTTCGACCCGCTGTACCACATCATCTCCACCGTGTTCATGGGCAAGCGCGGCCCCGGCATCTCGTACCTCCTCGACGCACCGAGCCCGCTACCCAGCGGCACGCCACTCACCATGGTGCTCCTGAGCCAGCTGACTACATTTCTTGGCGGGTCCGCTGACTTTGCCTCGTTCCGCCGGACCTTGCACTACTCGGCCTCTGATGACCTCCCGAAGACGGCCAGCGAGCTCATCAAGGCGATGGAAGCAATTTCCGAGGAGGCTGTGATGATGCTCTCAGCACGATCCGAGGGAAGTGGAGAGACGTACGTTTTCGGCGTGTTTAGTTACAAGCCCCAGCAGGATGTTGGCAGCATCCAGACCAATGTCATCCCATCGTACGTGGGCCAGGAGCGATGCGCCATCTTTCAGCTCGCTCCGGTTCAAGACATCTTTCGAGGCGTTGTTGGCAAGCCGGGCTGGACGGTGACGGGCAGTGATACTGTGGTGTTTGGACAGCCTGGCGGTGGCGGTGTGGTATTGATGCTGGAGGATGGGTTGCGCTCTGTTGACATCGCACACCAGGTTCCAATTACTGAGGGTGATGGTAATAGCGGTGGTTACGTCTACGAGCCAAATGTGTGGCGAGGGAACTGGTCAACTTCTCTTCACAATTCCGACATTGAGATTTGGACTGACCAGGATAACTGAGGAGAAGCAGGAGGGCTGATAAGAGGGAGAGCAAATGAAGGTCACTTGGTCTAGAAACATCTCACATTTTTTGTCATATGAGGCGAGTCTAGGCGACCGCGACCTACCACAGCCAGCGTGACATTGATTACCCTTGCTCAGACCTTGTCAGGCCTTGCCCACCCTAACCTTCCTCCACGTTCAGCAAGGCTGCGTCGCAACCGGTTGGGAATACAGCGATTTACTATTCGAACGGCAGTCCTTACCTTCCTTCGCCGACCAGCGAAAAATGGTATCCGTCTACTATACATACACTAATCTACTTACAAGTTTCCAAGTTTAGGGGCCTAAAATTGTGGTCTGTTTGGCGACACAGACAGGAGTCTCTCTCAATGCCACATCCACAAAGGAAAAGCAACAAAGGGTAAATACTAGAGGGCACTGTTACAGGGCTTGACGCTAGGCAAGAGAGCTTGTGTGTGATATCCGTACCTTGGTGCAGGATGCCTATCTACGCAAATAAACATCGATTATTTGCATGAATTACGCCTGAACCTGAACCTGAATCTGAACCTGAACACGTTCATGTTCGCGTCTAAGCGTCGAGCGGCGATGTGGTCGGGTCCCACGCAACCGGGGCATACTCATCCGATTCGAGCTCAGCGACCTCCTCGAGAGTGAGCTCAAAGTCGTAGACGTCGGCGTTGTCACGGATGCGCTCGGCGTTGACGCTCTTGGGCAGCGGGATGTAGCCCTTCTGCAAGCTCCAGCGGACGAGAACTTGGGCCTCGGACTTTCCGTACTTGCCAGCAAGCTCCCTGAGTGTCGGCTCGCCCCAGCGCCGGCCACGGACGAGGGGGCTGTAGGCCTCGACAGCGACGCCGCGCTTGGCGCACCACTCGGCAATGTCACTGCGGACGCACCAAGGATGGATCTCCCACTGCCCCACACTGAGCACACCGCCCTTGCCGAGCCCGCCGCGCTCGGCCTCGAGTTCCGCAATGTGCTTCTCCAGCTCGTCGAGATGCTGCACGCCGTAGTTGCTGACACCGATACTGCGGACCTTGCCCGCCTCGACCGCCTCGACCAGCGCCTTCCACGCACCCTTGCGTCCGGCCGACCCGCCGTACGGCGCGTGGATGAGCATCAGGTCGATGTACTGCAGCCCAGACTCGGTGAGCGACTTCTCAACCTGATCCTTTGCCGCTTGGTAGCCGAGGGCTCTGGGAGGCACCTTGGACGTGAAGAAGAATTGCTCGCGTGGAAGGCCCGACTTGCGAATGGCCTTGCCACAGGCGGCCTCGTTGTGGTAGGCAGCTGCCGAGTCGACCTGGGGGTGTTGGATCAAGTCAGCAGCTGAGCCTGGACATGATGCTTGTTACACCGGTGACGTACGTGGATGTAGCCGACTGCAAATGCCTCGTTGACCACGGTCTCAGTGTCCTTGGGTGGGCTAATAATTGAAGTGAGTCCATGGAGCAGGAAGTTGAATGTAAAAGATGGTATCCTTACGTTTGATAGACCTGTTAAAGGGGGAAATGTTAGCGCGACGCTGGGATTAGACTTGGATATTAGACACACTCCAAATCCCAGCTGAGGAATCTCATAGCCGCTGGGCAGCTTGATCTTCGTGTTGAGTGCTAGAGATGCCATTCTGCTTCGCATGGATGATTAGGTCTGTGGTCTGTGAGTCTGTGAGTCTGTGCGCCTGTGAGTCTGTGAGTCTGTGAGAGTTGTTGGGTGAGGCGTCTTTGAGATTGAGGGGTTTCGACGGTTCCATTCAATTCCACCGGCGGGGTTGAGATGACGTCTTCGGAACCGGCGCCTTGGGGCTGGTTTGTCATCCTCGCGGTCGGAGATAGAATTTTGTCGGAAATACGGGTTGCACCGCAAACTCCGTCTTAATCGCGAAGTCATTCACAACCGTTCTGCTAGCAATCATCCGTCGCAATGCGCACTGTACGCATTTACAGATTAATCGGTAGTAGCTCAAAATATGAGGGATCCTGAAGTGTAAGTGAGTCGGAGCCACACGGAGCCACACGCCTAAAGGTTGCATCGCAACACAACGCCTAGGCATAATCGTGGCTATAGCGCCACGAACAGACTGGAATATTAAGAAAGTAATTTACTTAAACCTCAGGTCCATTTGCATGTTGAATTTTCCTCTTCCCAGTGTAATCCAAGACATCCCGCGGGATGGGATTGTTGTTATCATTGTAATTGAAGCCATTCTCTTCAGTATGTCTCATTCTCCCCTTTACCGTCATTTTCTTGCCCATTTTTGGCGTCGCCTGCCACTGGGTTGAGATGGGAGGGCTAAATTTAGCAACCGAGTGAATGGAGACGAAGCAACCCGCTTAGAGTGCCTTAACTTGAGGGTTTGAGATAGTAAGATTTATCCACTCGTCTAAACCACGTTTGGCGGTTTCCCTGATCATGTCCTAAGAGCGCCTGAGCAGCGCCTGAGCAGTGCCTGAGCAGCGCCTGAGCAAGGTAGCGAGGGGTGGTGTGGGGGCTGGGGGATGATGAGGGCAACTTTGGGGTAAAACAACAAACAACAACATTCCATTGCCTTCCAAAACCCCCACGCCCCCGATTCTAGTGCCCTCTACGAGTTCAAAAAAACGGCTCTCCCGCTTAAAACCCATCATTTGCGAGTTGGGCAAGGAACACGGCCATCTCTGCGGGCTCGGACGAGTTGCGGATGTCCTCGATGTCGACAAGCTCTTGCTAGAGGCCCGTTAGCATTTCATCCGTCTCGATCATTTCTTCCCCGTTTTCTCAACAGGACAAGGTAGGGAGGTATTCGAGGCCTGCCAGCAAGTACGCCACACACCTGGTTCAGCGGCCGCGGGAGCCAGAGGATGAACTGCTCGCGGTTCAGCGTCTAATTTTAACCAAAACCCAAAGGGCAATCCGTTAGCACTGCCGACCACACATACTTTAATCGCTACGCAGCATCTGCAGGAGAAAAAAAAGCTTGCCATCAAGTCGACAACCTTGACGTCGTCGATCAGCGCCTCGATGTACGCCTTGAGGTGGGCCAAGGCGAGGCCCTGGGCCGCCACCTTTTGCCGGAAATTGTTTTGCACCTTCCACTCCGGCGGCGACGACGGCGGCACGGCCCGCTTAAAGCTGCCGACGGGGCCGTCGTAGTCGATGGGTTCGTCGGGGTAGCATCTTGGACGGTACGCCATGCTTTGTGCTTGGTTCCGTTTTCCTAATTTTTTAATGATGCGGGTGGGCAGGTGGGTGTTTGTGCTCGGTTACTTTTCGTATCGAAGTGTTTCCTCGCTTCCTAGTGCAGATGGGTTGCCCAAATCGAGTAGGCGGAACTAGTGTATGTTTATTTTCTCGCTGCCTGTGGCAAACGTTTTCTGCGAATTGAGTAGTGGCTACCTGGTACCTATGTATTGGTTCGGGTAGGCACGTAGCTGTTGGTTGGTAGTCGTGCCTGCTACCTGGTGCAGATAGGTTTCACGTCCCAAAACAAAGTAGAATTGGTGGTAAATTACTCCCTCTCCCCCTGTTGCAGATTTTAGTTCTAAATCGAGCTGCAGTTGGTTAGTTATTGTTTAGCTGCTGTCTTTGCTACCGCCTAGTGCGAATGAGCCCCAAATCGAGTAGGGCTGGTGGTCGTTTATTTCATTGCTGCCCGAGGCGAATGTTCGGACGACGCTGGTTAACGTGCAAGATATGCGTGCTAGAACAATCGTGTCAAACTATATGGAAGCTGCTCTTATTTAACGTGATATCGCTGCCGTCTTTGACTCGAATTGCAGTCGCCGAGTGGTAGTCATAACTGGTAGAATGCCGAATTAGTTTTCGGTATCCGCTGTCTAAGGATATTTACATCTATGGCCTTTCACTCTTTTTTCGCTTTGGTTGGGGGTTATATGTAAGCGTTCACATGGATGACAATGCGTTTGTATTGTTACCGTAGCATTGTGTTACTCAACTCGACTCGAGCGTTGGCACGCATGACTGCGTCTTGTCGCCATCAATTATGGCTGGTCTGTGGCAGAGCACCATGTTGGTATATCTTTGTGGTCCGGGATTTTGGAAAGTTACAGTGCAACATGTAGGTTGTACCCATATACTTGCCGAGTTAAGGTCACAGAATTGCATCTCACAATTTTGGCAACGTGTGACAGAGCTAACGCAGGCCACGTACATCCAGCCGATGACCATAACCGGCGACCGGCGACCGGGTCATACAAAATCGGACGCGGGCGGAGAAGATGCAAGCCTACAAAGGGGTCATAGTGCTGCTTCTCCACTTTGATTGGGGCGCGTAGCGATATGGTAGTATTGTGGCAACAGGCGAGTGCTACAGCAGAGCCTCCTTTATTTAATTGTGACGGGGTTTCTGTTGGTGGAAACTGTGGGCTCATATCAGTACCTAGCAAGGCAATATTGCCGACTGAGCCTATTGGTGGGCTAGTCGTGATGGTTACCAAGACGGAGGCTACAAGGCTATACGCGATGCTTTAAGTTCTAGATGGGATAGTCGGCTTGCTTTAGTGGGCCCCAGAAGACTTATTTAAAGGAACGCCTTCGCCGTTTTGTCTGACTTGTGAATTGCATCAGTCAACTCGTTCCAGCTGCACCCATCACGATGCTGCCATTCCTTGCTCTAGCAACAGTGCTCTGTGCCGCGGCAGCCAGCAAGCTGCCGCTTGGTGGCCATGTCTCAAATACCAGACAGGCGGCTGCTCTGACCAGCAGCTTCAAGTGGACATCGACGGGCCCGCTCATTGGGCCCAAGAGCGACAGCCGCAAGTTGGCCGGCATCAAGGACCCCGCATCGTCGAGATCAACGGCACCTACCACGTATTTGCCAGCACTGCCCAGGCCTCGGGCTACAACCTAGCCTACCTGAACTTCACCGACTTCAACAAGGCCGATGCCGCCGCCTTCTACTATCTCGACCAGTCGCCTATCGGGACCGGCTACCGTGCCGCCCCCCAGGTCTTCTACTTTGCGCCCCAGAAGCTGTGGTACCTCGTCTACCAGACTGGCAACGCCGCCTACTCGACCAACAAGGACATCGCCAACCCGACCGGGTGGACCGCACCCAAGACCTTCTACCCTAGCCAGCCGAGCATCATCACCCAGAATATCGGCAGCGGCTACTGGGTAGATATGTGGGCCATCTGCGATGCCGCCAACTGCCACTTGTTCTCGTCTGACGACAACGGGCACCTGTACCGCTCGCAGACGGCGCTGGCCAACTTCCCGTCCGGCTTCACCAGCGCCTCGACCGTCATCGCCCTGTCCGACAAGAACAAGGACAACGTGTTCGAGGCCTCTTGCGTCTACGCGTTGCCCGGCGACAAGCCGTCATACCTGCTGCTGGTCGAGGCCATCGGCTCCGACGGCACGCGCTACTTCCGCTCATGGACCGCGACCAGTATCGCCGGCCCCTGGACCGGCCTCGCCGACTCCGAGGCCAGCCTCTTTGCCGGCGCCAGCAACGTTGCCTTCTCCGGCACCCCCTGGACCAAGAGCATCTCCCACGGCGAGATGGTCCGCTCCCTCACCGACCAGACCATAACCATCGACCCCTGCCACCTGCGATTCCTATACCAGGGCATGGACCCGAGCGCCAGCGGCACCTACAACTCCCTCCCCTGGCGCTTGGGACTCATCACGCAGACCAACTCGGCGTGTTAAGTCGATGGAGTTCCCAGCTTTTATAAATAGCAGTGTGTTTTGGCTATAATTATGAGAAACTAAGCCAGAAGCCTCTGAGCCTGATACCTCGTGCGGCGAAATTGTTACTGCTAGTTCGAGGTCAAATAGGTAAAAGGTGATGTTGCTGATTTTGGTGTTGTTTTCTTCCCAAAATTCGAACATTTGATCCGGTAACGTTATCTCGTAATGCAATTGCTATCACCCATGCCTCCTCACCAGAACTATAATCTAACTAAAACAGGGCCACATCCCACCCACGCTCCTACTATCAACTTTGACTGGCCACCAGTGACACACACACCTCGCCCATTCTCCATTCCTAGTAACTTAAAGAATTTCTAACCCTGTGAATGTTCCCATTACAAGCCGCCCCTCAGGGCCTTTATAAATCTAAGCGACAGCATTAGTCCACTCATCCACCGCAAAGATATATGGAAAGAAACCGGGACCCAAGGCTGCGTGAGCCCCGAGAGACAGCTTCCAACGAAAGCATGTTGTGGGAATGGAAACTGCGCAATGTCTAGCAACAACGAGACGGGAAGAGCGGAAGAGTAATAATCAGCATTCTTCGTGTTTCTTCCTGCAACCACCATTCCTTTCATTCCAAACAGTGGTCAGGCTCTCCGACCTCTGACAGGTCCGCAGTGGTGTTTCTCGACTCAACAACCTCCCCCCCCCCCCCCAAAAAAAAACCCCCCCTATAAAATAAAGGCGTTGTGATTTCATGATAAAATTTCTAGAATGGATAAATTAAGAAAAACAGTTCATTTTCAGGCCTCAATTTGGCAGAGGGAGTGTTGGCTTTTTAGTGTTTTGGTGGGATAAAAATGGCCAAATCGGGCCTGCAAACGGCAGAAGCCCAACGGCCGGCGCTGCACAAGGACCATTTCTCCTGCCGTTTTGGCTGTAATTCTTCTCTTCCTTACGCAACCACAATTAGCAACAGCTCACTTCAACCAACTGATTGTTAGGATTCAACAGGTTGTGAGCCCGGACGCAGATGTGAAGCTGTCACATCGCTCAGTGCTTCCAGTTGAAAGACTGCAATAACTGCAACAATCAATGGGTGCGCATACCGTCAAGATCAGAGAGAGTTTATCGTATAAGAAGCGGGTGGCGTACTTCCGCGAATAGTTGAAGACGATGTACTTATTGTGTCGCATAGTTAAGTGAGCGGTTGAGCATGCGAAGAAGCATACGCTGAAGAACCCGGTGGCGACTCTGCAGCGCGCCTGATCCAGAGATCGACCGCCGCATAGCAGACGTCGCAGAAGAGGACCCCTTCGCTCCGTGCATGGATGATGCCAAGGAGAAGGATGTATCGCATTGTCTTGTGTTGCATGCGGTCGAGGTTGACAGCGCATTGAATTGTCTGCTAAAATCAGGCCTAAAGGTACAGAAAAGAGCGCTTCCTTATAACCTTTGAGAGAGGGCAAGGAAAGCGTTGTAATAAGCCGTTCGGAATGAAATGAGGGCATTCCGAGGGCCAAGAATGAAGGGAAAACGGAGAATGAAGGGAGTTGGTGTGGTATGCTAACCAGGGCCTGAAAATGTGGTTCAAGTCCTTGCAAGGTCTGTCAATCCCAGACGACAGAAACCTTATGCCGACTGATCAGGCACGCCTGGTAGAGACTTGCGGCTCATCATCCAGCACTCCATGGAAGACGTCGGAGAGGCCATGCTCCGACGTGCCTATGTTAGAGGAGTCCATGATGCAGAGGTGTTGCAGATGGAAAGAGAGTGGGGGTCTGCCGACATGGTGTAGGATTCTAGGTGCGTTGAATGAATCCCGTGCGAGACGGGGCCAGAGCCCGAAGCGCGCCGTTGCGCCGCGAAATAATTTGGGGGGGGGGGGGGGGACCACACTGGACGGCTGTCCGGCTTCTCTGGCATGGTGTCCGATACGATGTCCATCGTCGAATGCTGCTAATCCTGCGTGTCCTCAGAGTCTTGCGGTGAATCTGCCGATTCAAGACGACAGAGGCTGTGCTTGCGGAAATGCTCATCGCAAGGACCCCACGGATGGTGGGGGGGTTCATCCAAACCTGAACTAGTCAGAGCGAGGTGAAGGTTCATCGAGACGTGTGTCACGTTCTGGTGAACCGGCGAAGGGTGGGTGACACTGAAAGTCCCACTATCGCATCCGATCCGAGGAGGATAGAACGTGGCTTGGTGAATGAGGCAATTTGAAAGTGTTGTGGGTATATATAAGAATGGTAAAATAAAGAAGGAAACGAAGCCTGTTTTGTGCAGGAGCAGCTGATAAAATACACGAGAAAGAAGAGAGCGCAAAATAAGACCAGTATTCCGGATAGGTCGGATTGTTGCCAGATGAAATACCCAAAATTATGACCATCCCGACCCACCCCACGTTCTTGATTCTCAACGTCCACCCCTACGCACGTACCTTATCACCTCATAATCCAACAACTAGAAGCCTAAGAAGAGCTCAAGCTGATAATTGACTCTCAGCCAGCAGCGGAAAGGGAGGGGGTCTGCAAGCAAGCAAGCAGCTGCCCGACCCCGCCGGCCGGAAACAACAGCTCAGACAGCGTCCAGCCGAGCAGACAGCCGCTTCCATTACATCAGTGCCGCGTAATAGAGCGAGCCTAGGAATGTTAGGTACTGTACGCTAAATAGACCTAACTCGCCGCTTGACCGTCGAGACAAACAAACATAACAAGTTCCCCGCTCGACCACATCGACCCATGAAATGGTGCATCCGATGCGGCAATTCACCTCGAAAGCACGATCCCGTCATGGTGCGTGTACGAGATCTTATCTCTAACTAAGCACACAACCGCAGCACACAACCGCAAAAGCAAACGCCATCACAGCAAGATGTGTGGTTTCCTCTCGTCAACGACCTGGATGAGGTAATTAGATATTAAACAGCTCAGCCATGACATGCATTACTCCGCCTGCAACTAATCTAGGTATCCGCGCACCCCGTTGACCTCAGCACCTCGATGTCCTACTTGTCACGTTGACCACGCAAAACTGCATAGTGGTGGGCAACTGGGGTTTGAACATAATGAGAAACTGCACTTCGGAGTCTCTCGCGAATGTTGCACTCAGCATTTTCACCGATTACCACACAGGACTCGAGCATCTAATTGCGACCTTGGCGATTATAGCTATTAGCATGTCTCGATGTCTAGCTTTCCTGGCACACTAACCTTAACTCTGGGCCTCTGGGTCTTGACTTGTGAAATTTCGATTTTCTTCTAGCCTAGCAGAGCTCGATGAATTGATACCCAAAAACCTCGGTAGTTGGCTGGTCGCATTGCCCGTCACGTTTGACTGTGAGTATCAACGTCCCCAAACCATTCAAGCCTGGTCACGAGATAGCTGAAACTCCACGCAACGTAAAGAAGCCATCGGGCGCCGCCACCCGCTCACCAAGCTTTCCAAACCCGGCCACTGCTTCCTATGTGTCGTCATCCGGCGAGGCAGAAGCAGAACCGTATCTTCGTTAGCCAGGCCGTCGACATCGCTCCACATCTTGCTCCGCTAGCCCAAAAGCCAGCGTCCAGGCCCGAAGCTGGCTGATGTTGGCGCCCAATAAGTTATCGACACCGTTGCCGCGAGTCCCGGACTGCTGCTTTCTGTCCCATTTCCTCTTGCCCCGCTGCCGGGCCAGCGCAGCTCGCTTGGCACAGGTCTGGCACCGACCCTCGTCGCAGTAGTGCATTTCGCTGCAGTGCCAACAGTAGACGCGGCGGTTGGATTGGCCGAGCGGTCTTCTGGACACTTCGCTCTGCGAGTTATAGAGGAGATTCGAACACGCTTAACAGGGGGCGTATTCGCTTAGCTGGTGAGCCACTGTCAGCAGTCCCAGACACGCCAGTCCCGCCAGTCCCGCCATTGGCCTGATCTTGGCTGTGAGCCTGTGGGCACAGTTGAAGAGCCTTGTAGCCCCGTATCCGTGAATTGTGCGAGCCAACCTAATTTCAGCCATTGCTCGGGCCAGAACTGCGGCACACCTCGGCAGAATGGACATTGCAACTGCGCCGCGCTTCAAGATGGAGGAACAGATTTGAGTCGCCAATATTAAAGTTCCCACTAAGCTAAAATATGTTCTTCAGGTGCTGGTAAACACTTTCGTCCGCCATATAATTGTTATGCATGTTACCATAAGCTCCATCATTAGGGCCCGGAAGACTCGTAGACATGGTGTGGTCGTGCATCGACTCTGACATATGGGGTATGTCAGGTCCAACCTTCGTGCCCATGTATTCGAAGATGCGTGACATCTCGGTCCGCAACCGCAGGCCGTTGCTCTGGTCCTCGTCAGCCTTTTGATGGGCCTGGGACGCGCTTGGAGTAGAGGGGTACCGTGGCCCTCCGTTCCCCGCCTGGCCTGCCTCCCTGGTAAAGGGGGCCGTCAGACCTGGCGCGGGACTCTGGCTGGCGCTGGCGCTGGCGCTGCTGTGGCCAGCGCTGTGTATGTGGGCCGAATTTAGGTGTGGGCTTATCAGTTCACCACTGCGCACATTGTCCTCTAGCCCGAGACGAGGCGCGTATTCTTTCAGCGATCTTATTGTTTGCCATAAGCGCTGCGAAACCCATGAGCGCCCCGACATGTCCTTGACAAGTTCGAGAGCTATGTAGAACTCGTCGCGGCAGTTGGCGCTAAATCTCAACGGAGCATGGGTGGATGCGAGGAACAAAACGGCAATCGAAGACGTCAAGAACTGGTGGTAGAAGATCTGAATCCTACGGTAAAGATTCGTCGTATTGTTGAGTTGGGCAAGGCAGCGGATCGTTTCCTTGGCAAGATCGACCGCTCTTTCGGCGAGCGCGATGTTCTCGACAATGCTGATGGCGCTGTGTAATACGGGCGTGTATAGCCAAATGCGTATCTAGAGTAGTCAGAAGAATGACCCGGTGTAAAGGGGCAACGACAGGGTACCTGGTTCAATCGCAACCTAGTCCAGATCCGCAGCCGGTGGATGCTATCGGCGGTTGGAGGCAGGATCGGTATCCAGTTCTTGTCCGACGGATCTGTTTTGACCTCGTTCGGAATGCTGTCATACCACTCATGTATTTGGCGGTCGAGATCTTCAAAGTCGCCTGGCTTCAACTCCCGGATGACTGCAGGCTCGAAGTAGTCGACGAGCATCCATATCTTGGCCGCGAGTCTAGAATAGCTAATCATTGCCTCCAAGAACGGATGTCGTTCCTAAACATGGTCAGCAGGTGTTGGCAGAGATGGCTTTCGCGGCCTGGCTCACCGGGTATGGAAGCTTGGGGTCGATCTTGTCGTCGTGCAAAACAAACGGCAAGCCTGTGCTGAAGCTCCATCTACGGTCCAGCACATACGCTGACCAAAAGGTATGCAGTGCGTTCCTGCGATCCTCCAAGTTCGAGATCCTCTCAAGCCCCTCCCTTCGGTGCAAGCCTAGCTCGAGGCAATGCCGCGCTACGTGGCCCATGACACGCCAGGCAAGAACCTCGTCATTACTAAGGAATCTATACCCCCCGACCAAGGCAAGGAATGGTAGCCTGGCAACCTCGGCGGGTTCGGCCATCAACTGCCTGTCGATTATGGGCTGTATGACGTCATACAGCCGGTCGGCTTTTGCGCTGTTGCCATGCTCCTCGACGGCCAGGGCACAGCACATGATGATGATCAACAGCAGAGTCCTGGGGTCCGATACGTCAAAGTCCGGGCCATGTGGCGGTATTTGGCCGTTGCGCCTTACGGATTCCATGCTTGACGTCAGGTTTATAGCGTGATCGATGACGTTGCGGATGGATATGACGGGATACATGACGCCGACCTCTTCCTCGTAGAGCCTGCAGAGACGTATTACCTCGTCCCTGCCATATTCCCACAGTGGATGAGGCGACGTCTGCGCGGGCGATTGCGGCGGTGGCTGAAATGTGGGAGAAGTTCGTGGGGTTTGCTCGGGCTGAAAGTTGCCATCGTCGTTACCATCGCCCGTGCTGGTATATCCCATGTTGTGCAGCGTGCTTTTGGCGACGTCGACGGTGAAGGCAATGCTGGTCGGACCGCTGAAGGAGGGGGGGACTCGGAAGGCTGGCAGCGGCTTGGGCAACGAAGGTAGGGACGGCGTGGATGGCGAAGGCGTGACGGTGGCCGACGGCGGGGGCAATACGCGTTCGTGGATGGGAGCGAGGCGCAAGGCCTCCTGGCGTAGGGAGTCGATGTTGCTGAACAGGGTGTCGACCTGGCTCTGCAGGTGACTGACCTGGTCAGTCACCTGGCGGAACTCGTCCGAGTCCTTGAAGTTGTTGGAGCAGCAGTTTGGTGCGTAGAGGCATTGCAGGTTGAGATGGCCGCATCGCTGGCAAGGGACCTGGCCGTTGCATTTGATCTTACGCCGTTTGCATTCGTTGCTGGTGCGTGTCAGTCAGCTTCAGGGATTACGGAGTAGGTACCACGCGAGGTATGGACATCCACGGCCCAGGGTTTCATCTGTGCAACGATGAGAGCACCTAGAACCAGGGACAACAAAATCGCCCTCCTCCAAGTCCGCGTGGGGGGGCAGGCATCTAAAGCAGAACGATAGGACGCTTCAGGGCCGAGAAAGACAAAGCTTACCATGCGATTGATATGTACTGCACGAGAAGAAAAGACGATTAGTACAACCAGTCAGCGCGTGCATACGATCAGTGGCATGCAGGTGAATGGTATGCAGATGAATTGTATGCAGATGCAGACAATATACAAAAAGTCTCGGTGATGCGCCGAGGGTCTGTCAAGGCTCGATCAGGGCCAATCAACCCGCGATGTCCCCGAGCAAGGTTCGTGCGGGCAATTGAGGGGTAGGCAGCCATCCGAGTCCCGACAGCGTGGAAGCCGCCGCCAAGAGGGGCAGTTAAAACGAAATAAGGACGCACTCGATTGCGCTTGCTCTTCGGCAGCTTGGACGAGGCGGCGCCGTCGGCGTCATCGCCGTCGAAGTCCTCGGTAACCCTCCGCTTCGCAGGGGTCTGGGGTGCGGAATTGTCTCCGGGCGCGGAAAGCTCGCGGGTCTGGCGCGTCTGGGCAGTGCTGCTGGCGCTGGCACGGAGTGGACCACCACCGCTGGAAGAATATGCGGCTCCGTCGCGCGGCGACACAAGTGCGGCGGGAGATCCAGTCGCGGGCGGAGCCGCCGGCTCTAGGAACGACCGAAGATCGCTGACCTGTGACGAGAGCTGATCCATCGTGTGGAATTGGCCTAAAACATGACCGCTGGGCTTTTGGACTCGGCACCCTGGAGCACCGTCGCGAAATGCAAAAAAAAAGCCCGACACGAGGAAAAGAGGGAATCTTGGGGCAGGTACCCAAAGATAGGACACTCGAGGGCCTGTCGCCCGTAAGCCACTCACGTGACGGATCAACCGCCTGGGCGGCCCTGAGGCCTGCTGTGCCGCCGCCCTGTCATCATCAGGTCGCCTCACCCGAAAATCTGAGTGCCCTGTGTTGGTGAGCATGCAACGGGCCCAGAAGGACAGGGATCGGGGACCCTGCCCGTTGCAGCGTAGTGTGACCTGTCAAAGAGCCAATTCCTTGCCAAATCTGCCCAATGAGTGCAGAATCTGGGGAAAGTCCCACCCACACTTCGGAGCGACCAACTGCAAGTTGCAAGTCGCAACTGCCAGGTTGGGGTTCGGGTTCTCGCGTCAGCAGTTCGGCTCGGTTCCTTCCTCGTTTCCCCTGGTCGTTCCTCCGTAAAACCGTAAAACGAGAGTGGAAATCATGGCCCCATGCAGAATGAGATACGGATACGCACAGGGCAGTTGGCAATTTAATCCGATCCTTTTTTTTAATTCGCTGCGCTGTGTGAACTTTAACCACACGCCGCATCCTTTTTACTTAAGCTTCGACTCGCGACTCGCGCCTCTAGCAGGCAACAGTTATGGTCCATCGCCATTTACGCAGTATCATCTCCGAAGCGACGTGTAAACCCGACCGACACACTCGCCAAACCCGACCCTGGCGCCGCGCGGTCCGGCCGATCCGCGGAGGGTGATGGTGTCGCCATCCTTGAGGAAGGTGCGCGCGTCCATTCCGGACAGCAGCACCTCCCGCTTGCCGCCGTGGGTCATCTCGAGCAGGCTGCCGCTCTCGCCCTCGCCGCCCGGCCCGCTGATGGTGCCCGAGCCCAGCAGGTCGCCGGTGCGCAGCGGGCAGCCGCCCAGCGTGTGGTGCGCAATCATCTGCGGGAACGACCACATCAGGTGCTTGGAGCTCGTCCGGGAAATCACGGTTTCGCCGCCGTCGGCCGCTGCGGGAGTTGCGCGTGTCAGTGTGCGTCTGTTTGGGACGGGAAATCTTGCTTACTCGTGAGCTCGACCTCGAGGTCGATGTCGAACACGTTGTCCGTCTGCTGTTCCTTCAGATAATCCTGCAGCGGCGTCGGGTTGTCGACGGCTTTTGCTCGGAAGGGCTTAAGGGCGTCGGCGAGCACGACCCACGGGCTGATGGTGGTGGCAAAGTTTTTGCCGTTGAAGGGCCCCAGTGGCACGTACTCCCACGTCTGGATGTCGCGGGCGCTCCAGTCGTTGAGGAGCACGTAGCCAAATATGTGCCCCGGATTCGCGTCGTTGACATCGACCGACTCGCCCATTTTGTTGGGCCTGGAGATGAAGCAACCGAGCTCGAGCTCAATGTCCAGTCGGCGCGACGGGCCCGCCGTGGGCTGCTTTGGCTCCGCGGCTGGATCAAGCAGGATCTGTCCAACTGGACGGTGGATCGGCGTGCCGGACACGACGATGCTCGAGGCCCGGCCGTGATACCCGACAGGGAGGTGGCTGTAGTTGGGCTGCAGAGCGTTCTGTAGCCCTCGGAACATGACGCCAACGGCATGGGCGTGGTGGTAGCCGGCGTAGAAGTCGGTGTAGTCCCCAATGTCCATGGGCAGGTGCATCTTGACCTTCTTCTGGGCGATCAGAGCTCTCGCCCGCAGCTCTTCGTCGTCCCTGAGAAGGCTGCTGCTCGAAGGTGCCGTCCCCAAGATTTCTTGGAGTCTCCTCCGGACACTCCGATGGACCCCGCTCCCCAATCGCGCGAAGGCATTGAGAGTCGGCTGCGAGAAGACACCTTCCAGGCCGTCAATCCCAGGAAATGTTTTTTCCAAGCCGTGCTGAGATATGAGCATCTTGAGGTCCAATGCTTCAGCGCCAATGGCGACGGCAGCATGAGGGGTAGGGTCGGCAGACGTGCTGATAATACCGAAGGGAATGTTCGCCAGCGAAAAGTCGCTGGACGGAGCTACAGGCACCCAAGACTCTGCCATCTTTAACGAGGCCGTTAATACCTAAAGCGGTGCGAGAGCAGTCTAGCTGTCGAAGTCTCCCGCGTCAGTCCCCCTTCTCTTTTGCTTATGTGTCGGATGTTCGACATTTGCCGTTGTTCAACGGCGGGGTGGCTTGTGCCGCACCCTCGAGTTTGCGACGAACATTTACCGATGCAAGCCGATGCGTTAGCCCGCCCCGCTATTTTCCCTCTCTCCCTCTCTGCCGCCTAGGCGTCACTCTCCGTAGGGCTGTTGTTTACTTTGCGATTCCCTCTTTTCTAATATGGCCGTTCCATGAAGTTCGCCTATGTCGACACCTAATATACAATCTAGAGTGCTAGGAGATGCTGCGGTCCGTGCAGTTGCAGGAGGAACGTCGTTGGCTGCGTCGTTCACAAGTCCTCTGTCTGCCGGATGCAAGGCTGGCGCTGGACGCCCTTATAAATGCCTCCCGCCAACGCTAAAATTGCTGTGCAGATGAGATGTAAGGAAACCCTGCAGCTTCAAGTTCTAAATTAGGTCTTGGAGAGATTCGTTGGCCAGTCGATCGCAATAGCTTCTTCGTGAACAACCCCGCCATTTTCGCCTGTCATCAAAAAATACTATCACAGCCGTGTGTCGGTCAACCAATCTTAGGGTTCGTTGGCTGTTAACGGGCATCTTGGATGGAAAATGGAAGTCCTAGTGGATCTCACCGTGCCCCACTGGCCAACCGGCCTTGGCCCTTGGCGCTACTGCACCTTTCTGCGACCATTATGGCAGACTATGCGCCCTACGGCCCGACAGTGTGGCTCCCGCCTGGTGGAATCCTATCTGTACAATAAGTGCATTGCAGTCTGCTGTTCAGGGGCGAGCGTTTTAGCGCCGGCGCCTCAATGGATGATGAAGCGGCTGTTAGTTGCTGTTTTCCCTGGTATCCGTACCGCCAACCTAAAAATTAAAGCTTAGATCAGGGTACTTGGATCCGTCGAGAATGGCAGACGCCTTAATAACCGTACATGGCCCCTGGTCAGATTCTCAAGGCATGCATTCGGATAACAGCTCTCTTGTTCACCAACAGCATGTACTTTGACTTGTAGTCCCATGTCTGCTCAGAACAGCGTGCTTGTTCCGGCCCGGGGAAGTGGAACTAGGGCTGCACTTGTATCCAGCGCAGAGTTTTTGGCGTTCTTGCGTGGAACTTTACCCAGAGGTATAAACCGTTAAGCAACCGCTCAATCGGGTTTGCTGCCAACGCTGCACGAACTTTGCAACATCCTCTCCAGTCCTCGTCATATTCTTGAGAGCCCCAGTCGAGATTTGGGAACGAAGTTGCGATCTTCTATCATATTGGTTGCGACTACGCCTTGATTGCTGCCCCCTTTTCGCTTGTTGATTACCAAGACCATCTTCACATCATGTTGATACCCAAGAAGGGCAAAGGCGACAAACCGCCATCGCCACCGAAAACCACACCAAAAAAGCCCAAGAGCAAGAGCAGCTCGGACAGCTTCGATCTAGAAAAGCTCAGCAGAATCGGCCGAATCGGCCGAATCGGCCGAATCAGCCAGCAACTCCTCGAGCGCAGTACCAACTGGTTGTTCAAGCCGTTCACGCGCCGCCGGCGCAGAAGTTTCGGCGCAAGATATCGCACGCCCACGCCCCACCCGCACCCGCATCCGGATCCGGATCCGCATGATCCTCGCAGCGAGGACGCCTGCCGCTACTGCAAGATGATGAAAGAAGACGATGAGGATACCCACGTCTGCAACGGCTGCTGCGGCATGAGCCGCAAGAGCGACGATACGGACGAAGAAGAGCACCGCGGCCGAACCGGCACGCGCAAACGGGTCGAGTGCCTCAACGCAGCCGCTCCCGCAGAGCCGGAAACCGACCAGCCAGAGGAGCAGGAGGACGAAGCAAGTAACGAGGAGGGTGGCGGCGGCGGCGGCGGCGAAGAGAACGGCGGCGCCGCCGAGGGGGAGAGCAGCAGCACCGAGTCGGCCGAGGACGCCGAAGGCCTGCCGACACCGCCCAGCACGAACAGCGCGGCGTGCGTTGCCGAGGTGCAAAACCTCCAGCAGCTGTTCGCAGCGAGATACGACCACTTCCTCAGCAGCGACGACGACGCTGACGCGTCCAGCAGCTGCTACACCGCCTCAAGCAGCATCTACGACTCCGACGAGGAGGAGGCCCAGCACCCGTCAGTGATTCAGAATGTGCCCCAGTGGAAGACCGTGGTGACTTGTTCAGCCGAGGCGCTCTCCGAGCTGTACATCGCCGAGATCGAGGCGTGTGCACTGCATTTTGACGAGCTAGAGCGGAGCCAGAGCTTGCACTTAGGAGATGAGAAGGCAGCCGCCTCGGAGGGAGCGCAGCACGGAGAGGTTGGAGACGGCGACGTTGTCATGGTCGGCGACGGCATCAATGATGACGATGATATCCATCACGTCGATAACTTGTATCTGGCGGACAAAGAGGCGCAGCAACGAGACGTTGGAGACGGCAACCTCGTAGTCATCGGCGACAGCATCAAAGAAAGTTTTGAGACCTACTACGTTGAGAGCTTGTGTCTGGCAGAAAACGATGCTTTCACCTCAGAGGGAATGCAGCAACGAACGATTAGCGACGACGACGTTGTCATTGTCGACAGCATTGTCAAGAAGAGTTATGCCGTCCACCAAGCCGAGGGCGTGCCCCTGCCAGACAAGAAGTCGCTCGCCTCGGAGGGAGCACAACAGCGAGAGATTGGAGGAGACGGTGACGTCGTCATGATCGGCGACGGCGTCAAGAAGAGGATTGACACCTACCAACACGTCGAGAGCGACGACCACCGCTCGCTGAACAGCTTTGTCTATGTCAAGTCCGAGTAGACATATACTTGTGATTTCACGACCGGGAAGGTTTACGGGCGGAAATGGAGTTTGATTTTTAGGAACAGTGAAACGGGGTCAGCAATGAAGGATTTGGGTGATTATGGGCAAACGGAGTCAGGAAAAGAGCGGAATGTTGCGATTTTACTATGAACGAGCGGATCTGTTATTATTTGGCGGATGATTAGCTTTGGGCGTTTGTCGTCACGAGATACGACGGGATTTTGGTGGGAATGTGCATTACATGGTTAGATACTTGGATATCTAGCCTTCATGAGGCGGCGATGCTCATGTAAAAAATGGATAGATAGATAAACCACTGCATGTGTGTCACGCCTTTCGTACGCTTGCCCTTGGGCGAATCACAGGGTGATAATTTCACAGGACTAATATTACTTCTAACCCCTCCCAACCACCCCCCCACCCCCCCCCCCCCCGAACCCCCCCTTCTCCTTTTCCCCATCGCTTAGGCCAGTTCGTACGGCCCTCACAATGGTGGCCGCTGTCGTTTCCATTTGACCCGTCTCTCACGAAGCAGAGTACAAGCGCAAATTCGATATCGTCGCCCGACGCCCGCGCCCGGATACATGATGGCGAAAGCTTCGCTCATGACATCCATACCCAAGTGCTGCATCAGCTAATTATTAACCAGTTATTAAACCCTATTCTTTGATCCACGCCCTTAAAACCCACAATCACATCTATGACAACAATTCGTAGGTGAGCATTCAGCCCAGGACTAGGTATGTTCTCGTGTTGATTCCCTAGACTAATTAGATGAACCATAAATATGCTGATGGTAGGTATCACTGTGTACTGCCTGTGGTAGACAGATTGCAAAACGTCAAGCTGCGGGGCCATTTCTTGGACTGTGAGAAATAGGGAGGAGCTGCTAGGGACTATTTACAATCGAAGCAAGCTCTTTATTACTTGTATACTGCGAAACCGAGTAAAAATAATTACTGGAATTATGATTGAGTGGGTGTAAAAGCATTGTTACATTGGTACACGGCGGCCGGGTGTCTATAGCCCATCTTTGTGCATGACGGCCAGCATTCCTAGGCTCTCGCTAGGGTCTTGTGAAATCATTCTACCAGAAACGGAACGCTGATAGGACACTTTAGTGGACTAGACTGGGGCCGAAAACCAGGCAATGTTTTTAGAAAAGAGATTCTCTATGACGAACTAATTGACTGCTCTACGACGCTGATGAACGGTGGAAATAAATACCTCCCCGAATGGTTATAAACCCGGTGGAATGTCTCTGTAGATGCCAGTCCACCATGCATTCCTCGAGTTTGACGAAAGACAATTAATTATTCAACTCTAAATATATGGCAAGCACAGCAACCTCTTCGACACCCTGTCCATCTAGAGTCACCATATGGGGCTACTACCACGGCTTCTGCAGCGCCGCAATGGGATAAATGGGCCAGGTATTGCCCTTACGGAGCTGCACAGTCAGTTCAGTTGCTCCCGCAGGGATCCTGGCTGGGTGGCGTAGTTATATCGTAATTAATGGCTGCCAATCGGCAAGGCAATGACGATAACTACCTATTACCTATGCTACTATCTCGTCAAATTCCTTTGTCTTTGTATTCTTGTCCTTTAATATCATCTTTCCATTTGCTGCTAGTGCCAGTCATATTGCGCCTGTCACGGCATGGCGCATTGCGGGTTCCTTATCGGCTCCCTTATCGCTAGCCGCGTGACATCATTTCTAGACTAAGCCCGAATAAACTTAGTCCCTTAGTCACGTGCACCGAACCCCGCGCTCACAAACCCTCAATCGCAGCCTTCGCGAATCTTTCCCCTTTCCTTTCCCTTTTTCTTCTTTAGCTTAGTTTTACACTTAATCAATACGGTATTTTGTTGGCATAGTCCTTCATTTCCTATTACCCGTGACAGCTCCCGTGTATTGATAGCTAGTTATGATCTGAGATACACGTGCTCGGTCTACCCGGACAGTTCTACCTGGTCTTGGTCAAGAACGGGCATGAGCTTTCGTAATCCTATAGAAATTGCAGGCTTGGTAAGCGATTTCAATCGTCGCCAAGCCAGAAGTGTTTCCGAAAGTGACCACTACACTCTGTACACATTTCTAATGCATGGCAGTGTCAATTGTCAACCCAAGTTCTTTGATGAATAGAGTGAGGATGAGTTACTCCTGAACCACCCAGGCGATTTAACCCAATACTAATTGTCACGGTCGCCACAGGGCTCATGTGACAGGATTGATTCTATTGGCTGCATTGTGTGTGGCCTGTGCGCACTGACCACCACTACCTATTTCTCCGCGCCCTGCGCGGACCCCGCGATAGATTCCTTTCTCTTCCTTAGCTTTAAATCCACATTCGTTGCTGCCTTCAACCATTGACATCCCTACTGCGTAAGGCGGGCCGTCACACTAATAGCCTCAAGAACAACCATTATAATCCAACCCTATCTTGTTTGTATCGAGCAAGAAACGTAAAGCAAAGACACCGGAACTCGTAATATTGTCACCGCACAGTCAACTGTTATGAGGCAAGGCTGCAATGTAGTCGCTGTATTCGTAGAATCTAAAGCTAAAGAAGGAAAAAATGAAAGAAGCTTCTAAGGCCCGGGCAGGGCGCGGGGGAAGTAAGTTGTGTTGTCTGCACTTGCCGTGACAAATATCGTCTCTCGTAGCCGTACATAACACACATGGACAAGGCGTCCCAAGCCTCACTAAGTAGATAGGACTACTCAAATACACAAGTAATCGGTATAGTACAAGTTACACAATCCTAACTTGGGTAAAAGGTAGTTGGCTATTTAAAGCTATCGTTATAAGCTAAAACACCTTTGCCGATCGCCTTCGAAGATACAAAGAGACACTTAAAAAAAACCCTTACGCTAAATCCATCAAATAACAAATAGTTATTGTACCCTCCAGTCGGTCCGTCTAACCCCAAAGGCCTCCCAGTATCCTACATACTATTTCCCGTACGGTGTCCGTACAAGTCCCCCAGGCTAATTAAAAGGGGAAAGAAAGAAACCGAGAAAGAAAACAACGACAAAATGAAAAAGAAAGCCATAACCCGGCTAGCCCAAAGTCCAAACCAACCAGACAACAAGGCAAGTAAGCAAGCAAGCTAGAAAACCTCATTCTCGAGGTCATCAACCTTGCGCTCGACACTCTGCACGCGGGTACTGAGCGCAACAGCGTGGCGACGAGGCGAATCGGTGCCTAATAGAGCAGACGCAAAGCCAGCATTGCCTCCTCCCTGTCCTCTAGCTCGGCCAGAAGAAGAAGAAGAGGACGCAGCCGTAGCAGAAATCTTAGTACGTAGGGTATTCACCTCGTAGCGTACGGCCTCTAGATCGGCGCGCACCTCGTCGATGACGCGCTGGTGGTACGCGGTGGCCGAGGCCCAGCCGGCGCGGAACTCGGCGCCGTGGCTCGACGCCTGGACAGGCGCGACGACGGCTTGCTGCTGCTGCTGCTGCTGCTGCTGAAGAGACTCAACATGCTCCTGCTCGTCCTGCTCAGAAGAAGGCGAAGGCGAAGGTGACGGCGAGAACATTGCCCCAGCGGCTGCTGTAGGGGTGCCGGCAAGGGGATCGCGGTCGAAGGCAGCGCCGGCGCCCTGGCTATGCTGCTGCTGCTGCTGCTGGTGGTGGTGCGCCTGGCTCACGTAGCTGAAGATCTCGTTCTGTGTTTGCTGGATTGAGTGCAGGGCGGGGTGCTGCGGCTCGTTGGAAGGTCCCGCGGTGCCGGTGCCGGTGCTGGTGCTGGCTGCGGTGATGTTGGTGGCGGGCTGGGAGTGAGATGACGCGCCGATATCTATGGGGAGCGAGGTGTTGTCCTGCTGCTGCTGCTGCTGCTGGATAGGAGCAGGAGCGGCTGCGCTGATAGCTGCGGTGTGGGCTGGCTGAGTAACCGGCACGAGAGGGAAAAAGGAGTTATTGTTCTCCTGTTGAGCAGGGACATTGCCACCGGCGCCGTAGGCTTGCTCGGCCGCTGACATGAGAGGGAGAAGCATGTCGGGCGGCAGCATGGGGTCGTTCATCGGAGGCGGAGCAGGGGTGTGCAGAGAAGCCATGACCATGGTGGCTCCGGCGTTATCTGTCAGGGCGGGAGCGGCTGCGGCAGGGAGGCTCGCCGGCTGAGAGTCTTGAGGGGCGCTGAGGTTGTAGTCGGCCATGAAACTGTTCTGCGCAGCCTCTTGCTGCAACAGCTCTTCGTGAGCAGCGTTGGCCGCGACAGCATCGTTGTACTGCTCTATAAATTGGTTCTCCGAGGGGTAGTTGATGTCCTGCTCGCTAGGGTTGAAGTTATAGTCGATTCCCTCCAGCCCGAAACCGAAGGCCTGTTGACCGAGCCCAACTGCCGTGTTGCTTTCCTGCTGCTGGAGATCTTGGCTGGGCGGCGCATCCATCAGGCGGCCCATCTCAGCCATGTAACGCACGAAGGAGTGCGCCGACGCCTGAGGCTGCAACGAAACCGAAGCCGGCAAAGGCTGGGGGTTCCGCGGAATAAACTCATCACGGCGGGGAAGTTGAGGAGCATGCGCCATGTATACCTGTGGCTGTTGGGCTTGGATCGAGACTGGTAGGATCTCCTTCTCCTGGGCTCGATACCGCTGTGCATATTTCGGCTTGGGGACCTGGAGGGTCTGGTCCGGCGTCCCCTGCATCGGAAAATCTTTCTCGACCATTCTCGCCTCGTAGGCGTGGCCCCACGCCAACGGCAACACCGGCACCGGCACCGGCTGGAGTTCCGGCAGCGGGTTTATGTTCGGCAGGGATTCGCCCATGTCGGCGACAGCGGCAGGCGGAAGAAGGTTTTGTGGCGCCATGTTCTGCTGACCCTTCTGCTGACCCTTCTGCTGCACACGATGCGAGCTAGGGATAAAATCTCTAGGCATGTTGCTGATAGCAGGCTGGGCGAACGCGAGCTGCCAAGACGACGATGACGCGGTGCTCTCCATCTGCTGCCGTAGGTTGACAATCTGCGCGGATTGCGCGAGCTTGCCGGCTTCAGCCTTTGCCATCTCTTCGTCAAACTTGCGCTGCATACGAGAAATCTCGGCCCTGCCCGGCGCATTCTGTCTCGTGGCCAGACTCTCCTGTACCTTGTTGAACTTCTCTTGCGTCTTGGACAAGCTCTTCTTCCGCGGTGAGCCGGACTGGGAAACGCGATCCATCTCGCTTTGGATACGCTCGACGGTCATGTGTCCTGTCGTAGTAGGGATCTGGGCAGGATGAGCAGGCGAGACAAAGGTTTGCTCCTGCTGAGCCGGGGCCTTGGCCTGTGCGTGGCTCTCGTGCTGCGAGGAGTTGTAAAAAGGAGACGCCTCGGGATGCTTCTGGATGTGGCGGGTCATGTCGGGATCTGGTTGCCAACGCGGCGGACGAGGGAGGACGGGCTGGGTCTGCGCCGTGCTAGGGCCAGCGAGCATCTGAGCTGGCTGGTTGGCCGAGGAGGATTCTTCTTTCTTCTCGGAGGCGACAAGAGGGCTCGAGGTTGGCTGTTCGCGATGCTTCTTGGTGGGAGGTTGCTCGTAGGCATTGGCCTCGCCGTCCTTGGCGCCGATGTTGGCGGCAGGTCTCTTACCGAGCTGCTTCTCCGAGACGCAGTCCTCTGCCTCGTCCTTGCTGATGCGGAGCTGCTGGTCGAAGAACTCCTTGTAACCCTGCCAAAATCCATCGCTGGAATTTGGATCGTGGGGGCCGAAGATCTCGGGGAGGAGGAAACCGAGGTGGGCGTTTTCGATAGCTTTAAAACACCGCCGCGTAAAGGTGTAGTGGGTGGTTGCTCTGCTCCCTCCCGGATTGGCGCCAATTATAAAAAGGGTCCACAGGTCATACCTCGACGGCAGAACAGGGAGCAGCGTGGGCTGCATCTGAAACATTTGTTCCCACGTCTGGTATATGGCTACGCAGGCCACCAAATTTTCCATATTGCTCAGCTTGGTGGCATACCGGGGCTCGCCGGACTTGAGATGAGCGAGCCGCCAAAGAGGGTGGCCGGCCGGGTGGTGGATGGCGCGGGCATCACCCTGCTCCAGGTCCCGCAACAGCTCCTCCCGGTCAATGTCTGGCGGGATGTAGTTTTCGCGCAGGCGTACGACTGCCGACCAGTATTCGCGCCGGTAATCGCCCCTTTTTTTGCCGCTCTCGTCGATGCCAACCGACGCCGTTGGCAGGGGCGGGATCCGTGTCGACCACCAGGGGGACCTGCCCGTGCCCGCCCCCGAGCCGGGAAGGCCCAAGGGGACTGGAGCAGCTCCGGCGGCAGGCGGCTGGGGTTGGCCCTCAGAGGCCATGTTCCTCGACTACGATCTTAGGCCTTTGTCAGCTCGGTTCTGCACGAATAGGGCCAGAAAAGGCGAGAAGAGGTGAGACAGGGCGAGGCTGGTGCAGGATAGAATGCAGCAGCACGTTATGGTACGGGATTATGGCTAGTCTGGTTGCATACGAGGGCAACCTGGAAGCTAGCCAAGGCTCGGTACCCAAGGCTCGGCGTTCAAGCGGGTAAGGAAAGACGAGGGCAGCTTGGGGGCTAGTCGAGGCTCCGCGTTCAAGGGCATAATGATGGGGGCAACTCGGAGGAGAGCAAGTCTCGTCATTCAAGCAGGCTGATGAGGACGGGGCAAACTCGGGTGAAGCCTAGCCAAGCTCCGGATTCAGGGGCTAACGACAGGAGCAGCTCGATGGAAAGTCAAGGCCCGGTATTCAAGGCATTCAAGGGGATAACGAGGGGATAATGACGAGACAGAGCGAAATAAGGAAATCACATTTTCCAGATCTCTGCGGAGCCAAATGTGCGATGTCTTGTGCTTAGGGCTGGATAGCTGCCGAGGCCGCGCAAGAAAGGAAATCGAGTGCGGTTTGAAAATATGCATACGGGATTCAGAAGGTAAAGACGGTGAAGGAGTGGAAACGTGAAGATATTATATACATGCAACTTACTGGTAAAGAAAGGCAAAACGAAACGACGGTGGTGGTGGTGGTGGCGGTGGTGGTGTTGGTGGTGCGAGAATGTGGTGGTTTTTTCTGCGCCCGAAGTGAAGAGAGGAAGTAGGGCGGCTTCGTTGCTCAGCCAGGTAATAAAAACAGGCTCGGGTGCGGCAGTTGAAAAATAATTCAAAAACCTCAGGCTGCCTGGTGCTGGCTGTCGCGCCTGGTGCTGGCTGTCGCGCCTGGTGCTGGCTGTCGCGCCTGGGTGCTGGCTGTCGCGCTTGGGTGCTGGCTGTTGCACTGGCGACATGCCAAGTGACCAGTGCGCGTCCAGCTGGCGACAGAACGTGACCAGATCGGATGATAATGCACACATCTTATCGAATATGGTCTCGCCAGTTTTCCCTCCCCGCAACCCTCACCTCAGGCCTACGGTAAGAGCCGGATCACAAGTATGCAAGGTAACCTCCTACTTAGATCAAAGGGATGCTGCAGCTTTAAATAAGAATGTAAATATAGTCGCAGCTCGGATCAAGTAAGAATGTTGAACGAGAATGATAGCACGGGTTGGACCACACAACTTCAGAAAAGTCCAGCCTTGTAAATGCTGGTAACGGCCAGGGGATTGTCGCAGCGTGAAGACGCAGTGTCATATCCTCCAGGCCAAACTCACATTAGATGCCCTTTTGGATGTCTGGAGTGACGGTCTTAGCGGTCCAAGCCATCACGGCCGAGCAAAGAATCACCCCATACATCACGATGCTATTCATCATCCGATACGGCCTCTTCCCAGCGTGGAAGGCCCAGGTCCAAATAGGGACTCCCTGGTGGGACTGGTGGCTGGTTGAGGGGGTATCGGGGTAGTTCTATGAACATAATCATGGCTCGGCGAGCTATAATCCCTCGTCTGGGTGTCTTTGTGCACATTTTACCGAGCATCTCACTAACGGGTATTCGAAAAATAAAAAGGACAATACAGCTCGGGAGAAAGAAAAGAGTGTAAACTGCAAGGAGGCTCTTACGAGGACAGCGCAGACAAAGGAATAACAGGAGCACGGAACACGTTGATCTACAGCTTTCGTAAGAAATAACGGTGCTTTGTATACCAAAATCCACCATAGCAATGCATTACTCATCCTTTGCCTATTAGTTACTGACTCTTTTAAATATTTTGACTAGGCAACTGCCTTCCATATTAATCAGTCAAGCAAATTGTAAAAGAGTCTAGACGGGCCTTGTAAAAGAAGGCCCAGTTATAGAGGGCGTGCAGTAGAATGAGAGTATTTACACAAAGAGAAAAATCGAGGCAGAGGCTTATTAACAACGCAGTGAACAGACAAGCCCCTTGGTAAGCTATCAGGCACCTCGGTGAACAAAAACCGTACATTACAGTGTTCATGCCAACTGCTATATCTGTATTCAACTATTTTCGAATCCCCAAGTAGATTGTTCTCGATCGTTTCAACAAGTTTGCTGTACGAATAGAGAAGCAACGCGACTGTCCCGAATCTCCCAGATTTCCCAAACTCTTCGCTGGCAATATGAGAACGCAACGAAACAGCGACATCTTTCAATCCTCTGCTGCCATCTTCGGAAAGCAGGCTTCTGCGTGCGTAATTCAACCCCAAATTATCCAACTCGACTTACCAACAGCCGCCAGAAGCTTGCTAAGCAGAGATGCCCGCCTCCTTCTCGATCTCTTCCTTGGACGGCGACCCTAAGTTATCAAAATTATTAACAACCAATCCCGGTCCACAGGGTATGACTGCAGAAGGTAACCTACACTTGTCCTGGAGGTCCTTGTCGAGGGCCGGGGCGTAGACATCCTTAGGCCACCACTCGCCCCAGCTGGTGAGGAAGACCTGCTCGGGGTCGGCGGGGACGTCGTCGCGCGTGAAGGCGGCGAGGATGCTGGCGGCTCCTGCTCGCACCGAGAGGAAACGCAAACGTGTCAGCAAACCAGCCAGCCAGCGTGACTACTAAACTAGGCAAATACAGGGCGCACAGACCTTCGGCAACCGACTTGGCGTCGGGAAGGTTGTCGGGGATAGTCATGTTGCCGCCGCGGCCGAGGCCGGTGTCGGGGATTAGGCCCGGCGACACGGCCACGACGGTGGCTTGGCCCTGCAGCTGGCGGCGCCACCACTGCGCGCCGAGGAACTGGGCGAACTTGTCGGCGGCGTACAGGTCGAGGCCCTTGGCGGCGGAGCCCGCCTTGAGGTCGACGTCGAGGGTTTCTGCGGGGAAAGGGGGGTCGGTCAGCTTCACAGGGTCGTCGTCATGGTTCCCAACGTGGGTGTTTGGTGGGTGTCTGGTGGGTATTTGGCATACTAGGATCCGAGATCTGGCGAATGGCGCCCGTGGACACGACGACGACGCGCGACTTGGACGCGGCCAGCTTCTCGCGCAGCAGGTGGATGAGGTAGTGCTGCGCTGGGAGACGGGGTTAGCTGCCTGTCTGAGAGTCGGTGGCTTGATGTCGATTGAAAGCTCGGCTCACAGAGATGATTGACGACGTAGGCCTCGCACCACTTGGCGGGGCCGTGGGGCGAGGGGTCGGCGCCGACCGAGGTGGTGGCGGCGTTGAGTAAGAGGTAGTCGAGCTTGTCGTGGCCGAGGTGCTCGAGCGTCTGCTGGGCAAACGTCTTGGCTGTGCGGAGATCGGACAGCTCGAGCGGCAGGACGGTCAGGGTGTGTCTGGTGCTGTCGAAGCCGAGCTTGCTGTAGGCGGCCTCGGTGGTGCCGACGTTGCGGGCGCCGAGGATGAACTTGTAGGGCTGCGCCTGCCCGAGCAACGTCTTGATGGCCTCGAAGCCCTATATTTCAGGGGTCAGCGTCTGTTAGCTCAATCTAGTTCAGCGGTGCTATGGAGGAAATTGATTACCAAGCCGGATGAGGCGCCCGTGGCGACGATGGTCTTTGCGATAGCCGACATGTTGATGGTGTTATTGAACGTGGTTGATTTAGGTGGGATGAGTTAGGGGAGGTGGAACGTTTATCTTGGCGGAACCCAATTATTAATCAACGTGAGAAATGTCAAAGGTAGGTAAGCTCGTAAGGTAATTATACAGTTTGAGACTTCTAGGCTGCTTTCCGCTGGCGTTGTCAAATGGCCCTATCCAGAACCCAGGCACTTGATTGGCTCCATCGCTTTCCGCCATCTGCCATTGGTGGTTTGGTCCGGTGCAGAGCCGAGTGTTCGGACATTAGACCCCGGTTAATTCCGTGCTCGATCCAAATTCCGGTTGCAGAGGAGCACCCCAGACCGACTGCTGTCCAAATCGGGTTACCTTGGATCCGTGCATCTTCCTTCGTGCGCGTTGGCGTCCAAGCATCACGATTTGACGATCCTGCAATGGAAGCCTAGGACTTCCTGGTTGAGGCCTTGGCAGGCTTGTAGCAGTCTTGTGGATAGCTGTCAGCCACTAAATCGAGGCCTAGAGCCACCCACAACATTCCCCGCTAGCTACCTAATTAGGTAGGTACCTTACTTACGGAAAGTCGACATGAAATATAGCCTAAAATACACGGAACCTAAGATACATGGAACCTAAGATACATGGAACCTAAGATACATGGAACCCAAGATACATGGAACCCAAGATACATGGAACCCAAGATACATGGAACTCGAATATTCACAAAGACTGTGGTTGGCTAGTTTTAAGTATTAATTTAGTATATATCGTGCTTTAGTCGATTCTGTATTGCATGGTTATAAACGGTGCGTAGTACGTTTAGCCGCTGTTTGACAATCAGCGACGCCGCGACAGATAGCAGTGAGCATAGGAGTAGAAAACACCGTGCTCAATACCTCCGTACTAGTTAACGTGTGTGATAAGCGAGATGAACAGACAAGCGAGTTGAACACTTTTGACGCGACGCGCCTCCTCTCTACAAAACACCAAATTCCTCAACAAACTCAAATGTCTCTTCCTTCATACGAAGCTAGGGTGAATTTGGCCCTCAGGGCTATTCAAAACGACCCAAAACTCAGTATTCGAGCTGCAGCAACAACATATCAAGTCATGGTAAATACTATACGCAACCGACGCGACGGCAAACCTGCACGACGTGATACTCCAGCCAATTCGCGTAAGCTTACGGATTTGGAAGAGAAAACGATTGTTCAGTACATCATTGAGCTATGTGCGCGCGCATTTCATCCCCGGCTTTCGTACGTAGAAGATATGGCCAATCGATTGCTACGCGAACGCGACGCGCCCTCTGTCGGTACACGCTGGGCTCACAACTTCGTCAAGCGCCAGCCAGAACTTCGGACGCGTTTTACGCGTAAATACGACTACCAGAGGGCCAAATGCGAAGATCCAAAAGTTATTCGCGAGTGGTTTGCGCTTGTGCACAACACAAAGGCCAAGTACGGTATCCTTGACGAAGATTTGTACAATTTCGACGAGACCGGCTTTATGATGGGCATTATCATCCCCGCTATGGTAGTTACTACCTCTGATGGCCGTGGTAGGGCTAAGCAAGCCCAGCCTGGTAATCGAGAGTGGGCTACAGTCATCCAAGGAGTGAATGCTCTAGGCTGGACTATCCCACCATTCATTATCTTAGCTGGGCAATATCACCTTGCTAACTGGTATCAAGAGTGCAACCTTCCGGGTACCTGGCGTATCGCAACAACCGACAATGGCTGGACTACTAATGAGAAAGGCATGGATTGGATTCGGCACTTCGATTTCCACACAGCATCTCGTACGAAGGGAATATACCGACTGTTAATTCTCGACGGCCACGATAGCCACCACTCCGAAGAATTCGAGACTTACTGCCGGGAGCACAACATCATCACACTCTGTATGCCTCCGCACTCTTCACACCTACTTCAGCCATTGGATGTTGGTTGCTTTGGGCCGTTGAAGAAGGCGTACGGCTGTCAGATTGAGCAGCTGATGCGGATGAACATCACACATATTAGCAAGCTGGAGTTTCTTTGTGGGTTTAGAGAGGCGTTTTTTGCTTCGGTTACGGAAAGGAATATCCAGGGGGGGTTTGCTGGAGCCGGCCTTGTGCCGTACGATCCAGAGAGGGTGATATCCAAGCTAGATGTGCGTATTCGGACTCCAACACCCCCAGCTACAAGCCTAACTACATCGCTACCTTGGGTCTCCCAAACGCCACAAAACCCGAGAGAGGCTGCCTCACAGTCAGCGTTCATCAAAACTCGAATTTCCAACCATCAGGGCAGCTCTCCAACACCAATGCTGACTGCTGTGGATCGATTAGCTAAAGGTACGATGGCTATGATGCACGAGGTGGCTCTTTTGCGTACAGAGGTCTCAGCACTTCGGAAGGCCAATGAGGGGCTTAGTAAGCGACGGAGAGCCAAGAAAACACGTGTTCGGCTTAGAGGATCACTTACTATACAAGAGGCACAGGATCTACTAGATCAGAAGGCTGTGGGTGGGCAGTTAGTCCAGGAAACACGACAAAATGGTGGTGGTGCAGGGGGGTCTCGTACGAAGATTCGATGCTGTGGCGTATGCGGCAAGCCTGGCCATAATGCACGTACGTGCAAGGAGGCTGCAGAATCGTCTGATTCATCTGTTTCCGATTCAGTTATTGTTATTTCCTAGTGTTGTGGTTGTGTAATTGAGGGTAGTTGTGGTGAGGTTGTGGAAATTGTTCAACTCGCTTGTCTGTTCATCTCGCTTATCACACACGTTATCATAAATTAGGTATTACTGAGGCCGACAGTGTATGGTGCAGTAGCCTATGGACTTTAGTTCCTTGTTCGTGCACCGTGTTGCAACTTGGAAGGCACGTTGAAGAGAAACTTTCTAATGAATTATTCTAAATCAGGAAGCCACTCCTTCCACGGTCAAAACGACGGTAGCGCTGACCGCCACGGCAACTGCAACCTACCTCATCGAACTTGCCTTGGATTGTTACTTGGCAAAAGGGAAGTGCAAATAGAGGAAAGTGCAAATTCGGTGTGACTTTCCCAAGAGCTAAAGCCTCATTCAGTCGACAGGCGCTCGTCACATTGCATTCTTGTTAGACCGCCATACAACGTACTCTACAGCCAAAACAGCATAGCCACAGAGCGTTGCAGGAAGCTTACGTGCGCCACAGCACGCCCACAACCCGGAGCCAATGGGTTGACGATGGCTAATGCCCGGCTCTGGGGGCTGAGCACGACAAGGCTCTGTCTACGGATCCGTACGTCAAACCTCTCGCAACGTCGTCGGCTCGACTTGAACATGACATGTCGCGCATGCGCTCGGTCCGACTTCTATTCTCTATTGTTTAGCTACCTAGTTTTTTAGTTACGCTAACTGGCTCTTCCATCCCCAGATGCGTCGATGCCCACGACGACGATCCCGCGGCCGATGTCGCCCACTTTGATCCGCCCCTAACCCTGCAATTTCCCGCCGCAATGCCAACGCCCCCGTTTCGACGAGGCAATAGCGCCAAGGAACGGCCCGCGGGGCGCCATGGGTTCGAGATCGCCATTTTCTGTGCCCTGCCGCTCGAGTCCAGCGCGCTCTCCTACCTCTTTGACGAATTCTTCGACGACGGCGACGGCGACCCTTACCAGAAAGTCGAGGGCGATCTGAATCACTACACGACAGGCCGCATCGGCAGACACAATGTCGTCCTCGTGCTGCTCCCTGGCATGGGCAAGGCCCTCGCTGCCAGCGCCGCCGCTTCTCTGCGTGCGAGCTACCCCAATGTCCGCGTCGCCCTCGTCGTCGGCATCTGCGGCGGCGTGCCCGGGCCCCTCGGGAACGGCGACGACATCTTCTTGGGCGACGTCGTGATAAGCAACTCGATCGTGCAGTACGACCTCGGCAGCCAGTACCCGAACGGCGTCTTTGCGCGCAAGAAGTCGCTGCATGAGAGCCACGGCCGGCCAAAGAAGAACATACGCACCCTGCTGAAGAGCTTCGAGACGGACCGCAACCACGACAGGCTTGAACAGAGAACGGCGCACTTTCTTGGAGAGCTTCAAGCGGCTTATGCTTAGCGTACGAAAAGGAAGCCCGCCAAGTACAAGTACCCCGGCACCGACGAAGACGAGCTCTTCCGAGCCGACTACCGCCACCGCCACCGCTTCTCGCCATGCTGCAACCAAGAGACGACGTGTGACAAGGCCATCGATGCATCGTGTGACAAGCTGGGGTGCGAGGACAGATGCCTGGTGGACAGAGACGGGCTGGCCGAAAAGCGCAGGCTCGAAGAAGAGAACCCGGCCAAAGCCCAGGAGCCGGCTATCTACATTGGCCCCGTAGCGTCGGGCGACACGGTGATGAAGTCTGGAGAAGACCGGGACCGCATTGCCCGGGAAGAAGGCATCTTGGCCTTCGAGATGGAAGGCGCCGGCGTGTGGGACGAGATACCTTGCATTGTTGTCAAGAGCGTGTGCGACTACGCGGACAGCCACAAGCGGAAGCAGTGGCAAGAATTTGCGGCTGCCGCTGCTGCCTCGGCGGCCAAGGCGCTCTTGGAGGCGCTCGTCGTGGCAGACCGAAAAGACGGCTTGGTCTCCCGCCGCGAGATGCTGGCTGTTCTCGAGCTGTTCCGCCGCCAGGGCCGGATCCCCCTCGGCGACTCTAGCCACGATTTTGGCGAGCTGGTCCAGTTCGCAATCCCGAACCGCCCCGTCTCCGAAGTCCAGTTCCACTCGGTGCTGGTCATTGACGCCCGCGGCCGGCTGTTGCCGTTTCACTTGGAGACGATTAACTCTAAAGAGCTCTTCGTCCATATCCTCCGCGCCCGGTTCAAGGATCTCGGACACACCAAGATCGACCGAGGAGAGTGGTCTCTTGAAGGCACACAAACCGGAGAGATTCTCGACCTTGATAAGCCGTGGCAAACTGTCGTCAAGCACAAGCAAGTGATCAGGATGAGCATGGATTTCCGGCGCCGCAATGTGCCGACAACGGAGTGCCCATCTTGTGGATTTATGAGCGAGGGCTTGCCCACAGATCAAGTTGAATGGCAAGTGCCCCACCGACCCAGTCTTTCCCGATTTTTCCGAATTTGTTAGTCTAACCTCCCGCTAGTAGCGTCTGCGGTCTGACATATTGTCGCATCGAGGAGACCCAAGAGATCGAAGTGCGGGACGAAGCTCCCAACTCAGCACCAACAGCGGCAGAACCTAGACATGATAGACCTCCTGAACTTCCCAGGCCCAGACCACCGATACAAGTTCCCGCCGATCAAGACATCCGACACTATAAGCAGGTCCGCATTATAGACACGAGCTTCAGAATTCAAGAGGCAGACGGAAGCGAGGTGTCAGCGTCCCGGGCTACTTTCAGCACGCACCACCTGAACGACACGAGACTTCTTGCCTCGGAGCTGGCGAAACGCTACGGCCTGCCCGAAGAAGACTTATGAGAGTTCTCGCTGAGTCTGAGAGCCAGCTTTCAGCACTACGAGTGAGGTCCGCCGCGCTACAAGAGCACAACACACCAACTCTTGCCTCAGGAATACGAATAAAGGGAAATATAGCCACCGGGGGATCGATACAAATCAACTTAGTTAACCATTATTACTCTCGCGAGATTACAGGCAAGGACTCCCGCATAGACGAGCATGTCGAAATCGACGACGTCACCAACCTGATATCTGCACAGTCTAGTCCTGCGGGACTGGCGACCGTTGAAGGGATTAACCAGTGGAGGGGATGGGATGTTGCCGTCGCCGGACTGGATGAGGATAAGCCTACTGTGGCCGCAAACCCAGCCACTGTCCGAAGCATGGCAATCAACAGAACATCGTCTAGCGCAGATACCTACAGCAAAGCCATGCTGCGGAGGTTGAATCGGTGAGCAGGACACAGGGCAACCCCTCCTGCGATCGAGATCTCTTTTGACGATTACATGCCCCTAGACGGTATCAAAGATATTTGGCCTAGCAATATTTTGCCGCCTCTTCCCCCACCGAGACTTATTCCTATGAACCAACCACGCCTTGGCACAATCGACCACACATCGACGTTGTTCATAGAACCAAGTGATTCCCAAGGTCTAGGGACTTCTCTAGAACCAGGAATTTAGGGCAATCTCCAGCAAAACGTTCAGCACGGCCAGCCCACCGACGAGGGCTATAGCGCCGTATCTGAAGGCTATAGCGCCTACAGCCCCTCATTCTTCAATAACGTCTTGAATGACATGGACCTGGATTATTCGTTGCCGTACTATCCACCCGGGACACAAAATCCATTTAGATGGTCGCCTCCAATAGGAACGGGCCTAGCGTCTGCAGACGACGAAATCTTGGATCATAGTACCTCGTCCAATTTCTATCATTTTGGAGCCATCGGAGGCGGACCCACGGGAAACTCGGAGAGTGGGAAAGCCCGCAAACACAAACGTGAAAGCCAGGATGAATACTACGGCACAGTTAGACGGCCACGGCAAAACGGCCTGGCACGAAGAAGCTCGTCGCCGCATGCTGTTCCTGATGGCTCTTTAGGTCTTGCAGTAGGCGTCTGGTCGCCGAAGAAAAGACAGCTCAGCGATCAACCGTGAGGGTTTTACATGGGACACGTGGACTGCGACCTTGGCCGAGTATGCCAGCAACTCATCCAAGTCCGAGATAGATGCAAGCTCCCACAAGACGCCAGCTTTGACCGATGAAGAGGTGGAAGCTCAGCCTTCCACACCACAGGCACAATCAAAAAAACAAGGCCTAAACGAAATACAAAGGCGGAAAGGGAGAGAATTCGGGCGGCTCGGAAAGGTAAGATAAATATCGATATTTTCTGGAAGAGCAAGTCGGCCCTAATATCGAGTTTTATAGTCCTCCGGGTCCAACGTATACGGAGTGACCGGAGACATATATCCCAATCAGCATTGAGGCCTACTTATCCTCTCGTCACAGAACAACGACAATAGCCAAGAGTCATAGCTGGCGGCGTCTTTTCAAGAAACGGAGGGCTTGATTCATACTAGGAATCAGGTGCTTATCCCCCCTATACACACCGTCTCGCCACCCTATACACACTATCTCGCCACTCCGGGCTCTCCTAACCTCAATATTTAAGCCATTCGCTCAGACGACTTGTTCTGCAATGGGTTGAAAGGGATCCTTAGGGGCGCGATAGGCGAATGATATACAATCCCCGGTAACTGGCAGGGGAGAGTTTTTTTTTTTGATAGCCGATGATGATAGCCTGTTCGGTTTTTTCGTTTTCTCCAACTTGTCTATCTAATACATAGTATATACCCTGGGCCTCGGCTCACGCTCAAAGATTCTGAAACAGCATCAAACGAAGTTGTGCCTGGGATCTCTCCAAAAATCCCACACCGAGATGCCTGCTACTCAACCTCGAGCCACTGCGCCTCGAGCTGTGCAATCTCCATGGCGACGTGCGGACTGTTCGCCTCGGCAAACCCGGCGTTCATGCTCTGAAACGCCTGCGCGGCCATGGCGCCCGACTGCGTGGGGTGCCAGCCAAGCGTGCTGCTGCCGTAGGCGTAGTCGCTCGTCACCCCAGCCGCGAGCGCGAAGCTCTGGCCGCCGCTGTAGATGGAGCTGACGACGCCCTGGTTCGCGGCCTGGCGCATCTTCAGGGCTTGGATCTGGCGCATGGCGTCGGCGCGGAGCAGCGTGTTGGCGTGGACGAGCGCGCGGTGGTGGGCGAACTCGACCAGCTCGTCGGCGCTGCCGCGCTCGCACGCCGCCGCGAACAGCCGGCGCATCCGCGGCGAGTACATGCTGCACATGGTCGCCCCCGTGACCCTCGCTGCTTGCACGGGCATCGACGCCGCCAGGGCCGTGTCGACACAGACCTCGGCGTAGCACCGCGGGCATATGCCGCAGTCCTGGTACCCGTACCAGATCAGGTCCGGCGTTGGCGTCGAGCGCGGACACGCGGGGGCGCCGGCGAGCGCCGCGTGCGCGCGCACAAACTCGGAGAAGCGCGCCCACACGCCCACGTCGACAGCCTCCTGCAGCCGGTGCACGTACGGCGCGAAGTAGGGCGCGCTCGGGTGGAAGTCGCACAGCCGCGGCACGGCGGCCTCGTCGCCCGAGAAGCTCACGGCCTGCAGGAAACCCGCCACCCCGAACGGCTCCAGCAGCCCCGCGTAGCAGCCCGCGCACACCTCGAAGTTGTGGCACCGCCGCCCCGCCAGCGTGTACCACGTCACGGCGCCGCCGCCGAGCCCGGCCTCGGTGCACGCCGGCGCGGCCATGATGGCGGCGGCGCCGCTGACAAACACGCCAAAGTCCTGCCGGCTCTGCGCGACGCCCAGCACCACGGCCAGCGGCGGCCGCGCAGCATGACACGTCCACATCTGCTCGGCCCTGGCGCCAGCGCCGGGCTCCACCTCGTCCTGCTGCGGCGGCGGCGTCCCGAGCAGCGAGCTGAGGAACCGCGACGTCTTGGACGGCGGTTCTGTTGCAGTTGTTGCAACAGCCGTGGCCCGGAAGATCAGCGCCGTGTCGAACTCGTCGGCGAACGGCGTCATGCCCGCCAGGTCGAGAAAGCACGCCTCGCACACGGTCACGCCGGCGATCTCGGCCCGCCGCGCGCGCCGCCAGCCGCGGCTGGTCGCTGCCACTGCGGTACTGCTGCCCGCGCAAGTAGGCTGGCCCAGCCGCCGCGCCGCCGCCGCGGCGAACGCGCTCCATCCGCCGCCGCCGCCGTGTTCATCTGTGTGGGCCAGCGCCCGCGCCACGAACGCGAACCGCAGGTGGCATCCGGGCGGGCTGCCATCATCGCTCTGTTGCGCATGCTGTGTCTGCTGCGGACGGAAATGTCCTGCAAACCCCGTCGCGCACACGCGCTCCTCGAAACACGCCTCGCACACACGCAACGCATCACTCCCGCTCCCGGCAAGCGCAGCAACGAACCACCGCCCGCCGTCCCCGTTGCCATACCCCCCATCCGCATACCCCCCATCCGCATCATCGTCAGGACACAGGCCCAGCTCAGCTCTGCGCGCCGCATACGCCCGCAACGCATCCAGACCCGCACCGCCGGGATCGCGACACGCAGCAGCCCACAGCCCGCGCCCCGGGCCCGTCACGCGCGGCACGTCGAACCGGCACACGCGGCCCGCGGGCAGCTCGGCGGCCGTGGCGCCGATGGATGCTGCGTGCGGCGTGCCGGCAATGTGCCGCGTGTAGCAGCAGGTGCAGATCAGGAACTCGTTTTCCCCTACCTCGTCCTGCTTGGAGGCGGGAGGGGATGGTTTCGGCAGGCGGTACCACGTCGTCGCGTAGCGCACCACGCGCGCCGGGCCGGGGCAGTCGTTCAGCGCTGCCTGTGGCGGGCCGGACGCTGTGATTGTCGGCGGCGGCACGGGAGGGGTGGTGAAGGTGTAGCGCGCTGGGGCCGAGGCCTGGAGTTCTGCTGTTTCTGATCTCGTCGTTGCTGGGTTGTGTGGATGTGATGGATGTGGGCGCAGTGGTGCCGGCGAGAGCGCCATCCTGTCGAGCTGTGCTGCGAGACCACTCGCTGCTGTCTCACTGCGCGTGTCGGCGTCGTCGCCGGCCAGCTCGGCGACATCGGGCCGGGGCGCGCTGCTGGTGCTGCTGTCGGGGAGCTCGGCGAGTGTTGAGGGTGGTGCGTAGCTGGGAGGCGGCGTGCTTGCTGCGCTGGCCGAGGACGCGTAGACTGGTTGCTGCGGCGGCTGCTGGTATACCGGCTGTGGAGGCGGCTGCTGCTGGAGCGGCTGCTGGTATGGCGGCGGTTGCTGCGGCAGCGGTTGTTGTTGGTAAGGCTGCGGCAACTGCTGTTGTTGGTAAGATGGCTGCGAATACGGAGGCTGGTACGCCTGGTATGGCGGCTGGTGCGGCTGTGGCGGCGGAGACTGGGGAAAGTTCCGCTGGCTGCCTGCAACGCTGCTGGCCGGCGACGGCGACGACTGTGGAGACTGCAGGACCAGCGGCGGATATTGTTGTTGGGGTCGGGCTTGAGATGGCGACTGGGGCGCTTGTTGGTATATCTGTGGCTGTTGTGGCTGCTGGTATGCCTGCGGCTGTTGAGGTTGTTGGTATGCCTGCGGCTGTTGAGGTTGTTGATACGTCTGTGGCTGTGGTGCCTGTTGATAGACAGGTTGCTGTGGCGCCTGTTGATAGACAGGTTGCTGCGGCGTCTGGTAGGTGGATGGCTGTGGCGGTTGGTAGCTTTGGGGCGGCGGCGGTTGGTATGCCGGCTGCTGGTGTGGCGGTGAAGGGGACTGCTGAGACTGGATCTGGGCACCTTGGTGTGCACCTGGCAGAGGCAGCTGTTGAGATTGCTGCTGATAAGTCTGTTGCTGTGGCTGCCGGTATGTCTGCTGGGGCGCTTGGTAGGGCGACGGCGGCGGCTGGTATGACGGCTGCTGGTGTGGCGGGGAAGGGGACGGGTGGTGACCGCCCCCAGGAACACCAGACACTGTGGGAGGACTTTGCGGGGCAGGATAAGGCCTGGACGGCGGCGGAGGAGGAAAGTAGCCCTGAGGCCCATCTCCATATCCGGGTGCGGGGGATCCCGAGTAGTGACTGGGCGGCGCCGGGTGTGACTGTGGCTGGCCGCTCTGGGGGGGGCCGGGCCACGCTCCCGGCGTTCCGGGGGACGCGGGGTTGCTCGGAGGGCTCGCTGGCTGCCAGCCCTGGCCCTGGGGCTGAGGAGAGCCCGCATGCTGGCCAGCGGGCGCGGGCGGAGCATAGTAATATCCTGTTGACGGCGCTCCCTGGCCGTAGGGGGCATTTCCGGGAGACCCGGAATAGGGGTTGGGCGCAGGCGGATACGGCGCAGCGTTGGTGGGCGGCCTGACAAACTGCTGCGCCTCGGCCTGCAGCTGCTGGTACAGGTCGTTGCCCTGCGCGACGGCCTTGTCCTTGAGCCGCTTGAAGACGGACATGATGGCGATGCTGTTCCGGGGTGGATACGATGTGCGACAAATTCAAAAGTCGGAAGCAAAGGCCAAAAGGACCGCCAGTGGAAAACGCTCTGCGGGGCTTTTTGAGGGGACCAGAGAGAGGTGCGGCACAGCCCCCTTTCGAACTCGGGCAGATGCGTGCTGCGGCTGAACCGTTCGCCACAACGGTAACCCTCCCGCATCTGCCCGAGCCAATCGCCTGTCGCCAGCGCATCGGTGCTAAATGGGGGACAGGTTGCGAGATAAGCGAGGGCCTATAGCGGCGCGACTTTGTATAGCTGCGCATGCACCCCTTCTCCTGAAACCGACGCCCGTTGAGTACCTGCATGTCATCCTGACCCCTGGATTTACCACAGCCACATACGAGTCCGACGTCACTCTTATTTGCTAGCTGTCAGGTATGCAGCATAACATGCAACCAGATTTCTCGAACCCTGCTCACGCAATCTCGACCTCGAACGACGGGCTCTCCCGCGCCTGCGCGAACTACTACCACGTCTTGGCGGCGGTGTTGGCCGGGGTTGCGCGTCTCGTGGGTCGGCGCCACGGGGCCGTCGACGACAACGGGGCCGATGTGCACGCCCGGCGCGTACGTGAGGGCCAGGCTCTGCACCAGGTTGCGCTGCGCCGCCTTGGCCAGCGACAGCGAGAACACCTACGGGATCGGCTGCTGCGGCAGCGTCGAGCGGGTCTCGATGAGCGCCGGCCGCGCTGCGTCGGCCCTCGCCAGCGCCGCGAGACCCGTCACCTCGCGCTTCGCGACCGCGTAGAGCGCCGACACGATGATTTGAGGTGGTTAGTGGTTTGCCAATACTGCAGACACGCCAACTATCGCCCCTCAAGGCAGTTCGCCCCTCAAGGCAGTATGCTGCGGCGTGCTCACCTTCAAGTCATACTCGATCTCGGCGGCATCATACTCGAGCAGCGCCGACGGCAGCACGCGGGCAGCATTGAAAAAAGACGACCTCGGGCTTGCCGAAGGCTGCCTCGCCGTCGTCGAGCGCTGCGAGTAGCGCCGGCGTGTCGACCAAATCGACGGCGTACGTCTTGACGCGCACCTGCAGTAGTCCTTCCGTGACGGCAGCCGCCTCGACGGCACGCTTGTCGGCCGCGAGCTGCTCGGCGCGCCGCGCAATCAGCACCACCTTGCCGAACCGCTTCGCCGCGAACAGCGACGCCACCGACACCCCGATCCCCGATCCCCGCGCCCGACCCCATCACCACCAGGCTCCTGTCCGATCGTGGTGCCGCGGCCATGGTTGTTTGGTGTGGTTGTTCGGTGTGGTTGTCACGACGAGACGAGTTGGAGAAGTTCAAAGTTGAGTTTGGAGCGTTGGCGGATGAGAGATCGGGCGTGCCATGTTGAATAAACCCCTTCTACTCGAGAACATCGATCCGAGTCGGGCGTTAATATACCTATCGCGAGCAAAACCAACGTCCCATGACTATTGCAAATGCTGGGTAGGAATACCGTGCGTTATGTTATGTGCCCTGCATCGTCCTTTTGCATCAATGCTTCTCGATCCTCATCGAATGCTCTCCACTTGGACTGAAACTCTGGCTGACCGAACGCACGATTTGCTCTGTGCTCGCATGCCTTCCTGTATTGTCACGATTTGCGAGGCTGCGGTAAAGGGGGGCAAATGGTTCTCTTCATTAATCATCATCCCCGAGCAAGCAGGATGTTGTCAAGCCGGGTGAGGGAGACGACGTGGACCCCTCCCGGTCTATATGCTGCCAGGCTTCCTCGAGCTGGGCAGTGAAGACGGCATAGGCCCCAAAGTGTATTCGAGCAGGCTTTATTTCGACAAACGCTTGCAACAATAAGCAATCAATCCAGCTCGTCTATCTCTGAGCCCTCGGGCGGAGTATAGGCCGGGTGGGCCTTCCAGGCTTGCGTGACATATCTGGCCGAAGGGCGCAAGATTAGCGGCGATCTAGGACGCAGAGCTGGTGTTATTGGGTGCGTACTTTGTGTGGCTGCCCCTCGCGGCGAGTTCGCCTCTTTGGTTGCGGAAAGTGACTGTCGTAAAGGCCAAGGTCTTGCCAACTATTCATTGAAAGGGTGAGCAGAAGTGGCGGGGACAGAGGGACCGAGGCTTCCCTACTCTTCTCACACGTGGCAGTGCCCTGTATCTTCTCCCCGATCTTGCCGCCGCTGCTGAGATACGTGACTGGCAACACGGGCAATGTCAGCACGTCCGGGTCAGGCGTGCATAGGACGGGACTTGCTATTCATGTCGGTGGACACGCCGGTGGCGTGGAGCCCCATGGAGGCGACGGCGAGCGAGCCGCCGAGGTCGACCATGCTGGCAATCGTGCCGCCGTGGAGGATCTTGAGCCTGTTCTGCCCCTTGTTAGACTTTGGCTCTCCGGGTCAGACGGGGGGACAGGTACCGTGTGGTCTTTGGTGATTTCGAGCTCGAATTCAACCTTGCCCTCGCTGGCATCGGTGACGCGCAGCTTGAAGTGGTGAGCGGTGATTGCTAGGTTATGTGCCGTTGCGGTCGTGGCTCACATGAGGTCCGAACAGTCTGAGACGAGCCCGTGTCAGCCAAGTGTGTTCCAGACGCGCCCGTGTCAGCCAAGTGGTGTTCCAGACGAGCCCGTGTCAGCCAAGTGTGTTCCAGACGAACCCGTGTCAGCCAAGTGTGTTCCAGACGGCATTGAAAAGCCCCAAGTTGGAACTGCCGCCGGCGTTGCGAGATGGGCGACGCGGCGAGATTAGAACAGGAAATGCAACTGACCTTGGCTCCAGGCCTGACTCTGCCATGAAAGATTTCAGGACCTGTGTGAAGCGTGAAGACGTCAGCACTCGTGGGCCTGCTTCTCCGAAATTCAATTGCCTGGTCTGGTCGAGTTCTGTTGGGGCGGGGAATTGGAATAGGCGCAACCGAATTGATTAATTACCGATCTGACAAATCTTGCTGGCGGTAGTCTGGGCCCCATCTTTCTGTCTCTGCTGTGCACAACTGTCGTGGGCGTAATTCGAGCGGGTTTCTTCAACTGCTGGATTGAGGTCGACGGGTGAGATTGGAGACGGCAGTCTCGTGCCTGCCTGGGTGGGCCAGATCCCGGTTGTGCTCGGCAAGCGCTGGGCCAATAGGAACACAGGGCTCCGCTAGCTCGTATCCTCAGCGAACCAGGGCAGTTTCGCGTTCTCTTTGAGTCGCGCGCTTGAACTTTGAACAGGCCTTTCAATTTTCAATACTCATCATTTTCATAATCTATCTGTTTCTACTTTGGACCCGTATCTGCGAAACGTAGCCAATCAGAACCACACCAACTAAATCAAAACTTGACGTCGATGCCCAAAGTATACTGTTGCACATCACCAACGGCCGTCTTGGCAGCCCTCAACACGAAGCCGGTATTCTCGAAAATGATGGCCGGCACCGTCATGTACGGGACGGCCGCGTTGGTGCCCGAGGCGATGGCCGCCAGCAGGTCGCCGATGGCCACGACAAAGTCCTCGACCATGGTGGCGACGTTGGCCGCCGTCGCCGGCTCACCACTGCTGCCAAACTGTTGGAATGGCGCGCTAGTCAGCCACGGAGGGTCATCCACGAAGGTGGCTGTGGTGGTGCAGGGCCACAGATTCTATATAAGTGGCCGTAGGCCATTTCCACCCTCTGTCTTCTAGATACATACAGACAGACAACAATCCATCACTTGAACCACCAGTTTTCGGCGTGCAGTTACGCCCTGTTGCTTCCAGTACCGGTACCTGGTGATTCCAACAGTATTCAAGAATGAATTTTGGTAAGCTATAACTTCGATCAAACTAAATATTCATAATAAGATTTTTAGTCGCATCGGGGCTATAATAGCTTTATTACTAGAAGAGAATTAGGTAAAGTCAACGATAGAATTATACCCAATCTTCTTAACTTTGAAAAACATCACTCTTAGAGTAGTAGCTATCTAGCACGACGTATTATAGAATTTGTAGGTTGGATGCGGTAATTCACGTTAATTATCTACGACGTAGCTCCTTGAATTATAGCCGTGCTTCTATACACAACGACAATCAAGGAAGCATAGATAGCAACCGCTAGTACGTCTCTTGCTCGCTCCCTCCTCTTATTATAGCCTCTCGCACCCTATCCCTTCTTCTCTTCCGAGCTATCTTTATCTTGGTACCGTAATTAGGTCGCTTACTATACCTAGAATAGTCCGCGTTCTAGGCCTAATTATTACAAACCACTCGACTGTTAGGGTCGTCTGTCTGTAAGGGAGCACGGGCTCCACAGAATGCTGGGGTTGGTAATTATGAAGATAGAACAAAGGGCAAGCTCCTATCGCACGGGTAATACAGTCAAATCGGAATGCCACTCAAAGTGTATGAGTGCAGTGAATGTGTATTGCTTGCTTGAAGAACCAAGCAAGAGCTATCTAAGACCGTGGACACGATCGTCGTATATATCTATCTACGTAACCAATAACAGTGGTTCCGTTGTCCCGTGGTCCCGCGTCCGGGTCACCGCCCGGCCGGACCTGTCCCGCGCCCCCGAGCTCCAGAGCTCGGAATCCTGGAACGCTCCTGATTGGCTTGCGCCAAAAGTGCATGCCCCACCTTTGTGCATAACCACAGGGAATCCACAGGGATTCGTGACATACTATTCTAGTTCCGTATAGTCATAGCGACCAGTGCTGACCTTTTCGACCACCTCGTCCATGGTGAGATTCTTGTCTTTGAAACGATTTATATCGGTATCAAGCTCGTTCTAGAGAAAAAAGCCACCATTATCGTCTGTGAGGAGGAACGTATCACCGGCACTGAGTTCCGGCAGGATAATAATAGGGCGGAGGGTCATGTGGAATAAGGCGCCCAATATCAGCGCGTCTATTATTCCGGCCCTAGTCGTTAGAAGTAGTTCTATTTCTTTTGCTTGCGGAAAGACGAGAAAATAGACCTACTCGGCTTGCTGCTGAAGTATAGCTCTAGCTGCATGTCGTTGGGATCGTTCGACCATATAGATGACTTGTGGAAGGTATCGCCGAGATTGACGTAGGGCTTACGTGTGCTGTGACTGTCGGAGCTGCCCGTTGCCGACGAGTCGTCGCTAGCTGGCTTGGCGGCTCCCTCTGCAATCTTGAGATAGCTATTAGCGTGGAAGGTGAATTAATAAGGTCGTCATACCTATGGCCATGGTGAAGAAGATTATGTTGATTAATGATGGGAGAACTCGTATTTTGCTAGCGCCGTCAATCTTTAAAAAAGTTGCCGTCGGAGAAAGGTGACGAGGCCAGCTGGTCGTGGTGTATAATGCGCTTTTGTGCGTACTAATAAAGTATTAACGTCCATACCCCACCCAAACTTGGGATGTCTAAGGTATCTCTCAATGCCCGCAAGAAATTCATTCCCGCCGCGACTCTTAGTCTTATAACAAGCTGTAGGAATTACCGATCAATCAGGTTCAGCATACGGGCCACACCCGCCCAAACACGTGGTGCAGCACGTGACCCGGGGCACCCTGACTGAGCGCCTTCGTGTCCCCGTAGTTCGTGATCCTTTTGGTAGACAGAAGAATACAACACCAAACCCCCCCCCCTCCCTTTAGCTATCCCATTCTACCTTAATTCATCCAGCTTCATTTCTTCGGCCCTTTTTAATATTCCTTCATTTTTCCCGCCTCCTTATTTCTTCGGCCATTCTACCTTAATTCATCCAGCTTCATTTCTTCGGCCCTTTTTAATATTCCTTCATTTTTCCCGCCTCCTTATTTCTTCGGCCATTTTCAATATTCCTTCATTTTTCCCGCCTCTTTTTCATTATTCCTCCGACTTCCAACCTTCCAGGCCAATCAACGGCCCATTCCATTCTTTCCGGGCCAGTCAACGGCCCATTCTGACCTTCCAGGCCAGCCAACGACCCATTCGTACACGCCTAAGATGGCCACGAGCACTGAGAACGACGTCATCACGTCCCTGGTCTCCACGCCCAGCCAACTGGCCCCCTCAGAACCCCACAGTACCGCCCCCGGACCCTCGGTACCTCCCGAACTTCGAGGGACCGTGGATCCCACGACCTGGGGCGATCTATTCGCATTCGATGACCTTCCGGAGCCAACAGCCAGACAGATCAACAGCCACGTACACTTCATTCTACGTAACTGGCAGGACAAAGCCCTGACAGGAAGACATGTATGGGTGCAATTCAGCGAGGAATTCGGCCACTTGGGCGAAGGTCCCGGGCCGTACGCAGACGTCCCTACGTAACCGGCTCCGGAGCAACGGAGTCTTCGTGGCTATGGACGGCGACAGGATTTACAGCAACCCACACTGAACCGCTACGGCCAAGGACTTCCATATTTGGTCCGACGCGGACTTCAAGTACGAAAAAGGACAAACCAAGGCCTTCAAGGCCAACTGCCTTGACCCCGACTTCCTCCAGGACATCCAGGGGCTTGATACCCCCACCAACGCAGTCCTGCAGACGGCCCTCACCAAGGCCTTCAGTACCCTCGGCCTAAGGCCCAGCTCGACTACCCACTCGTACCGTAAGAGCTTCTAAGCACGAAGCAGATCACAGACCTCGCTAAGATCTACAACGATGAGATGAAGTACGGCGGCGATACCTACGATATGCTCGCCTCTAAGCTTGTGATCTTCCAGGGCTGCTGCCGACGCCTCAGTATTCCTCAGAGCCAGTACGCCACGACCTTCCCGACCATGCTCAAGAGCCGCGCCCTGACCTACTACTACGAGCAACTCTGCGGGCAAGACTACGACTTCACTACGATGATCGCCCGGATCAAGGCCCAGTTCGAAAGCCAGCATAACGACCAGCTACGGCTTTTGGAGTGGAGTAATACAACGCTACGTCAGATCATCGACGAGAGCCCAGGAAAGGCAAAGACCGAATGCCTTGAGCTCTTATTCACACGACTCGCCAAGATCCAACGCGCCTTACCGACCACCTACCAATCAGAGGAACAGCTCCGTATGCAGGTCGTTAACGCCTGCCGGGACGTCCCTGAGTGCACCCTCTGCCTATACAACCCGGCTCCAACCTACGAAGGCGTTCGAACCCAGCTCCGGTCGGCAGTCAGAATTGCAGCCAGAGCCCAGAGCCAACTGTTCAATACCTCAGGCTCTGAGGAAGCCCGGCAGTACTGGACCGACCGAACGTCAACGGCCGAGAGGCCCGCTTCGGCCGTAAGGACCAAGGAAAACGCACCTTTCCGGCCCGAGGGCCCTCGCCTACCAAGACGGGCGGCCCTGGGGCGAAGACGAGGTGGAGGGTCTGCGCCGGGTTCTGCGTGACGGCCAGCGCGTGGATCACGTGGCCTTTGGGCAGCTAGAACGCGCTCGACAGGTCCAGCTCGGCGTTCTCGAGGCTGGCGGGGTCCTGGTTGGTGACGCACAGGCCCTGGTCGGAGCCGGTTGAGAAGATGACGGGGCTGCCGTCGCTGGCTTGCACCGCCGAGAAGGCCGTCCCGGGCTGGATGCACCGCGCCGGCAGGGCGTTGTGCATCAGCTCCGTGTGCGCCACAACGGTGTCCGTGGGCGCTGGTCAATCAAGCTGGGGCTGTATTTCTCGGCAAAAGCCGTGGTGATAATGGCGTGGGAGATAATGGCAGTGGTTATGCCAGCCTGTGCTGTGACCGAGCTGCTGACTTTGTTGCCCCGTATTCTCAGGGCAGCCAACACAACTTTCTTGTTGTGATTCAACTCTCCAGTCTTTCCTGTCCTTGCAGAAATGCGGCATGTCTCGCCAATTCCTGCGGGTTTTTACTGGTTGGCTTGAACAGGTCACTCAATAGACCACCTCATGCGGTCTAGGCTCAGGCGAGTTGCCAGCGGTAGAGGTTGATGTCTGTTCAGCTCTCCGCTAAGGCAAGGAACTACCTGCTTTAGGATGAAGCTATTGTGCGCTTTTCGGTAGCGTGGATACTGGAGGCGAAGAACAGCCTAGACCACAGTGGCACTGGGCCTAGCGCCGCATATAGACCAAAAGTCCGTTCAGCTTGAAGCCCGGGATGCCCTCGCACTGAGCCCTCAGGGGCTCAACCAGGTCATCGCCATCTCGCAGGGGGCTGTTGACATGTGCCTGGCCTACCAGTTCGTCCAGCCCGAGAACGCCAATGTGAAGAATCTCAATATCAAGAACGCAACGGCCGGGATTTCGCTCACGGGAGTCATGAACCCCCAGGCCATGCAGCTCGTAGCATCGCTGGCAGGACTAATACTACGGATCGACTCTGTTTCTCAATTTCCAGAGCGGCTCTTTCAACTACTACGACTTCTCGAGCGGGACGCCCACCCTAGTGCAGCTGCCAGCCAACGGCTGGGCCATCCCGATCCAGGTCGGCTTCGGCTCGCAGCAGCTGGCCAGCGTGCCAGCAGACGTGCAGAAAGCCGTCGACGGCCCCGGCCAGTACTCGATCACGCAACTGATCATCGAATTCACCACGGCGGGCCTGGCGCCGGCGGCCTGGGACGAGAGCACGCTGCCCGGGATCGACACGACGCTGGGGCAGGACGCCGGCGTCAAGGGCATGCTCGGCTCGCTCATCGAGTCGTACCTCGAGGTGCTGCGGGGGCCGGGCAACACGACGCTGGCCATCTCGACGAGCTCGACGCTTGAGACAGACGTGGTCTGGACGCCGGGCAGCAGCACCATCGTGCTCAGCACGGTCGCCAGCATCACGTACAAGATTGTCAGCTCGGTGCGGTACTGGGGCCCGTACACGGGGTGGGCGACAGAGCCGGCCGGGACGTACAACGACGCGATCGCGCTCAGCTGGACGACGACACTCGAACTGGCATCCGTCAGCGACACGGGCAAGCTGGCGGTGAACCTCGCGCAGGTGACACCAATATGTACGAAGGTAGCTCACGAACACGGAAAGTCGGGGGACAAATTATACATTACCGAGCCTTTGTCACGGTAAAGAGGCGCGCCAGTGACTTTGGGCTAAGGTAGTTAGGGAACCTTTAACGTAAATTGGGGTAATATAACTCAGAGATGAGCTGTCGGCAGTGCCGTTCAATTGTTTTTGCGGTGCCGGGGCAAATGCTTAATTGTGTTCGATTTAGTGTGTATGTGGTGACTAGGATAGGCCCTTTCACTTTGACAAGTCTGACTTGTAGAAGTCGTAATTATAACTCAGCGATATGGCGTCGTGTTAGTTTCAACCTGGAACTCCTCGACCATACTCCCTAGCAATATCCGGCCGATATTTCTCAAGTCGAAATAAGGGAGCCAGAAATTCCCGCCTCGTTTTCGCGATGACTGGAATTCGACGGCCGTAATTACATTACAGCGTGGCCTCCTTTGGCTTGGACATTGGACCACTGGATCTCGGGGTGGCTTCCTTCTTTGTCTCTTCCATGAATCCAAAGTCGCATCCAAAGTTCCGGGCCGCAAACTCCTCAAACCCGAAGTGGTCGAACTTGTCGTCCGACTTGTTGGCCCGGCGGCTATATGCCACTTCGCCGTTTGTGAAAATAATGATCCATGACTGGCCATTCTTCTGATCGAGTGCCAGTGCCTTCGCTGTCTGTTAGCTTAGACAGTCTTTCCCTGTTTAGTCCTGCGAGATATCACGAGGCCGCAGCTCACCTTGATTTCACTGCACCCATTGACGCCCCAGCGGATATAGTCGCTTAATCCTGCATAGTTGGTGCCGAGAGACCAAGTTCTGCTCCCATCCCTGCGCTCGACCACGTACGTGTTTGAATGGCCCCACCAGATGCGGGATATCATGTCTGGGTCCTCTTCGGGGAAACCCGAAAATTCGAGCCATATCGATAGCATCTGGTCTGTTCCCGTCATGCCTTGAACGAAATAAGTTTCGGATGGGCCGAGTGAGGCGTGCATGATGCACCGAAAGTCCTCTTCCTCTAGAGTTTCTGTAACTGCATATAATCCATACTTGGTTTTGGGAAGATGCAGTCGATGTTTGGATCTGATATACTTCAAGCATTAGTGAAGAGAGATGCACCCGTTGTGAAGGAAGTTCGATTTGAGTTGCTCGCCTACCAGGTCTCGACTCCTGCCCCGTCCCCCCATCGTCTACGTTTACCAAAAATTCACCGCCGCAGCCAATCACGAGGTGAAAGTGTATTAATCTTTCGTCTAATGTCCCTTGCAATATCCTGGTTTGAGCACTCGTCTCTTTAGCAGAGCATGAACATGTCTGGTATTGGTCTCGTCAGCGGCCACTTCTCATCAACGGAGATCAACTGAACCTACATGGCCGAATAACATGGTCCGGCAAATGCAAAGTACTCGCCGTAAACCGTGACACAAATCTTGTCCGTGTTGACGGAGTTCGTGCCAGGCAGAGATCTGACCCGTAAATTCAAGCCTCGGCAGTTTCAGCCAATGATCTGGTCAGCCTGTGCAGGGTGGATTCCTTCGTTTTTTCCTTCGACTTGAGTTTTGAAATTGTCTCCCTTTGCTCCGAGTAATCAGGTTTGAGTTTCTCGAGGCCCCGTGCAAGTGCTCGTGTTTCTTGCTCCTTCTTCGTTATTGTCTCCATTTGTTCCGAATATTTGTACTTGAGCTTCTCAAGGCCGCGTGCAAGTGCCTGTGTTTCCTGCTCCTTCTTCCCCAGTTTGTCCTTGAGGTGCTTTTCGAGCTCTTTCAGTTCGCTGGCTATTTTGTCCTCCTTCTCTCGGAGGGCTTGGTCTATGGCCGCGCGCACTTCTTCTAGCTCCTTGCGGTATTTCTCTCGCTCTTTGCTGAGTGCTTCTTCCCAGCCATGGCCCACAGAAGTGTCAATCAAGCTTCTGCCCTGGTCAACCATTTCCTCTTAGAGTCTCAGCGTGACCGGAGCGCCACCGTTAGCGAAGAGGCCTATGAGCCGCCGGACCGACTCAACATTGTTGTAGTGGCGGTGGATCTGAGATTTGTGCCGGATCATGTAACCCCAGAAGTCTTCGGTTGTCTTCAGCTCGTCTTCCCTCTTCTCGCCAATGCTGGGATCCACAACTTCCCACATGGTGGTGGCAAGAACCACCTTCTTCAGCGCGCCAGAGCCACAGAGCCTCTGGAATCGCAGCACATTCTCTCTCGCTGACCCCGTCATGCGAAGGTCGGTAATTCGGTGAAGGTAGATGATGCCATTCAACTTCACATTGTGCTTGTACGTCTCGGTGAGCCAGTCGGCAATCTCAGTCAACACCTCAATGTCGGTTCGGTTAGTGTCATCAAAGCCCGGGGTGTCAACTAGGTAGATATTTTGCAGCCCGCTCAGCTCGCACTGATACACCGAAACAACTTTGGTACCTGCACCTTGGTGAGCAACCCATTTTCAACAATTGTCGTGGCCATGTTCAACAACACTAGTAATATTGACGCTGACTCACAAGACTGGAGGCCGCTATTGATTGCGATGGTCTTGTTTGTGCAATGTGAAATGAAGGTGCTCTTGCCTACGCTAGTCACACCCATAAGAGCTATAATGACATCGTTCGGTCTAGGGCAGAACATGCCACCACCGCCCAGCTCTTGCCTGGCCGTTTTGTGGGCAGCCGGAGCAGATAGCTCGTGCATGGTCATTTTGCGATATTTAGCTCTAAACAGAAGAATTTCAGTGGCGCTAGCAACGAAGGTCGGCGGGGCTCTAGGGCCAGTATCGGAGTCTAGGGGAAAGGCGGTAATTTTATAGAAAAGGGACTTGCACCGCCCCCTCGGGGTTAAGCCTTCCCATTGGCTTACCCGTCAAGGACGCCCTGCACGTTCTAGACTATCGCGAGTGCGCCTGGGGCGCATAAAAACGAAGCAGGCTGCAAGCTATGGACCAAACTGATTTAGAGTATTGGGATATTTACGGCTGACGCAACCCACGCCTATCTAACCCCGCATCTGTTAAGAGAGCACATGCTCGCCTTGCACGATGGTATGAATGCTCTATTCTTTGAGGTTGATCAGAGCTTATAATGTGAACAGCACCAAGCATATTACGGAGCAATGCACCCATATTCGTGTTGAATATTGACAAGGTGGAGGCCGAAGAATAGTCAATACATGTACATCTAGGACAATGACTTCGAGATCCAAGTGGCAAAGATGAGTTGACAACAGCTTTCGCGGAGAAGATGTCACTACCGGAATCGCTGACAAGAAGTCGAAACGAAGCTGAGGGAGTTGAAGCGCCCGAAATCGAGAATAAAGCGAAGTTTGAGGAATGGGCTGTGTTAAAGTTCGCATTTGAGATTGGCAGTCTAGTAATAGGGAAGGTACAGCCAATCAATCCGACAAAAGAAACTGGGAGCTACCACAGAGTTGCCAACCTGGTGGAGTTCCAAGACCCCCCACATGTAGTGTAATTGTGACGGCGCCAGCTCACAGCACCCACTACCACTGCGCTAGAACCCCCAAAAGGATGCCAGAATTGCAAGTCGTCGACTTGCAACCTGTAGTGGGTTATAGTGTGCTACGGCCGTTGCGCGCCGTGACAGTAATTCACCTTGGGAACTTCGTATTGTGTATCCGCATTTCGGTACGAAGACGCTATTTTGGGGCAGTCTGCAAGCCCGGTCCGGAAATTACCCGAGGCAGCTCCCTTGCTGCAGAGGTGCCCCACTTCAGCTGTGCCCCACTGCAGTGGGGTTTGCCCAGGCGAGGCTGCCAAACCTACCGGTTTTTTTTGCTCCTACAACGGGCTGACTTCAGGGCTCAGGCAACGGCCGGGGTCCGCAGATGGGTCCTTTCTTTGAGCATTCGAACGCTGGACTCGTTCTGGCTCACGAGCCTTCCGACTCTCAACTTTCTCCGTTCAACAAGAAAGTCCCCGGGCTGCCGCAATAATCAATTTCCAGACGGGCGCTTCCGCCAGGCCACCGGCCAACTCCTTTTGCTCGTCGCCAGGACCGAACAACCCAGTGCGTGCCTGGATCCCACGAACAACGAGAAACCTCAATCGCCGCGAGCGAAACGCACCAGAGCGGCAACCCTTGACGAGCCCTAAGTACGCCCCGAACATACCGCTCACCATGTCGGGCACGCAGTCCTACCAGCTCTCCGATTACCTGGAGAAGCTGCCGGCTACCTCGTTTCGGAAGCTGTACCAACAGCCTTCGACAGCCTTCGCCATTTTCCGTCGCATGCTGCCGATGCTTGGTAAGAGCTCCCTCCCCGCCCCTCCATCCAGCTCCCCGCTACTCTTCCTCAGCTTGCACTCACAGACTAACCTCCGATGTGAATAGCAAAGGTTTTTGTCCAGGCCCTCCTCTACATGCCCGGGCCGCTCCCGCTCTCGCAGCTCGACGACATCTGGGTGAAGCCCGAAGGCCGCATGCAGCGCGACCGCGCGCTCGCCGCGCTACGATCCCTCCACGTTGCACAGATTACCCCGCCCGGCAAGGACAAGCCACAGGAGATCCAGTTGACGACCAACTTCAAAAACAGCATGCGCCTCGCGCTCGAGGGCGGCGGCGATCATAAGAGCTTCGGCGTGCCCAGCACCTTGCCCATCGACCCCACCGTCAACATCGACTTCCTCGACCGCTACTCGCGCAAGAAGTGGGAGGATATCCTGCACTATGTCGTTAACAGTGTCGGGGTATCCAGCGACATGGGAGGCGGAGGCGGAGGTGGTGGCGGCGGTAGCATGAGCGGCAGCAGCCCCAAGACGAGCGTCAAGGACCTGCTGCTGGCCGGACACCTGGTGGACCGGCGGCCGGATAGTAAAACAGGCATTGTTATCACTAAGACAGGCTTTACCTTCCTGCTCGAGTCGGCCAACGCGCAGGTGTGGACGCTGCTGCTGCTTTGGCTCGAGGCGTCGGAGCAGCGGAGCGGCTCGCGCATGGACAGCATCGATCAACTGTCGTTCCTCTTCATGCTAGCAACGCTCGAGCTGGGGCGCGCCTACGATACGCAGGCGCTGACGGCGACGCGGCAGAACATGCTGCCGGACCTGGTCGACTTCGGCCTCATCTACACCCCGCGCGACACGAGACAGTACTTCCCGACTCGGCTGGCGACGACGCTCACGAGCTCGACATCGCCGCTGCGGTCCGTGTCCGAGGGCTTCGCGGCGGCGACGGCCAACGCCAGCGGCGACGCGGCCAGCCTGGGTGCGCCGGCGTCGGTGGTGGCCGAGGCTAAGGGCACCATCATCGTCGAGACCAACTACCGCATCTACGCGTACACGTCGTCGCCGCTGCAGATCGCGGTGCTGGCGCTCTTCACGCAGCTCAACATGCGCTTTGCCGGCATGGTTACGGGCCGGCTGACGCGCGACTCGATCCGGCGCGCCATAACGTACGGCATCACGGCCGACCAGATCATCAGCTACCTGGCGAGCCACGCGCACGAGCAGATGACGCGCGTGGCCGCGTCGACAGGCCGCTCCGTGCTGCCGCCCACCGTGGTCGACCAGATCCGCCTGTGGCAGCTCGAGAGCGAGCGCATGCGCACTAACGCGGGCTTCTTGTTCCGCGACTTCGACACGCCCGATGAGTACGCTGCCCTGAGCGTCTACGCCGAGGAGATTGGCGTGCTGGTGTGGAAGAGCAATAAGAAGCAGATGTTCTTCGTTAGCAAGTACGAACCGCTCAGAGATTGGCTCAAGAGCCGTAAGAAATAGATAGATACAGACAGACTCGCCGAGGGTGTGCGGCAAACGAATACGACGATTTTGACGATGCAAACGACGAGAAGGGGCCAGATAGAGGCACATTTGTATTATATCAATTACGGGAGCTTCCTAGGTAAGTGTTTACAGTCGTAGCAGTAAATCATAAACCCATAAATACACTAGCGGGCACTTACTCAATTATTTCCATCTTGCTTTCAAAGGTTGTTTTCGGAGCCCTTCTAAATTTTATCTCTAAGGACTAGCTAAGGGTTCTTCTAATCTATTTATTTATCACCCCCTTAAGGCTGTGATGACGAAAGTCTGACACATACTTTCGAGCAGAAAGAAAGAAAGAAAGAAATAAGATAACAAACCTAACTGATCAACTTCTATATGCAGGTGGTATCATCGCCATGACCCCCAACTCACCAAAGTGAGGATTGAGTGGAACCATATAAGTACAGCTATACGAGAAGAATATCATTACAAATGGAATCATGACTTTAGACTATAGACCTCAAAGTCTCGCACTTGTTAACACAGGGCAGTTATGGCAAATATAAATATTTCAAAATCCCTCACTACCAATCTGAAAATGAGTCAACAACCCTCAAGCTTCCTCCTCCTGAATTTAATACTGACTACTGGGAATCCACCAGACAAGTAAATCTCCCCAACAATACCAACAGCCAGATATACCCAGTATCATAAGTCGTCGAGTATCTGGCGTATAGGCTATGCCAGAAATTCCAAGTCTCGGTCTTCAAACCCAAGTGATCCCACCATCCTGAAATCCGTAAAACGCCACCATTGACAAGCTCATAAAATGCCTCTCTCCCCAACCCCGAATAGTACCCCATACAACTTGCGCAGTGAAAATGTTTTGGCATCCAGGCCTAATCGTACAAACGGCTATAAAGCCCCTGTGTCGACAGAGCAGAAGAAAAACATAGACAAAATAGAAAAATAAAAGAGACACGCTACTAGACTCTAGACGCCGAAATATGCCTCAAAATCTGCCTGGCGAGTAAGACGTATGGGAGAAGGAAGAAAGGCACAAAGAACCTAATTCATGCTTATCCGGAAGCTTCGGCCCCGCTGGTTGTTGGTTGCTCCAGCGCTGTCAACATCGTTGTTTCCGCGCTTAATAACTCGGCGCTCGATCTTGGGGATCCCACTTTCCCTCGGCTCGTAGCGAAGGTCAGAGACGTCATTGGTGTTTGCCAGGCTGGCGCGTTGACGCTCGCGCTCTCGGGCACGATCAAGCCGCTTCTTATAAATTTCCGGGTAAACATTCTTCTTGCCTTCGGTGACACCGGCTTCCTCTCCCTCACCGGCTCCGAAGCTAGCCCGATAGCGCTCTCGAGCACGCTCAAAGATGCTGGTGTGGGTAGTCGGGTGGATATTGTTCGCCTGCGCAACCTTCGATTCTCCTTCTTCAACTGCTCCAAAGCTGGCGCGTTGGCGCTCTCGAGCACGATCGAGCCGCTTATCGTAGATATCCGGGTAGATACTCTTCGCGGCTTCCGTGATATCCGATTCTCCTCCCCCAACGGCCCCATGGCTAGCCCGATAGCGCTCTTGAGCACGCTCTCGGACACGCTCAAAGATGTTGTTGTGGGCCGCCGGGTAGATGTCGCTGGTCGCTTGTGTAACCTCTGGCTCTCCTCCCACAACGGCTCCAAAACTGACGTATTGGTGCTCTGGACCACGTTTCATTGGCTTGGCGGGGTTCATCTGATACGCATCACTCGTCACCTGTGCAATATCCGTTGCTCCTACTCCGGATCCCGAGCTTCTCCGGCTGACAGTGAAGAAACGGCTAACTTGAGCAAGGCCCGCCTTGACCTCTGCTTTACCAGCCGCCGCATCATCGACCATAGTGCCACCGGGTGGCAGAAGCTTCTCGTTGTTGACTCGCCTGGCATAATCTTGCTGCCACGCATGCAACGATTCGCGAGCCTTGGTCGTGGGGCAGAATGACCCCAACTGCACAAATACGCGACTATCGCGAGCCTCGTCATCCATTAGCTGCGCAGCGTCTGCCGCTGCGACCTGACGCACCATCCCGGTTCGGCCTTGATCAATGCCTCTGTCGCCACTGACGCGTCCTCTTAGTGGATGGTGAACGGGGCTGTGGTTATTCTCGGAGTCGAGGCTGTATCGGTCGTACCTCTCCAGCATAATCCAAGGAGAAGACGGTAATGGCAGTTCTCGCTTAGACAGTGCCTCTTCCGCATACGACGGCTCTTTGGGCAGCGGCTTATGGTCAAACTGATCGTGGCGACATGGTGGAGAAAGGGCTCTCACGTCGCTCATGTACTTGCTGGCAGGTGTCTCTAGGATAGCACTGCTCGTTGCCGACTGGGGAATACGACGGATTGGACGGGTGGCACTATTGTCGGCGCCCTTCCGATACTGGTAGGCAGGTTCGTAATTTACAGGACGGGCTGTCGGCATAATTCTGGTGAGAGCATACGCTGAAGTTGATGGGTTGATGAGCATGTTGGTTGAGGGGATGGGCTCAACTGAGTTTGGGAGGTTATGTTTCCTCGCTGAGGATCTCGCCGAATGTGCTTCTATGATGATTTTCATATTATCACTCTCTAGCAGCTCATTCTGGAATTTGTCACGCAGGCCTGTATATCTGCCTGCCCAGTATTGCGGCGGCATTGCCTTAGTGACATATCGGGGGTCGGGTTGTGGTGACGACGTTTGCGGCCGAGAACCTGATTCAGCTCTATCGTCATCTAGGCTGCCATGGCTAGGATTCTTCTTAAATATAGGTCCTGACAGCTTCGAGGGCTTTATAGTTGTAGTTGTCGAAACTGGATCTAGTACGGCCGTAGTCTGGTCGACCTCTGGTGACTTCCTCATGAATGAGGGAACAGGGACCCTCGAAACTTTTGAGGCAGCAGTGCCTGACGACGAGCCGCTGACGTTCCGACTGCGGCCAAGACTGCTGTTTGTAGCATGGCTCCCAAGTGAAATGCGGGAGAGAGACTGCGAGATGCTGGAAAAGACACCGAATGTCTTTGACTTGGGCATCTTGCGCCATCCAGACACTGGCTTGTTCTCGGACGATTCCATCTGGGGGGCCTTGTTCTCCACAGTCGTCCGGTTGGGAGCCATGGCAGCAATGGGATGCTGAATGTTGCGAAAGCTGCTTATAGCAGCGGGCAGGGGTTGTTCTGATGACCGGTCAACCATGACCTGCCGTCCGTTGATGAGAAGTGGACCAAAAGGGTTGCTGATCCGCGGCCTTGGATTCGCGGCCTGTCGGTTTTGCCGGGCTCGAGACGATTGTCCGGCCTCTTCCATATTATCTCCCTGTCTGGGGAAGACTTGTAGGACGGTCCTATCCATGGCTGGAGGAAGTAGTTGACAGTTTTGACAACAGACAGGTAATATCTAGTAAAGAATTGCTCCACAGATGGTAGATGGCCCGATTCTATGCCAAGGATATAGGGCTGAGACTCGTGTAATGTGCTATGATGTTGCACGGACTGTATGCAGAGATGCTCGAAGTTCCGAAGCGGTGGGAGATGGAGTGACAAAGCGAGTGACAAAGCCAAATAATGTTGAGGAAAACCAAAAGGATGTGTTCCAAAACAAATGGCGCGGCAAAGTAGAGTCGTCAAGCCGGTGGTGATATCACCACTTGCAGCCAGGAGAATCTCCGAAATGAATGTTTGTGTCGACTGTCGCAACCTGAGCAGAGCTGCTGGCAAGTCTATGTTATTGGCAAAAGGGGGCGATGGTCTCCGTTGCTATGGCGCGAGAGGCCTATGCGATGGCGGATTGGTGGTGGCCAAGGTCGTCCACCTTTGCGCCGCTAGAGGTGGTAACTAGTCGTAAGACTGCCACTCCCTAAGCTCTAAGCAGGAACCGGATCCCGCAAGACTGGATAACTTAAGTCTATTCATGGCGAGTTAGCAAAGCTGCTGCGCGCGGAGGTGCTTGCTTGGAAGCGGGCGGTGATGTGTGTGTTATACGGCGACCACATGCAAGCCGGCCGGGTAAGGCTGCGGTTGCGATCGCTCATTGTAGAGTGGCAGATCGGATGCATTCATTTGGGACATTTCGATGGGATCTGGCGACGACAGTGAGTCGCTGGTGTCGCCAACGTACCTTCCTGATCATATAAGTTGTTGAAAACAGCACGATCCCACAATGGGATAGGTCGCAATGATGGTCAATGTATATGCGAAAGGTCAAGATCGACCCGAGCTCGGACAAGTTGGAGGAAGGTATGATGGTGTAAGGAATGCCCGACCGAGTGGTGGGGGAGAAGTTGGTAAAGGAAATGTGAGGAAGGTGGGCTTTCCTGGATGCGCAAAAACGGAAGGCATGGTTAAGAGGGCAGCCGCGCCCACCAGGGGCGAGGAGCGAGGAACAAGAACGCTGTTCTGGACCAGAATTAACAGTGCTCTTGTTTATTGCCCGCGCAAGCACCGCGACAAGATAAAGCAATGGTAAATCCTCCTAGTGCGGCGACTTGGGACGAAATGCTTAGGAGAGGGGTCAACAGGTACGTGTCGCCTCATAAATTGGACGAAGCCGTTTCAACGAAACTACCCTGTACTGCCCAACGTTTCCGTTGCCCTGGTATCCAACTCGATCCATGGCAAACGGGCCTCAGTTGTACATGCACCAACAAGACGAAACCATAATAATCCTTGGGCGTGTCAATAAAATGCCCCTCTAGCAAATAAAACAGAAAACAATTTGGGCGCTGATGTTGACGCTGATGTTGACGCTGATGCTGATTCCCCTGAAACTCTGCACCCGGCCTGTTTTTTGTGTCCCAGGTCGAGAACCGGGAATCATATAAGATAGGAAGGTGACTAGTGCGGCAACCGCCTGGCTTCTCAGGACGAGACGCTTTGTTCTGCGTCGTTGCTGAGCTCGGAATCCCAGTCGTCGATTTTAAACCTGAACGTCGCGTCGCCGGAACCCCTGGGGATTTCGTTGCCGTTGGAATCCCACAGGGCGCGCTCCCTGTACGTCACGTTGCCTTCCCAGTCTACGAGGATGACAGTCTGCCGCTGCGTGCCGTAAAGTCCCGTCTGGAAGCCGTTTTGCTGGTCGTCCGGTCGTGCCACATTCGCCAGGGTTTCTGTAGCGTAGCCGTGACCTGCCTGTTCGATGATCCCACGCTGTCTTGCGGCGGCCATCTCATCTTGGTGCTGCTGGCCGCCAAACGCAGGGATAAATATCGAATGCTTCAGCAGCGGGATGCCTTCCTCTAGGTCAAGGATGTGGTTTTGCGGGAACCTGTCCTCGTCAAGAATCTTAAACAAGTCTTCAACCAGTTCGTCCTCCTCCTTGCCCTCGCTAGCTTTGTCGGCGATGACTTGGCTGAGCAGTTCGGTGCCGCGGCGGACCTTGGGCCATATCAGGTCTTGCTCGACCTTTTCGTCCTGGTATATGGCATTGCTGAGGCCATACTCGCTGTTGCGCTGCCCACCGATCCAGGGAATGTGATCGATGTGGTCACAGCGGTTGGACAGAATAGCCAGGGGTTCCAGCCCCTTTTCGCCCTCCAAGTTGGCCTTGCGTAGCTTGCCGCAGATGAGCGAGAATCCGCCGACGCCTTTTACGTCGCCGCTCTCGAGCATCTTGCGGACGAAATCGTGGCTTGACTCGGCTGGATCGGCTCCCAACCAGGCCGTAACCATGCCGCCGCGGCTGCGCTTGCCATGAATAGGGTGCATCGTATCGTGCGTGTCCGTCTCGCGATAGTTGGTCAACACGGCGAATTTGCCATTCTTGGTAACGCCCAGCCAAGTACCGCGCTCCGCCCTCTGGAGATCTCGACTTGAGAGGACATCAACACTGGAAATTTCTCTGGACCCATTAGTCCCGGAGGCAGAGCTCGGCTCTATCTGGGCTGTCCACCAATGCGGTCTGCTGGTTGGTCTTAGGATGAACTCGTCCCGGTTGTCGAGAACGATGAGGGCATATTTGGGATGCGACGTAGTCAACAAGACAATACACATGGCTGGAGAACTAGGAGTGTTTGTGCGACGGTGGTACAGATGGAGAAAATAGGGGTAAGGTAAATATGTGAGCGGTACAGAGCGACGTGATCGTCGGATTTGGCTCGTTGTCTTTCACTGTGAAACTCGAAACCTGGGTTGAACAAACGAACACAATTGTCATCTGTAGCCTAGACAGTTATATATACAATCGTTCTGTATTTATGGTCGGCCCAGAGGTCAGAGATCTGTTTACACGCCACTTTGTCCGGCAGGAGAGAGGGAAGAAGAATCAGACCACTGATCGGACTGGCGCGGTGTGGTTGCTAGAGTCTGGGCGTTGCTGGGCCTCGGTCTAAAGGGGGACAATCCGCCGTTGATCCACGTGCAATACAGAATTTACAGGGCCCTGTCAGCGTTACATCAGTGGTTCCAGCCCACTCCCTTGTTTTGGGGGTCGTCTCCCAATTCGCTGTCCCCGGACTCGAGTGGATAGTGGCACAGACCAGGCCTTGGCACTGGAACATGTTCCCCACACTACCCTCCATCAATCCGCAGCCGGCCGGATGCGGGGGGTCGTAAAATCCACAAACCACCTAATCCCAGCAACAATAGAGTGTCGCAGGTTTGACTCCCAACTACCGTCTTCCTCTCAAGCAGGTCTTTTCTATCCGCGAAGGTCCCTCTGGGTTGGGTATCATAGGAGGATCACATATGGCAAAAAACCTTATGCTTGCTGGGTATGGCCGATAAGATAAGAATGCCTGCTAGTGGCCTCCCGGGACGGCTTACACACCGCGGGGTCAAAGATTGTCGAGCACGCGATCGAGAAAGAATGCAAAGGCTATATGCCAAGGCATCTGAGAGCAATAAGGGATGAAATTTTGTATGCCGCATAGCATATCTATCGTACCGAGCCGTCCAGATCTAGCCTACCGTGCAGAAACGAAACGCACTTGATCTAATATTGGAGCAGCGCCCTTCGGGTCGACGTCTTTTGATCGTGAAAAGCGGCGGATAAATGTTCGGGGAGGGCTGTGACGTGCGTTCCAGGGGGGCCAACCAATCAAACGCCGTGACCCAGGGCGGTCAGAAGGCTTTTGGTGCCTTTCTGTCTCCACTGCGGGGTCGTGTTGGGCTGGCGAAAATTCTGATTGACTCATTGATTGGCAGAGGGGGCAAACAAGTCACAGTATTTCAGCGACATCGGGAAGCCATACTTGCTTCCAGCTCCTAAAATTTCCCAGCATCTCGACCCTTCCTCCCGACCACCCAAACTCGACCCAGCTTGCCATTGAGACGACACCATACCAAAATGTGCGGAGATAACGGAAGCAACGGCACCAACGGCGCCAACGGCGCCAATGGCGTCTCGAACGGTGGCTCAAACAACAGTAATGTTTGTTCCAACCCTGTTGCAGTGTCGCAGTCCCCGCCGTGAACCGACGATGCTGACTTTACCCCTCGTCCAGGCCAACTTCCGGTCGAACCCCTACCAACCCGTGGGCGACTTCCTGTCAAATGTTTCCAATTTCAAGATTATCGAGTCGACTCTTCGGGGTTCGTCTCCCGCTCCGATGTTTCTTTGAGCCTGTTGCTGACTCTCTGGGTAGAGGGTGAACAATTCGCAAATGCCTACTTCGATACCGAGACCAAGATCAAGATGTTGGTGCCCCTAGTTCCCGTGTAATGGAACCCGCGAAGCATTCGAGTGCACCTTGCTAATACGCTTCGTTCGCTTCGACTAGTGCCAAGGGTATGCGCAGTGCCCTGCATCCGATATTCCGTTCTGGTCGCTGACAGCACCCCCCTTTCCAGCCCTTGACGCTTTTGGAGTGGACTATATTGAATTGACTTCGCCCGCCGCGTCTGAGCAGTCGCGCAAGGACTGCGAGGCCATCTGCAAGCTTGGACTCAAGGTGCAACTTTTTCCTCTCGAACTTCTTGGATTTTGGGCTAACACTCAATCAAGGCCAAGATTCTGACTCGTGAGTCACCGGAACTCCATACCTGCGATTGACCCACGACTGACCCCCGCCAAGATGTCCGCTGTGATATGCGTGATGCCAGAATGGCCGTCGAGACCGGTGTCGATGGCTTGGACGTTGTTATCGGCACATCGAGCTTTCTCCGCGAGCACAGCCATGGCAAAGACATGGCGTACATTGAGAAGACGGCCATCGAAGTGATCGAGTACGTCAAGTCCCAGGGGCTCGAGGTTCGGTGTAAGTTCAGGAACATCCACAGCCATATCATCGGGGCCAATTGCTGACGTTTCACAGTCTCAAGCGAGGATTCGTTCCGATCAGACCTCGTCGACCTCCTGTCCCTCTACCGGGCAGTCGACAAGGTCGGCGTTCACCGCGTTGGCATCGCCGACACCGTTGGCTGCGCTAGCCCTCGCCAAGTCTATGACGTACGTACTCCGCCTTTCCCTTTGGATACCTGTCAAAAGCTATTGATGCCACACAAATTCGGTCTCAATTCCCAAACGAGTCGCATAGTACTGACTTTGCTATAGCTCGTTCGGACACTTAGGGGTGTAGTCTGTAGGTTTGTTCAGGTCGTGTGCACAGTTTCAATAGCTAATAATGACCAGCTTGCGATATCGAAACGCACTTCCACAACGATACCGGCTGCAGTATCGCTAACGCGTATGGCTCATCAATGCCCTCCCTACTGCTGACTGGGAAATGTGCTGACTTTGCTGCAGCTACTGCGCTCTGGAAGCTGGTGCAACACATATCGATACTAGCGTGCTTGGAAGTGAGTTGTTTGGAGCTTCTACCTCGGATCTAATGGTTACTGACTACTGGTATACAGTCGGTGAGCGTAACGGCATTACGCCTCTCGGCGGTCTGATGGCCCGCATGGTCGTCACAAGCCCTGACTATGTCAAGAGCAAATATAAGCTTCACATGATCAAGGAGGTAGGTTAAACGGCTGTGGAACTTGGGTGACTTGTTGCTGATTGGTTGTTAAGATCGAGGACATGGTTGCCGAGGCTGTTCAGGTTAACACGCCATTCAACAACCCTATTACGGGCTTCTGTGCCTTCACGCACAAGGCTGGTATTCACGCCAAGGCGATTCTCAACAACCCTAGCACATACGAGATTCTCAACCCCGCAGACTTTGGCCTCACACGCTACGTCCACTTCGCCTCGCGCTTGACCGGCTGGAATGCTGTCAAGACCCGCGTGGGACAACTCGGCCTGATCATGACGGATGACCAAGTCAAGGAAGTGTACGTCTTGACCCTTGTTCCCGCAAAACTCGAGCATGGCTAATGAACATGGTTAGAACTGCCAAGATCAAGACTCTGGCCGACGTGCGGCCCATTGCTATTGATGACGCCGACTCTATCATCCGTAGTTTCCACCTGACTCTTCATGAGCAGCCATCGACCAATGGCAAGGCTGAGACAGTGCTGGTAACGAATGATGAGACGGTAACAATCGCAAACGGCGCGTAATCGGATTTTTTCTTTTCTTAGGGTTTCTTGGTTTACGGGCGTGATCGCATTATTAACCAGGCCATATCATCAACCGGAGTTAATATATTATCGGGACAAAAAAGGGGACGTAGGTCGAGTTTGGCGTATTTCTCGGGTGAATGGTCTCCCTCAGTCGAGTTGCTGGGTCGATTATAGGCCGGTTCTGGAACCACAAAAAATGGTGCAGTGTTTTGAAGGATTTGAATCAGATAAAGAAAATTTCAGGTTATGGATCTCACACTTGAGCTTGGCATTTGAACGATCTCGCGGTTCCGGAGAATTTTTCTGGTGTTTACTCTACGGGTCAAAACGACTCTGTGCCATCTTAAACCTTAGCCTAGAGTTGAGATGGCTTTCTTGTCTCAAGCCGGCAATTGTAAGTTGCACAGCAGTCAGCTTGCCAGCGGCGGACACTTATTTTGCGGTGCATTGAAGCCTTCTTCCCAACCATCCTCACCGCCTTTGAAGATGCATATTGCTATGTAGCACAAAAAGTTACGGTAGTTGGCATTCCGCCCTCCTCGGTTGCGAGAAGACCATTGCGAACATACTCGAACTTTCCAGGTTTGCCGGCACATGTTTAGTCTCATCGCGGCACGACGTCATCGTGCATGAAGACTTTTGAGTGGGCTCAGTGGGGGGATGGAAGACGGATCCAACACCCAAGCGATAAGCTGCCAAGCAATTCTTATGTGCAAGACCCCTAGGGCATCGTGCAGTGCAGGACCTTTCAGTTTCTGGCAACGGTCAAAGAAATCACGGGCAATTCTGTGGATGCCCAACTTTTGGGCTGGGCAGCGGAAGATCGGCGCAGGGGTTGCATTGGCCGGGAAGGAATAGAATGCTGGGAAACAGCTCTGATGATGGGCATTACAAAGGGTCACACAAGGCGACTGGAAGTCAGCCCAAAAACTTTAGAGTTGGTTAGAGATCCCATGCCGTTCAAGGTCCCTTCTTGCTGCTGCCCGGCGAGCAGAATATGAGCCCAAACCCTCCACAAACGCAGCAGAGGGAGGACCACGGCCTTCAGCTACTCGCCGGCGGGAATTAGAAAGGCACGAGCACGGCGGATTGCCTTGATGGTTCAGTGCATGTATCCAAAAGGAGCGCGTTGCTGCCAACCAACCCCCAAAATGCCCCATAACGTTAGGGACGCTTTGTTATTGGTGGGCCGTGATGCCCGGGCCTTGAGCCTGGGCCTGGGCCTGGACCTTGAGCCACTGTGCTGTACTCCGTAAATACGAACCTTAACAGAGTGCACAGGGACGCGTCGCGGCTGGCTGAGTCTCGTCTCGACTCTAGGTGATGCACTAGCCGGCAAGCTGCTTGCAGGCTGTGTAAATGCAACCGGACGAGAGGAAAATACAAATCGAGATGCAGGCCGTTCCATCCAATCAGCTCGGCCACGCTTTCTCAACAGGCCTTTTTGCTCAATTTAAAAGGGCTGTCTGTTGAGGGGGGACGCTTGCTTCCGCTGCCTGCCGTACCTTGCCGTCGAGAACCCAACCGAGAGCAATGCCTAAGGACCTTCCTTCCTCACGGACACTGTAGCTGAATCGGGACGCAAGGCTGTGGTACAAAGGGTCCGTTTGGAAATTCAGGTTACCTACGGTTCTATTTGGTGATGGTCAGGCACACTCCCAAACGTGGAGCCTCGTCCGAAGTTTGGCGAGGCGGTAGTTTCGTTGCTTCACAAGCATTCCGCTACCGTTTCAAGTTCCTCGTTCCTCGAGCCCTCAGTCTCGAAAAACAGAGTTCCAGCCAGCAGCCACTCACAGCACGGTACTTTGAAGGGGCAGGAACCCCAAAAGAAGCACTCAAGCGGCGTGGCAGAAACGCTCCGCACCATCTGGGTGGAGCCTCGAGCTAGTTTTGCAGCAGCAGAAGAGCCCGCTCGGGCCACTTAGCTCCCTCTTGGACTCTTGGTGCCCTCCCGCCCCCCGCTATTCTGTCTCATCGACTGTCGTCATCGGGCCAACATTTGGTTTCGAGACGGTCGAAAACCTTGCAACGCTGCCCCTCCCCCCCAGTTTTAACCTTCGACCCGGCCGAACGACCACCAGACGAGAGCCAGCGACCGAGCAAACTTGGGGCCGTATATCTTATTTTCTGATCTGCTGCGCTGGATCAATTGCCCTCTCTTGCGTCTTGCAATCTCCGCACACGTCTGAGCCTGAGCCCGAGCTTGAGGCGGTGTCTTTGCCGTTGCAATGGCCTACCGATCGTCTGTCCCCGACCTGACTGCCCGCGGCGATCGCGGCGATCGTCCCGAGCGCTGGGACCGCGGCCGCTTCAACAACTACGACCAGGATCGCGGCAGCCGCTTCGACAGAGTTGAGAGAGTCGAGACTGAGGAAGACCGCGTCTACATGCGCGGCGCCAACCCGCCGCCTCGCGCACCCTCCTACCCCCCGCCCCGCGAAAGGTCGGTCGAACGCCGAGAACGCTCCGTCGAGCGAACCGAGCGACGGTTCCGCCCCGGCGACGAAGACGATATCGTGTTCCGCGAGCGCGAGCGCCGAGTAGTATACGATGACGAGCCCAGAATGCCGCCCACGCCTCGGAGACGGCCTTCTCCGCCCGAAAGCGAAGTCGAACGGAGGGTCTTTATCGACAGGGAGAGGGAGAGGGTGAGAGTGCGCAGCCCATCACCCGGTCCAAGGCGGCCCACTAGGTTGGTGAGACGGCAGTCGAGTCTCGACACCTTTGACCGGCACCCGCGGGGTTACAACGAGCGCGAGGAGTACGGGCCTCCGGCTAGGAGAGAGAACAGAGAGTACCGGCCAGAGCCCTATGTTCCAATCCCGCTGCCCCGTTCTCGAGCCCTGCCTCCCCCCCGGGTCTACGCAGAGCGTGACTCGTTTGAGGAGATCCAAATCTCGGATCCTAAAAGACACGGCGATGAAGACTTTTACGCGTACCGCCCTGAGCGTGTGCGCGAGAAAGAGGTCATTCACACTCGTCGGAGGACCCACAGTCGAGAGTCTGGGGCTTCGAGAGGCACGAGCCACCATCGTGGGCGCAGCATATCGAGTGCGACAAGCTCAAGTAGGTCGTCGAGCGTGAGCGGTGGAACCACCATTACGTCCAAGAGTGAATATCCCAAGAAGGGCAAGACCCGTATTCCATCCCGCCTGGTGTCCAAGAGGGCCCTTATCGACCTCGGCTACCCCTATTTGGAAGAGGTGAGCATTCAACCTGTCGAATTCTTTTGCCAGCGACACAGGATGCTAATAATCTTGGTCAGGGAAACGTCATTATAGTCCAGAAAGCCCTTGGCCAACAGAACATCGACGACTTGCTCAAGCTCAGTGCCGACTACAAGAAGAGTAGGTCACAGACATGCTGCCACTCCACTCCATGCTGTGCTAACCCGAATAGGTGAGCGCGAACTCGAAGTCTCCCGTTCCAGTCCTGGGGATATTATCGAGGAGAGGCGGACCGAGTACATCAAAGTTCCCGAGCGCCAGACCGAGTACATCGAAGTGCCAGAACGTCGGACTGAATACGTCGAGGTGCCCCGCGCAGAGTACGTCCAGATAGCTCCGCCGCCCTCGTTCGCACCGACTCCGCACTACTCACACTCCGGGCCCCTGATTATCGCTGCCAACCCACCGCCCGAGTCCCCAGTCGAAGTGGTCAAGACGACGGTTCTCCGCGAGGTGTCGCCGGCCCGGTCCTTCACAACCGCTTACGACACCACGACCACCACCACGACGTACGAGACACCCATCATCTACGATGCCCGGCCGCGCGAGGTGTCCAGCACCATCCCGGTCGGCCCCCTGGCCCTAGCCGAAGGCCGCCGCCGCCGCCGCTCGGCCGACGCGGAGAGCCTCCGCTCCGAAATCAACCACCTCAACCGGGAGCTGGCCCGGCGAGACCGGCACGAGAGGCACTCCAGCCGCGACTTTGTCAGGGCCGAGCGCCTCTCGACGGGCGAGCTGGTGCTGTACGAGGAAGAGATTGAGCGCATCGCTGAGCCCAGCCGCGGCGTCAGGCTCGAGAAGGACAAGAGAGGTAGGCTTGCTATTAGTGTACCGAAATATCGGTGAACCAAGAGAGAGAGAGAGGTGCGGTGCATTTCTAGAGAAATAAAAACTGGGACGACCACACGTTGGCAAAGAGAAAGAGATGGCTAACATGCCCTTTGTTCGCTCCGTCCTGCAGGTCCCCCGCCCAAGCTGATGAAGGCCATGCTGGCTACTCTGACCTGAGCGTCATGACTATTACTATTGGTGTGGTAATCTGTGTTCTTCTTTTCTCTTCCCTTTTATTTTTCCTCCACCTCGTGGCATTATTGGAAATGGCTGCCACCTTTTTATTTTATTTTTGGATATAAAACATTCCATTGCACTGGAGGCTTTCTTGAGCTCTATTGCTGTTGGGGAAGATCGAATTTGGACTTTTTTTCTGCTTGCGGATTTCCTGACGATTAATTTATGGATATTTCTTTCTCATCATTATTCCTCTCTTGTTGTTGTTCTTGCTACTTATTCTTATTTATCTTTTTTTTTTCGTTGCACGATAAACAGGAGAAACAACGCATAGCAAAATGGTTCATTTCGTATTATTAGGTATGCCGTGCGCGGCGTTGGATGTTCGTCCTTTTGCAAGCCTAGGGACCGTGATTTTGAGTCATGTAATTCGGGAGTGGTTGAAGTAGCTGATCGAGGAATGGAAGCGAGTAATTACTGGTTGAGGCCTCGGGATGCGCTAAGATACTTCTTTCGGAAGTCTTGTTCTCGACACTTCGAGCTCATTGTGCTTCGTCATGTCAACCCGTTCCCGCGGCTTGTCTAGACTCAACTCGGATTACCCACCTAGGTACTCTCCCTGCCTATATAAGTGAAAAGGATAAATACTGTCTATGTTATCCTCCCTATGCTGTAGTTTCTATGTCGGTCCGTGTTGTGTGTTCTTATAGTTGGGAGCTTGGGCTCTTCTATCTTACCGATGTGAATACTTCTTGCGGCTTTACCTTCGCTATGCATTGCAGGTTGCAGTCCTAATATTCGAACACGGCGGACAGAATGTCGAGTAGGAACTAAATAAATAAACCCCTTGTTCAACTTTCTACCCTGGCTTCACTGCCCCTGTGCTGGCTAGCGGAGCTTAGTTGTCCCGAATACAACTCACTGCCTACCTCCTCGGTCTTTTTCCTGACCGTGACAGTTGTAAATTACTCAACTTCAGCTTCGGTCACGGACACAACAGCTCATATCGGCGACTAGTTCCCGTACGAGTTGCGTCTTTTCTAGGCGGCTGCGAAGACGGACCTCGAAGGAACCGACTTGACACATTGCATTGGCCGTAGTGACACCTCGTCTAGGAAGAGCCAACGTGACGCTAACGTAACCAATTGCGAGAAGGGATAAAAGCAACACAAATATTAACAACTAACATCCCGAGAAAAGCGGCTGATTTGTGTTTTGTTAGCAGTAGAGTGACCCTGTCGTCAATAAACATTGCCCCTTCCCCCCCGCCATGCTCGCGGGGGGCTCCACCAGACCATGCCTACATAGGGCTGAGAACAGCAAGTCGTGCATTGCGTTTTGCCGGGCTCCAAAATACCGGAGACTGCGGGGGCGAGCTGCAAGCTAGAGGCGACAGACTAGAGCCCGAAAAAGATTACCGCGAGGGGTAAAGGAGTCCCGGGCTCTGGTCGTCTCCGGCGATTAGCCCGACGAGCCAGTCTTGGGAGATAGGGGTTTGCGTGTGCGGGGGCAACGAGGGCCGAGACTTGCTCGGCATCCCCACACGCCGCTTCGATTGGGTCATTGGACCGCGTCCGCCATCGGAAGCCGCCGCCGCATTCTCGGCGGGGTTCACAGCACACGTTGAGTTGCAAAGTGCGGGGCAGAGAAGCTTCCCATTGTCTCGTGTTCGTGGATGTACTGTACCTGGCCTTCGAGGCGAGGTCTTATCGCTGCACACGTGGTGGGGTAGCACACTCGCATCGCGGCCACGGCAAGGTGGAAGAAGAGAGGGATGGGAGCTTATCGCGTCTTGGAATGCCTTTGGCGAGACAGATCAAGTTGACAAATAAACGTGCGGGATTCGGCATTCCCTTATCGAGTCGTTCGGCGTCTTAATGAGACGAGAACTACATAGAGTTAGCTTGGCAGCACGAGGCAAAGAATATATATGTACCGGCCATTGGCGATGTATCGAGTGGAAAGACAACTTCGATTCCAATCATTCTTGCGCATCTAATCGTGAACTTCTTCAAAAGATCAAGATCGTCCCCGGATTGTACGACTGAAGCCACCATGGGGTCCGCCGTAGCACCCGAGCTTCCACACCCCTTCGACCCGCTCACGCCTGACGAGATCGCAACCGCAATTGCGACCGTCAAGAAGGCGCACGGCGGCAATGTCTTCTTCAACGTGGTCGCGCTTCAGGAACCGCGCAAGGCCGACATGACGGCATGGCTCGCCGCCCCTGAGACGGCGGCGCGGCCCAAGCGCGTGGCCGATGTCGTCGTGATTGCGCCCGGTAACAAGGTGTACGATGCCCTGGTGACCCTCGACGAGCCCAAGATCACCAAGTGGGAATTGCTAGAAGGGCAGCAGCCAATTGTCAGTTTCGCACACGCTTTCCCTGATCCAAGCCGAACATGTCTAACAACATCCTGCTCCCTTTCCAGATCACCATGGAAGAGCTCCAGCTGGTCGAGCACATCTGCCGCAAGGACCCGCGCGTCATCGAACAGTGCGTCCTCAGTGGGATCGCCGCCGAAGACATGGACAAGGTGTTCTGCGATCCGTGGACGATAGGATACGACGAGCGGTTTGGCAGCTCGGTGCGGCTGCAGCAGGCCTTTATATACTACCGCCCCCATATCGACAACTGTCAGTACCAATATCCCTTCGACTTCTGCCCTATCTACGACGCAGACAAGAAGGAGATCATCGCCATCGACATTCCTAAAGTGCGGCGGAAGCTCAGCACGGCGCCGTCTATCGACTACCACCCGGCGGCGGTTGAAGCGAGGGGTGGATACCGCGACAACCTGAAGCCTATCAATATTAGCCAGCCCGAGGGCGTGTCGTTCCAGGTGAAGGGGCGGGAGATTGAGTGGCAGAACTGGAAGTTGCACATTGGCTTCAACTACCGGGAGGGTATCGTGCTGAACAACATCACCTTCAACGACAAGGGCAATGTTCGGCCACTCTTCTATCGGCTCTCGCTAGCAGAGATGGTGGTGCCGTAGTAAGTAGAAGACTCGGGCTTTTTCGACTTGCCGTGGGGCTAACCAGAGACCAGCGGAAACCCGGAGCACCCGCATCAGCGGAAGCACGCCCTCGACCAAGGCGAATACGGTGCCGGGTACATGACCAACAGTCTGTCGCTCGGGTGTGACTGCAAGGGTTCGATCCACTACATCGATGCGAACTTCCCCACTCGGGCTGGCGGCTTGCGCACCATCAAGAACGCCATCTGCATCCACGAGGAAGACTCGGGCATTCTCTTCAAGCACACCGACTTCAGGGACGAGTCTGTGATCGTGACGCGGGGTAGAAGGCTCATCATCCAGCAAATCTTCACAGCAGCCAACTATGAGTACGTCGTTGCCTGGATCTTCCACCAGGACGGCACGATCCAGCCCGAGATCAAGCTCACCGGCATCTTGAACACGTATGCCATGGATCCCGACGAGGACACGCATGGCTGGGGAACCCAGGTGTATACAGGTTAGTAGCTGACCCCCCGGGATTGTCTGTTGCTGTGAAAACTGGGGTCGATGGCGATGCTGACCGACTGCTCTCCGCTCAGGGGTCAACGCCCACAACCACCAACATTTGTTCTCGCTCCGCATCAATCCCAACATTGACGGCCCGAACAACACCGTGTTCATGGCGGACGCGGTTCCCAGCGAAGCGCCTGTCGGTAGTCCCGAGAACTTCTACGGGAACGGCTTCTACGCAAAGCGCACAAAACTGGCAACCACCGGGGAGGCCATGACTGAGTATAACGGCGCGACTTCGCGGTCGTGGGACATGTGTAACACCAGCAAGCTTAATCCGTTCAGTAGAAAGCCCGTTAGCTACAAGCTTGTGAGCCGCGAGGTGCCAGGTCTGCTGCCCAAGGAGGGCTCACTGGTGTGGAAGAGGGCTGCGTTTGCAAGACACGCCGTCCACGTTACCAAATGTAAGTGTTCTTCTGGCCGCACTTCTCCAAATTCAGGAAGCAAAAAAAAAATAAAAAAAATAGGGAAAGAGACCGAGCAGTCGCGGCGGTCTAGCTCAAAGAGATAGCTAACCGACTCCGGTATGCAGATCGCGATGATCAGCTCTGGCCGGCAGGCCGGCACGTGCCACAGACGAGCGGCGAGCCATCTCGGGGCCTGCCCGAGTGGATCGGCGACGGCAGCGAGTCAGTCGAGGACACGGACATTGTCCTGTGGCACACGTTCGGGCTCACACACTTCCCTGCGCCCGAGGACTTCCCCGTAATGCCGGCTGAGCCTATGTCGTTGCTTTTGCGGCCGCGAAACTTCTTCTCCTCCAACCCCGTGCTCGACGTGCCGCCGTCCTACTCCAGCACGCCCAGCCAGCTCCTCGCCAACGGGAGCGGCGTGCTCGACGCGACCGACAAGATCAGCAAGCTCGCCTTCCCTGGTGGCAGCGAGGACAGCGTCTCCAACGGAACTAGCTGCTGTGCGACCAATGGCAATGTCAATGGCACCGCCAACGGGCACTGAGGGATATTCCATTCGTGTGGAGGTGGGGCTGAGAGCCGTGGCTTGGAGACTACGTGAACTCGATCCGGTTTTTTGTTTGAACACGGGTGGAATGGCGGACGGACAAAGCCATTCAGTGAGGCGCTCTGTGAAGTCGGCCAAAATGCGTCATGAGGCTTGGCTCTTTTCCGCGATTTCTCTAGGGTTATGGTTGTAGGCTGTAGTCTTTGACAGTTGTATTGCAAATTGACGAATAAGGTTACTGAAGCGAAGTGTGCTGTGTGCTGAGTGCTGAGTGCTGAGTGCTGAGTGCTGAGTGCTGAGTGCTGAGTGCTGAGTGCTGAGTGCTGAGTGCTGAGTGTTGAGTGCTGGGTGCTGAGTGCTGTGTGCTGTGTTGTGTGCGTGGGATCGCTTGATCCGTTAGCATTAGTTGATGCCTAGCGTGCCCTGCCAAATCACGCGCTGCGTTGATCGTCTCGGTGTTGAGGTTGCCTACATCTTTTGGTCATCCAAATTAGGTAGGCTGTTGTGCTCAAAAGAAGCAGGTAGTGGTAGTCTCGAGGGGGGTCGAGTTTGGGTTGGGCAGCCGGGAAGTGGGAGACGGCGGAGATTGGAGCGCCCGACTTCCCGCGCAATGGCAGCCAGCCGTTAAGCGTCGCGCCCACGAGGTGATATCGGCGGACCATCCAACAACCGACGAGAGAGCGAAGAGTCGACGGGAGAGTGAATGAAGATTGGCCGCCAGAGAGAGCCTGATGTTCGCAATCGCGCCGGGCAATGGACGGACATGTTACCCAAGGTAGCCAAAGATACAGCAAGGTCTAGTTGTTGAATGGCCCGGCATTCCTGACCGAACCGCCTGGTACCTTGCTGCAGGATTGTGTGATGCTAGAGATCATCAATCTCTGTGATCGTCTAGACGGATAAGGTTCAGTAGCAGCCTAGGTTGTAGTGGTTGGGTGGAAATCTGTCGTTGAAGCAATGGATGGGTGGAAAGAAAAGTGGGGGTTTACGGGGGCGTGGTTGCGTCGCGGCAGGAAAGCGCATTGGTTGACGGATCTAACCTGCTTGGAAGCTGCCAAACTGGACCAAAGATTTCCCCCCCACTGCCTTCCTTCCACATCTTTGCAGCTGCCGTCGATTGGCGTTTGGCATTACGTTTATCGCTAGGCAAAGTTAACAAGCTCCGCGTCCCTCACTGCACGGCCGATCACCGCGTTCCGATATCGTCAACCCAACCTCACTCAGCCTGGACGACCAAGTTGGAGCGCTGTCGACTTGCAGTTCGAGTTGTTTTCCTGCCAACGAGGAAATTCGAGCCTCGGACTCTCTATCTGCCCCTTTGCTCGTCTGCCGGTACATCTGCATTGACCTTCCGCATCGGGCCCAAAAACCGACAGGTCGCATACGCGTAACGGGAGTGCCAGCTCCAGGTCTGCTGCGGAGCCCTGGGAGTGGGTGGGGATGGGTGGAGCGAAGTCGATTCCCGCTCCCACATCAACTGCCGGGACTAGCCTGGCTGCGATCGCCACCTCTCGGGCTTGCCTTGGCTGCGCAGCCGTTCGCTCAGGACAGGGCGCGGAATGGATGAGGCTCGCCGCTGGATACTCGAGTCGGTCCAAGGTTCTCACTGGCGATTGCGTGCAGCGCGGGTAGCCGCTCCATCTGCTCCGAGTCTCACCTCCAACTCCACCTCACCCTCGCCCGTCCCTCGCACCGAACTGTGCCCGAGTCAATCTACTGGCACCATCCAGCCGACTGTCTCGACTACCCCACGACCCGGGGGCCGATTTAGCCAAAAGCCTCCGTCTTCACCATGACCCGGATTCGGCGTGTTGGCTTTGATATAAATAAACACATCATGAGGCTCTCAACCCTGTGGATATTGACATTGAAGACGCAGTGACGACTAATCGAGGTTCGTGGCGTTGCGGCCAAGGCCTCCCCCGCGCTTGGCGCCTACTGGCCGTACATCCACAAAGCTTGACCTGACTTCAGTCATCTCTCAACCGTCCAAGCTAAAGACGCCGCCACTCCTGATTTGGCGGCTGGTCGCTGCCGTTGGCCCCCCTCCCCACCTTTCGCCCACCCTCCGCAAGCCTCCCGCGAGCCTCGGCGACTTCCGCCCTGCTGACTAGTTCGCCCCGACCTCCGATTAGTAGTGGAGGGAGCGCGGCCTTGGACACGAACGGGCATTCCGCCGTTGGGCTCGCTTCTATGCCATCTTTCTTGGCAGGTCCAACGAGCCACAAGGCGTCTTCTATCAGGGACAGAGGTCTTGGCAGCGGCTGTCACGGCTTGCAGGCGACCTGGTGCTAGTGCTTCCCTTCGTTACAATGTGACCTTCCAGAAACGCCAAGCCCCCCATCCAACCCCACAGCCGAGACGGCCGCAGCCGTCGTTCACTTCACACAACATCTTAGCTACGAGCTTGACCAAAGAACACGGAGACTCTCTACTTTGGGTCAAGATCTCCCCTTCTGGAACTTACGCAAAGGCTTCTGTCCGGCTCTCTAGCCCTTGCTCGGTTATCTTTTCTCTGGCTAGGCCAAGTGTTGCCCCTTATCTCACAACACCCCCAATCTCGTCCGAGGGGCGCATGGTCGTGGCGCCCGCCCTCGAGGCAGCATGGAAGCCACAGCACGGGATGGCGTGAGAAAAGGGAAGGTGGCCGAAGGGTGCCGTGGCCACTAGACCAAGACGTGAGTCCCCTATCGTCGTCGCCTGAGCTGTCCTCCTCCTGTTTCCGGGCTAGCACCCGTCCCACAGCATCTGCAATGCTTGAGGTGCAATGCTTGAGGGTTGCCTGCTCTCTCAAGTGAGTCTCAGGAAAGGCAATGGCAAGACGAGTAACTAGGACAGTGAGCTTTTGTATAAAGGCTTGGGTCCCGTCCCCGGTCCAAGCGATGACTCGGAGCAAAATCGTCGTCAGAGCAGAGATTCTCAAGCCAGTCTTCCCTTCCAGCATCATTGCCAAGCATTGCCCCCTCGCCTTTCAAGATGAAGTTCACGACTGCTTTCTGTGCCATTGTCCTTGGCGCCAGCACCGCCTCGGCTCTCCCGGCGCCGGTCGACTTGGGCGATGGAGTCACCCTGGTCGCTCGCGAGCCCAGCATGCAAGCCCGCCGCGCGACACGGAAGTCCAACCCCAGGATTGCCGCCGAAGCCTCGATCGACGGCATCACCAACAACTCCAACGTCGAGTACAGCTCCAACTGGGCCGGCGCCGTGCTCATCGGATCCGGCTACAAGTCGGTCACTGCGACCATCATTGTGCCCACCCCGCAGAAGCCATCGGGCGGAAGCTCCACCACCCAGTACGCCGCATCGGCGTGGGTGGGCATTGACGGAGACACGTGCCAGACGGCCATCTTGCAGACGGGCGTCGACTTTTACGTGCGCGGCACCACGGTCAGCTTCGACGCCTGGTACGAGTGGTATCCCGACTATGCCTACACCTTCTCGGGCTTCGCCGTCAGCGCCGGCGACAGCATCACCATGACGGCCACGGCGTCGTCAACCAGTGCCGGCTCTGTGACCCTCACGAACAACACCAAGCACAAGACGGTCACGCACTCGTTCAGCGGCGAGACCGACCAGCTCTGCGAGACCAATGCCGAGTGTAAGTACTATTTATAGAAACTCCGAGTTATATGCGCCTGGAGGCTTAATCTACATTTTATCAGGGATCGTGGAAGATTTCTCCAGCGGCAGCTCTCTGGTGCCTTTTGCCAACTTTGGCACCGTCACCTTCACGGGCTCGTCAGTCACCACCACGTCGGGCAGCACCATCGGCGTCACGGGCTCCACCATTTTCGACATCAAGCAGAACAACGTAGTCCTGACCAACTGCTCCACGTCGGGCTCGTCGACGGTCACGTGCACCTATGTCTAAGTAGGAATGGCTAGTCATTGTTTCTACGTAATTTCCTCATGCAGTAGCGGCTGTTGTATAAGGGGGAGGGGGCTGGCAGTTGTGGAAGAGAAGAGATGCTGATCTTGGCAAAAAGGGGGACTCTGGCTTACGTAACGCTGCAAGAACACGAAATTAGGGGGCCTGTGTCACTAAAACCTTGGATAATATGGCCGTCGAAAATGGGAATGGAAATATTTCCAGCCGCCACAATATTTGCCGCCTGAGAACTAAGGCCTAAACATTACCCATGTGCCCGGGTCGCCAACGGTTGCCAATACAAAGTTGGGGCAGTCAGTGAGCCGTACTTACAGGACTAATAGACAGATAGCGTTATTTGGTTTGAGTCTAACTTTCCAAGAGAGGACTGCGTAATGGTTGCCTTGGCCGCCACGCCAGCAGAAAAAAGGAGCCTGTTACTTGACAACCTAGACAGCAGCAGCTATACCTATGGTCGCCAGACTCGCCACCACCGCCACCACCACAGATTGCTAATTAATTAGTCGAGGAAACCGGCATTATGTATACCGACCACCGACCTGCCCCCATTTCAGGTAATTTTTCAATTGACTCAGACTGTGGTACCTAGCTTGCAAACTACCTAGTTGGTCCCCCCGAGCTAACTGCCGAGTTTCCAGTGCAGGCAGAGGATCTAGATCGCTAGTAGCGCGAGGAAGACAGGCAAGCAAGTCCCTTGCCAAATCCCGAGGTTCAATCAAAAGCATTTATTGCAATCACAAACTTGAAGACAAAGAAACACACTCGGTTGCTAAAAGCTATCTAGCTCATAAAAAGGAAAACAAAAGAAAACAAAGGAAATTGTTGTGCCGAACGGGCAGAATGATTAGGTAATCGAGCAAGTCCAGATCAATCCAATCGCGAATTCGTTGCCAATCGCGAATTCGTTGCCAGTCGCGAATTCGTTGCCAACAGCGAGACGGAAAGAAAAAAGGGGCAAAGAAAAAACAAAAGAAACACTCCATGCCTAACGGGCTGTAATTGCGACTTGTCGCCTCCGCCAAACGCAGCAGACTTCCTCTCACCTCTCACCTCGCACCTATACCTATGCCATTTCGATACCCAGCAGCACAGCACCTCCCTCAACCTCTCACCGCCACCGGAGACGAGGCCCTCTCGTCAGACAACGCCTTTTGCAGCTTAGCCTGCGACGCCGGCCGGCCTTTGCTCCAAGCAGCCGCAGCCGCCGCTTTACCTGCTTTCTCGTCAATACTCGGCACGGGCATCCCCTTGTCGACAATAACGACATCCCACAGCTGCGTCTGCATGCGCGGCCCGGTTCCTGTCCCGAGGGCGCCGGGCCACACGGCGCCCAGCTTGGTTGTCCCGGCCTTTAGCGGTGTGAACTGGACGCTACCGGCCAGGTCCTTCTTGCTCAGGAACGACGCGTCGTACTGGAACCTCACGTCGACCCAATAAACCACCCCCTGCCGCTGCACCGGCACCGGCGTGTCGACGGAGAACGGCAGGCCCACCACCTCGTACAGCAGATCGCCCGGCCCGCTCGTGCCAGTGCCCGGCGGCGCGGCCGCGGCGGGCGTCGCCTTATCGGCAATCTCGATATCCCACCGCTGCGGCTGCACGCCCGTCCCGAGCGGCCACACGGTAGCCAGGTTGGCGGTCCCGGCCTTCAGCGGCGTGAACTGGACGCTCCCGCCGAGGTCCTTCTTGCTCAGGAACGATGGGTCGTACTGGAACCTCAGGTCGACCCAGACCGGCGGCCCCGTCGGCCCCTGCACCGGCACCGACGAAGCCACCGTGAACGGGACGCCCACGACCTGGTGATGGTCCGCCACCGCTGCAGCCGCCGCCGCCGCAGCAGCAGCAGCAGCCGCAGCCGCCTCGCTAACGACGCTCGGTGCCACCGCGGCGGGGGGCGTCGCCGTCGCCTTGTCGGCAATCGCGACATCCCACAGCCGCGTCATGGTGCCTACCCAGGGGGGCCCCGGCCACGTAGCAGCCAGCTTGGTCGCGCCGGCCTTCAACGGCGTGAACTGGGCGACGGCGGGCAGATCCTTCTTGCTCAGGAACGACGCGTCGTACTGGAACGCCAGGTCGACCCAGACCAAGGTCCCCTTGGGCCCCAGCACCGGCACCTGCGTGTCGATGGAGAACGGCCGGCCCACCACCTCTGTCAGAGAATCCGCCTCTGCCCCGCCCACGCCGGTGCTCGGCGGCGCGGCGGGCGGCGTCGCCGCCTTGTCGGCGGCAATGATAATAAACACGTCGGACAGCAGCGTCATCACCGGCTTCCCGGCCGCCACGCGCCACACGACGCCCAGCTTAGTCGCGCCAGCCTTGAGCGGCGTGAACTGCGCGCCGCCGCCGGCCATGTCGCGCTTGCGCAGGAACGCCCCGTCGTACTGGAACGACACGAAACCCTCCCCCTTGCCCCCGACAATCACCCCCGTAGCCGGATCCGCCGCCACGGGCACCGGCGACGCCACCGTGAACGGCACCCCCACCACCTCGTGCAGGTCCCCCAGGCCGCCAATCACGCGCGGCTTCTTGTCGGCCGCGGGCGGCTTGGCGGGCGGCAGCACTGTCCCCTCCTCCTCCAGCGGCGGCGGGCTCGGCTTCGCCGGCGGCGGGTTCGGCTTCGCCGGCGGCGTGGCTTCCACGGGCGGCACCGGCACCGGCGGCGCCTCCTCGACGGCCGACAGCTTGAACGGGCTGCAGTACCCGCCAAACTCGATATACGCCTCGCTCAGATTGCTCATGTCGAGGTCCTTGTTCTCGCTCTCGCGGACCTCAAACGTCCAGGTACTCCAGGGCCCGATGGCCGCGATGGCCGTCTCCGCGGGATTCCCTTGGCCAACGTAGTAGTTGGCGAGAAACTGCGTCTCAAGCACCTTGTCGGCCGTGCAGTCGGCGAGCGAGTTGACGGCCGCAGAATCGAACTGGAACGGGATCGTCACGGCGTCGTGTCTGAAATTAAAGGTGGCGCGCCGGTCGTTCTCCATCGTCTCGCTGCCGAGCTGCGTCAGAACCACGCTGACGGGCTTGGCGCCGGTCTGGTCGGCAGACACGGACGCGCCGACGAGCCACAGGCGTGCCAGGTCCAGCCGGATGTTGGCGCGGCCGGCGAACAGCGGCAGGTCGGCCGAGCCGTCGGACGCGCCGACGTCGAGCGCGATGGTCACGCTGTAGTAGACGGCGCCGTCGGGCGAGGTGAGCGGTTCCGTGAGCGTCGCCAGCTGCCCGTAGTCGAGCTTGTACAGCGGGCCCTGGCGCCCCGCCACGGGGAAGTGGCCCGGCGCGGAGCCGGCGAACGACGTGATGGCGGATTCGGCGGCCTGGTCGAGGGATGTCTTGGAGATGGACAGGCTCTGCGAGCCCTGCAGCGGGCCCGGGGCGGCGAACTCGGCCGGGGACGTCAGCCCCCAGTAGGCGATGGCGCGGTTCGCGTAGTTCATCAGCCGCATCGTCTCGAGCTGGTAGCTGTCCTGCGTGCGGCGCAGCCACAGGAGCACCGCCGGCAGGTTCGGGTTCATGGCCTTGGCCGCCTGGTCGCCGTACGCCTGCTGCTGCTTGCCGTAGTAGGCCTCGTCCGTCTCGGCCTGGTGCAGCAGCTCGACGGCGCTGTTGTACGAGATGACGGCGTTGTTGCGCGTGGTCGCCACGCTCTGCAGGTCGGCGAGGGACTTGGTGAGGGCGTCGCCGTCGCCCGCCGGGATCACGCTCTTGAACTCGTTGTACAGCGACGTGATCTGGTCTTCGGCTGCTATCATCTTGAGCCCGCCCGGGTCGTCGGCCTCGATGGTCTGGTCTTGACGTGTCGAGAAGCCCGTCGAGAGGTCTGAGAGCGACGAGCCGGCCGTCTTGAGCTCGCTGATGACGTAGTCCTTGTTGACGGAGGCGCCGGAGCTGTCCTTGACGGTGGTGTCGGCGTTGTAGGCGATGCTGGCGCCCTCGACGAGCGCCAGCGGCACCGACGGGCCCATAGCCACCATACTCAGCGAGCTAATGATGTTCATGGGGTCGAGGTTGATGCTGGCCTGGATGTCGGCCTCGACCACGGCCAGGTTGTCCTCGCACTCCTTGACCTTGTCCTTGAGCAGCGGCGTGTAGCGCGCGATGGTGTCGGCGCTGGTGGTCAGCGGCCCGTTGTCGTCGGTCAGCAGCTGGATGCGGTACTGGGCGCGCTGCACCCCGGCCGCCGCCGCGCTCTGGCCCGACGCGATGTCCGTCATGGACGCGCGCACCGCCAGCGCGTTGGCATAGGCCGCCTCGACCGTCTTGAGCGTGCTCAGGCACGTCTCGATCTCGGCCGTGTAGTAGCTGTAGTTGAGCCGCGGCACCCACAGCGCGTCGTGCCCGAACATGTCGTTGCCGCTCATGATCTGGTTGTTGAAGCTCTTGGCCTGGTCGTACACGGACTGCAGCTGGTCGAGCGCCGACACCGTCACCTTCAGCCCGTACTCGAGCGTGTCGTACGCCTGCTCCAGGTTCGACTCGGGCGGCGGGCTCGTGGCATCTTGGGCCGCGGCAATGGTCGGCCAGAACGAGAGGCGCTTGAGGAGCCTCTTGTACAGCGTCGAGGCGTCCTGCTTGGACGTGGGCGAGTTCTGGAAGAAGAGCGCGTTGGCCTTGTTGAGCAGCATCTGGCACTGGTCGGGAAAGGCAAAGGGCATGACCACGTCCAGGTCCGACGCGCGCCCGTCAAACACGAGCTCCCTGGCCGCAAGCGTGCCCTGGCCCCCTTCCTGGCCCCGAGCGCCGCCGTGCGGCTTGGGGCCGAAGCCGGGGCCGCCGACGCCTCCGGGCCCGGGGAGGATCATGCATGCCTCCGAGGCGGTCTCCGAGAGGGACTGAAAGAGGGGTTGGATAGAGGCTCCGGCCTGGATGATTGCCGTCCCCAGGGCCGAGTTTGGGTTCCCTGTCCAGGTGACGGTTGCCGCCGTAATGAGCCCCAGCAGTCCCGGCTCGTCAACAGGCTTCTTGGCCTTGAGATTGGCCAGGTACTGCGTGGCAGCCGTGTTCACCGCGACGGTGGCGTTGGCCAGGCCGTTGTCTTTCAGGTCGGGCCCTTCCTGGGCCGTGAGCAGAGTCGTCAGCCCTTGGGAGAACGCTGTCAGGGCTGTCGACAGGGCTGTCGACAGGGGCTTGGTGGTCCTGGACTTGGCCAAGCTGTTGACGGCGGCCCGGCAGTTCTGTGCTGCCGTGATGTATCCCGTGTATTGTGCAAAGGTAGCCCGCAGGGCCGCGAACTGGGCGGAGCCGAGCAAAGAGCTGGTCAGGGTCGTCACTGTCAGGGCCTGGCCAACAAGCGCCGTCCACGGCAGCGGGGACAGCTGGTAGAGCCGGAGGAGGGCGGTCCCGGCGGCGCTGCCCCAGAGGAACGAGACGGTGCCTAGAGAGGAGGTGGAACGGAACGCGTCAGCATGTTATTGTAAACAACCGCAGAAAAGGGGTTGCCGAGTGCTGACCTGCGTTACCGCCGACGCCTCCAGTCCCGCCCCTCCCAGCCACATCACTGGTGGCCCCGCCCTCGCCTCCGGAACCGCCGTTGGCGAGGAGACGAAGACCAGTGGCAAGGGACGGGGTGAGATACTCAACATAGAGCCAGATGGAGCCGCCGTCGCCGCCCGGGTTACCCGGCAAGCCGTTCCCCGAGGGCTGTGCGACGTCAATGTGCTCGCCGTCGGATCCGGACACGTCGATGGTGATGCTGCTGCCGCCCAGGATGAGATTCGAGCAGGCAATGCCAATGTTCTTGCTGGGCCACTGGATGCTGTCCATGATGGTGACTGTCTCGGCGTAGATCAGCAGCGTCTGGTTGCTGATGTCGATGCTCGGGCCGAAGTCGTTGGGCAGAACCACGCCGCGGTCCGACACGTCCATGAGGACATATGTCGACTCGGACCCGCCCAGGGCATTGTCGTAATGCTGGGTATCGGCCTGGCTGAAGGTCGACATGTTGTGTAGGTCGGTAGGGTAGGTAGGAAGGCAGTTTGTAGGTCGGTAGGGTAGGTAGGAAGGCAGTTTGTAGGTAGGAAGGCAGGTTGTAGGTAGGAAGGCAGGTTGTAGGTAGGAAGGCAGTTTGTAGGTAGGTACGAGTGTACAGGTGGGAATGAAGACTGAAAGAGAGTCTAGAGCAGGATTCGGGGATTGTGAAAGCAACGGGGAAGTACTGAACAGCTCAGGGCGGATAGAGGGGTGTCGATGACCCTCGGGCGTGTTCTTGATGGATAGCCGCCAGGGAGATAAGAATGGAGGATCTGAGAGAGCTGTAGGAGGGTGCGGGATGAGCTGTTGGTAACTTGGTGTGGTAGATAAGTTCTGGTAGAGCAGAGAGAAACTCGACTGGTTTTTCAAAAAAAAAAAAAAAAAAAAAAAAAAAGTCAGAGAGGATTGCTTACCGGGGAAGTAGACTGCTGATTGCTTGACTGAGATTCCGTGACTGAGATTGCTTGATTGAGATTGCGTGACTGAGATTGCGTGACTGAGATTGCGTGACTGAGATTGCGTACTGAGTGTCGGCTTGTCTCTGGTGCTTGGTGTTTAACATGCTCGTGCCCAATGCAAGAGTGTATCTTATCTTTATAGGCGCCGGGTGTCTGACCACTCTCTCAGCGAAGCCAATTCCCGATCCTCGTCTTGGTTCGCCACGGCGCCCTAGAGCCTCGGCTATCAAGCGGACAGCTGAGACGGGCTCGTATTAGGGGCCATATTAGCAGACACACGCCGTCCCGCTTACCATGTCCTTGTTGAGCATAGCGCCATGACGGCAGAGACGGAGCCGCCGCATCCGGCTTCCCCGTTCAGGCCCTGCAGAAGGTTGAGGCGAGCTGAAGCGTTGATCCCTTCCCAAAGCAGGCTGGGATGCGATATTTACACGCAGCTGAGTGTGTGGAAGCACTGGCCGCGGTCTGGGGAGATAAGGCGGAGGGGAGAAGCAGGCTGGCGGCGCGAAATCTAGAACTCGAGACGCCTCCGCCAAGGGGCTAGGAAGAAGCAACAAGACAGACCAAGTGGTGGACTTCTGGGTCGTGATTGGATCACACCAACACCCCCACATCTAACTATTGCTTTTCTGAAGACAGGAGGGGGGTTGAAGCCCTCCGAGACTCATCGATAGCGTATATATGCCCAATTCGGTGCCGAACAATTACAAATCAAACGCGAGAGGTGTGCCACTGCTGTCGAAAACGAAACATGGAGATCTAGACTGCCCGTGTGTGTATCTTTCACTCTTTGCCTATCATCGACTCTTTATCTTTAGAGAGGAAAAAGAAAAGAAAAGGCTAAAGGCTAAAGGCAAAGAAGTGATTTTATTTACCTCCTGAATAAGGAGCTCAGGGGTCACGCTCGGCGGCATATACGAACAACAAATACGATTTTCGCTGTTGTATTTTTCATTACTGGATTAGGCAACTATTTGCAATGTCGAGCCCCTTGCCTAGTCGGTCGTTGTCAGCTCGCTCCACCTCGCCCTAGCCGAATAAGCGGAGCGTGGAGGTGGCTGGCGGAAGAGTCTCAACTAGGAATATTTCCAGACCAGTAAACTTGGCCGTAGCCTAACGGTGGCGGTGCCCCTGCCGTCATTATTCAAATATTGACAGCCGCACCCAAGGGCAAGGACCATTCGATGTAAGCTTGGGGCCATGGTAGGGCAGGTAATAGGATAGCTTCACCGCGCTGACCGCAGGTGACAGCGGTGACAGCCCGACAGGTGAGAGGTTGCAGGGGCAGGGCAGCAAGTTCCCAGCCCGGTGGTTCGGCACGGCCCGGCGTCGCAATTCCCTACCTTACCTTAGGCTTGTTCTACCCTAAAAGGCTTAGCTGCGATGCCGTATTGCTCGCGTCGGCCTAGTCCCAGTCCGGGGCATATCCGCGGCACCCAAGCGCCACGGCTGAGGGCTCGAGTCGCATTCGAATCGCATTCGCTGCAGCTGTGGCCCGCCCGAGCTAGTGATGCATGAAAATCCCTCATGGGTCCCGTGAGGGCCCCGGGAGCGGTCTGCACGTGTGGTGAAGCTACGGTGCCTAGGTAATGTTGACATAGCCCCTTTCGACCTTGCCACTACTTCTTTTTTCCGGCCATTAATTGGCCGAAATGCATACACGAGCTTCTTCAGCGACGGCGAGGTCCGGGATACCACGTTGGGGGTTTTGCTTTTGATAGTGAAGCAATTGAGAGCATGTGTTGCTCTTCTTGTCCGAGGTCTCTTCTGGCTTCAAGCGAGCGCCATTCGGTACCTAGAACTGCCTGTGTTAGTGTGTTAGTTGTGGACCTAGGTCTGGAGCTCGGTGGGTGGGCAGGAACTAGACGCGGTTGATGGTGAAATCTCTGAACAATATTTCCAAGCTCATGCTGGCCTACGCTCATGGTGGCCTAAGCTCATGCTGGCCTAAGCTCATGCTTGAGGTCAAGATTGGAGGTTTGTGTATATATAGAAGACGGAAGCAACCCGACTCCAAGACAAGAATCAAGCACAGAATCCCGCAGACTCGCAACCTTGCAGACATCATCTCGCAAACTTGAAATCCTACAGCCAGCTAACCTCTTTGCTTTTGCCAAAACAATCAGCCGTCTACCTCTTTATTCCACTTACACACGCCTTCTCATTACCTTGCTTCCAATTCACTCTACCGTCCCTCATCCACTAAACCAAGACCTTTCCCATCAAGGCCTCCCCAACTACTGCAGACCCAAACACCAGCACCAACAACAGCACCAACACAGACACCCACAGACACCCACAACACCCACAGGCACCCAAAGGCACCCACAGACACCCACAAGCACCCACAAGCACCCACAGACACCCACAAGCACCCACAGATACTCACAAGCACCCACAAGCACCCACCCACACCCACAAGCACCCACACACACCATGACTACCAACAACTGGATGGACTACAACTCGCTCGAGCAGGCCATGCGCGGCCAGAGCACGCTCGAAGGCTTCGACGTCCTCGTCAGCTACAGTGAGACGCAGCTCAACAACCTGCTCAAGACTGCCACGGCCGCCGACACGACCAGCTCCATCTCGGTGCCCGAGTTCCAAACCTCGGTTGCCGGCCAGTGTGAGTATCATCACCGCCAACCCAACAGACAAGCCTCGTTCTGACAGTCCTCCTCGCGCTTGCAGGGCCGCAGCCCGCCTTGACCGTGTACAAGATCGACCTCGAGCTGACCAAGCCCAACTTCGCCTTTGCCGGGCCGACCAACAGCGCCGAGGTCATCCTGTCCTTTGTGCTCGGCGGCAATGTGTTCGTGCAGAACGCCGACGGGAAGACGTGGTCGGCTCCGACCACGATGCCGCCGGGGCTGACGCTGTCCATCACGTCGCAGCTGGCAGCCGTGACGGGCACCGTCGACCCCAAGGCCCCTGGCTCCCGCTTTGTGCCCGTGCCGCCGTCCACCTCTTCGAACGGCACTGGTGTCTCGCTCGCCGCCTCGGACACCACGGGGGCCATCGTCATCTACATCCCCAAGGAGAAGGGGTCCGGCGGGACCGTGAGCATCGCCGGAGACGGCACCGTCGACCCCGGCACCACGCTATTCCTGCAGAGCCTGATCAAGGGCAACATGGAGGACTACTTTGCCAGCCAGCCGTGGAACTACTACCTGGCCCAGGTCAACAACGCGGCCCCCGAGAACAGCGGGGGCAGGTACGAGCTGCAGCCCACGTCGTTCGGCTTCTCCGTGTCGGCCGGCAACGGCTCCACCATCGACAACGCCATCTGCATGTGGATCACGGTGCAGGGCGGCTCGGGGCGCGCCGTGCTGATGCCGGGGGAGCCGTGCAACGCAAACTTCTCGGTGCAGAACGAGCCGACCATGCCCATCCCCGCGGGCAACGGGTCGACGGCCAGCATCATCTTCGGCCACGACCTCATCGAGTCGCTCCTCTTCGAGGCGGCCCTCAAGGACAACAACTGCACCAGCGCGGCCTCGGCCGACGGGCCCAACCAGCCGGGCATGAAGATGACCTTCAAGTTCCCCAGCTTCAAGGTGCACAAGGACGCCGTCAACTACAATCACGTCGACACCTACTTTGGCGGCTCGACCACGACCATCAAGAAGGTCGACGCCATCGACTTCGACATCGACGACTACGCGGCCACCATGACGCTGAACCCGGGCCTGTCGGTGCTGGGCTCGTCCGTCGGCACCATCAACTGGACCACCAAGCCCATCAAGGTCAACTGGACGTCCGATGTCGACACGTACACCATGGGCGGCGAGGGCGGCATGTGGTCTGGCGACGACCACACGGGCACCACCGACATCACCTTCTCCTTCAACGGCGAAGGCGCCTGGCTCAACAACACGGACGGCAATGCCGACATGCTCAACTTCGCCTGGACGCTCCCCGACGGCTTCGACGTCGACGCCGTGCCCGAGAAGAAGGACCTCAACTGGTGGGACCGGATCTGGTCCGACTGGGACAACGGCGTGCCTTCGGACCTGAAGAACCTCAAGTTCAGCCTGCCCAGCCTGTCGTCGGTCAACTCGATCAACTACTTCCTCACCACGAACCTGCTGCTGCCCGGCCACCACGTCTTCACCCCGGACCCGCTGCAGGCCCAGACCGCCAACGACCAGAAGGGCATCTCCATCCCCTACGACGTGCTCCTGACCGGCTCCGTCGCCCAGAACACGGTCAGCACCGTCGCCCTGGCGCCGCACAAGGCCGGCCTGGTCACCACTACCAAGCCGCGCGTCTGCGGTGTCAGCCGGACCAGCAGGCGCCACCTGATCCATTCCATCCAGGACGCCACCAGCCCCAGGAAGTGGGGGATCAAGAGGGGGTCGCAGCCTGTCGTGGTGGCCAACGGCACTGCCGCCAAGTCCAATGGCGTGGTGAACGGTGCAAACGGCACCCCGAACGGCTTCGAGAATGGCGGCTTTGTTGGTCCCATCTACCCCCCCAAGCCCATCCCTCACGGCCCCGTCATCCACCACGGCCCCGTCATCCACCACGGCCCCGTCTATCCCCACCACGGCCACGGCCACGGCCACGGCCCCGTCATCCACCACGGCCCCGTAGTCCCTGTCAAGCCCATCAAGTTCCCCCACGGCCCCGTCGTCAACCCCGTTAAGCCTCCTCCTCTCAAGGACGGAATAGTCGTCGGTCCCGTCGGTTCTGCGAAGCCCAGGTGGCCTCCCACTCACGGCCCCATCGTCGGCCCCATCATCCCCATCATTGGTCCTGTCAAGCCCACGTGGCCTCCCACCCACGGCCCCGTCATCCCCATCGGCCCCTTCGGGGCCCTCCAAAGCGCCGCCGCCGTAACCAAGAAGACGGCCGCCGACTTTATCCACCTCGTCGCCAACCCCAACGGATCTTCCATTTACGGCCAGCTGGCTTCGACCATATCACAGCCCGATTTGCAGCTGGCCGCTTCCCAGACGCTCGACCTGCTGGAGAAGAACGGCTACTCCTTCACGGCCGACGAGCTGCTCGCAGTCTTCGGCACCTCGACTGCCGAGGTCGACGCCCTCGCGAGCCCCAAGGCCCTTCAGCTGAGGTCCAGGACGAGGGCGGACATCGAGGCCGCCGCCCACAAGAAGAAGATTGAAAAGGCCAAGGCCTACCAGGCCCTCAAGCTCGGCGACCCGCTGAACCCGCCGCCCTTCGACCTCAAGGTCTTTGCTGCCAAGTACAACATCACGGACGGGCCCGACTACGCAAAGAAGCTGCAGCTCATCGTCGGCCAGGGCGACGGGACCATTGCCTTCGACGGCAGCCCCAAGTTCCCCGACCTCACCACCGACACCACCACGGTGCCCTACACCAACACCCTGTCCTGGGTCGGCGACAACGGAAGCTACACGGCCGTGTTCAAGGCCCTCCCCGACGACCAGGGCGTCTTTGTCTCGTCGTTCAAGGGCACCGCCACCCCAACTGGCGGGACAGCCGTCGCGTTTAACGGAGAACAGGTAGCTGCCGAGGACGGTAAGTCAAACCCCCTCCCCCCCCCCAGAAAATCGAAAAGTATCTGACATTTTCCCGTCTGGTTCGGCTAGACGATTCCTGGAGGGATGTTGACATTATCGGCACTGTATTCGGCGCCATCGGCACCATATTCGGCGTCATCGGCATCGTAGCCTTTGTCATCTCCATCTACTGGCGGAAGGAGGATACCACCAACAACGTGAAGAAGGAGGAAATACTTGACGCACAACACCAAGACATAGAGAAGAAGTTCAACCAGATGCAAACGCTCCAAGAAATTCAGCTAGAGGACCATCTGAAAGTAGCAGTGGAGAACGCCGAAATCCCCTGGGAATCTCTCCAGGGGAACGTCGACGCGAGGACCTCGAGTGCCTTGGATAACTCACTGAAAAGTTACGACACCTCCGACATCCTGAGACTCGAAGAAATGACAAGAAACCCCAGCAGCGCAGAATACCAGGCGCTGCGGAGATCGGCCAGCCGGGCCCTCGTCGCCGAGGTCCAGAACGGCATCAAGCCCGTCGTCGATCCCATCTCGCTGAACCTGCTCAACCCGCTCATCCAGGCCAAGTTGGAGACTCCGGACCAGGCCAAGAAGATCGGCCAGACCGCACTGCAGCCGGTAGTCGACGGAAAGGTGGCGTCGCTGACGACGGGCCAGAATTCGTACCTCGACGCCAAGGTGCGCGAGAGCATCATCCGGAAGCGCCTCGCGCTCAAGACCCAGTTGCGCGCCCAGACCGACCTCGACATATCGCAGCTGAACATCAACATTGGGCAGACGTCTAAGGAGCTGGATCGGAGCAAGGACGCGCTGAAGCAGGTTGAGGCCGAGCTCCAGAAGGACCCCAACGACAAGAAGCGCCTCGAAATCAAGGAGGACCTCGAGGCCGACATCAAGCGCCTCAACGAAGACCTCAAGAAGCAGAACGACGCGCTCGAGACCAAACAGAGAGAAGGAGTAGAATTGGTGGAGAGCCAGAGAAAGGACGAGGAGGCCCGCAATGAGGCCGAGAAGGAGGCCGAGAAGCATCTCAAGGACCTGCACAGCGACTGATCTCCCCCCTTTTTTCTTCTCACTCACTCTCATTCATACTATTTTCTTCTTTCTGCCCCGCTCACTCATCACTCCACAATTTCCTCATGGTACCATGCAACCCTGTTTCCTGCTTTTCAACTCGAGCTAGCACGGCTGTCAGCAAACTCTCCGTCTGCTGGACAGGCGCCCGAGGATAAACGCCACATACCCACAACCAAAAAAAAAAAAGTCAAAAGAACACGGCCCCATAAAATAGGAAGAAAGACGAAGACGAAGACGAAGACGGATGACAAGAAGGGAGGAGGTTGCGAGTTTCCATTTTTCCCCTTTTGCCCCTTTTGCCAATCTTCCACTGCAGTACCATTTCACGTTCGCAATCCCAGTTGTCCACTCACCGCGAGCCACTCGGCACTCACTCATTTATCGCCTGAACTCGGTTCCCTTTGTCTCGTTCCTTTCATAGTTGGGTAATTAGCCAGGTCGCTAGTTACCTACCTAGGTAGTTATTTAGTTAGTTTGTTAGCTTGTTAGGCCGTTGAAATACCACCCACAGTCGCTCATTAAACACCGGTTCGGTCTTGCTGGGCATGTTTTTGTGAAATCTTGTGATTGAAGACGAGTAATTATGCCAGTCACTCAGTGATTATTTGATTATAAATTACCTGGCCGGATCGGTGGTCGGTCGTGGGGAGTTGGATTTCTAGCTGCCTCGACTGGCAATCAATCTTTTATTGGAAAAAGTTGGAACCAGTTAAGGAAGATGGTGGTGCTGTGAGTATGCGGCCTCCGCTGGCTGCCCGGATTTTGTGCTGTGTCGTGAGGTCAGAGTCTGCTGGCTGGTGACGGCTTCAATCTAAACCCAACTTTCTTGGTTCGGGTCTGCTCTGGAGGTTTAGTGCCTTTTGCGCCGTCTTTAGGTGTCTGAGCGATTGAGGAGTGCGGGTCGCTTTTCGAGATAAAATAAGCTACCTGACCAGTCAGGAAGGGGTCAGCTGAACGGATGCCTCCGGCGGCGCCTGCCGCGGGCAGTCCTCGCTTCGCTCGAGGGAATGGGTGGCTGGGCCATTTTACTAAGAAATTAGTAAGGACAACCCCGTTTTGTGCCAAACTCGTAGCCAAAGGTTGACTCAACTGTCAACTGTGTCAACTGTGTCAACTGTTCAACTGTTCAACTGTGTTAAAAGTAAAAAAACATAGGAGAATCATCACAACGTAAATAGCATAGTGTTGAGGTAGAAAAAGTCGATTCTGCTATCTAGGCTACACCCGGAACCAACACCTCGCCGGCGTCAACACGGCGCTGGTAATCCGCCGCACGCAAGGCACTTGTAACGGGGAACTGACGGCGAGAGCAGACCGCATTACCGCTCTGGAAGTCCCGCAAGGACTCTGCCCGGCTGAACTTCGGGATAACGGATTGACAGCTATTCTAGCCCCTCAACACCAAACAAATTCTCGCAGTAATTTAATGTTTCGATGTTTATGGTCTAATTGTCGGATTTCTAGGGGGCAGGCCTCCTAAGACCCCTAGTGCCTGCGGCGCTTTCTTTCACACAGCTTACGCGTTATATCTACTAATTGGGAAATTGCTCCTTCCTGACACACACACCCACGACACAGCAAAGCGGCATTCACGGCTTAACCTGTCCGAGTTTCATCCGATTGACCAGTCCCTCGAGTCCATTTTGGCGATTTCTTCGTTGCTGAGTCGGCCTCGGAATAAAGTTAACTTGCAAATGGCAACTCTGAGGCCCGGATTTGTACGTAAATTTACCAAATTTCATAGTAGGCGCCCAGTTACCTAAATGATCTATCTATTCAATCCTGATTTGTTAACACAGTGATGCAATTCCTTGGTGTCGGCTCTATCGATCTAGTAACCTGGTCTATGTCAATCTGGTTACCCTGGTCGCCCTTCCTACGAGGATAAGGGTCATCTTCACGGGACAGCGACAGCGAGCGCGAGGGAGCCGGGGACGGCGAGGGTGAGGGAGATAAGGAGCTCGAATCGTCAGAGGAAATCTCGATAAAAGGCATTACGAAGACTGTGAGCGGAAAGGTAGGTTGACGATGTGTTCAAGGGTTGTTTGGCAAAGGAAAAGCCTGCAAAGGCCACCTGGCCGCTGCAGACCTTAAAACACCAACTGCGCACACAAATGCCGGCATGTGGAAACAAAAAGCAGTCCCTGCGTTGTTGCCAGCTGCCAATGACCCCAGGTAGGTGCGAGGAAAAAGGTGGTGGGTGCGTGCATCAAAGCTCTAATTAATTAGGTACGCGCTCATTATCTCCGGTGATCATTGCTCCAATTTTGGCCTCGCCGGGGGATTTTTTGTATGACCCGCGCAGCTTGCCCTTGCATAAAATGACGACTGCCTTGACTCCACGGCCCACGTGCCATTCTCCTTCTTGTTGGGGTCCATCTTTTCAGCGTCCGCTGTGGGCAGTCCGTTGAGTTCTTGTTGGCGCCCGTTGGCGACCCGCCCACCCGGCGAGGGTCATGTTTGGTTCCGGCTTTTCAGGCAACGACAGGTAGAAAATACTGTAGCAACAGCTAGAAATATTCCTCAGTTTTAGCGTCTATCACTTCACCTACGGTAACTACGAAGGATAGGACAAAAAGAAAGGGTCGCCCTCTCCAGTAATAGGTCAAGAATGTTACGTCCTAAAAAGGTTAGATTAAACTTGCCAGCTACCTAGTCAACAAGCTTTCACAGTGCAAGAAGATAACAGCCTTCAGGGCTATTACAGGGGGTCTAACGAGCTTGGATGGGTTCTGTAGAGCGTAGGACGACACCTAGCACTGCTAGCAGACGAACTAGTACCGTAAGATTTCAAATCCTAGCCACTATAGAGGGTAGCTGTTGGAATAACATACTGGAATGACGCGCTGATCCAAGGAATGCGGCTCCGCATTCCTGGCCACAGCAACGTCTGTGGAGGAGCGGGCCTGACAGATGCATATATATTGGCCTACGCCCACCTGTTCAGATAGATAAAAAGACAAGACAGACACAAACGAATCCATCACTTGAACCACCACCTTACGGCGCGCAGCGCGCCATGCTGTTTCCAGTACCGGTACCCTGGTGATTCCTACAGTAGCCTTTTTTTTTTGCTTGAGCCTCCGTGTAGTACTACAGAACCTCTGACAACCGACTCTTTGGAAATCTTACAAGCTCTTCAGCTAGATTTAGTACTAAAATAGATTCTAACGGTATTTGACGTTGACGTTTCGATGTACAGTACAGTGCGTAGACGTGGTCATTCTACCCCTTCTTTGTGGTAAAATTAGCCAAGTCGTGCACGGGCTAACTATACGGATTCCATTCAATCGACACCTCTCTGCAGTCCGCAGTCTGCACCACACCTGAAATTTGCAAATCGCCAGAGTTCACGAGCCTTTTTTTGAATATTGAATTCCAAATGGACTTGACCTCGGCGCTGATCCTGTGCTCTAATATTCTCTCGTTCATGTACACTTCGAGAAAGCTGCTGGCCGGGACCTCTGAGCTCTCCCACTTCCAAACCGGGCTGAAAGGCGAAAGTGTGCATATCGACGCACTCATTGAGAATTTTCGCCAGTTGACGGCCAAGTTGGATCCGGGCTGCGTTGAAGAGCCAAACCATGGAATAGCACTCGAGTCGATCGCCAAGAATAGCGAGAAGCTCGCCAAAAAAGTGCTGCGACAAAATCGAAACAAAAGGCCCCTTCGAAGCAGTCGATTTTGAAAAGCGTCAAGGTGGCCCTGAAGAGCACGCCGAAAGAGAGAAGCGCGGCGGATATACTGAAGATACTCGCCGACTACCAGCGGCTAGCCCTCCACCAGTTAGCTTTGATGATAAGGTGGGCGGATGAAACACCTCGTCGTCACTCCCTCAACTTGCAAAATTGACAGGAAGACTACCACAGGGACAAGCAGGACGCGGTCGGCCAGCAATTCCGCAATCTCGAGAGCGAGGCATCCAACCTATGCGCCGAGAACACTACGCGAGTTTCAAAGCTCAAGGAAGACCTCCTCACAGTGGCTGAAGAGCTGTTGGCACAAGAAACAGCTCACGAAACCGAATCAATCACACGTCCCGCTCCCGGCATCGTGCCCTCACCGTCGTTTCCCGGCGTCGTGCCCGCATCGTCGTCTCCCGGCATCCTCCTGCCCGTCCCGCCTCCCTACTCCGCTCCGAACAACAGCGACAGCCTAAGCAGATGCCGTTGCGCCCTGGACTCGCTGGCAGCAGGCATGTTTCGGCTTGGAAGGACAACACTAGACTGCAGCGTCTCGAGCTGCTCGTCAACCCAAAAAGTAAATCTCTCGTCGTTGCAACCTCGGTTTCTCTCATCCGTCAGGCATTGGGCAGAGCTGTCCGAGGTTTATCAGTACCAGGAGCCCAGAAACAGAGTAGAAATATAAGTTCGGACGGTCACACTTCGTCTCCTGTGGCCCGTTTTACTCCTTGAAATTATTTTATCGTTGTCCCCCTAGTGTGGAATTCTTCACTTTTTACTCATACACAGCTTGAGAATAATAAGAACGAGATTTGTTTAATTTGGTTAGAGATCTTTCGTCAAATCTTAGAGAGCCCCAAACGATCTTCTACGCATAACTAGTTCTAATAGATAATTTAGCTGGTGCTTAGACCAAATGATAGGACGGCTACAAAACTCTCTAGGATTGCCTAGGCCTGATTGAAGTCGTCGTTATAGACAATGACGATGAAGCTCTGAGGTCGGAATATATTGAGCCACAAACTCAAGGTATCCAAAATATCCCGACTAAGAAGCCACCTAGTGTAGTTCTAAATTGGGCCCCAACGGTAAAGTCTTTCCGCGACATACAAACATCTATAATGGGCGCGGATATTTACAATAGCGGCAGCTCGTAATACAACCTTTCACAGTGCTACGATAACTGTTTGGGACTATCAAGGTTTACTTGACAAGCTTAAACAGACCCTCATGTATTAGGCGACACCTAGCAAACGAGCTGGCGCTCAATGTAGGATTTCAGAAGGGTACCCCCTTTTCGGCCTAATTATGCCTTTGGTGTCAGTCCTAGTCTCTCTATTTACAGCTAACTAATAGGCGTGAGGGTTACGCATCTCCGAAACAATGCGCAAGAGGATAATTAGGTACGCTGCTTCGCACCAAGCGAGCTACCTGCCTACCTGCGCAATTCCCGGGAAGCTGATAGTTGGTACCAGAACTTATCTGACAAATAATCCAGGTCGTATCGTATCAGCATGCCAAGCTTCGAATCTCTTCCACGTGGGCTTCGACCTCTCCTCCTGCAGCTAGAATGGCCGTCTAGAGCTATCCCCGCGTGTATAATCTGGGGTAGTGCACGGGGGGCGACAGGGTTCGGGATCGAGAAAAGGGGCTGCCCGAGCCGTCCGGATGTGAGTGTGTGCACAAACGGTCATGGCCGGCCCGAAGGAAGCCAGTCACACTGCAAGTCTAGATCTAGTCCATGCTCTCACTTACTAGTTCTAGGCGGTACGAAACAAGGAGAGGCCTGTTGCTGGAGATCAAAGAAGGCAGCAGCTTCCGTCCCGGTACTCGATTGGCAAGCTAGACACACCACAAAAATACATCCAAAGACTGCGTTTGATTGGTATGTCGGTCACTCTGCCGCACACCTCTGGACATGATATGTGCAACCGGGATTCCCCACATCCCGATTCCTGAGCGACATCGTGGGGTTGGTCGGTCCCCTCCTGGTCTGGTCGCATTTACCGGCCTGCACTACCGAGCCACACCATTCGAAGCCGGGTTTCCCGGGCTCCCAGGCACCCAACTCCCGGGGTCAACTACCAGACTCTGTAATGTGCTAATTACCCTGCAGGCTAACTTGGCACCCCATGAGCCTGCCAAGCGCGCCATATAACTCCGGTCCGCAATACATGCGACGAAAGAGCTCTCGGCGTCGCTGGGCAGGTACCTTGGACTGGCTTCGTCTTTCGAGTGGGGTTTGGGGTAATGATGGCGGGACGCAACGGCGGGAGGAAAGGACTGGGCTTTGAGGTAGTTGATTGATTTTTAGCCAAGGCATCTTAGCCAAGGCATTTCAGTGCCATCTAAGGTAGATAATTAATATCGTTTTGCTATCGGTAGCAACCGCCGGCTCGGCCCAGTGCGTTGCCTCAACTGTCCCAGGAGGCGTGGACAAGCTGCCCCGAAGGAGAAGTGAAGAATGCGGGTGACGCTTGCTTCCTGCTGGATAGTGCAGAATAGAAGCAGCCAAGATGCGGGGAAGCCTGTGGTTCGGAGGAGCTAATATTTCCCATTGTTTTACCCTACCTTAAGAGAGAGAGTGGAGTTGAAGGCTCGTGCTGACTACAACTAACTCCGTCTGATCCAAGCTGACAAGTGACAAGGCGTGTCATTGTTGGGTGGATAAAGCTTTGGACGGCGCTGGTGTCGATCGCCTAGCCTAGTCTATCTAGGCAGTGGAGGATTGCAGGCAGACCGCCCTGGAGATTGGCCCTACAGCGTACAATCTGGGGGTTTGCGGGTCCTCAGAACACCACCAAAGTGGAGCGGGCTAAAATATCGCCGCGGGGAAGTAGGGACCCCGCCCCCTCGGCCTTCCCTGTTCGGTTTGCGACTGACCTTTAGCGCGCTGTGATTGGTGCGTCTCGAGTCGGCAGCGGCGATGGATGCATCGGTGCGGTGTCTTTGGGACAGAGCTTGGATGGGAGCCGGAAGTTGCTACCATCTTGTGCACAGCAGTGGATGGGACGCGTGTGACGCGGCGCCGGGTGCTAATCCAATCGAGAAACATGGCCGGGCCCAACCCCCGCAAACGTGTGTAGGCTTCCATCCAAATTAATTCCCATCTCTTGTAGAGACTAAGATAAGCTATGGCAAGATAGTCTCACGTGGAGACCGAGGCCTGCCGAACCCTGTTCCGACGTCTGTTCTGTTCTCGTAACAATCGTCGAGTTCCGACTCGAGCTATCTATTTCCCGCCAGCCTGGCCCCGTTACCCCGTTACCTTTTCTACTCGGCCTGGCCTGGCAGATTGACGATGCAACCTCAAACTTTCTCCTTGGCGGCAAAGAGCAACCATTAGCCCAGCGCTGCGCCCATAAATTCCTGTCTCCTCTCGACTCTCCAAGCCCGACTTTGGCCAGAGAGCGTTTGAGAGTCCCCAACCGACCGCGGCGATTCACCATAGAGTCTAGACCCAGACCCAGACCCAGACCCAGACAACTGCCACACAGTTGCCATGGCAGACACAAAGACCTCATCCATCGACGTCGACGACCCCAAGGTGCCCACCAACACCACCGGCGAGTCCAAAAACGACACCCACTTCGCTGCCGAGAGAGGCCATGTCGCGACAGACCAGTCAGTAACACTTGCCTCTCAACTTCTAACCAAACGGACGACTAACCACAACAACCTGTAGACATGGCCATTCCCTTGTCCACATCGACCCCAAGGTCGAGGCCAGACTCCGGTGGAAGATCGACTTGTACGTCGTACCAACCGTTGCACTGCTCTACCTCTTCTGCTTTATCGACAGGGCCAACGTCGGTACGTCTTAGGTTCCCCCCTACCTGACTCTGACCCTTGAAGTCTAAACCGTCTCGTAGGTAATGCCAAGATCGCCTTCCTAGAGAGAGACCTGGGCATGGCGGGCTACGACTACAATGCCCTTCTGTCCGTCTTCTACATCTCGTACATTGTCTTCGAGATCCCTTCCAACATCATGTGCAAGTGGGTAGGGCCTGGCTGGTTTATCCCCGGCATCTCGCTCGGTTTCGGCATATGCTCCCTTGCAACCGCATTCGTCCAGACCAAGGCCCAAGCTTCCGGCGTCCGCTTCTTGCTCGGCATCTTTGAGGCCGGCATGATGCCCGGCATCGCATACTATCTATCTCGCTGGTACCGCCGCGCTGAACTGACTTTCCGCCTGTCGCTGTACATTGTCATGGCGCCCCTTGCTGGAGCCTTTGGCGGCCTCTTGGCCTCGGGAATTCTCAGTCTCGATCATGTCGGCTCCGTTCGCGGCTGGCGCATGATCTTCCTGGTCGAAGGCATCATCACTATTGGCCTTTCCGTCATCGCGTACGTCACTCCTGTCCGGCCCACCATTGTGCGTGTCCGTGCTAACATTGTTGCGTTCCTAGATTCTTCACGCTCACCGACAGGCCTGCGACAGCCCGCTGGCTCACCGCCGAGGAGCAGGACATGGCCATCGCCCGCGTCAAGGCCGAGCGCGTCACAACAACCGAGGTGCTCGACGCCATGAACGTGAAGAAGCTGCTGAAGGGCATGGCGAATCCCGTCACCTTCTCGACGGCCCTAATCTTCCTGCTCAACAACATCACGGTGCAGGGCCTCGCCTTCTTCCTCCCCACCATCGTCAAGACCATCTACCCGGACAAGAGCACCGTCACCCAGCAGCTGTACACGGTGCCCCCGTACATCGTCGGCGCCTTCTTCACCCTGCTGCTGCCGCTGATATCCACCCTGGCCGACCGCCGCCAGGTCTTCATGATCCTGAGCGCCCCCACCGTCATGATCGGCTACATCATGTTCCTAGCCGTCGACAAACCCCAAGTCCGCTACGGAGCCACCTTCTTGATCACCAGCACCGTGTACGCGCTGGGGCCCATCACCAACTCCCAAGTGAGCGCCAACGTTATCTCGGACACGTCCCGCACGAGCGCCATTGCGCTGAACGGTAAGCACCCCCATTTTCTTTTGGTCCCTAGTTCCCCCGGCTAATCACGCACGCACAGTCATGCTAGGCAACATCGGCGGCCTCGTGTCGACGTGGAGCTTCCTACCGTGGGACGCGCCGAACTACCACATCGGCAACGGGCTCAACCTCGCGACCTCGGGCACCGTGCTCGTCATCTCGACGCTCGCGCTGCTGTGGATGAAGCAGGACAACCGCAAGCGCGAGTCGCGCAGCGTCGAGGAGGAGCTCGCCGGCCTGAGCCAGCAGCAGGTCCAGGACCTCGACTACAAGAATCCTGCGTTCCGCTGGCACCCTTGAGTTTATTTTTGGGCAGGGGTTTTTATTGGGAATGGTCATCTTTGAGATATAGCGGAAAGGGATTTACCAAATGCCTGGTTATCTAGGTTGTTATTGCACTATTAATGCTCTGCTATATGGGACTATATAGGGAGTGGGTAGGGATAAGGGAAATATGGGAAATATGGATACGTCATTATCCAGTAGATGGATACCGCTTTTAGGATCTAGTTGGTCATTTTACCGTGTGGCAACCAACAACTTTGGGTTTATATCTGTGACAGTGTTAATGCCTTTGCCTGGGCTGCTCTCTTAATGAGGCAATTGCTTTCTGGATTTCGATTGCAGCCGTCGGGAACTAACCCAGCTATACCCTATAAGACTGTTGTGTTGTCTTGTTTACTTGATGACGGGATGGAAAAAAGGGGTGATTCGTGCATGTCAGCAACCTTTCAGGAGTGAAGCCAACGGCTGAACATACAAGGTCAACTCAGAGCAAATTCACATTGCATCTAGACAAACCGTAACTCGGGGGGTATATCAGGTGTTACATATCGGGTAATTGTGGTTCTACGTGTCGTGAGGATTCACGATTATCTCACCCTACCTCACCCAACTACCTACCCTCCTCACTAGGTAAGATGTCTTACTAGACCTTACTAGAGCCACCTACCGCCGTACCACATCAGCCCATCGTCACCTCAAAGAGTAGGGAAAAATCCAAAATTATTTTCGTCAAGTCAAGTCAACACTGCCAAAATGGTATATCTCCCTATTAAACAAGAATCCCTGAAAGGAAAGAGAAAAGAAAAAGAAGCAGTCCCGGCTAAATACCCTAGGTGGTGATTACTTCGCGACCAAGTAAGCGAATTAAAGATGAACAAAAGAAAAACAGGGGCGGCGGAATAGGGGGCCGAGTTGCATTTCGAGTTGCGTTCCTTTAGTCGTTCCCCTGGCCCGTCTCCCACTCCCCCGCTCGTCTTCACTCGTCGCAACCGTACAGCCCGACTACGCCAATTCTCGCACGCCTGTCCGTCTACTGGTGCGGCTGCTCCTTCGTCTGCGGCGGCGTGTACAGCTCGGCCTGGTTCGGCGGGGTGGGGGTGTAGGGCTTCTGCTCGACGATAGCCGGCTGCGCCTGCGGCGACGGCTGCTGCGGCGGGGGGCCGCCGTGTTGGTAGGCCGCGGGAGGCGGCTGCTGGAAGGCGCCGGGCGCGGGCGGCTGTTGCTGCTGCTGGAAGTACTGCTGCGGGTACTGCTGTTGGGGCGGGTACTGCTGTTGAGGCGGGTACTGCTGCTGCGGGTACTGGTACTGGGGCTGGCCGTTCCATGCCGGGGCGGGCGCCTGAGTCGAGTATGCCTGTGCGACGTGGGGAGCCGGCGGTGCGCTGCTGGAGACGGCCCATGGAGGCTGGTTCGGGGTCGACCACAAGCCGCCCTCCTTGCGGATGGAGAGCGTGAAGAGGAGCACCAGCAGGACGAACAGGGGCAGGAAGTCGAACAGGGGCGCGACGATGAGCGACACCGTGTACCTCGTCCGCAGGTCGACGTTCGAGGCAAGGCCAGAGATGGAGTTGCTGTCTTGGAGATACAAGGACGAGAAGATGGCCATGTTGCACAGCAGACGGACAAAGTTCAGGATCATTGCAACGAGGAAGAGGATAAGAGACTGAAAATGTCGGTTAGCATGGGAAACCAAGCGGACAGCAGCAGGCTAGCTCACGTTGCGCATGAGTCTGTTCTTGGTTGACTTGACGAACGCGAAGATGACGTAGGCAAGAACCGGCAGGCAGGAAATCCACAGCAGGATCTCGAGAGCGCCGTTAAGTCTGACTCGTGTCAGGGTGTCATCGGCCAGCTTCTTAGCCGTCACGCCCGAGGTCCTAGGGTTTCGGGCGTATTTAGCGCTGTTAGTCCAGTAGCCCTGCGAGAAGCCAAAATACGCAATGGCGAGGACGAAGAAGAAGATGGCCCAGCCCCAGACGGCCCAGCGCACTCGCTTGTGCAGCGCCGGCGGGGCGGCGCTGCCGCTCCGGCAGAGCAGGAATCCACTCGACATCTCGACGAAGGCGACCAGGAGGAAGATGTCGGCCATGTACTCGAGAAAGCGAGCAACATCGTACAGACGAGACGAAGCTTCTGAGAGAGACAGGTAAAAGTTATAGCACGAGGAAGAGGAATAGGAGCAGCTGGATCGGCTGCTGGAGGACTGGTCGTATAGCAGCCACAGGGCTAGGCCAGCTGATACGGTATAAAAAAGGAGAGCCCTGATGCCCTTGTTAGCCACCGCCTTTGTCGACAAACAGCCTCGCCCATGTGCTTACATTATGAAGAGTGGAAAGCTGCCCTTCATCCAGGACAGACCAGACCGTGCCGGATCACCCCTGCGACGGGCAGTGCACAGGCCGATGAAGAAGACAATGGCCAGCGGCAAGATCCATATCGCAGTGAGGACGATGGCGCCGATAGTCCAACCCTCGAGGTCGCCGTACGTTACCGGGTCCGACATGGCGGCGGCGGCGGCAAGGCGGCGACGAGCCGCGAAGCGCTGGGGCTAGGTAGCTGCGTGAAGGCGCGAAAAGGTCAAGTCTCGAGTTTAGACGCGGAGCGAGTCGTGAGACTGCCAGCGGGAAGGGGGGGGTATTGTTGCGATGGGGTCACGATCACAAAAATAAACCAAAATAAAACACCTCAAAAGACAAATGGGATGGAAGAGAAGGAGAAGAGAGAACGGAGCAGAGCCTCGTCCGCGCGAGTTCCCCGGCCGCGGCCCTGGTAATAGTTAAATAAGACACGGCACAACCCCCGGCCGATCGTCTGTTTCTTCTTTTCCATTTTTTTCTTTTCAGCCCCGACGCGGGCGCTCTGGCCTGGCAGTTCCAAGCCCAATGCCAAGGGCAAGGCAGCTTGGGCAAGCCACCCGACCCCCCTTGACCGAAGCCTTCGCCCAAAGGCCAAGCACTGCCAATGCTGCCACTGCAACTTCACTTCCCCCCTCAAATCAGGCGGCGGGCCAATGGTGGGCGCCGATAGCCGCATTGTGGAACCCCGTGGCGTCCCTTCACGACAGGGATGCGCAGAGCGGTGACACAATTGCTGGTGTTTGCCGGAGGGGGTTCACGTTCCTTGCGGCTCTTTGACGGCGCAGTGGATTGCGCGCGTTCCTTCTCTCTGCTTGCCTTGCCGAGTCATCACCGACCTGGAAACTGGCGATTGAACCGCAACATGGCTCTGTCTCGAACCCGCTGAACGGAGACATTTCGTCAGGAGCGCGCCGGGCGGCGCACAAGTGCGGGCTGCACACGTGTCTCGGGGGACGAGACGAGGCTCTGGGGCTGAAAATTAATTGAATGCTCCTTTTCAGCAGGACTCGGGAGTGGAAATGGGGTGTGCACTGCGGTCAGGGGGCTCGTTTGCTCCTCTGGCGCGGGGAAAGTGATGGGTGGGTCCACGGCAGAGCGTCCCACACAGCACCCGCCCGCCAATGGAAGTTTGGTTTGAACCTAAAATAAAGTTAACGACGCTCGGACCCGCAATGCACTGCGAGCTTTCCCGTTGCGATGATGCCTTCCGTTTCGCAGGGTGAGAGTGAGACAGGCAGATAGCCGGACCCCCATTTCAGGAACCAGATTCCGGTTTTCTTAATCAGCTTCGGGGAATTTCCACGGCCTCTTCGACTCTTCGAGCCGCACAGCTAGCCTCTGGCAAGCCTTTACTACTTTCGAGTGGCGCAAAAGTCCAGCGTTTATTTTATTGGTCGCTTTTGCAACGACCGAGTTTCGCATCTGGGTGAAAGCTGGGGTGGGCTGTGGTGGCTGTGTGCAGCAGAGCCAAATCCATCGTCTGTGGGTCGACGCCACGGGCTGCTTGTCGCTCCTTCTGCCCAATAACAGACTCGCAACTTGCAACCAAGTCCAAGTTGCAGGGCACACTTGCCGCCGTACATCCGACAAGCGGCAGCTTCTGAGCCTATTCATCCACCCTTCACATCACCTCAAATCGGAGACATAGAATAACTACCCTAGCCCCGCAGAGTTGAGACAATAGCGGTGAGAATCAAGATACCTCGTGCTTGGCTTTCCGACTAATTGAGCCAACTTCTACTTGTGTCTGCAGGGATTTTAGCCAAACCTGTATACGGAGTTCGAACTTGAATTGGTAATCAGCGGCTTAGTTTTAGACGCCTTCACGTTCTTTCTTGGCAGCAAATCCGAGCAGTTAGTAGGGCGGCGAGTCACCCAGACCGTAAATGCTCCAGACCCCAACTCGTCTCGCCGTCAGGCAGTCACCCGACAGTTCTCGGTTGATTCTTGAATCGGCTCCTCCGGGAGCCGTTCCAAAAGGACTCCAACTATGAGAAAATCGGGCCTGACGCTGGGCCTATCAATACAAGTTACACGGGCCGTCTGCCTCGTTAGCCGCATCACTGATTCTTACGCAGATGGCGAGACTAATATCGATTGATCCCGTAAGAGAACAAGATGGGAAGAATAAGATAGGGCTAACTAGCATAGCAAAAGTCGACAGCAAAGAAGCAGCACAACCATTTGCAGCCACCCAGATACCTAGTCATGGAGGATAATCAGCCTAGACAACGCTGAAAGGAGTCAAAGCACACTCCACACCAGCGCAAACGGCTGGGAGGCATGGTCGTGGATAATCACGCCGTCCAGCTCGACCGTGAGCGTCACCTCGTACGCGCGGGGGATGTTCTTCCACACGACCTGCTCGACCGTGTTGATCATGTCCTTCTTCTGCTCGGCGCCGTCGCCCGCGTTGCCGTAGCGCACCGTCTTGGCCCCCTTGTCGTCGAGGACCTCAACCACGAGGCTGACCTGGTGCTGCAGCGCCTCGCCCGGCATGTCCGTGTACACCATGGTGGCCTTGAGCGTGCCCGCAGCCTGCCCCGCCGGTAGGTACTTACCCAGCGCGAACTTAGTCGAGAACACATCCTTGCCGTGCTCTTCAAGCAGCTGGCCCTCGACAAAGTCCTTGCCGGCCGTCTTCCCCTTGACAACAACCGACGCCGCCAGGTCGACGCGCCCAAACCCCTGCTCGGACCGCGGCCGCCCCAGGTCCGTAGCCCCGTTGACCAGCAGCGCCTTGAGCAGCGCTGCGCTAGGGTCCGTCACGCCGGCCCCGACTAGCACGTGCCGCAGCACGGCCACACATCCGGCGACAAGCGGCGTCGACATGCTGGTGCCCGAGCACCACCACCACGCGGGGTCCTCACTGACGCCAAAGCGCGTCTCGACCACCGCATCCCGCGACTTGGCCGACAGGATCATGCCGCCCGGCGCGACGACGTCGGGCTTGATGCGGCCCTCGATGGTCGGCCCGCGGCTGCTAAAGAAGGAGATGGCCGCCGGGTTGCCCTGCTGCGTGCCCTTGGCGTCGAACACCACGGCCGCGGTACCGTCGGCCGTCGGCCGCTGATTCGGGCACGACCCCACCGTGATGCAGTTCTTGGCCGCGGCCTGCGCGCCCACGTGCCCGCGGTTACCCGGCAGCGGCGTCTCGTGGCCGTCGTTGCCCGCGCTGAAGCACACGGCTAGGTCGCGGTGCGCCCACACGGCGGTGTCGAGGTCCGTCGACGCGTTGTTGTACGGCTGCTGCCCAAACACTACACCCGTCTTGCTGTCGCGCCACTTGGGGCCCCACGAATTAGTGTGGATGCGCGACTTTCGCTCGTACGCGCTCTGCAGCAGGCCGGCTAGGGTCACCGTCGACCTGCCGAACAGGCCCTTGTTGGCCGTGCCCAGCGCCTGCACGATCAGCTGCGCCTCGGGGGCGATACCCTGGATGACGCCGCCCATCTTGTCCGACGTGCCGTTGCCCAGCACGGAGCCGCACACGTGCGTGCCGTGGCCGTCGATATCGTTGGTGTCTTTGGGCCGGCCGATGGGGAGCAGGCCGACGACGCGGCCGCTAAAGGCCGCGTGCGCGTCCGTAGTCGAGCCCTTGTCGAAGCCCGTGTCGGCCACGGTCACGATCTGGCCCGCGCCCTTGAAGGGCGTCGCCGTGTCCTTAACCGTGACGTTGTTGGCGTTGAGGATGCCGCGCGCCACGTTGTTGTGCAGCCCCAGGTCGACCACCTTCTCGATGGACGCCACGCTGTCGATGGCGGCGATCTCGGCCAGCCGGTTGAGCGGCACCTCGACGCGGATCACCGTGTTGTCGCGGCGCGTCGACATGTTGTCCGGCGCCACGCCCGTGATGCCCTGGATGAGCGTGCTGACCTCCTCGGCCGAGCGGTCAGCCCGGTCTTGTAGGACTACGTCGACCGTCTGCACGTGGTTGGCATCTGTGTCGAGGCTGGGCTGGACCTTGAGCTGCGGCGGCTCGGGCACGGCGTCCTTGACGAAGTCCTCGCTGATGATGCGGCCAATGTCGGACGGCTCATAGCGGCACTTCCACGCGTTGTTGCCGAGGTGCTTCTGGATCACCACCCCGTGGCTCTGCAGCCGCTGCTTCTGGGCCCGATTGAGGGTGTCGTGTAGCTGGATGACAATGTAGTTCTGGCCGTCCTCCAGCTGGCCATCCTGGGGCCCCTGCAGACCCAGGCTGTCAAAGCTAAAGCTGTGGCCGTTGAGTTGTGCCATGGTGTTTGTATGAGTTTGATGCGTAGCCGGCAATCGACGGTTCCAAGGCCGTCATGAGGCGGGTCTTATATACACATTCGTAGGCCACATTTACAGTCGTAGGCCACATTTACAGTCGTAGGCCACATTTACAGTACACATACGCAGCAGCCATTACGCAGCAGCCATGGAATCGCAGCCCGCCGCCCACTACGCAGCTGAGTATTGCATCAGTTCACTGACATCCTAGCAAGTCGAGGTGCACATTCAGCTCGCCACACTCCCAGGCCCGGGCGACTTCCTCCGGTGGAGTTGGAGGTCTCATGGCTCGGCGCTGACCCCTAACCAGGCGGCTCCCTGTTTTGAAATGTTGTTATTCGCCGCTGGCTTGATAAAGATGTGCCTCGACCAGAGGTGGCGCCGGGTCTAGACCAAAGGTGGCGCCGGGCTAGACTAGCGGCATGTCTGTCCAACGGGGAGCTTGTGATGCCCTCTTGCAGTTTCAGCCAGCCCCAGGGCGAACCCTCCTCACCGAACCGGCGGGACGCGCAGCCAAGACGCTGTCACATGCACGAGGCTAGCCCAATCCAGCCATTTCCCTTATCTGCGGCCTCTAGTAGCCAGAAAATCTAATGCACGAGCTTTCTTTATCAAACGGCGATTGTGGTGGCCCCCAATCAAGACTACCAATTATTGATTCGGAGCGAGGCCTGTCTGGCTCGCCAAGGAGCGCATCTCACAACTGCCGACTTGCAAAGAGCGTGGCACGACCGGCTTCGATTTCCAGCCCCGTAGGGCTGCAGCGGTGCTGCCTTACAAACGAGTCTAGACCCGGGCCACGGCCAGTCGGAAGGATGGCCCAGAGCTCCCACCTCACCCTGTAAGCCCTTGCCTGGCCCTGAATGGACTCCCCAGACTACCTTGTTCGGTCCCGTTCTTAGTGAGCCTGCGAGGCCCGCCTCCATGGGGTCCTGGGGGTTGTCCCACTTATGCGCCGCCATCCAAGGCATATGTATAAGTTGGTTTCGTTCCGGTGTAGGCTGGCGCGGATCCTGTGTGGAGTGAACGAGAGCGAGTGTTCATCAGCGGCCGCTCTAAGACTGTGATACTGCAACTTTGAGAGTTTGATAATGACAACGAAATCTAACAAGTCCAATAAGTCCAACCAGCCTAGCAAACAACAAAAGCTAACCACCTAACTATACAAGTTCCCAAGCCCGGACGCCAAGCCTCAACAGCGCCGCTGCATCTCAGCCCTACCCGAAACAGCGTTTTCACTATACTACCCTAAAATCGACACCATGGATTTCCCTTTTGCGGCACTAAATACACTGCCAAGTCGCTTGAGTGGTTCAACGAGCTGGGTAACCGAGGTATGCACTCAGGGGTCCACATAACCAGGTCCCTGAGAGCCTACAAAGGCCGACTTCGCTACTCCCTTAGATTAGGACTTCTTCCCTTCTACACTGCAGAATACACTCTTTTATATACCCTGTCAGCCCTGCTTTTTGTATTACACCTTTCCTTCTTCGGAACTGAGCAGTTGCCGCCTTAGCCTGAGCTAGACTGAGCAGGCTGAGCGAGCGGGTTCCGTTCTGGGCTGCCTCGGCTATAGTTGCTACAGTTTAAATAAAATAACAGCAGCATTTAACATTAGGCATAACCCGTCCTGTTTTCCCAATTTCCATCGTCGGCATCACAAGTCAATAGTATAAACAGACGCTGTTAAACTATCACCACAGTACTTCGGTCGTGCAGGCCTTGTACCAATTCTGCGTAGTCCTCATCGCCAATGCAGAAACTAAAAGCGCCTACCCTCTCATATATTTGATCTGAAATATCTGGCTGTTTCCGAAGAACTAACTCCCGGCCCGGGATGCCATTTGCGCCACAGCTTAGCTCGCCGATAAATAGAGCAAACAGCCTCCGAGTACCTCTTTCATCATCTTCTAAACCACCCACTGTTTTATACTCCTTATCATCAAAGCGTTCGAAAGGGTTTAAGCGGGCCCCAAGTATAGATCGTCCCATAACAAACCGGTTTAATGAACCACGTACGGGAGAAATAAGAGAGGTTTTTTTGCATCTCCGACAAAGGCGCTACCACTTTGACGAAGCAATCTTGTGACACCTCCCCGAAAGGGTCCTTTCCAAGACATGCAGACCATGGCGCCGCCTTGCTGCGTCTGTATTCTTGACACCGACTCCAAGAAGTCTTGAGGTGGCCCGTTCGTCGAGAAATATGCGACTCCTAGTTGCACAAGACGGCAAGCATGGCATCCCAAATCTGCACAATTTCTCCATCGATGGGGATTCGAGGAGCTGTCCGAAAGCTCATCTGGCCACCAGCACACGTTATTGCATGGCCTAATGGCGGAGGACTTTGACACTCCGATGGGTGGTGGTGGAAGTTGGATCAGTGGGCTTCTGCTTTCACCAAGGTCGTCGTCGTCGTTGCGGTCGTTGCGCGGCCCGATGACCAAGAATTTCGGCGGATTGAAAGAAAGGTTCATCGCGTCCATGACGGCTTCGGATGTAATAAAGATGCAACTGGAAATTTAGAAATGTGGAGTTCCTTGATTCGAGAGACGCTCCTTCAAAATATTATCAACCGAGGGTCGACATGCTACTTGCTAGTTAGTTGATGGGAATTAGATTTGGAAAAGCAGCCTGATAGTTGAGAGTCAATGTAAATGCCGTTCGGGGGCAACCCCGCGCTCTGCTATGGTGTCAACGGGCAACGGAATAAACCGGATTCTGGCCATTTTGGCCTTTGGAGGTCGGCGTTGGAGATCCGAAAGGAGGGGTAAGGAATCTGAACACATGAAGAAGAGAAGCGGCGATTGATGCCTATTTCCTATTAAGATTATTGCGCGATTTAGTTGATTTAGAGCGTTAGTTGACAGCAGAGAAGACTATTATAGGGGCCTGGTGGCAGCAAAAATTACGTAAACCCTACCAGGCGTGGTGAAACGCCTCTACCACCGAGCACCTAAGATCTCCACACGGCCCCACAAAGTCTTATGAATAGAGACTAGAGACTACACGCAGGATGTCTGTCTTGACATCAAATCTCAAAATTTGGGCAGGCCGAGCGCCTCTCGCCTGCCCGTGCTGGCCGGGTCCAGGTACGGCACCTCGCCGATGCCCGACGCCCGCACGCCCGTCCGGACGCCGCCCACGAGGTGTGTGTCGGGCTGCCGCACGTAAGGCATAATTAGCTGCCGCTCGACTGGTTTTCAGGGGAAGTTGGCAACTTCGCAAGAGTGCCCCCCAGAAATGGGGCAACAACAAACAATAACACGCCCTCCCAAAGGAAGAAAAAACGCTCACCGTCGCAGCATGCAGCGTGCACACATTACTCCAAATCGCACACGCGCCGCGCGTCCAGTGCATGCGGGCAACCATGTCATGGTTCCGCGTGAGCTGCCTCAAGACATAGTCGCGAATGGCCTGGTCCTCGTACGCCGTCACGCCATCAATACGGCTGACATGCAGGCCCACGCCGGCGAACAGCGTCTTCCAGCCGGTGACAGGATGCGTGCGCACGACGGGGTGGTGCGGCGTGAACTGGAAATCGACGTTGAGCGGCGAGCCGCGCGGCGACATGACGGCGTAGCCGCCGGCCTCGCACGCGCTGCGGAACACGGGCTGCGCGCAGGTGGCGGTGAGGGTCTCGAGGAATTTCGCGTATGGTGCAGAGACGCGGTCGTACAGTTCGTAGCCCGACGCCCAGAGTGTGTCACCGCCTGCTGGTGGCGTGGACTGCATCCGCAGGAAGGAGAAGTCCGAGGGGCAGGTTTCGAAGAGGCCTGTTGTGTTGTTTTGTTAGGGGGCGGGTTGGAAAGGGGTGGAATGGTGGAATGGGTGGAGTGGGTGAGATGGGTGGATGGAACTTGCTGTCGCTGTGCCATTCCCGGCCCAGGTCCTTGGGCTCCTCGGCCGCGCCGGGCCGGTTCTTCATGGTCGCGTACAGCTTCTTGGCCGCCTCGGAGTTGATGACGTAGCTACCAGAGCGAGTCAGCAGGAGACAGACACATACACACAGACACACAGACACACAGACAGAACCCACATGTGCTTGTCGGTGGTGCCGTCGGCCATGGGCAGGTTGTTGGGGTCGTTGTACAGCGGGTGGACGTGCAGCCCGTTCTCGGCGGGGCGGCCGGTCAGCTTGCCCAGCAGGTCGGTGATGTGCTTCTGCTCGGCGACCGACAGGTCGTCCTGGGGCGCGCGGAAGAAGGCCACGCCGCGCTCGCAGATGGTGATGGCCAGGTCGCGCAGCTGCTCCTCGGCGTTGTCGGCGTCCAGCATCGCCTTGAGGCTCGCCGTCGGGTACTCGCGCCCAATTAGCGGTGTTACGTCGACGTACGAGAGGTGGTCGATCGACGTGCCGGCCTTGAGCGGCGCGCGCGCGAGCTGGGGGCGGGCTGCGTCGACGGTCTGGAGGGAGCCCATTTTGTCGACAAGGACGTCTGTGAATGTGTGGGTGCTGTGTAAGACTAAGATGGAGGATGGACAGTACAGCAGTCGCTGGCTGTGATTATGATCTACTCTGCTCGGTTAGTGAAGCCATTCTCACGAGCGAGTGAGGGCCGCGGCACGGCGCCCCATTTATCAACACCACAGCTCGGGATTAGATAGCGAGATCCTGCACTCAGTAGCAGGCACGGAACCTGCGGCAATGCTGCCACACACCTCCCTCTCAATCCAGATGCTAGCGCGCGTCGACTTTCAAGGCTGAAGGTTTCCGCTCGAGTGCGGGGAAAGGGGCGCTCGCAGACTAGAGATTGGACGAAGGATCACCAGGGTGGGATTTCAATTCCAACCGTGGCAGCTCCCGCAGGTGGGCATGTGGCTGGCTTGCCGAATTCCCAGTAAAACAAAGCTTGCGGGTCGCGGGTCGGAAAGAATAATATATCGTCAAGTCTGGTGATATTCTCTACGATATCTGGGCCTAGTAATTGAGATGAACTGTTCGGCCAATTCCGAGAGCCGCTGCGTATTTGAATCTGTAAACTTCCCGCGATACTCACTCGACCTATATGTCCATCTTCTTTTAGTCAAGTCAAGTCTGACACGAACTGGTGCTAGCCAGACCAAAGTCATGTGCCTCCCTCATCCTCGGCGGCAAAGGGATTAAGCGGGGGCGGGTTACACACCACCGTGCCAGTCCCGGCAATTTGGCGCTGGCGACAATGGGAAACGCGGCCAGCTGCCGGCCAACCCTTACAAATGCCAGAGCGCGAGCGTGCAAACCAGTCTGGGCTTCCCGCGGAGCTCTCACCGTGTCGCCCGGCGCAATGATCTGGGCCCGAAGGAATCCTTACACTACTCCCAAGCTATTTCCGCCAAGGTGAATCGAGGTCACCATGGTCCAGAATAGCGTAGCGCACGCCGACCTCGTCGACGGGAGTCGACCACGGGGTCTTTCCCTTATTTCCTGGGCAAGAAAGGGGCGCGTCGAACCCCGCACCCGGTTCCATGGCGAGGCGGCAGATAGATTGTTGATATTGGATCGCGGATGAGTGCGTGCTTTATAACGCGGGAGCCGGGAGCAGTGCGAGGTCAAGTGAGTGCCACCAATCCAGCATCCCCCCTCGCCGTATTCATAACCAGGCTAGACTTCATCTTCATTCCGCCTCAGGTACCCAGGCAACATCCGTACATACTGTACCTGCCTGGGTCTGGCGGACAGCCACAGAACGGCACGCCACCCGCAGCCCGTGTTGTGGTAATCAGGTAGCATCCCGCACGCCTGCATCTGCCACCAACCGTCTTGTTTGTTTCGTCTCACCGCCCCCCTCCCCCCTATTCCCATCGTCTCCGTCGCGGTGTGACATCGCGCAGACGACATGGCCGGCGGCGCCGTGCTCACGGCGAACCCGCTCAAGCTCGACCTCCGCAGCCACAGGAAGTGCTTCTTCATCTGCTCCGTCATCACCATCGCGAGCTTCCAGTATGGGCTTGACTACGCGCTCGTGGGCGGCTTCATGGCCATGCCGGGGTTCCTGCGCGTGTTTGGCTACTTCAACACCGCCACGAACAAGTGGAGCATCGACCCGACGGTCCAGCAACTTATCTCGTCCCTGATGACCATCGGCACGTTCGTCGGCTCGCTGCTGGTCGGGCCCTTCAGCGCGCTCTTCGGCCGCCGCCACGGCCTGTGGGCGGCGTCGCTGCTCAACTTTGTCGCCACGGGCATCATGATCGGCACGACCAGCCTCGGCGCGCTGTACTTCTCGCGCCTGCTGCTGGGCGTGTCGGTCGGCTGGTTCCTGACCTTTGCGCAGGTCTACGTCAACGAGGCGGCGCCGGCGCATCTCAGGGGCGTCATGTTCGCCGTGTACCAGTGCCAGCTGTCGGTTGGGTCCATCGTGGGCGCCGCCGTCGACAATGGCACGCACCTGCTGGACGGGCCCGAGGCCTACCGCATCCCGCTGGCCGTCTTCTTCGTGGCGCCAGCCGTGCAGTCGGTCGCCATCTTCTTCTTCCCCGAGAGCCCGCGCTGGCTGGTGACGCAGGGCAAGGAAGACGCGGCCAAGTCGGCGCTGCGCCGCCTGCGCAACGCCCGAATCAGCGAGACGGAGCTCGAGGCAGAGTTCAACGAGATCGCCGTGTCGACTCGCGAGCAGATGGAGCAGCGCGACGGCAAGCACCTCTGGATCGACATGTGGCGCGGCCGCGACCGCCGCCGCACTCTGCTGTCTATTGCTATTATCTGCTTCCACTGCGCTAACGGTGAGTTCCCTGGGTTGGATACCAGATATGGCAGCAGTCAACCCCGTGCTGACACGATGGATTACTAAGGGTCCTCGTGGGTCAACATCTACACGACCTACTTCCTCGCGGCCGCCGGCGTCACGGAGGCCTTTTCGTACTCGGTGATGGTGACGTGCATGGGACTCATCGGCGCCATAGCGAGCTCGTTTATCGTGCGCCGCTTCGACCGCCGCGTCATCGTGCTAGTCGGCGTGGGCGCGTGCGGGCTCTGCCAGCTCGCCTTCGCCGTGGCGTGGACGGTGGCGCCGGGGTCCGTGGCCGCGGCCAAGTCCATCGTCGCCTTCATCTCGCTGTTTACCTTTTTCTACGTCGCCTACGGTGAGCAGCCATGAATTCCCCCCATCGCCCGTGACTTGACTGCGAACTGAGACACTGACGGTTTCCCAGCACCGTACGCGTGGCTGATGGGCGGCGAGTACCCCAACAACCACCTGCGGGCGCACACGTTCGGCTTGGCGACGGCGCTCAACTTCCTGGGGAACTGGCTGGGCGTGTTCACGGCGCCGTACTTCATCAACCCGGCCAGCCTGGGGTGGAACGCCAAGTACGGGTACGTCTGGGCCGGGTCCAACGCCATCCTGTTCGTCTTCACGTGGTTCTACATCCCCGAGACGCGCGACCGCACCCTCGAGGAGATCCACGAGATGTTCGAGGCCAACGTGCCCGCCCGCAAGTTCAAGGGCTACGTGTGCGCCGGCACCCGCGCCATGGCCGATGCTGTTATCCTGAGGGACAAGGAGGCCGCCCACGCCGCCCATGTCGAGGACCCCCCCGCCGCCGCGTCGGCTACGGGCCGGGACTTGTCGGGGTCGCACATGGAGAAGGCGTAGCTGGCTAGATCTTGTCGGTTTCTTTCCTTCAGTCTCTTAGGGTCGTGTATTGAGGTTAATTGTGGGCAGAAAGGTGGGCGGCGGTTTTAAATTAGCTCTTATGGACAGAACCAATCTATGAATATGAGTGGCTCGTTCAACGGTCCAACCGCACAAACACAGACACCCAAGTACCAAGCAATCAATGGGAATCGGTGTTGATGGCCACGGCCAACAGCACAGAGCTGGTTACTGCCAAGACCCAGATCCTATTGAGGGTATTCATTAGTCGAAAGGGGCCCACGATTTGTAAATTTGTAAATCGCGATTAAATACTCAGTACGAGAGAAAGACAGTAATCTTGGTCTTGGAACAATTGACAAATAACTAGCTGATAACACCGCGGGGGGGGAGGTTCATAGGATGACAGACAAAGAACTACCTGGAAATCACCTTTATTATTTTGATTATCTCTCAGGACAGACCCAGGTGACGCAACACGTTGAGCACCTAGGTAGCAAGATAAGGCTCCGATGCCAGAGAGCCGAGTGAGGGCCCACGTCAACACACCCGCGATTCCACGAGGCCAGATTGCAAAGACGCGTCACGGCTCCAGGCAGCAGGAACTAGTCGAATCAGCATGCAACGACAATGGTAAAAATGAAGAGAGGACAGGTTTCTGCTCATTATTCTTCAAATACTTTTGAACCCGCAGGGCCCCTCTTTTTGGATTTGCCGGTCTCATCTCTCTTCTCTGTCGCAATTGGAAAACGCAAAACCGGAACGTTACAGACCAGCCACCTTACCTCAGCCCTAGCGAGCCAACCAAATCCGTCGAGCCTGTCAGCTGCCAAGCGTGGAGACAAAGCCCAAATATAGCGCCCGAGCCCCGCATTCCGCCGGGCGCATGCCTTATCGAGGCCAGGCTAGCGGGGAGCTTGCAGTGCTCTCGATAACCAACGCTGTTCCTCAGCAGCGAAGCGGGGTCTTCCGGCGGTCACCTCCCTGGGCAACCTCCCAAAAGAGCTCAGCTGCCCTGCGCGCGTGCCTCGCCTTGCCAGGCTCTTCTGCTTTGGGCGCCTTCCAGGTGGGCTGCTTGTCCTACCGCCGCTTCCTGTGGTGCGGACATTGACCCGCACCGCGGCCCTTTATTAAGCCTTGCCTGGAGCTTGCATCCCCCCTCCCCTCTCCCCCACCTTAGGATTCGCCTGCCGTCATCACCGTTCAACAAACACCGACCTTATCGCCTCATTCCCACCACCACGCTTGTCACCGAGGCGAGTGACGCTCTCGAACCAGAAACAACTACTTTCTATAAGCGACTGTCAGGAAATCACGACCACCTGGAGAGCTGACGGCCATGTTCGACGTATTTGCCAAGGTCCTCTCGTGCGTGTGCCCCTCCCTCGCGCGGGCTGCCCCTCATTTCGTCCGCGAGACGCGAGCTTGCGGCAGCTTGCGGCAGCTTGCGGCAGCTTGAGGTCAACGGCTGCTAACAAACGCGCAACACAGCTCCATCGCCTCCTTCCTCTTCCCAGTCTTCGCCAGTTACAAGGCGCTCAAGACGTCGGACCCGGCCCAGCTGACGCCATGGCTCATGTACTGGGTGGTGCTGGCGTGCGCGCTGCTGGTTGAGTCGTGGACGGAGTGGCTCCTCGTGTGGTACGTCACTCTGACCTTACCAGAGAGAAACAACGCGCTGACAGTTAATTTCTCCCCCCGCACAGGATCCCCTTCTACGCCTACCTCCGACTGCTCTTCCTGCTGTACCTGGTGCTGCCGCAGACGCAGGGCGCGCGCATCATCTACCAGACGCACGTGCACCCGTGGCTCGAGGACAACGAGGGCGCCATCGAGGACTTCATCGCGTCCGCCCACGAGCGCCTGCGCGCCGCCGGCATCGCCTACATCAAGCGCGCCATAGAGCTGCTCAAGACCAACGTGCTGGGCCTGCCGCCGTCGCCCGAGGCCGCCGCCGCTCCCCCCTCGTCTTCCGGGTATCCGCAGTCGTACACGCAGACGCTGCTAGCGCGCTTCAGCCTGCCGTCGGCGCGGTGGACGGGGTCCACGGGCGCAGGCGCGGCCAGCGCCAGCGGGACCGCCGGCAGCTCCGACTTTTACTCGTTCCTGTCGTCGGCCGTTAGCGCGGCAGCGGCGGCCACGGCCGGGGCCAGCACGAAGACAGGTGCGACCTCTTCTTCTTCGGCGGCGGCGCCGCTCGGGATGGTGCCGGACTCGATCCGCGGCACGACGGCGCGCATGTCGTTCATCGAGGCGCAGCGCGAGCGGCTCAAGTACGTGCTGACGGCGCTGGACCGCGAGGCGACGCAGCTGCAGAGCGACGAGGCGGCGCGGCTGGAGAAGGCGGCCGCGGCGGCAGCAGCGACCACTGAACGCGCCCCTAGCATGTCCTTGGATGGAGGCCCTGGCGGGAGCCTGAGCAAGAGCCGGTCCGAGGTCGATTTCGAAAAGCTCGAGGCCGAGAGCGGCGCCGAGGACGACATGGACGACGCCGCGGCTGGCCTGCGCCGTCGCGCGCCGGGAGGAGGAGCGGCCGCAACGACGCCTGCCGCGGCGGGATCTGCTGCGACCGGAGGAGCCGGCAGCTGGATGCCGTGGGCCTGGGGAAGTGGCGCTGCTGCTGCGACGACGCCGTCGCCTCCCGACTCGAGCAGGACCTCGGGGGCGGAGCAGTAGACTCTATTTTCTCCTTTTTTTTGTGGGGGTCATCCATCCATTACATGCGACGGGACGGGGACAAGGGGGGGGGGCAATAAACCGGCGTTATTGCTTTCATTTCATTTTCATCTTCATTCTTTTCTCTCTTCCCTCCTTTTGCTTATACACTCGATACACACCTGTGTTCCGTCTGACAGTGGCATTGGACAATAAAGGGGGCGTGTGATACCAACATACACGCACAGGACGGCTATTATGATATAGATGAGATCGAATTAGATCGAATTCTGTAGAGACTTGGGCCCGGACCGACCGAGCGCCCGATAACCGAGCAGCCACCCAGAGCCGCGTCGGCGAGTCTTTGCGTAGTTGGGGTCACGCGAGAACTGAACACAGATGGCGAGTTGTTCTTCTTCTTCTGCCTCTGCACAATGCATTCAGTTGCAATGTAATGCAATGCCGCCAGGCTGTGTAAGAGTGCGAAATACAACAAGACTTCCCTCCCAACCCCATCTCTCTCGTTTTCCTATTTATAGTCCCAAGACCCACTCGAGACCCAGTAAGGCTTGCCTGGCTGGCTGGCTAGTAAACATCTGTGCCATTGAAGCATTATCATTATCTGGGCTTGACGAGAGTAGGCCTCTGGTCTCATTCTGCGGCTCAAAGCTGTCCTTGCTAAGCGGGTTAGCTGGTTATCGCCACGTATGTAGTACCCAGGGTATCCACAAGTCTATAAGTTTGAAGTGTAGTACAGTGCCATGGTATGAGATCTGAGCTCAATAAGCTAGGGCAGGGTGCTTGCTGGAGAAGTGTGTATGGTGGTATCGTACGTTGTGTGGCAACACTGTGGATATGTGTATACACTAGAACCAGCTGTAAGCAAGGCAGGCGTAGGAAATGGTATATACACATTGGTAGTACAGTGAAGGTGACGGCTAAGGTAGTATAGGCTTGCTGCCCTCCCGATGAGGCCCGCTATTATACGCGGGTCGTCTCTGCGCCAAATAGGAGAAAGGAAAGGCACAAGTCTGTTGCCGTAGTCCGTTCCCCTATGTTAGTCACCTTCGAAGCTAAACATCTATCTGGGCCAGCCTCGTTCACGGATGCCATCCCTAGACCGCAGCCGTGTGTGATTGTGCTGTGTACCCGGCGCTTGAATTCTCCCTCCGTCTGCTCGCCAGAGCAGGCAGCAGACGGGTAAGCATTGCCCCCCTTAGCGGGCGCCGGTCTTGGGCGCCATCTGGTAAGGGTACTGGGGGTCCACATCCTTGCGCTTCCATATTTGGCGGCGCTTCTTGGTGACGACGTGCTCGACCCAGACCTCGTGGCAGTGCGATTTCTTGAAGTTGCGGATGAAGCGCGGATCCCACAGCTCCGAGCCAATTCCCAGGTCCTTGCAGCACCGCATCAGCGCATTGGACTTTGCGCCCTCGCCCGCTGTCGGGATGTTCTCCTCGGAAAAGTAGTTGTTCTCGCCGCGGGCTTGGGCGACATATCTGTTCCGGAGGTGGCAGGGTTAGCTTTGGAGGTTCTCTCGTGCGTGGATGGGAGTCTGGAGAGAGAGAGAGAGAGAGAGATGTGAGGTGGGCACGTACCGCCCATGCACAACCAGCGCGTACTCGCGCGTCACGATCCGCTCGCCCACGGCCAGCTCGCTCCGCGGCGCCAGGCCCCAGCCCCCCGGCCCAAACGCCTTGTTCAGGATGCGCCGGTACTTGATCTCGGGCAGGTACATGATGCCGTCGGGCTTCATCTCGACGTCGTCGAGCTCGATGGGCTGCATGAGGATCTCGGCCGCCTCAGGGCTGAAGGGCTCGACCGACAGGCCGTAGAACGACGACGACCAGTCCACCGTGGCCTCGCCGTTGTTGGCGGTGTCGGCACTTTCACTGCCATTGGCGGTCGCGGCTCCATTCAAGGGCGTGGTGCCGACGAGAGACCCGGTAAAAGAGGGTGTGGGGATCGTGGGGAGAGGGTCTTCGACAGGGCTCACGGTCTCGGCGGCCTCGGCGGTTATCTTGCTTTGCATGGAGGAGGGATGGTAGTTGCGGCCACCCGTGTTGTTAACGGGCAGCTTTGTGGGTGTTGTGGGTGTTTCTGCCGAAGTCGCCTTGGTGACGGTGCGCACCGCCGGCTTCTTGACAAACGGCGGCGTTGGCTTTGGGGCGGGCGATGGGCGAGATGGCGAAGTGGTGGCTGGCTTGTCCGTGGTCAAGGACGAGGCTGCGCGGCGTGCCACGACGTGGGCTGGCCATCTCGGGGCTTGCAGACATTGCAATGTCGCCGACGACGCAGACTGCAGGGGCCGCCAGCCCGATTGAAGGGCGCGAGATTGCATATCTGTTCTCGGGGTCGGGCTGCGGTGCGCGAAGAGTGATGGCAAAAAATTCAACATCGATTGTTTGGGATCCCTAAGACGGAGCTCAGGGCGAGCTTGGACCTGGTCAGCCAATTGATTGGGCCGCATCGCGTCTCAATCGGGAGGGGCCAAACTATGATTCGTTAGTAAGGAATTGTACTCCGCACGTACCGTAGACATCCGTAATTTCCAGGGGAATCCTTGTTGGCCAAAAGTAATGGATGCGACAAACCACAAGCCACCTTTAGAGTCCACCGTATGTAATATATATACGTATCTTGTACTAATACCGAATGTCGATACCAATGTCACCCATCTGCAAACGACGAAGCCATTGTATGGCATAACAGGAGACAAAATCATCGTCACAATTAAGAAAAGTCAAATGGATATTGCTTGTTCCGATATGCCCCCTTACTGTACAAGCCCTAAGCATCCTTCATGTCGGTTCTGGCGTCATTTCCCTGGGCCTTCCAGCACCTTCTGAACCGCTCCATCTATTCCAGGCCCCGTCGCAGCTTCCGTATCAGCGGTCCGAACGCCCAGAGATGGCTCGGCAGATCGCAAACTTCCAGGAGGGCTCACCTCGTTTTTGCATTTCCTCCAATCTTTCTTCTCGTAGTAACAATCGGTCAAGGTGGTGTTTTCGTCTGTCTCACACATGCAGTCGCCACTTGTCAGCTTTGGACACTTTTTCCATTTTGGCAATCCTGAATTGGGTAACATCCGGGCCTGCACTGGACTTGCACCGGACCCTAAAATCTTTTCAGTCCGCCCCGAAGACGCCATTCCAAGACTGCAGACCCCAAACTCCCGCCTCCCCTCCGGTATAGATAAAAAACGCAGCCAACGTACCTGCGCAGCCGGTGCTGAAGATCCGCTTGTCCCTACAGAATTCACCGCATCCAGTGAGCAACAGAATTCTCAGCAGTGCCGAGACTCGGCGTCGGGCGGCCGGAAAAGCCTCAGGTAGCCTTTCTTCTCGACTCGACTTTGACAGGGGCCACTCAACGCGACACAACGGGCCAAGAGATAAATCGCGTCCTGCTTACCACTCGTCTGGCTCGTCGTCTTGCTGCACGGCCACAGCATTTTGCGGCGGCTGCTGCTTGTTCTGGTTTGCATCTGGCTTCGTCATTGCGAGATGGCTGTTGTTTAGTGCAACTTGTTTTTTTTTGGTTTTTTTTTTGGTGTTGTTGGTTTGGGTTTCTGGAAACGTCGAGTTTGGACATTCCGAGCTCACTGGCCGGACACCGCCTCAACATACCGCTCACCTCACCGATCAATCCACCCACCCTTGTTCAAGAGTCTCCGGGTACACAACAAATATACACCACCACGACATCCCACAATCGAAAACCGTACTACATGCCACGGCATGGCGCCACGCAGGCTCAATGTCCTGGTCTACACAGGTATGGCTATATGGACTTGTTTAAATTTGATGTCGCCTCGAGCACCGTTAACAGCTCCGACTAGGAACGGGATCAACCGTCGAATCTGTGCGGCACTGCCTCTATTCCCTGCGGCGCTTGTTGTCTCCTAATTACGCCGTGATCCCCATCGCCGAGACAGCCCTCCTCAAGGAGCCCTGGGCTTCTACTTGCGCCCTTCTCGTGTTCCCTGGCGGCGCCGATCTTGGCTACTGCCGCGTCTTGAACGGCGCCGGCAATACCGCCATCTCACTGTTCGTCCGCCGCGGAGGCGCTTACCTTGGCTTTTGCGCTGGAGGTTATTATGCCAGTCGCCGGTGCGAGTTTGAGGTTGGCCACCCGAAGCTAGAGGTCACGGGAGGCAGGGAGCTCGGCTTCTTCCCCGGCACCTGTCGCGGCGGTGCCTTCAAAGGCTTTGCTTACCATAGCGAGCGCGGCGCAAGAGCCGCCGACATCGTCGTCAACAAGAGCGCCTTTCCGGGGGTCGGCGTGGTTCCTGACGTCTTCAAATGCTACTACAACGGCGGCGGCGTCTTTGTAAACCCCGAGACAACCGACGCCAGCGACACAGAGGTGCTCGCCGAGTACCAAGACGACATAGATGTCGCATCGGGATACGTGAAGGCCGCTGTGGTGTACTGCAAGGTCGGAATGGGGAGCGCTATCCTGATGGGCCCGCATCCAGAGTTAGTATCCCGAGGCGGCCGCCGTGTCCAGGTCCCCCGCTAACAAGCACAGATTCGCCGCTGTCAACCTGACTAAGCATCAGGACATCCCGGGGTACGACGGCCTCATCAACGATTTAGCAGCAGACGACGGAGCGAGGGCCAACTTTCTCAAGGCATGTCTGACAAAGCTCGGCCTCGAAGTCAGCCAGGGGGAATCATCTACCCCGAGTCTGTCCAAGATCCACCTGTCGTCGCTCAACCACGTCGAAGTTGGCAAGCTGCTAGCCTCTTTCCGAGACATCATCACTAAAGAAGATACAGAGGAGTATATCAAGGACGAGAACGACCTGTTCCACCTCGAGAAGCCGGATTCGCGATGGTCCTTGGCCCACCTAGATAGAGCACTCGCGAGCGAATACACGGCGCAGAAGAAGACCACGGGCCGCGGGACGCCAGACCCGACGGCCGAGTATATACAGGTGCCAAAACAGGTTGTCTCGCACGAAATCGCATGGCCGGAACCTAAGGAGACTCCGTACTTCAACCATGCTGTTTTCTATTCGAGTCTTGCACAGTACAGGAAGATGGACCCGGGGGCCAAAGAGTGGGGCGACGTGCTAATGTATGGCGAGGTTGTCACCAGCACGAATACCTTGCTTGAGAAGTGAGACAGCCAGCCTCTTGCCCATTGAGAGGAAAGCGCTAACAGCCCCGACAGAAATCACAATCTGCTTTCGAAGCTGCCCACGGGATTCACCATTGCGGCTACCACCCAGGTAGCAGGCCGCGGCCGCGGGTCCAACGTCTGGGTGTCGCCTGCCGGGAGCCTGATCTTTTCGACCGTAATAAACCATCCGGCGAAAGACGCCGTCACGCGGCCCATCGTGTTTGTCCAGTACCTAGCTGCGGTTGCTATTATCGAGGCGATCCAGACGTACGACGTCGGCTATGACAAGCTGCCCGTCAAACTCAAGTGGCCAAACGACATTTACGCCCGAGACCCCACGCAGTCGGAACAAGCCTCGTTCGTTAAGATTGGCGGGATCTTGTCCAACTGCGCTTACTCGGACGGGAACTACCAGGTTGTGCTGGGGATCGGAATCAACACGAACAACGGGCGGCCGACGACGAGCCTCGACGCCCTGCTGTCGGCGCTTGCCAGCAACAAGGGTCTGGCGCCCTTCCGCATCGAGCGACTGATTGCGCGGATCCTCACTCGGCTCGAGGTGCTGTACGACGAGTTCTGCGGCACCGGCTTCTCGCGCCGGCTTGAAGAGAAGTACTACGAGCACTGGCTGCACGCAAACCAGATCGTCACGCTCGAGGCAGAGGGCGGGGTCAAGGCGCGCGTGCTAGGCATCACCACGGACTGGGGCATGCTCAAGGCCGAAGAGGTCGCCGCGGACGGCATCAACGGCGCGCTGCGGCCTACGGGCAAGGTATGGGCCCTGCAGAGCGATGAGAACAGCTTTGACTTTTGGAAGGGGCTCGTGAGGAGAAAGTGCTGAGCGACGGACGGGCAACCCCAGAAGTCACGGAACACACAAGCGACTCAGGACACGATGGCGTACGGGAAGGGGAGGAAGCAGCGCAGAGGCGTCCATCCACTGGGAAGGCGAGGGTGTGTGTGGTGTGTTCGCTTGCTTCCGTGCTGAGGTTGGCGCACGAGCACGTCGTTCGCTACCGAGCAATCGAGCCGCTCTCTCTCTGGCGGACCGTCTGGAAGCCGGGAACTTGGAGGGCGAGACGAAACACTGGCCCGTCTGCTTCAGAGTCTGATGTGCACTGTCGACCACGTGCAACAAAATGTCTGGAGCAGGAAAGAAGGGTGGGATCGAAAGATGGAAAAGATGCAACTATACGGATTGAGAAGTGCTTAACTGGTTAGCGCAGCGGTAGATGACCGTTTGACTGAAATGGACTACAATAGTCGAGTTGAGAGGACGGGGGACGGAGCTCTGACCTCCTCTGGTGTGTGTGTGTGTGTGTGTGTTCAATCCCGTTCCCCGCAATACGCCGTTGGAAAAAGGATGGGCTGGCTGCGTGATGGGTTGCATCTGCCTCTGCTTTGCGGGGAGACGAGGGCCGGGGGAGGATGGCGAATTGGCTAGCCCAGAAGACCGGCCACTTGACGTTCGCTCTTCCTACCCCTCAACTCCAGGTGCGGCTGGCGATCGATCGCGCAGCATTCGCGCAGCGTACAGTATGTAAGTCTTTTCTCCGACAAAAGAATGCTTAACCTTTCCTCTAGCTGACTGCCTATCTAAATAAGGGGTTGGCACCTAGTGGGTGGTGGTAGAAGCATCGCTAGTGCAGTTGCTCTCCGTCTCAGCTGATCTTGTTTCCTCCTTTCGTCGGGCCGTCTTCAAATGGTATCCGCCAATGGCTGTTTTTTCTGTTTTTCTCGTCCTCTCTCATCTCTTCTATCGCAAGTGCATCTTGTTTTCTGTCTAGACATGCCGTGATAGCGGAGAGGGAAGAAATCTTGGCGCACTGACATCACAACGTTCCGCCCACGTCCGGTGGCTGCTCGATGGCGTCCACGAGCCGTTCGTGCATGCTGCACTGACTGCTCAAGGAGGAAGCGCAACGGTGAACATCCCGGCTCACAGACACACCCTAGGACCCTTGGAAAGCCTAGCGCGCGAAAATGTCTGATCTCTTACTTCTTGACGGCACCACGAGTGACGGTGACGGATGGGCATCTAGCCGTTGCGAGCTAGTCAGCGTCTAGTGGCGTGCAACGGACGAGTCGAGAGCTTCCTAAGCTGTCTACTGCGTGCTCCCTACCAGAGGTATACCGCACTCTAGCTATTATCTCCCACCGAGTCACGCCCATGACAGGACAGGCAGGAGAGTCGGGCCGCCGCCAGTTCGATATATGACACTGCAACGGCAGAGATAATGCTGGCGATAGATTGCCACACATGGTCCGTCACACGCACACACACACACACACACACTATGCAATCAAGCAGCGGTCGCTCTAGTGACGCAACCTGCCTGGAGCGTGGCCATTAAGTGTTATTCCCAGCGCACCCAAGGCGCCGGCATTGACGAGTATATTTAGGGCCCGCCGGCACCAGCACCTCCTCCCCACAGAAGTATCCCCCAATCGGCCCTCCGCAAATGGCCCATTTTGGCTCAATTGTCTACTTGCAGCCCGTCTGCATCCGCCCTCCCACCAGCCGCGTCAGGTGGGCCAATCGTGTCGCACGGCTGCGGCGGCGCGAGGGCCTCGTCCCGCTGCTGCCACACCTACGCCTGGCAGAGCAGCACCCTCTCCTTCTCTCTAGCCTTTGCTCCAAGCCTGCGCTTGGCCGTTTAGTGCAGCTCTGCTCGGGCCACGAACAGAGCTTCCGCGCACTAGCCTAGTCGGGCTGCGTGCAGGTGCGCGAGCACTCTATGTTGTTGATGGTGGTGTCTGCCGGCCCGGGCCTGCTGATGATGGAGTGCCGCTTGCTGCTCTGCGCTAGGCTGGGCAAGCGGACCATGTGCGAGTCGATGTGGGTGCGGTGAGGTCAAGGAACTGACCTCCGTTCGGGCTCAGGCCCAGGTATTAGAACCAGGTGTGCCGTGTTGACAACCTCGGGCGCTCTCCCCTCTCTCCCTTCTCTCCGGGATGCTTGCCCTCTGCTCTGAAGACGCCGTGTCTTGGTTGCTCGACGTGAATGTGATATATTCGAGATACTGCCGACACCAACCACTACCAGCTGCTGCCAAGACCTTCGTCTCCAACAAAGCGAAACACGTTCCCGCGAGACAGATCGCCCGCCGGTAAATGTGCAGGTAGCACAGCGCGAGCCTGGCGCACCAGGTTTGGAAAACCGTTCGACTGCCGTACTGGGTCTTCCCGGGAGGAGACGTGGAGGGAGTAGCCGAGAATGAGTGCCTCCCCAGTCACGACAGAGCCCGGCTACACAAAGTTCAACCTCACCTACCCGCCGCTGCCGTTCAATGGCACGGCCGCCATGACGGACGCGGCACCCGGGCAGCAGAGCGTCAGCAGCGACGCCGCCATCTCGGGCGTTCTCTTCGGCATCTTGGTGCCCCACGTGGTGTGCACCGTCTTCATCCTGGCGCGGACGTGGTCGCGGCTGCTTCTCCTGCGCAAGTGGTTTCTCGATGACAGCTTGATCGTGCTGGCCTGGGCCTTCTCGACGGCCGTGTGCGTCGTCTATAGCATTGCCGCCGAGTCGCCGCGCCTCCGCACCGCCGTCAGCCTCAGCGGCGCCGACTACTACTACGACGGCACGGCCGACCAGGAGGACACGCTGCGGCCGTACTTGCTGCGCACGTACCTGGGGCTCGTGCTGTACCAGCTCTGCCTGTGCTTCACCAAGCTCTCGGTGCTGGCCTTCTACCTGCGCATCTTCTCGTCGCGGCCCATCGAGAAGCGGCTGGCGTGGGCGACGACGGTGGTGGTGGTGCTGTACTGCGCGCCGCTGCTGTTCATGTCCATCTTCCAGTGCCACCCGGCGGCGGGCTACTTCTTCGGCGCGCCCGTGGCTAAGTGTTTTAGTTTTGTCCCGCTGCTGATCGCGTCGGCGTCGCTGCACACGGCCACCGACGCCTGGCTGATCGTGCTCATCATCCCGTGCATCGTGCGGCTAGCCGACCTGCCGCGCCGCCAAAAGGCGGCCTTGGCTCTCGTGCTGAGCCTGAGCATTTTCGTCATCGCCGCCAGCCTCACGCGCCTACAGCTATCGCTACGCGCAAACTACCGGCCCGACGTCTATGACGACAGTGGCGAGCAGCAGCTCGTCGACGCCGACGACCAGGTCGCCAACACGCTCGCCTTCTTCGTCATGACGGTGCTCGAGCTCGACCTGGCCCTCATCTGCGCCAGCGCCCCGACGCTGCGCCCGCTGCTGGCGCGCTTCTGGCCGCGGCTCCTGACGGGCTTGGGCGGCATGGAGCCGCTCGCGGGCGGCGGCGGCGGCGGCGGCCCGCACAGGTTTGCCGGCGACAGCGCCAGCGTCGACCTCACCAGCGTCTACAACCACGGCTACCCGTGGACCGCGCCCCCTAACAACAACAACAACAACAACAACAACAACAGCAACAGCAACAGCAACAACAACAACAACCGGACTGCTCCTGCTCCCACTGCCACACGCAGCGCAAACCCCAGCATGGCCAGTCTGCCCCACAACCCCTATCCACCACCCCCACTCCCCCCATCCGCCGCGCTGCTATCCTCAGCGCACCGCACGCCGACGACGCTCAGCCTGCGCAGCTTCATCAGCAACATGGCGGCGCCGCGCAGCCGCGGGCAGACACTCGACGGCGACCGCGCGGGGCTGCCACTCCTCGACCCAGCAGCAGCAGAAGGCCAGGCCCAAGGCCGCAGGAGCTCCGTCGGCTTCGAGGGGTACTACAACCAGTACCTGCCGGGGTATGGCGAGAGAGAGGGGCAAGAGGATGTTGGTGGTAAGGAGAAGAGGTGGAGCCGCCGCTCGCGCGTCACTGTTGTTAGCGGCCGCTGGGGCGACAGCCAGGAGAGTTTTGTGCTGGGCGTGAATGATCCCAACAGTCCCACGCGCTTGAGCCCCGTTCTGTCAACGGCTGGGTCGGGGGTGCATGCTGGGGGGGTTGGGAATGGGGGTGGGGATGGGGATGGGGAGGTTCAGGCAAGGCGGTAGAAGAGGGGGGTTTGGGGGGGTTTTGGGGGGTTGTCCCTCTCTGTGTGTTTGTGGCTAATAGAAGCTCTGCATACCCTTTTTTCCCCCTTTTATTCCCATTTGCATTTGCATTTGCACACATGGCGAGAACTACACTTCGCATATTTATGGGGAGGGGAAGCAAGGATGGAGTTTATTTTTTTCATTTTTAAAGGGGGGTGGGGGAGCTGCTTCCTAAAGGCAGTGCGAGCTACTTAGTAGACGAGACGGCGGGTGGGGGTGGGAAAAGCCGGTTAACTAGAAGGAAATATCAGGGCTAGAAAATAAACAACGTCAAAATATTCAAAGTTTGTGGTTGTTGCAGAGTGTAAAGGAAAGTGCATACCACCTATTCAGACACCTTAGCTCTGTGTTCATTTGGAGGAGACATGTGCATTTGCCGGGGAACTTCCGACAGCTGTCAAGTATTTTGATGCAGGCGGCAACGGCCCGACGCTACCCACGCTCGCTTAGAGCTAGATTAGGGTTAGGGTTACGGTCAGCCTTTCATTCAGCGGGGCCAAGCACCTGTGCCTTCGATTTGAACCTCGTTCTTCTCTCTTCGCATCCCATATCCCATCCTGCAACACACGCGCAATTCCACCTGTGCATATAATATTTGCCACCGAGATGACGCCGTCGAATATGTCTCTGACGTGGGCTGCGCTGCATCACCGAAGCAAAGCGAAGCGAAGTGAAGTGAAGTGAATGGAAGTGGCGGGCTGCCTGGGGGAGGGCGGATCGCATGAAGCCGGTGCCATCTGATCGACGCCCAGCTGGCCCTTGGATCTCGCCCTGGAATGTCCCGTCCGAACCCGCATCCGAAGACGAGGTTCGAGTGTCGGGGACCCCTGTGTCTTCCATTGCCATGTTCGCTACCGTTGTTCTTTTTGTCGGGCCCGCTGCGCTGCTCCAGCCTGGAACGGCGAGCCTGTCGCTGCATCTCCATCGGGTCGAGTCTACTCAAGTCAGTCGGGTCGGGTTGTGGATGCGCTCAGACTCCGTCTCCAGACCCGGCACGCACGGCTGAGCGCAGCGTCGCCACCGTCTGGGAAGGTAGGATTGATTGGTGTCGTCTTGCTTGGCCCTTGTTATTGCCAGAGCCGCATGCGCCATCTACGGGAGACAGTCAGAGGCCGAAAAGGCCAAAAGCTGCCTCGCCACTCTATCGGCGACGGCCTACATCACGAGGCTCGCGTCTATCTATGCCAGGCCGCCAGAGCCTCCCAGAGCCTCAGATAGAAGGGCCAATTACGCCATGCCGGCGCGCCCGTCCCGTCCTGTCCTGTCCCGTCCTGCCCTGTTCTGTCCTGTCCTCTCCTGTCCTGTCCCGTCCCCTCCAGCACATCACACCAGACCTGACCCACGCCCCCCTGTCGTCCCATCCCATGTTGGCGGGCGTCGCCTACCCCCTTCGTCATGGTTGCTATGCGCACATTTACCTTGGGGATGTATGTATGGCCAGGCATTGAATGCACCCCAATTCTCCGAGACCTTCCAGAAGCTTTGGAGCATCCGGATGCCGGTCAGAGCCTGACCTGTCCGTACCTGGCCAAAGCCTGGTTGCTGCCCACGCCCGCCTCTGACTGGCTCACCTCCCTACAACTCGACGTCAGTCCGTCGAGTACCTGCTGATCGCCACCTTGCCTTATGCCTTAGCGAGGAAAAGAGGAATGCGGATGCTCACGAGCTCCCATCCGTCCGCTACCTCACTTAGCGTCATGTCGCCTACCGCCAGCGACCTGCCTCGTGGCCGGGAAACTGGCCAGCTCGGGCAAGTAGCCTCCAGCCAACACCCGGGGAAGCTCACCCTGCCTGCACATCCGAGATCGACCGATGATGGCGAGAGGCCCTGTCCTGTGGAAGCTCTCGAGAGTTCTGCCTGCCCGCTCCACTCCGTCCTCCTCGCTCACCTCCCCTGACTTCACCTCACCCTACCCTCTATCACCCACACGCCGGCCTCGTCCCATGCACGCGTGCTCCCTCTCTTCCCCCTCCCCCGCTACCTTACCTAGCCTGGCCAAACAAGCTTCCGTCGATCTCTTCACTTCCCCGGGCAGGCTCCTCGCTCTTTCACCAACCCTCGCTTTCGTCGCCTCGTCTTCTTCCATCCTCCCTCCACATTTACCCAGGCCGCTGCTGATCGGCCGGCCTTCCACCCTTTCTCCTTTCTGTCTCTCCTCCCTCCCGCCTGGAAGCCACAGCTTCCTTTGACGGCGCACCACAACCATCGCGACCTCGCACACGATGCAACGGGCAGGAGAATGTTGATTTCGTGGGGTTTGGGTTTCAAGACCCTTTTACTGGGACTCGCAGCCGTGGCCGTGGGCAGGCAGTCCTCGTCGTCTGTCTCAGGTCACAGCGCACAACAACAACAACAACAACAACCATTATTAGGGCAACTTTCAAGGACAGTGGGCGAGAAGCAAGCTCATGCAGCCGCCAACAGTTTTGGGGAGCCACTACGCCAGCGTCCAATATCGAGACAAGCTCGCGCCCGCAGATCTCGCGCTGGAGATGGAGTCGGCTCAGCCGCGAGAGCTCAAAGACGGAAAAGACAGGAAGATGGCCCAAGTAGTGGCGAGGCCTCGCCAGCTGCACCGACGCCACAGCCTCCTTCTTGTGGAGGAAACGATACCACGGCCCCACCATGTCCGCCGCCCCTCTCATGCTTCCCCGCGGGTGACGAAGTTGTCCAGTATTGTGGCGGCGGCTTCAGGTACTGCGTTTCGGCGAGCGGAGAAGCAGGGTGTTACACGAACAATGCCACCGAGTGTGATGCTAGCGGCTGCTCTCTACCAGCTCTTCCATCGTAAGTTTTGGTCCCTTTGTCTCAACGTTTGCTTTGTTGTGAGAGCCAGCGTTAACAAGTGTCAGATCCTCAACCGTGGCTACGCCGGCTTCGAGCCCAGCCATATTCGCCGTCACTCAGACCGTCACGAGCACGGTCACTTCTTTTACCGGCACACCAGAGACGAGCGTGGCCATCACAACGAGGACAGAAGTCCTCACATACCTCAACCCAACGCAGCAAACACAGACATCTACCGTCACAGCCACGGCTTTCTCTAGACGGGCGAGAGGAATCCGAAACATATTATCAGGGGCGACTACACCAGCAACGTCTCCACAATCTATATACGAGCCAGCTGTTACTAGGCGAGCCGAGCCCAACGCCGTGCCCGGGCGGTTTCTCAGAGCCAAAGGCGAGGCAGAGAAGAGAGATGAAGGGACTACCACGTCCACTGTCACCACAACAGTGTTTACGAGGAGCCTCCTCATTACGACCATTACGAACACTGTCTTCTCGACAACGCTTGTGGCGCCTAATGCCGTCACGACTGTCTTTGTCACAACAACCATTACCGTGCCTGCGTCAAGCACGGTACCAACAAGCACGCAGGCAACGTCCAGTGCCACATCATCAAATCCAACAACGCCAGTACCGCCACCTCCCAGCGGGCCAACATCAGAAATTCCGCCGCCCCCTGTACCTCTACCGACGAGCGCCTTTTCCACTCCAACGTCTTCCCTTCCCACCACACTGATAACGTCATCCGTAATCTCATCAACTCCGCCCAGCTCAACCGCGCCGCTCTCGTCATCAACCTCAGAAACCCCCACCTCGAGCCCTACCCCCTCGAGCATGCCCCCCTCGTCCTCCATGACAGGCACCCTCGAAACCATGATGACGAGCTCGTCGCCCACCATGACACCCTCGGCCGTGCCCGCGCCGAACCCCGAGGCCTCCGCCAGCGGGCTCTCCACGTATCAGATCGTGGCGCTCGTCGTCGGCGTCATCCTCGGGATCCTCTTCCTGGTGCTGTTTGTCGTGCTGATCCGCTGGCTGACGGAGCGGCGGCGGAGCGCGCAAGCCGTGATGCGGCAGCGCCTAACGCCGCCCGACGGCACGGCAGGAGCAGTCGTAGTAGCTGGCGGCGGGGGCGGCCCGGCCACGGGCAGCAGCGGCAACGAATCGCCGGGCAACAGCGCGCTGGTCGGAGAGGGCGAGGTACGCATCGTGATCCGCCCCGCGCCGTCGGCCCGCCGCCGCCAGACCATGAGCTCCCAGCTGTGGCCCATGCCGCCCGGCCGCGGGGCTGCCGACAACACGTACAGCCTGTTCGTCCAGGAGACCACCACGGGCGAGACGACGCCCCAGGACCCCGGGTCGTGGAGCATCGCCAGCGAGCGTGGCAGCCTGGGCAACGGGAACGGCGGCGGCAGCGGCAGTGGCAGCGGTGCTGGCTCGGGCGACGGAGCGGGATACAATAATAACAATAATGATAATAACTACAGCGGCGGTGGCGGCGCTGGGCGGGGCGGCGGCGACGCGGCTACCACCAGCATCATCAGCATCGGCTGGGACACGAGCGCCGGCGGCCGCCGCAGCAGTGACGTCGGCTCGTATCCGGGGCTCGGCACACTTCTGACGCCGCCGCCGGCCAGCCACGCCGGCGGGCCGGGGCTGCTCGGCGGCAGGGGCAGCAGCGATGATGATGAGGGCGACGATTACGGCGGCGGCAGCAGAGGAATAGGTGGTGGAGGTGGAGGAGGACGATACCCCGTGGGCGGCAGTTTCGGAGTCGGGCGCGCACGGTGATTTGCAATGATTGGTGCAGGCGAAGAGATTAACATACATACCTACCTAGATAAAAATATCACTTACGGAAAACGGGGGAAACGGATACGGGCTGGCTTGGCTCTGTTTATTGAGGGGTTAGCAATGTTTATCTATTACACTGTATATATTCTTGCACGTGCGGATACGGCATTATTATGATCACGTTTTTATTCTTTTCATCTGATAGACTAATAAGAAGGTCGCTGCCTGCTGAGCCTCTAATTGCGCATCTTAATTTCCGTGGTGGGATGCTTAGTCTGGCATTCCGCATCTTCAAGAGCTGTTACCTCTAAATTCCTTATTGTTATGGGGTGTCATGTTTCGTATAGGGCGATGTCTTTTAGTGCCTCAGTCTCTTCGTCGACGTATTACCCAGCTTCCCGCGTTGCTTCCATCCGTCGATGCTTGCTAGCCTAGCTATTCCGGTTTATGTTTACACCGTCTCTACCGTCTCTCCCGCCTCTTTTCCATTATTTACATGTCCGTACGGATAACGGTAGAGAAGATCCGCAGGAGAGGCTGCGTCATTGTGGACCGGACTGTTAGGGGCGTTCTCCTTCTTGCTGTCTTCCCGACGGCGGGCATTCTCTTTCTCCTTCACCTTCTTACGGGCCTAGGATCGATATTTGTAATGCAGAACTCCGTCACCCCCACCGCACCCTCTCTGCCTGAGATACCTCAACTCCATGATGAGCTACTACACCAAACCGCGCGCCGACGAAGAGTATGGATGCGTCGAAACTCTGTCACCCCCCTCACCCTCTGTACTTGAGATGCCTAGACTCATGATGAGTTACTACACCAATCCGCGCGCCGGCAGCTAGTACGAATGCGCCGGAAGAGACGCGAACTCTTGCCTGTGCGGATTCTGCCGGCGAGGCCATCACGCGTGCCACGACTTGTAAGTACCATGACCCTTCAGAAACTGGAACAGCTTGATTATGCCTTCAGCCAGGAGCCCGGTATTCTCATTCAACACGTACTTCTCTCACACCGTGGCACTCCGAGACAACATTGGCCTAGAGTATATCGAAACCGAAGAAATCGATATAGAGGGAGACCGCGGCACAAATCTGCTCTGAGCCACCGAAAAATGACGAGGTTGCTAGCCCAATCGCAGTGGAGGAGGAAGACACGACTAAAGATTCCCTAGCCAGATTGAGCCACGGCGAAAGAGCAGCGGCAATAGCTAGCCAGGTCACGGCGGTCCCGCAGAAGTTCAAAGCGACGCTCATGGAGTTGACGATAGTGCCATCTCTATCAGCGACTAGGACCCCGAGGAGGAATGAAAATCTGTAGGCGGGAATACCGGCCAGAAGAATGTGTATCTGTGGGTTCATTAATTCTACGATACAGTGGAAAGCCTAGGCCAGCTTCATGCCGGAGAGGGCAGGGCGTTTATGCCGGCCAGTTGGAGGACGCTGGGGTTGCTTTCTGTAGATACTATGTAGTGTTTACACTTTATGAGCATGTTGGGATTGCGATGCCATGCTAGGCTACTGGTGATGGAGATATTCAAGCGGCTGGCGCGACTCGCGACCGGGGCCTTGTCGTGGGTGACTTGGGCGGCAAGGCACCCACACAGCAGAGGTGATTTACGAAGGATGTGTGAAGGTGACGCCAAGGTGAGCCGCTTTTGTCTAACAAAAGACGGCAAAGTGGGAGACGATGCAAGAGAACTAAAAGACATCAGGGCGTGCTCGGCTCGCGTCTATATGACTGATCAGACGAGAGCCGAGTTCGAAAAAGGACACAACAACAGTAAGCCATCCCATGGTATAATGCTACAACAACCACAGCTCAAGCAACTGACAGCCAGTTTTCCACCGTCACAGGCAAGTAGATAAATAAACAAGCACACACCATACGAACCAACAAGTATGTATACGAGTGTCAGCATCAAAAAAGTAACAACAACAAAACCACAGCCACAGTGCAAAACAAGGAGCAACCAGCAACAAAAAGACAAAAAAAGCAATTTATCACGACACCCAAACCAGCCACAAACCCGGTACCGCCATTCCAGAGTTCTAGAAAAGAATGCACGCATGCATGTCTTTCCCGGGTATTCTTGCAAGATGACGGGCGTGATGGGCGACCGGGAGCGCGGCGATTGCGGTGCGTGATCGGCGTGGAGATCACACCAGCCTCCACAGACTCCAGACTCTAGGGTCCGAGGGGCTTGCGACCATCACAAAAAAAAAATGAAATAAAAAGGCAACCGGTTCGGCAGTTGCGAGGATTCGGGTTTGTTCTGCTCAGGAGAGTAGCTGAGTTGTGGTTATTGCCAAAGAACCCAAAAATCCGGGTTTAGTTCAAAGGGTGCCAGCCGGTTAGTTACCAGTGTGTAAAAGGGGGTAGGTTTCAATAAAGGGGTACCGAGTAACGTCGCGCCCGCCGCCCCTGAATTGCCAACTGCTTTAGTTTCCAGTCAAAATCCTATCTTGCGATCGAGTTTTAGTTGTGAATGTCAAAGCAGACATACAAGCCACTTATTCACTTCTCGAATATCTCCTTGCCCGCCCAACGCCAATAATGCGTAAAAAAGGGGAGGCTATCGCCCCCGTGTTTTGTAGCTTTCTCTAGGGTATCCTACTTGTCCAGTCTACCTTTAAAAACCACGCTCCTGCCTGCGTCCCGGCCGTCCACCATAGAGCGGCCCGTTTTTTTCTGCCTCCCGGATTCCTCGACACAGACCAACCCCCGGCGTATATATTGTATAATGGTACAGTACTACTTGCACACACGCAAAAGACGAAATTTTGTGGAATAACACCTCCAATGCGGCAAACCAAAAAAAAAAAAAAAAACAATAATACCGGCACGCCCTGCCGAAATGATTCCTAACCAGAATAAAAATTGAACGCCAGGCTGCCACCAATGTGAAGAGTGAAGTTGTAGATGTGTGTATGTACAGTTGCGGGGATCGAGTGCTGGGTGAGGTCCTCGTCGTCTAGACGTCTTTTGGTCGTCGTGGTGTGGGTTCCTTGCTGTTATGACCATGCCCCCCACGGCTCGCGGCTTTAGATCACTGGCGACTCGAGGTGGCCCGTCGCCGCCGTGGTGGTCGGGTTGCTGATTTGTGGATAAATCATCGTCCCGACATGCTGCCCGCCGTATCTCAGCCGTTCATCGATGCCGTAGTGCCCAATCCTCTTTTTCTCCTGCCACGACACATGAAAGACCATCCGACCAGAGTCCCCTCCCCCAACACGCTCCCCCCCAGTTCCCCATAGACGTCGGCGGTTCGGTACTACCTGTCCTTGAAAATCTTGGGGTTCCAGCCGGCCTTGACCTCAGCCTCCTGCTCGGCCTTCTCGACGGCGGGGCCGATCTCGGCCTCGAGGCGCTCGCGGGCGCGCAGGATCTTGCTCTGCAGGTAGAAGGAGCCGCCCTTTTCGGGGTCGTTGCTGTCGAAGAGGCGCTTGAAGCGCTCCATGACTTCCTCCATGTCAGCGGCCTTGCCGTCCGTGGCCGGCTTCACGTTGAGGATCTTGCAGGCCTCGTCCAGCGTCATGCCCGTGTTGAGGTTGGCGCGGCCCGTCGAGTTGACGGCGTTGGGGTTCTTGGCCTGCGCGCGCTGGTACTGGCTCGACGCCGATGCCTGCTTGTACGCCTCGGCGAACGCGCGCCCAAGCACGCGCGACCCGATGAGGACGACCTGGGTGATGACGCGGTACGCCTGCGGTCGGGGGCAAGGGTGTCAGCTGCGATGCCGCTGCAGTGCAGTGCAGTGCAGTGCAAGGGCCTGAGTTCCGAAAGGAGAACTGCCTACCATTGTTCGCTATTGGCAAGGGATAGCCACCTTGCTAGCCCTGGGCGCTGTTCACGGCGATAAGAAGCTTCGAGGGTGCGTGGGTGCGCCGGAACAGCTCTGGCGTGGGTGTCGTCGGTTTCGTGGATGGCGGATGGGCAGATGCGGGCATGGCGGAACTTATCGAAGCGAATGGCTCAAAAAATTAGACATCAGAAAGATTGCCCGCGCCGATAGCCGGCAATTCTTCGGCTCTAGCCAGCTCCCTGGTCGCTACGTAACCGCAGGGGCCTTTTGTCGCAGAACGCCATCTAATTGGCCAATCTTTTCAATCTGCAGCTTTGCTCCGCTTCTGTCACTGGCGCCTCAGGCAACCAGACTTTTGGGCCCGAACAGGGTGCTGTGCTGCGCTACGCTGTGGTGAGCCACACCACACCGGCCACGAAGAGCTTCTGGCTCTGAAGAAGCAAGATCGCAACTTCGACGCCGCGCAAGCCTCCCCATTCGTTGCCATCCACACCCTACGTCTTTCGAATTCCCTACCGTGTCCTGACGCACCCGCTCTGCCAGCCATAAAACCCAACCGGTTTCCCTATTTTCGGCAGCAGCAGCTCCTCTCAGAACCCCCCCGCGTATCGCGCAACCTAGCCGTTGCGCTGCCCGCCCGCCGCCAAAAAAGGGACACAAAAGCCATGTCGCAATACTACGGCGCGCCGCCGCCGAACCAGGGCTACGTTCCGTCTGCGGCCCAAAATCTCCAGTTCTACCCGTCCTCGTACGCACAGCCTGTCTCGGGCCCCGCGACGCCCTCACAAGCCTACAACTACGGCGGGCCATCGTCGTCGGGAGGCTATGGGGTGTCGGGCGGCTTCAACGCGGGCTTCGGCGCCGCGCCGGGCGTGTCCGGCCGCATGGGTGAGCAGGGCGGCCTCCGCACCGGGATATTAGCGGCCTTCTCGACCGAGGGCTACGACGGCGAGCCGCCGCTACTGGAGGAGCTAGGCATCAACTTTCGGCATGTGCAGACAAAGGTATGCCTCCCCGCCTCCCTGGTGTTGTAGCCTCTGACGCATCGGACTAACATAAGCGTTCCTACCCATCTAGACCCTCGCCGTTCTCAACCCCTTCAGCCGCATTGACCAGCACCTGATGGACGACAGCGACATGGCGGGCCCCATACTCTTCTTCCTGCTCTTCGGCACGTTCCTGCTGCTGAGCGGACGGGTGCACTTTGGCTTCATCTACGGGCTGGCGCTGTTCGGGTCGGTCAGCCTGCACACGATCCTGTCGCTGATGGCGCCGGCGGACGGCCCGTCGGGCGGCGGCGTGTCGGCGACGAGCCAGGCGACGCCCTACGCGCCGGCCGCGCCGTCGTACCCCGGCCAGCCGACGGCGGTCGATCCCACCGGCGGCGGCGGCGCCCACTCGGGCGGCCTGACGTTTACGCGGTCCGCCAGCGTCCTGGGCTACTGCCTGCTCCCGCTGGTTGCCACGAGCCTCGTCGGCATCGTCATGAGCATGGACACGCCGCTGGGCATCGTGCTCACGTGCGCCGCCATCATGTGGTGCACCTACTCGGCCTCGGGCATCTTCTGCGCCGTCGGCCGCCTCCGCAACATGCGCGTCCTCGTCGCCTACCCTCTGGCCCTGTTCTACGTTGGTTTCGGCATAATGAGCGTCTTCAGCAGCCGCGGGAGCGGCCTGCCCTCAAAGGCGAGCGCTCCCATCGGGATTTGAAGTTGGGAGTGTACGGGGCCCGACCATTTGGTTGGCCGTGGCAGAAGGGGAAAATCCCAAAAAGAGAAATGAAAAACGGTTTGTGCATAACACGGAGTTGTGGGATAGTGGCAATGTATCTGTAGTTGGTGAATGCACACGACAGCCCCCTGGGAACCTGCAAAATACCAAGTCGGCGATGTTGTCGACGGTAGCCGGCTCCGTCCATGGATAGGGAACTCGTTAGCAGACTCGGGAAACCGGAGGAGGCAAGGGGCGCAAAAAGACAACCTAAAAGGGCAGGGATTCTGGTCTTCACTATTCGGTAGGCAGCGTTATTATTGTAACTTCTAGCGGACGTCCTCACATGTGCCGTCTTGGCTTGGTTATTGTATTAAGCTATCCTGTTAAAGTCACGGTGAATTACACACGAGTGCATGTCACGCAGCATTCGTCTACAATCTTTTTAGGGAAGTTGGGCCTTGTTACTCCTAACAACACAAAAGCCATATCACTCAGTCACCGACTGTCTTGTATGGTAGAAAGTAGGCAGGCAATTTCATTCATGCTCCTGTGACTAGACACAAGCAACGTACCCACTAACTGGCTGCCTGGCTTTGTTCCCCCGCTGGCGATAGACGTGCAGATTGAAGGAGAAAGTAGATTTGCTGCGTACTAAGATGCCATTCGTTTATGCCTGCCTGCACCTGATGAGATAGATGCCTCGCTACCGAAAAACTGTGCCTCCACTTGGTACTGTACCCGTGTATGTCACGCCCGAATCCTCCCGTATGTACATGTACAAGAATAACGGACACGCAGCTGGAACACTAGAAAGAGCAAGACCAAACAACGCACCATCACATCACATCACATCACACGCAGTGAAATATGAGCAAGAGAGAACGAACGGCTTCATCAGACATATGTCCCATTATCCCACCCATTCTAGCCCGACCCAACCCGACCCAACAAGGCTAACTAGGGGAGAGAATAATAACCTAAACGACCGATCTTCATCCTCCTACTGGCTTGACTACCTAAACAAACTGCGTGTCAAAGGCCCAGGATACACACATGACGAAGAAAGACGGAACCCGAATGCACAGAAAGAGAGAATGATGGTGGCAGAGCAACTACAAACAAATAATGATGAGAAGAGAGACAAAAAAAAGCCCGACCGAGAGACCATGAAAAAAGTTAAAAGAAAAACAAAATACAGTTACATAAAGAGACGACCATAAACAGCGGTACGATACGATGTGATGCAGAAGAAACAACACATTTTCAAGTCCTCAGTAAGAAGAGAGTGGAGCCATAGAAAAGGGCGAATCCATCCATCCATCTGCCCTTGCACTCTTTCTTTCTTCTCTTTCCTTCTCTAACCTTTTTTGTCTCTCCCGCCCACGCAGCCCATGCTGCATACACATCTCTCATCGTCGTTCTATTCCATATGCCCAAGCCAAGCCTTAAAGCCAAAGCCAAAGCTGTATCAAATCCGCCAAGCTTAATAACCCATTCCCTTCCCTCTCCCTCCTCGTTCTCGGCAGCCAAGGGAGAAGAAAGATAATCATCTCGCACGCGCAAGACAGTGAGAGAGAGAGAGAGAGAGAGAGAGAGAGAAGAAAATATCCATCTAGTGGTAGCGGGGTGAGAAAATCCATCTATCCATCAATCTTGTCTCGTTCCCTGTTTCGTTCTCGTAGAAAATGGGTTTTCGAGCTAACACCAAAACCTGTCGCTGCCCAAGAGTTGTGGCAGTTTTTGGTTTTCGGTTTTGCAAAAAAAAACATGACCAGGGTCCGAGTTTCTCTTGCTTAAGAAGACTGCGGCTCGGCGCCCAGGACGGAGTACTGGCCGCCGGCTCCAGCCCAGACGATCTTGCGGTCGCGGATGGCCGAGTTATCGATGAGGGTGGGCCTCTCGATGTCGTCGTCGGTGCCCTGGCCGGTCTGGTAGTTGGCGGAGAAGCCCCACGAGTAGACCTTGCCCTGGGCGGTGACGGCGAAGCTGTGGTCGGTGCCGGCGGCGACGTGAACGACGCCGCTGATGCCGGCGACGGCGGTGGGGTTGAGCAGGATGCGCGGCTTCCCGTTCTCGTCGAAGATGGAGTTGTCATCGGTGAAGACGGCCGTGGGCTGGCCGACCTGGTGGCCGTCGATGCGGCCCCACGTGAGCAGCTTGCCGTCCTTGGTGTACGCCAGAGAGTGGTGCTCGCCGCCGGCGATGCCCGCCACCTCGAAGTCGGACAGCGAGTCTATCAGCTGCGGCTTGAGGATGTAACCGCCGTCGTTGCCGGCCTCGGTGGAGATGCCGAGCTCGGCGTAGTTGTTGAGGCCCCAGCCAATGGCGCGGCCTTGCTTATCGACCACGAAGCAGTGGTAGGAGCCGCACTCAATGTCCTCGGCCTTGGCGCGGCCGGGAAGCGAGCCGATGCCCGAAGGGTACAGCGCGGCGTGGTCGTCGCGCTCGAGCAGGCGGCGGGCAAGCTGAGCCTGCTGGCCAGCGCCCCAAGCGAAAATCTTGCTCTTCTCGTCTAGCGCTAGAATGTGGTTGGATCCGGCGGCCAGCTGCTTGATCTTGGAGAGCTCCGGGACGAGCGACGGCAGCTTCTGGATCAAGACGGTGCGGCTGAAGCCGAGAATGCCTTCGTTGCTCCGGAATGTGCCCCATCCATAGACGAGGCCAGTGTCGGTGAGGGCAAAAGTGGCGCTGTCGCTGGCGACCACCTGGACCCAGTTGGTGTCCTCGGGGACTTCGGAGGTGTCGATCTCGGCGGGGTTGCTCTCGTTGGGGTTGAGGCCGGAATCTTCGTCGTCGTCGTCGGAATCCTCGGCGTCGACGTCGCGCAGGCCACCGTCCCAGGCGGTGTCGCGGCCGAGAGCGCCTTGGTCGTTGACGCCCCAGGTCAAAATCTTGTTGTCGCTGGTCAGAGCGGCGACGTGCATTCCACCGCAAGCAACCTGAACGACCTTCTTGAGGACGCTGTTGAAGCGGGGCCGCTTGACGTCAATGGGCTTCTTGCCATCGACCTTGACGGCGCCGAGGCCTAGCTCGCCAGAGCTGCCTTCGCCAAAGACAAAGATGTCCATGACGCGCTTAGGGGCCTCGTTGATGACCTTGAGTTGCTTCTTTGCCGCCTTGGTGACCTTCTTGGGCGCGGCTTCCTTCTTGGGGGCAGCGGCCTTCTTGGGCGCGGCCTCGGCCGGGGCAACCTTAGTCTTCTTGGTTGGGCGCGCCGTCAACTGGCCCTTCTTTACGCGCTTGGGTGCCGGAGCCGGGACGTCCGACTCTTCAGCTCCGTCGAAATCAGCCATCTCGACATCGCTTTCTGCGTCTTCCTCGGCCGACTCGTCCTCAGAATCGTCAAGTGTGGCGCCACGCTTGCGCTTGACGCCGTTCACCAAGGGACGACCGCCAACATTCTCCTTGTCCGACTCTTCGGAGGCCTTCTGCGACTTGCGGGCAGCGGCAGGAGTGGGTTTCTTTGGCGCGACGGGCTTAGGCTTGGCCACGGCAGGCTTGGCCACGGCAGGCTTGGCCATGGCAGGCTTGGCCATGGCAGGCTTGGGCTTGGTCGCGGCGACAGCCTTCTTCTTCGTCTCGACGGGGGCAGCCTTCTTGGTGGCGCTGGCCGCAGGTTTGGTGGTGGTGGTTGTGGCCGCCGCAGCGGCGCGTGCAGAGGTTCGCTTCGGAGGCATTGCGATTCGATGCCGGCGAATTGTGTGGATGGGTAGCAAAGATGGAAAGAGAAAAGGAGGATGATGGGTATCGGCACGATTTCCGTGCGAAAAGGGGAAAATATGAGTGATCGATGATGCGATATTTGGTGTCGCGCGGTGATGTTGACGAAAAGTGCTCGAGGATTTTTCGGTGCGGCGCGCAACCTATTTTTGGGCTCCTTCGCTTTTCTTGTTTTCGGTTACGTTGGCTGGGCGGGACCCTGCAAAGAGGGAAGGCTTTATAGGTCGCACTGCACTTGCACTTGGCTCGTCGAGACATCTTATGCGCGGAACAATAGGGTCGGGCCCAGGCAACGTTGCTATTGTTCTCAAAACTCTGCTATTGTTTGGGAACATTTGCCCTACATGCAATTGTGTCAGTCCCATTGATGCTGTGTCATAACAGATGCCCATCATGTCCATCCATGGATTCGGTCAAACGTGAAAAATTGTCAAACGTAAAAAATTACTGACCAGTTGGCCCGGTTCGCGGCGCCCAATCGAGGTGGCTCGTGCGCCACAAGCTCCCCCTGGCCCCGGCGCGCTACCCCTGTCTGGGCTTACAAAAGTGGCGTTGTTCCCCTGTGCAAAGAAAATTCTGCCAGGCGGTCGGCTCGAGAGCTCCCCTCAATGCAACGCTAACGTCCACTAGGTCTGCCAACCCACTTTAGGGTTACCTACAGGGCCCAACGCGCAGCGCGCAGCGCGACCGCCCTGTTTCGCGACACGCTCACCAAAACGCCCAACGCCAGCGCTCGGTGACGTGTGGCCCATATTTTGCCCGTCGATTTGGTGATGCTGTTCACTCTCCAACGCCGTTGAATTGATGTAAGGGGCGGTGCGGTGCTGCAGACAAACACCTCGCGAGCCATTGCAATTTCTCGAGTTGGAATTCACTTGGGCAGCAGGACCCGCGCTGGCGAGGCGTTAAAGCCTAACGTTGTCCGCGGATGATGCGCCAACCCACGGGAACAAGCGCGGCGGTTGCGTGCATGGCATCCAGCGCGCGACGCATCCATTCGAGTGGGGGTGTCAGTCCTTCCTCGCACCAACACATTCACAGTCACTCCTTTCCTCTCCTTGTTTGTAAATAGTAGTACAATGGAAACCCGGTTCAGTGGCCGTACTACTCAAAGGTGGTTTACTGGCAGCCGTCTATTCCCTCAAATGCCTTAGCCATTGGGATGGGGGACTGCTATACATAACTCCCTAACTCCCGCAACTACAACCAGCAGTCTACCATTACCAGCGCCATCAATCCACCGCTTTCCCTACCCTAAAACTCCAGCCCGGTTTACCGGACGACTGCTGTTCGCCAAGCTAAGGAAATATCAAGCAAGAAAACATGACGAGCTTCTCCCCGTTGGGCCTTCCTCTAGTTCCCGGCCTTGGTGGTGAAGTCGATCTCGTTGGCGTTGGCAGACGAACCGCTCTTCTCGCAGTTGCAGGCGTCTTTGCGAACTCAAGAGTTAGACTTTGTGTCTCGGTGAAGCAGAGCCCCGGGTAGGTGACTTACCAGCAGATTGCTTGCCGCACTCGCAGGTCGAGCTCGACGTCTTGTCGCAGCTGCACTCGTCGGCAGCCTTCTCACCGCACGCGCACGTCTGCTTGGCTTGTTGGGCCTCCGCGGCTGTGTGGGATCAAGATAGGTCTTGTTAGTATTGTGCATGGCGAGCGAACCGATGCCAGCAGGTGAAAGAGGAAGGACAAGGCAGCATCGTCATCATCATCATCATCATCGGGGAGGCAACAGCACAAGAACAAGACAACTTACCGCATTGGCAGTTAGCACCGCAGGTGCAGTCCTTGCCGGCTTCGTTGCAGGAGCACATCTTTGCGTGTCGTTGGGTTTTCCTGTGCCTTACAGCTGTTGGGCAGAAGCAGAGGTCTGCGTGGCGTCCAGTGGCGACGTGGAAGCTGAAGAGAGTCTTAGTTCGTTTCCTCCACGAGACGATCCAGTAGAAATACATCTGGGGGGAAAGGGGAGCCCGAGGGTATGGTAGAGATTCTGCGCGCTGGCAAACGGAAGAATAAATACCTGAGTGAACGTGGTGTAGTGTAGTGCAGTGCAGTGAGTTGATGAGAGTGACAGGTTTGGAGAGAGAGTGAAGTGTTTGCAGAAATAAACTTGGCTTCTCGTGGTCTTTGAGTCCGATATCTGACAAGAAGAAAAAAAAAGAGTTTTATACGCCGTGGTTGTCAGTAAGACGAGAGGAGACGATGCCGCCGCTTATTTCATGTCACAGAAGCTTGCTGTTGGCGGCGAGGTCGTCCCTGAGACAGCCAGGGGGAGTGGGTCATGGATGTCAGGCCAGATCTGAGCCGCCATCGCCATCGGGCGGGCCAGGGGAGCATGCAGGTCATCATGCGACGCTGATTGGCTGCAAATGGGGTTGGACGCTATTTGGGACCAATCAGCGGCGGGGGATTTCACATCCACGCCGCTTGACTCTAGAGGCTTCAATACGATCCAGGCCGTACCCAATCTGCCCATCAGTAGGTTGGAAATACTTAGATAATGTGGTCAAAACATCAAACTGGCGTGTTATCATTGGATGCCTTTGATGTGGGGGACCGACAGCTCAACAGCTTCTTGGGCGACTGTGGGGCGACTTTGCACTGATGACATGCCATATTCTGAAAAAATTCACGTGGAGTTCATGTTGCTGGTACTATACGCAATCCATATCGAGGTCAAATTACCTAGGTAACTCTTGTTCCCCGGCTTACCTCGGCAAACAACGAATCCAAAATCTCACAGATCAACATCGCCATTCCCCTCAATGTGACTCGGAATCCCGCTGCCTCCGGTCCCTTCAAGGTTTGGAATCGTCATGGCCCCGGCTCACGGGCCAATTGAACAGGCCCGCGTTTGCAGTTCAACTGAAGAACGATCCCATTATTCCCGTTCCGCGCCGAAACAAGCTTACTGGCTTGCTGGGCCGCTCTTGGCGTGGGTGGCGGGGAGCTGCGAGGCCGCCATGTTGGTTCGCGCCACATTCTGCTTGTTTCCAACAGACGGGGTGGCTGGGAGACTTGGCAATCCCGTCGCCGAAGCCGGTCTCGCCGCATAATCTATGCTCTGCCTGCGCTTGGCGACCTGTCGCCTGAGACCACTGGTTTGTCCGGGAGATCGTTTCCGGGAGCTCTCGAGTTCTAGCTCAACGATTGCGTTGACGGTTGCTTCTTGGGGCCGCCAGAGAGCAACGGTAGGCAGTAATATGTCCCGGTTTGTGCTGAATTGAGGGCGCAGGGGCACCAGAGCTGTGTCCTTAACGTCTGAGTGCCCCGGAGAGATGGTGTTTGGGGGCACGGTGAGTTCGCCATACTCTGGATAGCAGTCGTCCCGTTCAAGATACTCGGAATCAACGGAGAGCTCGGCAGTAATCCGGTTCTTCGATCTCTGCATTGACTCCCAAATAGCGATTGCTTCTTTGAGGATGGCCTCGATATTTTGTTCAAACTCGTCTCGAATCGGACCCACGGGCAGGAACGGACGGAGAACTTTGAAGATGTCCTCTTTGGCAAACTCAACTGCCATCGAGTGCTGTTCTTCGCCTGCTTCAAATACCAAAAGCAACTGGCAGCGGGCGGCTGCCCCACGACGGGGGTCCAATTCTTCCAACTCTCCCAAGATGGTGGACAGGGTTTCCTGTCGGCCGACATGGCCAGGGAAATAAATGTCTGTAAAGATGTGATCCACGAGGGCCTTGCTCAGCACGAACTCGGCCAGTGCGCATCTCATCAGTTTTGCAGAAGTGCTCATCGACAAGGACAGGGGGAGACGCTCAATGTCGCCGGTAGGGCTTGGGAGCGAGGCCTATCGTCGGCCCACATTAGCATCTCCATCTAGCAAGGTCATTTCGGCTGTCTGGCCGAACATACAGGCGGAACGTTCAGTCCTTGGAAACATCCGAGGACTGTCTTGTGGCATCTGGCTGCAAAGGCTGTAAGGCTCTCGGCGCTTTTGCATGTTAATGAGACATGAGGAGACTGGCAGGTGGACATGTGGGAACGAACAGAGCATCCATGTCAAATTCCTCCAGCTGGCCTTCTCCAAGTAAGTCTTGAAGAGTTGTCAGTTCGTTGTCGGCCATGGAATAACGAAGCTCAAGGTCCGTGCGTTGTGCCTGGGTTATCTTCAGGCTCTCTCGACATTTCTGCAACGTCGATTTGTTTTTGGCGAGGTCGGACGTGAGGGTTTTATTTTCCGCCCCCAGGCGTTTTGCCTCTTGTCTTGCGTCTTCAAGCTCAACCTGGAGGCGATCAACGTTGCGATTCCTTTCATCAGCAGCCTTGAGCTGGTTGCTGTATTCCAACTGCTGTTCGGCGAATTCCTTCCACATGAGATTCTTCTCGACGACGACCACATCCCTCTCTTGTTGCAGTCCCTGAACCTCAGATTCTTTGGCTTTTAGGTCCTCAGCCAACTTTTTAGAGTTTTCGATGACCTTGGCGAAGTCGTCAACCGCTCCTGCATCCTCTTTTATCTGGTTGAGCAGGCCCCACATCTTGTTCACGCGCTCAAAGATCTTTGAGCTGCTCTTCGATGACGACTTGCTTGTGGAGGCATTGTCCTCCCCGGAAGTTTTCTTCTTGTTCTCCGGCATCCTTGGGAGCAAGATGGCTTCGAGTGATGGGCACTTGGGGTGTTCTGATCAAGTGTTTCAAACAAAAAGGCCGTAGCAAGGTGAAGGTTGAGGGGCAACGATACCACAGTCGACACTGAGCCCTGTCTGTTACCTTATAATAACATTGTGCTCGCTCAGTCATAAGGGCAGCAAATCTGGGTAGACATATAATTGGTGGTAGGCATACAAATGGTGGCAGAAAACCGCGGTTTGCTCTTATCTGGCACCATGCATGCATCCTTGAGAGACTGCACTGCAGTCAGTGGATATTGACGCCCCCAGCCGACTTGTTTGAATATTGCTAAGCAAAAGACCCGAAGGGGCGCGAGGACGTTGCTGCCAGATATGGGCGTCGAACGACAAGGGGCAGATAATTGGCTGGCTCCGTTTGCACCGATGGTCCGCGAGTGACAAAGGGGTAGTGGATATCCTGCAGTCCGCCAAAAGACAGACACTAACGCGAAGCCCAAAGACAATATGGCAAGCCGCATTTCCACGGGGCGGTTTACTGCCATTGGTGTTTCATTTTTATGTTTTTTGAGAAGAGATAGACCTCAACCGTCTGTGGCTCCGCATTCAGGACGGGCAGCGGCAGTATGGTCTTTTCCTCCACCAGCCAGCCATCAGTGGACATCAATTTAAAAAAGGCCCTCTCTGACGGGTGCCTGAGCTTGGTAGAAAGCATGATCTTGGTGTCGGTGGGAGTGTCCTCGGCAACAGCGCGTTGGGCAGAGTGTGAGTGTATGGCCGAAAGCGTCTGGACCAGAGTAGGCAACATGTCGTTGTAGGTGCAGTCGCTCAGAATGACGAGATCCCACGGCCGGGATTGAGCCTTTTCGCCAAACACGCCGTCTTTCCCGTCGTTCCAGTCCAAATTCTCGTAGTCAATCCGAGGCATCGCACCGTGAGATGACTGGGCTTGGCCAAGACAGCGCGTGATATTGGCCCGCGCCCACCTCTCGGCATCAGGAAGATCAGTCATGAGGACATGGCCGGCTTCGCCTTGCTCTGGGGGGGTCATGGAAGCGAGAACGCGCGCGATCCCGATCCCCAAAGTTCCGATGCCACATCCCAGCTCGAGGAAGTTCAGGGGCCGGTCTCGGCGGCGCAAGATGGCGCTCAAGAGGGGCAACGGCTCTTTACTGAGGGGGGCCGTGGGGCGCAAGCACATATCCGCAACGAGAGAGACAGTCAGGATTCCAGCATCCCATATGTGGCGGGCAATGCTGTCTCCAATGTCTTCCTGAACCTGGAGGGCGGTTGTGGCAGCCGTGTCGGCCGTGGTCAGCCGGAGACTCCGGAAACACGCAGCGGGCGCGCGTGTAGCTGGCGAGGAGGACACGTCGGCATAGGCACCCAGGATGAGGCCCTCCCCGGTGGCTGGGTACATGTCAAAGGTGCCGAGGGCGGCCAGTTTGCGGTTTGAGGGGCGGACCTGCACCGTTTCGATCTGATCTGATGGCAATGGGAGGTCCATCTTCAGCACCCTCATGCCAGCACGCCATCTGGGGGCGTTGCCGGGCGTCAGGATGACGGGGACGAGGGTTTTCTGGCCATCTTTGAGGCTCGGGTAGGCGCCAATGACCGAGATTTCGATGGGCTCCTCGGGGTCGAGGAACGAGTCTCCAAGGTCCGTCGAGATGGTGACGACAATTTTGATGTAAAAGTTGGACCGTCCTCGCTCGATCGAAGGTAGCCGCAGAAATCTCATGTAGTGCATCGTGATGGCTGTGGGGTGGGTTGGCTGGGCTTAGATCTTGTCCACCATTCAGCGTTGGGAGTGCTAAATCTAGGCGCTGGTTTGGGCAGAATTGAAGGACAGGGGTGGAAGAGCGGAATAACGGACATCCAAAAAGTGATGATCCGGGTTAGGGTTCGAAGCGAAAAGTTCACCGCAACCTTATCCTAGACCAAGAGACTTCAGTGTTGTCCACTGGGGAAGCTGCGATGCGCCCTGGGATCTCTCCTGACCACTGCACAACCTATTGCAAGGACTTGTGTGGAGTCTCGAGACGGACGGGACATCGTTCCTTCCCCCTCTCTGTAATCCAGCCGCTGCATAGCATATTCGGTTCCATCGGTTACCTTTCCTGCTATGCTAAAGAGTGCCGTTGGAATCTAAACCGGGTAGAGTTTCCAACCTGCCTCCTGTCTAGAGTCTCTGAGTCTACCCATGTGAGCAATGGTTGATGATACGCAACATGGATCTTTTCGTCGAACGGGCTTCAGCTCCAGTCCGTGGCTTCAGCGTGACAGTCTAAAGCCGATTAGCGCCATCGGTCCACTTGGCTGGGCTGGGCTGGGCCCGAACAATTAGATGCCATGAGCAGCCCGGCGCCTCCCGAAATCTCCAGCCATGCCACGATCGGTTGTCGCCGCTATCGTCGACGCAGCCCTGCGGCGACGCGAGCCATAAAAGGGACCGTGGGTCGTTAACATCGTCAACTTCAATCCGACAGGGCCTGAATAACTAACTGCATTGACTTCCCTCTATTCAAGAGCTAATCGGCTTATTATCAGTGCCCGCGCAAGAGAGCTATCCCAATATCCCAGCATACGACATCCGGCACCCAATCCCCGCCCAGACATCCATACCTTGCCTAGACTAGTTGCCGTCAAAATGTCAAACCCAAGTACAGCCACGACGCTTTTATCGGCGCTGGTCCGCGTAACCGAGGACAGGATTGTGCCACTGACGCGCGCTGGCGTGTCGTCGGGTAGCAAGCTCTTCGGTGCTGCCATCTTGTCGCGAGAGGGCCTGGCTCCGCTCACCGTGGCAACCAACAACGAGCGCGCCTCGCCGCTCCTGCACGGCGAGATCAACTGCATACAGCAGTTCTTCTCGTCGCCTTCCGACAGCCGCCCGGCCACCAAGGACTGCGTCTTCTTCGCCACGCACGAGCCGTGCTCGCTCTGCCTGAGCGGCATCACCTGGTCGGGCTTCAACGAGTTCTACTACCTCTTCACCTACGAGGACAGCCGGGACCTCTTCTCCATCCCCTACGACATCGACATATTGGAGCAAGTGTTCCGCGTCCCCGCCCCCTCGGATACCCCTAAGTCGCTTGCCGCCCGCCCCCTCTACAACCACAAGAACAACTTCTTCACCGCCAAGAGCTTGGCCGACCTCCTGCAAGAAGTGCCAGACGAGACGGAGCGGAAGCACTGGGAGTCAGAGGTTGCCAGGATTAAGGAGCTGTATAACGGCCTCAGCGAAACCTACCAGGAAGGCAAGAAAGCCGGGGCTGAAAGTGCCAGCGTCTGGAAGTGAGCGTCGAGAGGCCAGAGTCTAATCTCTCTGAAGGCCACAATATGCTTTCCACTTTCCGCAGCTGCACTTTGCAAATCTCATCGTGGCGCTTGGGGGTTTTCTTCTTGAGCGTTGCTCAGGTGTAGGTAACAGCAAGCCGTATCCTATATTTCGGAGGTGCTCGCTAGACCATCCCAGATTAAGTTGCTCCGGCCCTCGATCATGCTAGGTCGACGATTTTGTTTATCCTGCCATCCTGTCATTGCCCGGTGTTTTTTGTATCTCTCAGTCATCGTGCTAGGATTTTTTACTTTAGCACTAGAGCCTCGGTTTAAACCCGGGACAGTGTGTTGAGGAGACGGTGTCAGCGGTGCCCTAGGAGTCCTTGTGTACAAAATGCAAGCCCCTTTGTTCGTGGCCCTGAGCTTCCGTTATACTACTTCAGCCAAATCCAATCGTCTGTCTTTTACAACAAATACGTTCACCGCTTTCCCAGTCTCCTTTCCGATCGTTAGCAATATTGAACCAGGGATAAGTTCCAAGACCAGCGCGTTAACGACGTCTCGTGCTTCATCATAATCCATGATCCAACAGCAACCAAACCAGTCAATTCTCTCAATTTCTCAGCTCAAAGAGACAGCAAAAGGCAACCAAGAGTATGCACATCTTTAAAAGGTGGGCCGTGAGCCAAAGTATCCTCAAGGGTCCCATGGCCTCTCGGTCAGTGGGTAAAGTTATATCTCCACCTTGCGTGACTCACCCACCCTCCCCCTTCCATGATGCCTGAAAATTCTTTTCTTCTCTCCATGCCCTTCCTTCATGAGAACCGATAGTTCCGCAGGTACCCAACAACAACAAGCAAACAAAGCTGCGTGGCGCAGCGGAAGCGCGCCGGGCTCATAACCCGGAGGTCACTCGATCGAAACGAGTCGCTGCTAAACCTTATTTCTTTTGCCGTTTTCTCTTTTTGTCTTTGTATTTTGGTACACTTGTTTGCCACGTTTGTTGTTTCTATTTTACCTTTTTTTTGTCCATGTTTCTATTAATTTCGGAATTTGGAAGGTCTATATTTCATAGCATCTCCGAGAATCTCACAGGTAGTTCAGACTACGTAGTGTTAGCCACTGACCTGGCGCTAGTCTGAGAACAAGCTCACTGTCTCGATTTAGGTATATCATTAGAATGCAGCAAGTCAACTGATATTTACCGTTTACGTTCCTCAGTAGCATAGGTAGTCAAGAGATGGTGTCTACAGACAATATTTGTCCATGGCGGTACTTTTGTTCAAAACTTTTAGATGCCATCTCTAGCATCGCCACGAGTTGTAATTCTCCACGAGTTAGCTTACCATAGCAGGACAACGCATTTCGTGCAAGTATATAATAAAGGATTGCTATGTAAATGATCGTAGATATCCTTAGGTGACTTGTTACAAATTCATGGTCTGACCAAGAGGATCGGACGCATACAAGTTGCCTCGTGTGACCAAACTGTGTAATATGGAAGTTCAAGGGCTCATATTCAGCGCAATCCTTCTTCCATATTCTAGTCACCAGCACCCATTTCACCTCTACCAAACATCCAAAGAGTCATTACAACTTGGACTTATTCAATTACCACGGCCACCCTGGATATGGTCGATATCCGTGCGCCTTGGTGTATTTTGCTCAAAAAGCATACACTGCACACGCCCCCCACCCCTGAAAGGACAGGGCAGCAATGGATGCATTGTTTGCTCTATTTCTAGCCTCTAGGAAGCCGAGGCTAGCAAAGGACAGCCAGCGAGTGGACAGCGCATAGCGCGGGAACAGCGTTCGCATTGCGCTACCCCGCCTTTCGCAGATGCAAGCGACACACCCCAAGGGCACGAGGGAGGGGAAAACGAGAGTGATGGAAATCCTGGAAATCAAGAGACCATCTGAGACGAGAAGAAAAGGGTCTGTGCCGAATCTCCTGCTTGACGTAGTGCAGCCATTCCTCCCGGTCGATAACTTGAGGTGTTAGATTAGAGGGCGAGGTAGACGAGACAGTATACTGCGAACTGTGCAAGCATTCCAAATGGAATCCCAAAAGTTCCAACCCCATTTCCAGCGACAAACGCACGACGTCATCGGCCGCGTCGCGCGCGCCCGCGAAAATAATCATGTTAGGACCCAGCCACCCCCCAGCGGATGAACCGGACCGTCCATACGCTAGCGGCGGATAGCCCGTAGCGCAGCGCAGCTATCATCGCTTATCCCTTTTCCATCCTTCGTCTTTCTCCTTTCTGTCCCGGTTATGGGCTGAAAGAGACGAATTGTTAGCTTAGCTGAATAAAGCCGATACAGTACGGAATATCTCACGGATGACATCGGGGAACCACCCCCTCAGAGACTTGTGCCTTACATACTCCCCCCGCGGGGCTGGCGATTGCGTAATCTATCACTTTTGCCCCTCTTGTTCCTTGCATTGGTTGCCCCATCGAGGGGTTGCCTGGTTTGCTCAGTCTCACCTCTGGGCGGGTTGCACATACCTACACAACATGTTTTCACCCAACTACGCCCTGTAGAAGTAGATGAAGAAGACGGGACTCGTCGGCATGGGTCGCATTACACAGAGACAAGCAGCCTACCGGTAGAGCGGCACGTGTTGATCCCGCCTGGGACTGCCTTAGTGTTCGTTACAGGACGCAATCTGTCCCCGTCGTCGTTGGCCGATCCGATCAGCTTACAGCTGGCCCGGCCATCACCGCCAGACACAGCGCGCTACGTAGGCGCTGACAACTACCGAGAGCTGAGACATGCATGCATCCATCTCAGGAACACGAAGGCGGAGAGAGGCATGCAGGCCTCCGTCGCGCGGCGATTGCCTTGCATCTACGGATGCTCTGTAGAATCTCTCTTTCTTTTGCCCTTGTACGGACCGTACCTGTATAGACCACAGAGGCCGTCCTCTGCAGTGTCCCGCCTCTCTGGGACGGTTTCCCAAATGCCCCATGTGTGGTCCGAATCTGGGGGGCTGGCGGGGTCGACAATCAAGCCGGGCGGCCGCGGGCGGGGGGCAACGGGCCTTTCGCTGGGGCGCGCATGCCCGAGCTCCGCCCGAGTGGGCGCCCAAAGAAACCCCTGTCAAAGCGCCCACTCACCTTCCCCTTCCCGATCCCTCAGCGCCCTGCCCGGCGGCGCTGACAGTTCCGAACGAATTGAACTCAGATATTCGTTACGGATAGGCTGTTACAAATCGTCCCGCGGCAGACAAACAACGTTTGCATCATCATCGTCTGAGTCTTTTTTTTTTCGCTCCTGCCGAGGCCCCAGAGAAGACAAACGGGGAACCTAAAGCGGAAGATGGACAGATACGAATGGACTCGAAGCATCGGGCGGGATCCATCGCCCCCTCCCTCCCTCTTCCAATGATTACGGATTACGGGATTTCGGATTACTGTGTTTGCGTTCCAACCCGAAGCTCGTCTTCTCTTTTCCCCGCCAGCGCCCGAGTAGGGTAGGTAGGTAGGTAAGTAGCGGGAAGTACAGACACCGTGTGCGGAATCACAGTAGACTTTGGAGAAAAACTCGGTGCAACCTACCTCCTACGGTCGCACACCCAGATCCCAAGGCCCCCAAAAAAAACTCCCGGAGGAGGAGGATGGAGCGCGCTTGCTGGTGAACAGCGGGTGGTGCTTGCTGTGCCTCCCACGAACTCGGGCTGTCGTAAATGTGTGTGCGTGTTCCTGACCCTGACCCTGACCCTGACCTGACACTGGCCTAATAATGTACGTTACGTGAGCGAGCGGGCCCGGGGTTAACGGGGCGGCACCGAGTACGAGTCACCGTGAAAAAGGGACCTGTCTTCTTCCTCCTTACCTTAGTCCCGTACATTAGGTATACGCAACCTTAATACTACTTGGGAATTGGACTCCAGTCTGCGTGCGACACAAGCCTGGCGGAAGCGTGCTAGCACGTAGCAGAAGAAAAGCGTTGTTGGTGAGCGCCACACTGGGCGTGACTAAAAATAAGAGTGTATGGTTGCAGTTTTCCATTCCTTCTCCTCTGTCCACCCAACTGTCTGTCTGTCTGTCTGACTGACTGTCTGCACCAAGAATGGAATCTTGTCTGCAGGTTTTGCTTCGCACACGCTCGCTGCTTCAACCAAGCCTCCACCAGCACGCTAAGCACCAAGGTAGGTAGGCATCCCAAGATAAGCACGTTTTCTCACCGTGCAAGCGCTGGTGCTTTTCTGTTTCCGGGTGTGATGGCGGCGGAAGTGGGTGTGGTGTGGGTGTTTTGGCGAATGCGGGAGCCTAAAAGACGTGCAGTAAGAAAAAGTTGGACAGCCACCCTTCTAGAAACCTACCGATAAGGGAAGGGATCTGCTAGCTGCGCGTGCTGGCTGCAGCACGCAGCACGCAATCGCTCCTTCGTCCGAACATTTTGTTGGTCCACCACGCCGCCAAGACCGCAAAAAAAGGGCGGAACCCACGTGCACCAACTCTCGATCTCGATGCCGACATGCACGGCGGCAATTGCTTACCACGTTTCTCGGGCTATGATTAAGCACCGCCGCAACACCCACAGCCTTTCTTTTTGGAATATTCGTCGGCCTATTACTTCCAGGTTGGTCTAGACAAGCAAGCAAGCCACCCTGCACTGTGTCTGAACTAGACCGGGCTGTCAAGGTATCAGTCGCGCCATCTGCACGTGGTAGTTGCAGTTGCAGGCAGGGGCGGTGGCAGTTCAGCAGCTCCCCGCGGGTTGGGTCTGTAGGTTCACATGCACTGAGGCCGACACGAGCACGTCCAATAATATAGCAAAATTGCCTAGACCTACCTAGTTGATGGCTGGCTATCCCGGTGTGAGCTCGGCCTGTCAGGCTTACTCGATGCTTAGGCTAGATCTATTAGCGAGTTGGGGTGTCTCTCTTATTCCCTAGTTAAGAAGGTTTACGCGGGCAAGTCGAAAGGGAATGTTGGTTATGGCGGAAAAATAATAGACTACAAACTTTCATATCCTGCAGTCAGAAATATGGTGTTGCTCTAGCCCTTGTAGCTAGAATAGCTTGAGATCGAGGATGTGTGGTTTAGTATTCCAAAACCTCTTCATCAGGTCTGCGTCTCACACCCACGATTTCATTTACTCCCACATCCCTCCTGAATGGGCTAGGTCAAAGTCCAGCGTAGAGCCTCCTGCTAGAGACTTACCCTTGTCACAGGAATATGAGGTGGCTTTATTTA